GCAAAGTCAATGGGGAGGGCGGATTCGCTTAACGGCCGTGTTCCTAACTTAACAAGCGCAGCGATTCGCTTCCTGCGGCGAGGAAGGTCGTAAAATGGGGCAAAATTCACCTGGCCAAGGTCTCCCTTAGCAGCGGAAACGTTGCGTGCGTTGGGGACGACCTGTACATACATGAATGCATAAAACCGGCCTGAAGAGACTGGACAGCCATTTGTCCGAAACGGTGTAGGGTTTCCTGCCCGAGCAGGGGGTTGGACTAGATGACCTCCAAGGTCCCTTCCAACTTTACTATTATTATTATTATTATTAGGTGGAGAAAGGAGCTTTGCCTTTTGTTAATTGGTGCCATCCTGTCTGCCCACCTCACAGCTGTCGTCCCTTTTGTGGCAGATAGGTCAGGTTTGTGAATCCCTAGTTGCTCCTTTGGATTGAGGAGGAGATGGTTTACGGATCACAGACAATTTCCCAAGCAATCTTCCACCTTCCGCTGACTTTGGCAATCAGGGACAGCACAGGGATGGTCTGTCAGGCTGCTGTCTCTGAGCTGGCTGCTCTTTGAGGTAGAGAATTTATTCGTAACTGCTGTGAAGAAGATTGGAAGTCATTTATAGATAGAGAGATAGGGAGATAAGAGAGATAGAGGTAGGTAGGTAGGTAGGTAGGTAGGTAGGTAGGTAGGTAGATTAGATAGAGGTAGGTAGGTAGGTAGGTAGGTAGGTAGATAGATAGATAGATAGATAGATAGATAGATAGATAGATAGATTAGATAGAGGTAGGTAAGTAGGTAGATAGATAGATAGATAGATAGATAGATAGATAGATAGATAGATGGATGGATGGAGGTAGATAGATAGATAGATAGATAGATAGATAGATAGATAGATAGATAGATAGATAGATAGATAGATGGATGGAGGTAGATAGATAGATAGATAGATAGATAGATAGATAGATGATAGATGATAGATAGACAGACAGACAGTAGACAGATTACATAGAAGATAGAGAGATAGATAATAATAGAGGGAGAGAGAGAGTGATGATAGATAACACACACACACACACAAACACATATATATATATATATATATATATATATATATATATATATAGAGAGAGAGAGAGAGAGAGAGAGAGAGAGAGAGAGAGAGAGAGAGAGAGAGAGAGAGAGATATGTCTACCTGCCCTGATCTTTTTCACTTCTTTTATTTCTTTTTCTTAAGTGGCGTCCTGAATGCTTAGAGACTTTAGAGATTTCAGTAATAACCCAAGGAAATTGTGTATGCAGGTCCCACCCTCCTCACGTATGGTACCCCCCCACACAGGTTTTTACCTGCTACTTTTTGACAGGGGTCCTGCCCTGGGTGACTTTCAGGAAGGTGGGGTCTAATTTCGAGCGAGGTTGCCATGCTATGCCGCCTTCCTCTTCTCCGCCCAACCGCAACAGGAGGAAGTAAAATATTTAATACCTTCTGCCCGTGACCCCCTGCAGACTGAACGAATACAGCTGGTGGCTGCTTAGAATGATTTTATTTTATTTTATTTTATTTTTAACCCCACCAAATCAGCTCCAGTGCACCATCAGGAGTCACGTTTTTGGCCCTTGAGAACAGGCCGAGTCGGACTGAGCCGAGCCGAGGCGCCAGCTTGAAACTTGTCCTTTTGGCCATGTAAGGGAGCCCCGGAGCACGCTGGGTTCCTATTTTGGGAACGCGCACACGGGTTTGTCATTTCGGCTCTGGTGCCGCAGAGTGTGGCTGTCTCTTCAGCTGCTTGCTGAGTCCTTTGAGCCGAGAAAGAAGCATCGCAGTCCTGCAGGTTCCTGGTGAAAATTTGCATTGGGGAGCAGCTGCCACCATGCCAAGCTCGGCTGAATGCCCCCCCCCTCTCTCTGGCTAAAGCTGTGAGGCACCTTTTAGCAGCCCCCCTCCCCTTTCCTAACCCTTGTTGGAAGGATGGTTGTTGGAAAACTGGTGCTTTTCCAGACTTGGCTCGCCCCACTGATATGGCTTCTCTCCCTGGGGCTGTTGTAACGGCAAAGGTTACACTGCCTTTGAAGGCTCTGCAGTTGGGGCAGGTCACCCTTGGCTGCTAAGCAAGGTCAGAAATGAGAGATGTGCCGGCTTGAACATCGACATTTAGATCTAGGTATTTAGGTATCTAAACCTGGATCTGTGGATGGCTTGAAGTCGCCTTTCCTGCTCTAAATACCAGCTACCATTCTTGGGCTGGTGCGGGACCCTGCCCTTCTCACAAGCCGGAACTCAGGAGCTTGCAAGTCCTTGTTTTTCATTGCATAGGATCCTAGGGCTGGGAGGGACCCCGGAGGTCTTCTAGTCCAACCCACCACCACCAACAGAGGCAGGATACCTTATTCAGGTAGTCCTCGACTTAAAACAGTTCCTTCAGTAACCATTCGAAGTGGGGGGGGAAGCGACTTAGGATGGTTTTATAACCAGCATCCCCATGGGCACGTGATCCAAACGCAGCTGCAGGGCAACTGATTCACATTTATGGCGGTTCAGCACGTGATTCCCTTTTGTGACCTTTTGACCAGCCAAGTCAATGGGGAAGCCAGATTGAGGTAACAACTGCAGTGATTTAACAATCGTGGCACGGAAGCTTGTAAACCGGGGCAAAACTTAATTTGAACAACCGTCTGTCTCACTTGGCGCAGAAATTTGGACCTGGGTTGCGCAATCTTTCCTTGGAAACTTCCAGGGTTGGAGTAAGTGCCCATAACTTCTGAAGGCAAAACCATTCTATTGGTTAATTTTTCTAATTGTCAGGAAACGTCTCCTTCGTTCCAGGTTGCTGCCTCTCCTTGATCAGTTTCCGTCCGTTGCTTCTTGTCCTGCCTTGACGTGTTTTGGAGGATAGCTTGACCCCGTCTTCTTTGGGGCAGCCCCTCAAATATTGGAATAATGCTATTATGTCCCCCCTGGTCCTTCTCTTCATTAGGCAATCTAGGTGATTCCCAAGGTGACCTGCCTGTTAGTAATTGAACTACCCTAGTAGTTTATCTTTTAAAATATTAAAGGCCCCTATTTTTAACCCCACAAATATCAATAGATTGACCTAAAACCCAAGCAGTTGTTTTGTTATGGCTCTTTCTTTCTTTCTTTCTTTCTTTCTTTCTTTCTTTCTTTCTTTCTTTCTTTCTTTCTTTCTCTCTCTCTCTCTCTCTCTCTCTCTCTCTCTCTCTCTCTTCTTTCTTTCTTTCTTTCTTTCTTTCTTTCTTTCTTTCTTTCTTTCTTTCTTTCTTTCTTTCTTTCTTTCTTTCTTTCTTTCTTTCTTTCTTTCCCCTTCAAACCACTTGTTGTTGTGGGTTTGGTTCCCACACCAGTGTTTGTTAACCTAAGCAAGACAGTCAAATTCTCACCGTGTGGCCGGGCTTTCGGTTTGTTTGATTTCCTGTTTGCTTTTCGCTTTGTTTTCTTCCTTCTAACACTTTCTGAAGTGCCTGTGTAATTGTTTGGATTATCCGCTTAGGTCTCCTTTTGTAGACCAATCTGTACGTGTTTTAAACGTTTTAAAAAATATATCAGATCTTGCATTTGGCACTTGGAGCTGGATGTCAGGTCCTGTCTCCCGCCCTTGTACGCATAGAATACGGCAGTCCCTTGTCAACCCAGAGCCAAAATTATGTTTTGAAATATATACGTGTGGGTGTGTGTAATATATTCTGGTTCCTTAGTGAAAGTTTACTTGCTCCGTTTGTGCTTCATCTTCCTATCAGCATGTAAGATTAAGCCTTGTGGCTGATTGTAGAGCATTTGTGGCACAATTCCAGTAAGCTTGTGTGTGTGTGTGTGTGTGTGTGTGTGTGTGTGTGTGTGTGTGTGTGTGTTATGGGCTTCCTTTCCTCCCCTAATTATGCCTCCTTGCCTACACTAAATTACGTCTGCAGTTAAATAGTCAGGTCTTTTTTTTTTCCCCTTCTGTTCTGGAAATCCCCCAGCATGCTGGAGGACCTATGAATGAAATATTAATTAGTGACATGGATAAATGAGGGAATTCCAGTAATTGGACAGACAAACCAGATAGGTGTGCTTTTAAATAGGAAGAGGAGAAAAATCTAAGCATTGGGGAAAAAAATCTCCCGTATCTTCTTTTCCAAATTCCCTAAAACTCTGTCCAGCAACTAGATTTGCAGGTTGAGGGGTTCAAGGCGTACGATTACCCTCCTTGTTGTTCCTACGAAGTAGTAAGGGATCACTGGCTTTCCAATCCGTTTTACCTTGGCCTTAGCTGACTGCCACATCAGATAAGAGGACTCCAGTTAGCCAGCTACTGGTGCCATATCACAAGGATTGTGTGTGTATGTATGTGTGTGTGTGTCTGTATGTATGTATGTATGTATGTGTATGTATGTGTATATATATACACACACACACACACACTCATTCTGAATGATCTTTGGTGTCTTTCCTGCATTCTAAGAGTAGGGGTTTTTTTCTTTCTGTCCAGAGACATCATGCTTAAAGCGTTTGTCTTTTTAAAAATAAAACGTATCTTCTGTCACAGTGAGTCTTTCTCCCCTCTCCTGCTTTCAGTCCCTGTGTTTGCCGAGATTCTCAGCCATCCAGGTCACGATGGTCTCAAAGGTGCTTTTTCAAAAGGCAACCAGACTATCTTTTTTTCTGAAGGAAACAGGCCCTGACTTTGCAGAGGTGGTTCCCCCCACCCTCTTCATCTTGTCCACATTTTCCAGTCTGAAAGTATTTGTGAGCAAGTCTTGGGTTTACGGTATCCACAACGTGGTTTGCAAAAATAAAAAATTCTAACCCTGGCAGGGTGACACATGCATTTCCCAGTCTGCAAGGTTATTCGATCTTTATATATATATATATATATATATATATATATATATATATATATATATATATACACACACACACACACATACACACACACACACACACACACACACACACACACACACACCTTCATGAGTCAGATGCTTTAAAGTATTTTTTTTTTCTTATTTTATTTCATAGGACCTCTCCAAGCTGACTGTGGAAAGCTTGCTTGCTGAGAGCAGAACCAGAGACAGCAGCCCGGCTTTGAAGAGGCTTTCCCCGCTGCCTTCGGACGGGCTCGACTACACGAAGCCGGCCTTCTCCGCTCCCATCAGCAGTCGCGACCCTGACTTGAAAGAACGAGCCAATGGACCCCCGACGGTAACGGAGAAACTGGCCCAGTTGATCGCAACCTGCCCTCCGGGAAAGTCTTCCAAACCAAAGCAGAAGAAGCCACCCATGACGGTTGTGTCTGGATTTGCTAAGGATTCCGGGAAGAAGCTGCCGATGGCCGGGGCCACAGCGGCTACTGCCACCAAGGACTTCCCCAAGAAACCAATCTCCAGTGGCACCATCGACCTCGACTTGGTTAACAAGGAGTTTGTCAAGAAAGCGCCAGGAACCGGCGGCGGTTCTTCCGGGAATTTAATTAGTAAGGAAAACGGGAGCAAAAAGCAGCCAGGGTCCTGCCCGAGCGTGGCCGGGCTCACGAGCAAGGACTGTGAAAAAAGGCCACCCATCCTTAGCTCTCCATTGGGACTGGTCAGCAAGGAAGGTGGGAAAAAAACCCCATTGGTGACAAGCATGCCACCGGCCAGCAAAGACTGTGGGAAAAGGCTGCTGGGGACCAGCACTCCCATCGGACTGGTCAACAAGGATCCTGGGAAAAAATCACTCGGCGTGGTCAGCCCTCCCAGATTGATTCATAAAGACTCGGTAAAGAAGCTTCCGTTACCTGGAAGCGCAGTTGGATTATTTAATAAGGACGTCGCAAAGAGACACCTGGGGTCCGACGGTCCGGTTGGATCGGTCAGCAAGGACTCGGTGAAGAAGCCTCCGGGTTTTGGGTCCTCGAGCGGATTGATTAACAAAGACTCCGGAAAGAAGCCATCGGCAGCCGGGCCCCCAATGGGGTTGATGGCGAAAGAGTCCCTCGTCAAGAAACACACAGGGGTGGGCATCATGGCCTCTCTGACTTCGAAGGACTCTGGGAAGAAATTGGTGGGGAGCCCCAGTTTGGCGGGGCTAGCCAGCAAGGACTTGGGGGCGCTGAAGGCCGACGCCATGAACCTTCCGACGGAGCCCTACAAGCGGTGTTGCGGCAGCGGTTCCCTCCCTCTGGAAAGCCACGTGTCCCCCGGTCTCCTGAAGGACGGGGCCGGGGGCAGCAAACCCTTTGAAAAGCACCTGGCGAGACAGAGCAGAGACAGCCTCCCCGAAAAATTGCCAGCCCAGCGAGACATTTCCAGCGGAGGCAAAGACGGAGCCCGCGGTCAGCAGGAGAGCCCTCCCGGCGAAAGGGGCACGTCCGAGTCCTCAAAACAAGAGAAGCATCTCCCGGTGTATTGCACGTCTCCCGAATTCAGGACCGCCGGAGGCGCGTCGGAGATCTCGACCGCCAAGTCTCCGTTTAGCGCCGTAGGAGAGGGGGGCCTCCCCTCCCCTTCCCCAACTGCTTCGGTCGCTACTTTAACCCATAGCCCCCCGACGGCGCTGTCTCAGGTCCCTTCCAATCCATTGCATGCCAACATGCCAGAGCTCTTAGACAGCCTATCCGAACAGGCCAGCAAGGTTCCATCTGTCTCCGACAGCGCCCGCTCCGGTATGAACAGACTGGGGAATCCTGGCTTGTACGCGTCCAGCAAAGGGGTTGTTCGTGAGATCAGCAATTTTAACTCGGCCTGCCCTGAGGAATCAAAACTGGGTCCGGCCACGGGCAAGAAAGCCAGCCTGGTCAGCGAGACCAACCTCCACGCTTCCCTTGCCCCTTCGGTGGTCAGCTTCTCCAGCTTGTTCAACAACAAGCCCTTTCTGAAGATGGGGGCGATGAGCTCCTTAGGGAAACCGAGGCCAGGCCTGGAGATCCTGAGAGGCAGCAGTAGCACCGACTCCCAGAGCAAGCCCTTAAAGAAACGGAAAGGGAGGAAACCCCGCTGGACGAAAGTCGTCTCCCAGGGCGCCTGCCAGTCTCCCAAAGAGCTTGAGTTAGGTAGGCCCGAGCTTTTAAAAAACATGCCTTGCGGCGCGCTCTCCGGCGGCAGCCTGGACCAGGCCAAGCTCTTTGAAAGCGTGGGCCCGCCGGCCTTCGCCGAGCACGACTTCCTGAAGCGGCATTTGCCCAAGCTGAGCAAAAGCGGCAGCTTGCAGCCGCTCTCTCTCCTGGGCAGCGTGGAGAAGGAGCCCGGCAAGTTCTACAGCGCCCACATGCCGACCTCTGTGGGCTGCCTTTCGGACGGCTTGTTCCCCGATGTATACAAGTCCAAACGGAACCGGTCGAAATCCAAGGAGATGCCCCAGTTGGAAGGGCCTCCCAAACGGACCCTGAAGATCCCGGCCTCCAAGGTCTTCTCCTTGCAGTCCAGGGAAGAGCAGGAACCCCCCGTCTTGCATCCAGAGGTGGAGATCCCTTCCCTCCGCCAGAGCCTGGCGGGGCAAGCGTTCCCCAAGAAGCGGGGCCGCCCCAAACGGCAGATCCGCTCGGGGATCCCCATGAAGCCGCCCGTCCTCTCCGCCGCCCCTTTCGTCAGCCCGGAGAGCACAGACAAGATGGAGGACACCCTGGACCAGCCGCCCGGCGGGGACTTTTTCGAAAGCAGCAGCCAGCTCGGCAGCCCCGAAGAAAACGGCGACTCCAGCACCGGCAGCGCCAGTGAACCGGAGGGCGAGCCGGAGTGCCAGGAGGTCAAACGCAGCAATGGGCAGCTGGTGAAAACCATCATTCGCAAAATCAACAAGATGAAGACGCTCAAGAGGAAGAAGATCCTGAACCAAATCCTCTCGTCGACGGAGCCCAACAAAGGGAAAGTGCCATCCAAAGCCCACACCAGCGTCTCCAGCTTGGCGGCCACCTTCAGCACCAAACTGGGCCAGCAGATCAACGTCAGCAAGAAAGGGACCATCTACATCGGCAAACGACGGGGTCGGAAGCCCAAAGCCAACTTGAACAGCCTTTTGGCGGCCAGCTCTAGCTTCGCCGTCCTGGAGAAATCGGGCCAACAGGCCGCCGGAGGGATGCTGGGACAAGCAGGGACCCCCTTGCTCCCTCCGGGCCCGAGCAGCAACCCCGAGGTCCTTCCATCCCCTGTTTGCTCTCAGTCGTCGGGAACCAGCGGCGGGCAGAGCCCCATCAGCAGCGACATGAGCTTTGTGGAGCCCAGCTCGGTGCCGTGTTTCCACTTGCACGGCCGGCCCGGGAGCGTGGTTCAGACCTTGGCGATGAGGAAGGCCTGCCGGGCCAGGCGGAGGCTCTCCCCCCCCACTCTGCTCCCCAACTCTCCCTCCCACATGAGCGAGCTGGGCTCCCTGAAGGAGGCCACCCCCTCCCCAATCAGCGAGTCCCACAGCGACGAGACGGTCCCTAGCGACAGCGGCATCGGCACTGACAACAACAGCACCTCAGACCGGGCGGAGAAGTTCTGCGGGCCCAAGAAGCGCCGGCACTCCTTCGAACACGTCTCCCTGGTGGCCCCCGAGGCCTCGGCCGTGCTGAGCGGCCTGAAGGAGAAGCACAAGCACAAGTGCAAGCGCCGGGGCCACGACTACCTGGCCTACGACAAGCTGAAGCGGCCCAAGCGCAAGCGGAAGAAGAAGTTCCCCCAGCTGCGGGGCAGGCAGGACCCTGACTTCCTGGCCGAGCTGGAGGAGCTGATCAGCCGGCTGAGCGAGATCCGCATCACGCACCGCAGTCACCATTTCATCCCCCGGGATCTGTTGCCCACCATCTTCCGGATCAACTTCAACAGCATCTACAGCCACCCCAGCTTCTCCCTGGACCCTTTGCACTACCTCCGCAAGCCGGACTTGAAGAAAAAGCGGGGGCGGCCCCCCAAGATGCGGGAAGCCATGGCCGAGATGCCCTTCATGCACGGCCTCAGTTTCCCTCTTTCCGGGACCGGATTCTACCCTTCTTACGGCATGCCTTACTCTCCGTCGCCCCTGGCGGCTCCCATCGGCCTGGGCTATTACGGACGCTACCCCCCCACCCTTTACCCTCCTCCCCCCTCCCCCTCCTTCACCGCCCCCCTCCCTCCCCCCTCTTACATGCATGCCGGCCACCTACTCCTCAACCCCGGCAAGTACCACAAGAAGAAACACAAGCTGCTGCGCCAGGAGGCCTTCCTGACCGCCAGCCGGGCCCCGCTTCTCTCCATGAGCACCTATCACCCCAGCGTCCCGCCCGAGATGGCCTACAGCTGGATGCTGGAGCACAAGCACCGCCACCGTCACAAGCACCGGGAGCACCGCTCCTCGGAGCAGTCGCCGGTCCCCCTGGAGGCCTTGGCGCCTGCCGGCTCTTCGCGGACGGTCTTAGAGTCCCTGAAACGCTACCGGTTTGGGAAAGAGACCCTGGGCGAGAGGTACAAGCATAAGGAGAAGCATCGCTGCCACTTGACTTGCCCGCACCTCTCGCCCCCCAAGGGGCTGCTGGGCCGGGAGGAGCAGTGGGCCCGGCGGGAGACCCCCGAGAGCAGCCCCCTGACCTTGGGACTACAGACCCCTTTGCAGATAGACTGCTCCGATTCGCCCCCCAACCTCCCGTTGGGGAGGTTCACTCCGAGTTCCGAGCCGGCCAGTAGCGACGAACATACCAATCTGTTTACCAGTGCAATAGGCAGCTGCCGCGCGACGGGCTCAGCCGCAGGGCGCAAGAAACTGTCGGAGGGCTCAGGACTTTTCAGCCCCCAGGAAGCATCGGTCGGCCGCCCCCTCCGGAAGGAGGCTCTACCTGCCAACGAGAAGGCCGTGCAAGGCCTTACAGGTAAGCACCTCTCTTTTCCCACACCTGCCGCGAAGAATCAGACTTTCTAAATTGATTTCATGACCAAACTGGGTCAACGTCGTCAGTGCTGGAAGGGACTGGGACTTGCGGAGAGGAAGGGAGGGAGAGAAAGAGAAAAAGAAGAAGAAGGCGAGAGAGAGAGAGAAGGAGAAAGAGGGAGGGAGGGAGGAAGGAAGGAAAGAAAGGAAAAAAGAGAAGGAAGAAAGGAAAAGGAGAAAGGAAGGAAGGAAAAGGAGAAAGGAAGGAAAAGAGAAAAAGGAAGGAAGCAAAGAAGGAAAAGGAGAAAGGAAGGAAGGAAAGAAGGAGAAGGAAAAGAAGGAAGGAAAGAGAAGGAGAAAGAAAGGAAAAAGAGAAGGAAAAGGAGAAAGGAAGGAAAGGAAAAGGAGAAAAAGGAAGGAAGGAAAAGGAGAAAAAGGAAGGAAGGAAGGAAGGACTGTTGGGTCCTTGATGTTCTCTGAGATTGGTTGTTTTCTTGCAGGCGTTTCATGACCCAACTAGGCAGCATCATCAGTATTAGAGGGGAGTTGGGTTGGCTTTCTGTTTATATACCGTGGATTTCCCTGTCAGTGTTGGTGGGAATGTTATTTTTCTCCTTGGCAGTTTCTTGATCGGGCTGTTGTTTACTGTCTGCGTTATTAGTTCCTCGTTTGGGACATTGTCTCCTGGCGGTTTGTCTGGTGTTAATCCCTTCGCTGGGCCTGTCCCACAAGGCTCGGCTCTGGTACGCTCACCGCACAGGCATGTTTGGTGAAGAAGGAGGGAGCTTCCTGTCTTGGCTGCAGAGCGTTTTTAATGGCTCCTTGGCATTCAGCTTGGCAATCTGTCCTTCTCCCTTCGCTGGCTCTTTGTTTTTATTTTTTATTTCTTTTCCAGAGAACGTTCTGGTTTGGCTGGCTGAGCAACTTTAGTTAGCAGCAGCAGCATTTCTATTGTTGTTGTTGTTGTTATTATTATATGCAGGCAATTTGGCTGCTAGACCCATGCCTCAAGTGGGTGGGTCTCATTGGTCCCACGAGCCCCCCCTCCCGTTGCTCTGCTCGCTGTTTCCATTAGAAAAAAAAGGCTGACCTGATTTATTGGGGCATAACTTTTCACAGTGATGTGTCGACATTGTCATAAAATCAGTAGGTGCCCTCCTAACATGCTGGCTCTTTTTTTTCTCTCTGTTTTCTCCTGGGTGGAAACAGACCGAAACAGCCACCTCGGTGGAATTGGCCAGCCTTGCTCCAGTAAGGATGATGCCTTTTTGAAAAAAAAAAAAGAATAAAAAGAAAGAAAAAAGAATGGAAACCCAGCCAGCCAGCATTGCTCGCTCGCAGCCTTTGCTAATCCTCCTTTTGCCTATCGGCCTTGTGCAAGAACGACGGCTGTGCAAATAAATTAAATACCCCCACGCTCTCTTTCCCCCCCACACACACACCCCTGCACTGGTGTTTGCGAGCGTGACATCCCCAAAGGATTAAATGAAAAAAGAAAAAAGAGAAAGAAAGGGGAGGGAGGACTGGACCCAGAAAACAAGTTGCCTTGGTTAGTTAGAGTCCTGGGAATTTCCTGCTGGAATTCCATTAGCATGAGCAGAGCGGACTTGCATTTGATGAGAAACAGCCTAATTAGAAAGCAAACAAGAGACGTGCATTTTGGGCCTGTGGACCACTGAGTGCCATCTCTGTCTGAATCATCGCCTCTCTGCTAGCCTAGCGCATTTAAGGGATGAGTCAGAGGGAAAATGGATCGCCTTTCCGTAAAGCTGTCCTCTCTTACCTCCCCCCCCCCAGCAATTGGAACCATCTGTTCTTTCGCCCTGTGCTTTATTCCTTCCCTTCCCTTGCCACCTCTTGAGGCCAGTTGTGCAGGAAAAGCTTAAACGCCTCCCCTCTGGAGCTCCAGCTTGTTATTTCTCTTTTATGAGCTATTTCTCCCGCCTTTATTGATAAGTCACCCGGGGTGGCGAACATAGCTGATGCTCCTTCCTTCCTTCCTTCCTTCCTTCCTTCCTTCGACGACAAGCCTGTGAGGTGGGTTGGACTGAGAGAGAAGGGGGGGGGGGAACTGCACCAAACTTAACCAGCGAGCTTTCGTGCCTAAGGTGGAACTAGAACTCACTGTCTCCGGCTGATTGGTCAAAAAGTCATCCAGGTGGCTTTCACGGCTAAGGTGGGACTAGAACTGCCAAACTCCTGGTGATTGGGCCAAAGTCGCCCCGCCAGCTGTCCTACCTAAGGTGGGACTAGAACTCCCTGTCTCCAGGTGATTGGTCAAAAAGAAAAAGGAAGGAAGGAAGGAGAAAGAAAGAAGGAAAAGAAAGGGAGAGAAGGAAGAAAAAAGAAAGAAAAAGAAAGGAAAGAGAGAAAGGAAAGGAAAGGAAAGAAAGAAAAAGAAAGAAAAAGAAAGAAAGAAAGAAAGAAAGAAAGAAAGAAAGAAAGAAAGAAAGAAAAGAAGCACTTTATGTTCTGGCTACAGCCATGTTTTTGTTTGTCCGCCCAGAGGCCGGGCTGATCTCATTTTTCCTAGCCAAAATAAGTCCCTTCGCGTCAAGAGAGCTGAGCCATTTTTCTCCCCTCTTTCCTCTTTCGCACAGTTTATTCCTGGAGGCTGTTGTTTTTTCCCCCCCTTCCCTTCCAGCCCTGCCTGTCTCTTCTCAGATAACAGGACAGGTATGGCACAAACGTGCCCAAGAGAGGGAAGAAGGGGGCTGCAGCTGTCCCTCAATCTCACCCACCCACCGCTTCGTTGCAGAAACACAATCACAAAAATAGACTCTCCTAGGCCCTGGCCTAGACGCGAAGAGGGCGGAGTAGGGCACTCGTCCAAGCAGGAACAGTGGCTGCCTCTTCTATTCCTGGGGCTCGCTCTCCAGATGTTGAAAACCAGGTTCTCAGATGAAAGGCACGCAGGCTCCAATTTCTTCATTCCTCTGCCGCCCTGTATTGGGGCTGTTTTCCTTGGGCATATTAGCGAGAGAAGGCTTAGGGACAAAGACAAAAAAAAAAAAAAAGCAACGTTTGAGCGAAAAGAAGCCAAGTGTGTCTTGACCCAGCTCAAGTTGTGGTAGGGGGCAGCTAAATGTAACTCCGATCACCTAAGGGCAGGGGGTCTTCAAACTTGGCCACTTTTAAGACTTCAGCTCCCAGAATTCCTCAGCCAGCCAGGAAATTCTGGGAGTTGAAGTCCACAAGTCTTAAAGTGGGGAAGGAGAGGGGAGGAAGAAGAGGTCTGTGGGGTCCTTGATGCTCTCTGAGCTGGGTGGTTTTCTTGCAGACGTTTCATGACCCAACTAGGGAACATCATCAGTGCTAGAAGGGAGGAGGAGGAGGACTGTGGGGTCCTTGGTGCTCTCTGAGCTTGGTGGTTTTCTTCCACACGTTTCATGACCCAGCTAGGTAACACCATCAGTGAGAAAAGGGAGTGGGGTTTGTGGAAAGGGAGGGGTCCCTGGCACTCTCTGAGCTTGCTGCTTTTCCAGCAGACCTTTCATGACCAAACTGAGCAACATCATCAGCGACCCCTTTCTCTCCCCATCCTACCTGGAGACAGAAAAAGTGGGAAAGAAGTGGGAGCAGGCGTGAAAACAGGGCAGAGAGCAAGAAGTGAGCCAAAGGAGAAGGGAGCAGATTGCAAACAGGACCCATTGCAGTGTATTTGGGCTTCCTCTTCACGGGGCCAGGAGCCAGACGGCTCCATTTGATGATTGCTGTGAGCCGCGGGCGCAGCCAAAAGAACAACGATAAATAAATTTTAAAAAAACACCACTCTTATTTTATAGGTAGAAGATCCCAAGTCCCTGCCTTGAGATTTAAACAAAAGATAAATACATATTTGAGGAACAGGAGGGAGGGAAGACTTCCTTTTTTTTCTATCTTGGCCTTTAAAATGCTGCTCCCTGCAGAGCATTTAGTCCAATGGCTGTCCTCTTCTTTGGGGCAGCCCCTCAGATATTGGAAGGCTGCTATCATGTCCCCCCTGGTCCTTCTCTTCATTAAACGAGACGTACCCAATTCCAGCAGCCTTTCCTTATATGTTTTAGCCTCCCGTCCCCTAATCATCTCCATTGCTTTTCTCTGCCCTCTTTCCAGACTCTCAACACCTTTCCTGCATCCTGGCAACCAAACAGCTTGGCCTTTGATCACTTGGAATATAAGGAAGTCCTTGCTCACAAGGGCACTAGGCTGAGGTGGGGGTGGGTGGGAGTGTGTATGGTGGTGCAGCGATTACTTGCCTGTAGAGGGGACATCAGGGCGCAGCATCCTTTGGCCTGTTGCCAAGCTTTTGACTGACTCTCTCTCTCTCTCTCTCTCTCTCTCTCTCTCTCTCTCTCTCTCTCTCTCTCTCTCTCTCTCTCACACACACACACACACACACACACACACACACACACACACACACCCTCCAAAGGCCAGTCAGCTGTGTTGCAGAGACACCTGGTCTTTTAATCTTCCCCAAACGTCCCTGAGGGAGGCTTCCAAGCCATCTGGCCCGCACGCTGTCCATTTAGCTGCTCAAACCAGCTTGGAGCATTTGAGAAGGACACAAAGGCTCTTGAAGGAGGAATTAGACAAGCAATAGTAATAATAATAATAATGATAATGATAATAATAATAAAGTTGGAAGGGACTTGGAGGTCATCTAGTCCAACCCCCTGCTCAGGCAGGAAACCCTAGACCATTTCGGACAAATGGCTGTCCAGGCTCTTCTTAAAAACTTCCAGTGTTGGAGCATTCATGGCTTCTGGAGGCGGGTTGTTCCACTGGTTAATTGTTCTCACTGTCAGGAAGTTTCTCCTTAATTCCAGGTTGCTTCTCTCCTTGATGAGTTTCCACCCGTTGCTTCTTGTCTTGCCTTCTGGTGCTTTGGAGAAGAGATTGACCCCCTCTTCTTTGGGGCAGCCCCTGAGATACTGGATATAGTTCATTTAGTGACCGTTATAACAGCACTGAAAATAGGGACTGAGGACCGTTTTTCACACTTAACGACCGTTGCAGCCTCCACGTGGTCACCTGATCTAAATTCAGACATTTGGCAACTGACTCGTGTTTATGACACTTGCAGTGTCCCGGGTCACGTGATCCCCTTTTGTGACCATCCCCATTCTCTCTCCTCCCACTGTTTTTTTTTTTTTTTTTTTTTTTGACCTGTCTCGTTTTTCTTCCCCAGGCGCCCTTCCAGGTCAGGAAAAGCTCTCGCAGAGACCGATGGAGGGCACCAGTTGCAGTCCTTCCAGGAAGAGGTCTTCCTCCGAGAGCACATCTTCCACAGGTGGGGCTGGTTCCTTTTTTCTAAGGCAGGTGCAGGAAGCCCTTCAGGTGCCAGGGACCTGTAGCTGTAAACCAGTTTTCCTTCCTTCCTTCCTTCCTTCCTTCCTTCCTTCCTTCCTTCCTTCCTTCCTTCCTTCCTTCCTTCCTTCCTTCCTTCCTTCCTTCCCTTTCTCCCTCCCTCCCTCCCTCCCTCCCTTCCTTCCTTCCCCCTTCCCTTTCTTTCTTCCTCCTTCCCTCCCTCCCTCTTCCCCCCTTCCCTCCCTCCCTTCCCCCCTTCTTCCTTCCTTCCTTCCTTCCTTCCTTCCTTCCTTCCTTCCTTCCTTCCTTCCTTCCTTCCTTCCTTCCTTCCTTCCTTCCTTCCTTTCTTCCCCATCACTGGAGGTTTTTAAGAACAGCCTGGACAACCGTTTGTCCAGAATGGAGTAGGGTCTCCTGCTTGAGCAGGGGGTTGGACTAGAAGACCTCCAAGGTCCCTTCCAACTCTTCTTACTATTCCGTTGAGTCTTGCAACCGAGGTTTTGTGGAAGCCGTCCTTTTTATTTATTCGTTGACTTATTTATTAGACTTAGGTGCCGGCCCTCTTTGCCAGAGGCGCTTCTGCATGGCTCCCTTCGGAAGTCCCACGCCGCTTGGCTCCCAGCTTGAGAGCCCCCGCAAGGCCTTTGCTTCGTTCCCAGTAAAGCCCTTCCTCCACCCCGGACAAAACCTCCGCTTACGCTTCCTCCTGTCTTTCTCCAGTGGTCGGGATCCCGGCGCGCAGTTCCAGACTCGGCTCGGCCTTGGAGGATTCGGCAGATCAGCTCCTGCAGCGCATGGCTCACCACGAGAGCCAGGCAGCCTTGGACAAGACCCTCGAGTGCGTCCTGGCCAGCGCCCCCGCCCTCCCCTCGGACAGCCCCAGCCGCAGCCCCGGCCGGGAGAAGTCTTGCGAGCTCTTGATCCCCGGGAATCCCACCAGCGCCGGCGGCGTCAACGACGGCCTTTCGCTCCTCTCCGGCCGCTTGTCCGGCGGCTGCCCCCCGCCCCACCTCAAGAGGAGCGTGGTGGAGGCCATGCAAAGCCAGGCCCGCCGGATGTGCAATTACGACAAGCTCTTGGCCACCAAGAAGAATCTGGACCACGTGAACAAAATCCTCAAAGCCAAGAAGCTTCAAAGACAATCGCGGACCGGCAATAACTTTGTCAAACGCCGGCCGGGCAGGCCCAAGAAGGACCCTTCCACGCCGGCCGTCTCTCCCCACGGGCTCCAGGTGAGCCGGTTCCTCGGCCCCGAGATCAGCGGCGGTGACGGCGGCAGCGGCAGCAGAGATCCCGTCTGCCTCCTCCACCGCGGCCCCGACACGGTGACCGACGCCATCGAGTCGGTGGTGCAGGGCGTGACCGAGAAAGCCTGCAAGAGGAAGAGGTGGCTGGAAGAGGAGCAGGCCAGGAAGAAGCAGAAGCTGCTCCCCGGCGAGGAGCAGCAGCAGAACAGCCATCAGAGGTGAGCCTTCCGGGCTTGGAGGCCGCCGGGAGCGTGGCTTTGGGGGAGGCGGGAGGGAAGCAAGGCTGTAGTCCTCATGAGGCCGAGAGCCAGTGGCTTTGCCAGACACGATGGACGCAGGCCGTCCTCGGCTTACGACTCCAACGGAGCCCCAGGTTTCTAGGGGGCCAAGCGAAACATTTGTGAAGGTGAGTTTTGCCCCATCGTACGACATTTCTGGACACCGTTGTAAAGCAAAGCGCTGCGGTTGTTAACTTAGTCACACAACGGTTGTGAAGTGACTCTGGCTTCCCCCGTTGCCTTGGCTTGTTGGAAGGTGGCGAAAGGGTATCACACAACACACACACACAGACACACACACACAGACACACACACACACACACACACACACACACACACACACACACAGGAGACGCTGCCACTGCCATAAGTACGAGTCAGTTGCCAAGCGTCCGAATTTAAAGCACGGGACCCCAGGGATGCCGCAACGGGCCTAAGTGTGAAAAATGGTCCTAAGTCCCTTTTTTTTCAGCGCTGTTGTAACTTTGCACGGTCACTGAGTGAACAGTTGTAAGTTGAGGACTGTCTGTACAACAGCTTGGCTCCTCTTGATTGGGCTTTCTTTGCCCTCCGTCGGTAGCTTTCTGGTTGGGGGGGATTGAAGACACACACACACACACACACACACAAACAAACACACACATGTCCCAGTGGGTGGGCCCCGGATTCTCCTCTCCAGCTCATTGACTCACCCCCAATTTCTCCTTCCAGCTTTTCAGAAGCCGCCCCTGACCCTCTTCCTCCTCCCCCTCCTCCTCCCCCTCCTCTTCCTCCCCCTCCTCTTCCTCCCCCTCCTCCCCCCGCGGAGGCTGCTGGGAAGCCCCCGGAAAAAGCCGAGCAGCCGTCCTCGGCCCCCCTGGTCCAGCGGGAGAAGAAAGCGGCCCGCCCGCCGAAGAAGAAGTACCAGAAGGCCGGGCTCTATTCGGACGTGTACAAGACCAGCGAGTAAGTTGGGCCGGCGGAGGAGGGGGGGTCTCCTCCTGGGTCACGCGGCGTCCCTGGCTTCGTCCCCTGAACTCCGTTTTTCTCTCTCGGGGTTCTTCCAGGCTCATAGGCCTGCCAGTACGGGGGCTCCTCATTTAGCAACCACTTGCACCAGCCAGTTTGGAGTTGACTTGGTAGTGCTCTCTCGCTCTCTCTCTCTCTCTCTCTCTCTCTCTCTCTCTCTCTCTCTCTCTCTCTCTCGCGCGCGCTCTCTCTCTCTCTCTTTTTTCTTTTCCTTCCTTCCTTCCTTCCTTCCTTCCTTCCTTCCTTCCTTCCTTCCTTCTTGCTGTTCCTTCCTTCCTTCCTTTCTTTCTTTCTTTTTTCTTTCTATCTTTCTCCTTCCTTCTTTCTTTCTCTCTTTCTTTCTTTCTTTCTCTCTCTCTCTTTCTCTCTCTTTCTCCCTCTCCCTCACAATCTTCTTTCTCTCTTTTTCTTTCTCTTTTCCTTCCTTCCTTCTCTTTTTCTTCCTCTCTCCTTTTTTCTTTTTCTTTCTCTTTTCCTTCCCTCCTTTTCCCCTCCCCTCCTTCCCTCCCTCTTTCCCTTCCCTCCCTCCCTCCCTCCCTCCCTCCCTCCCTTCCTTCCTTCCTTCCTTCCTTCCTTCCTTCCTTCCTTCCTTCCTTCCTTCCTTCCTTCCTCTCTCTCTTTCCCCCTCTTTCAACCCTCCTAGCCCAGGGGGAACATCAAGTGTAGACACGCTCGTCTCCCGCAGTGCAGTTGGACTCAGCTTGCCGTCTCCTCTGGAGCCCACACACAAAATTCCTGAGCTGCGTCCAAGTTAAAGAGTACGCTGCTCACAAGATGCATGACTCATCCACGTTTCCTACTTGATTTTATCAGCCCCTCCGCCCCTCTCGGCTTTCAGGGAAAGATCCAAAAGCACCCCAGAAAACAATTTATTTTCAGGAATGTTTCAGTTTGGCACAGCCCATCAATAATCCTTATTCCCAGCAAACTTCAAAAGGACAAAAACAGGGTGAAGCAAAGAAATACAATACTATACTAATATGGCCTAATTCACGTAGTAAAACATGGTGCAGTGGTTAAGACATCAGGCTAGAAACGGGGACTGTGGGGTCCCTAGTGCTCTCTGAGTTTGGTTGTTTTCTTGCAGACATTTCTTGGCCCAACTAGGTAAAATCCTCAGTGCTACGAGGGAATGGAGTTTGCTCTGTTTATATATACTGTAACCCCACTCCTTTATAACACTGATGATGTCACCTAGTTGGGTCATGAAATGTCTGCAAGAAAGCAACCAAGCTCAGAGAGCACCAAGGACTCCTCCTCCTTCCTTCCTTCCTCCCTCCTCCTCCTCCCTCCTCCTCCTCCTCCTCTTAGCAAACCCCACTCCCTTCTAGCACTGATGATGTTACCTAGTTGGGTCATGAAACGTCTGCAAGAGAGCAACCAAGCTCAGAGAACATCAAGGACTCCTCCTCCTCCCCCCCACTCCCTTCTAGCACTGATGATATTACCTAGTTGGGTCATGAAATGTCTGCAAGGAAACCACCAAGCTCAGAGAGTATCAAGGATCCCAGAGTTGTCCTCCTCCTCTTCCTTCCTCCTCCTCCTCCTCCTCGCAAACCCCACTCCCTTCTAGCACTGATGATGTTACCTAGTTGGGTCATGAAACGTCTGCAAGAGAGCAACCAAGCTCAGAGACCACCAAGGACCCCACAGTTTGACACCAAGTTACAAATGTTATCTCCTGTTGCTAGCAACTGGGAGGCCGTGAGTTCTAGTCCCACCTTAGGCACAGAGCCAGCCTGGTGATTTGGGGCTGCTCTCTCTCTCCTTCCTAAGAAGGAAGGTAGCAACTGTCTGGGACAGAAGTCCAGCGGGAAAAGTGCCAACAGTTGTAAGCGGTGACCCCCTATTTAAGTGCAAGGCGTTCCTCAGCCTCGCGGCGGCAGGGCTAGTTATGCCTGACGCACTCGTGTACATGCATTGTTGCTGTGGCAGCGTGCCCTCTAGTGTCAGTACAATTAATTGCACCACTAATTGTGAACTGGGCCGGAGGGAGATGCAACTGACAACAGGGGTGCCCTTGCTTTAAGAAGAGAATTAATACAGATTGGATTCGGCCTGTAGACTTGATACCCCAAAGTGCTGGATTGATGCTGGTCAGTGCAGTCTGGTCTCTTGAATTGGCCGTGTCGACTCCGCTGTAGGATATTGGCAAAAAATCTTATATTATAGAATCCAGCACGACTCACTTAGTGACAGAAGACCCTTGGCGGTCTCTAATTCTCTCTTGCACCCACCGTCTCTCTCTCTCTCTCTCTCTCTCTCTCTCTCTCTTCCTCTCTCTTCCTTAGCCCCAAAAGCCGCCTGATCCAGTTAAAGAAAGAAAAACTGGAATACACGCCCGGAGAGCACGAATACGGCTTGTTTCCCGCGCCTATTCACGTAGGTGAGTGAAGACCACCGTCTCCGTGGCTTTTGAGGGGAGGTCTCCTTCTTTGACTCGGCTCTGGAGGAACTACCAGAGACTAGGACGCTTTCTTCGGAGCAGGGGGACCGGGTCTGGTGAAGGATTTGGCCAAGGACTGCTGTTCCTCAAGACAAAGACGCCCCCGAGATCACCAAAGCTTCTTTTACTAGAATTAGAATTAGTTTGAGCTGGAGGTTAAGGCACCAGGCTAGACAAACCAGGAGGTTGGGAGTTTTAGTTTTGCCATAGGCTTGAAAACCAGAGGGGTGACTTTGGGCCAATCACCAGGAGGCGGTGAGTTCTAGTGCCGCCTTAAGGCACGAAAGCCAACTGGGTGACTCTGGGCCAATCACCAGGAGGCGGTGAGTTCTAGTCCCGCCTTAAGGCAGGTAATTAACCATGGGCCAGTCCCTCCCTCCCTCTCTCTCAACCCAACCCACCTCGCAAGGTTGTCGTTGTGGGGGAAATCGGAAAAGGAGGGAGTATTGGGTACGTTCCCCGCCCTTGAGCTATTCTTAAAAATAATGAAAGCAGGACTTAATTTATTTTTTTTATTTTATTTTTTTTAAAATCGAAATAAATAAAAATACTGCAAATGCCAGTGCCGTATTTCCAGGCAGAAGAGACACCCTTTTCCTACCGTCGTTTCCCCAGGGTTTGGGACGTAAAAGAACTCCATTAATTCCCAAGAAGCAATAAGTGTGCGAGGTTTTAAGTTCGGCAAGATTGTTTGTTTGTTTTAAAGCCCCTTTCTTCCTGATTTCCCCCTTGAAAGCAAAGCAGTGCAGGACTTTGTTCCATTCCATTGTGGGTTGTTTTTTTTTTTCCCCTTTCCTAAAAGCATTTGCAACTCTGGATCAGCGCGAGGAGGAAGCTGGTCTTGACTTTGCATTCTCGAAGCGGGTGTGGGCAGACTTTTCCCCACAAGGGGGGGGGGAGTGCAAGGGTGGGGAGAGTGTAACATTTACACCCAGCCAGCCTTCTTCCCCAATTATGGCAAGCACCCTCCACCATGTTTGCAGTTACGGGAGGATGGAGACAGGCTGCCAAGAGTAACAATAACCTGGAACGGGGCCAGCCAGAAGGCCTGGCCTCTCTCCTCCCCCCCCCCCAGCCCAGAACCCGCCTTGCACAGTCCCACCAAGCCTCCAGCGCTCTCCCCCTCCCCAGATTCACAAGAGAGAGAAGCAGCACGTTCCCCCTTTTCCTCTGCGACCTCGATCTTCCAGCGCTGAGCGCTGAGCCGCCTCGCTTTCCTCTTTGACAAAGGAAACCTGACAGAACCGAGAGGCATGGGCAGAGTGCCCGCGACAATCTCTCGCTTGGCCCCCTCTGTTTGAGAATCCCCCACCCCCCAGGTAGGGATTTGTGACTCGGGAAGAGGGACTTAACAGATGGATCCCTTCTTCCATTCTCCATCCCAGCCTGCCTGTTGTCAAGCTGGAAAGATAAGGCTGCTTTAATGAGATTCTTTGGCCCTGCCCGGAATCACGTTCCGAGGATGATGATTTCTCGGCCTCGGGGCCGGCTGGGTTGGGTGGCTCCTTGATTCCAGGGCAAGAGGGAGCGTCCCCCATTCCCCGGGCCCGTCGCCAGCCTCTTGAAAGAGGCTTTTGTTTCCTCCGGTGAGGTCATAGAAGTGAAAACAGATTCCCAGCGGATTCGGCCGCTTCCTGGAACTCAGACTGGAACTTGAGGCTCTGGAAAATCCGAACACATTTTCAGAGCCCGTTGTAAAGACCGCGCGCCAGCGGCTCCTCCTCCCGCCCTTCGCCTCTTTCGCAAAGACGTCCCGACTCTAAACGGGCCCGCTCACTTCCGTGGCTCCAGAGCTCTGAGCTTGGAATCCCAGAATGCACAGCCACAGCCCAGAGGGCGGAGGGTGGAAGGAGAGGGAGCGTTGTCATCCAGATGACCGCAAGGAATATCAACCCTTCCATCCTCCGCCCTTCGGTCAGAACCGAAGAAGCTGCTTGGCTGAGGAGCGAGATGTCCTCAAGGGAGAACAGAGTAATATTCAGAATAATAGTAATAATAATAGTAGTAAAGTTGGAAGGGACCTTGGAGGTCATCTAGTCCGACCCCCTGCTCAGGCAGGAAACCCTACACCATTTCAGACAAATGGCTGTCCAGTCTCTTCTTAAAGACTTCCAATGTTGGAGCATTTACCGCTTCTGGAGGCATGCTGTTCCACTGGTTAATTGTCCTCATTGTCAGGAAGATTCTCCTTAGCTCCAGGTTGCTTCTCTCCTTGATTAGTTTCCACCCGTTGCTTCTTGTCCTGCTTTCAGGTGCTTTGGAAAATAGCTTGATTCCCTCTTCTTTATGGCAGCCCCTGAGATATTGGAATACTGCTATCATGTCCCCCCCTTGTCCTTCTCTTCGTTAAGTTGCCTTTTGAGAAGGCACCTTTGCCAAATGATACTAATATTGGATATGTGGAGAAAAGCAAGGTTTTACACCTAAGTGGGGAAAAAAAACCCAAAATAAAAATGCTAAGAAGAGCAACTAAGATGATTAAAGGCCTGGAGACTAAAACACAGGAAGAACGGTTGCAGGATTGGGGAGTGGCCAGTCTAGAGAAAAGAAGGACTAGGGGTGACCTAATATTCCAGTATTTGGGGGGCTGCCACAAAGGAGGGGGTCAGTTTCTTTTCCAAAGCACCAGAGGGCAGGGCAAGACACAAGGGATGGAAACCAGCCAAGGAGAGAAGCAACCTGGAATTAAGGAGAAACTTCCTAACAGTGAGGACAATGAACCAGTGGAACAGGCTGTGGGTGTGACAACACTGGAGGTTTTCAAGAAAAGACCGGACAGCCGACTATCTGAAGTGGCCCAGGCTCTCCTTGAGCAGGGGGGTTGGACTAGATGGCCTCAGAGGGCCCCTGCCAGCTCCGTTCTGATCGGATGCCTTTCTTCACTCTCCTCTTGCAGGAAAATACCTTCGGCAGAAGCGAATCGACTTTCAGTTGCCTTACGACATTCTCTGGCAGTGGAAGCATAACCAGGTAAGGGGTAAGACCGGTGCCCGGTTCGAATCTCGCAGGTGGTCGGCTGGGATTCTGTTTCCAAAAGGCATCTCGAACTCAGCCAGCTGTCTTTTGTTAACAGTGATGGGTTTTTAAAAAAAGAGAGAGAGAGAGAGAGAGAGAGAAGGAGAAGGAAGGGAAGATGTTGAAGATAACAGATTTAACACAAAACAGCTTCCATCACCTCTAGCCATGCCAGCCTCTGCTTCCCGCCCGCCAGACTTCCGAGCAACAGCAGTTTGTTCTGTTCGGCTGGCAAAAGACCTCGGCTCTTAATCCCTGCTGGGGACTTTTATTCTGACAGGGCCTTTGGGCAAGGATGTGTTGTGTGTGGATATGTGTGTGTGTGTGAGTGTGAGTGTGAGACACCCCTCTGGAGAATTTAGATGTTCTGCCAACAGTCCTGGAAAAAAAAAAATTCAGGCCTTATTTTTCTTGGATCCGGGCCCAAGAGATGGAAAAGAGCTCTTTTTTCTTTCTTTCTTTCTCTCTCTCTCTCTCTTTTTTTCCATTTTGTTTGTTTCGTTTCTCCCACCTTAAAGCTGAAGTTTTGGAAAAAGGAGAAGGGGCTTCTCCTACAGTTCAGAGCCCACCTTGGTGGTCCATACAGAAAAGGGGAAAAACCTCTTTATAAGGCCAAGATTTCGACTTTGCCCAGCCTGCTTTCCTTGACTCTCCTTTTCCACCTGGGAGAATCATCTGGGCCATTGCAGCCCAGCTGGGAAGAAAATAAACGTGGATTATTGGATAATTCGCTTGCAAAATCAAAAAATCTCTATGGCTTCGTTCGGCTGTCCCCAAACTGGCCATTCCCTAAATATGTGTGCAGACACTTGTCAACCGACTCGTATTTATGACGGTCGCCGCATCCCAGAGTCATGCAATCCCCTTTCGCGACCTTATATTTCTCTTGACTTTTTTTTTCTTTTTTAAAAAAAAACTACAGCAAAAATCAGGACTTTGTATCTGACATCTTATAGCCTGCTTGGCGGCCCGCAGGTCGTTTCTTGCCCCCCCTCTTCTAGATAGGCAGTGGGGGGGGGGAGTCCCAGCTTTTACGAAAAGCGCAAAAAGAAAAAAAAACAAACCACCCACCGTACTTTGAATGAGCAGAGGGCTGGACTAGAAGACCTCTAAGGTCCCTTCCAGCTCTCTTATTCTGAGGCCCTCAATTGTGTGATATAATCAACAGTCTCTCTCCCTTTCGTTTCAGCTGTATAAAAAGCCAGACGTCCCACTTTATAAAAAAATCCGTTCAAGTAAGTGTTTATAATGGCTTTCGGGAGGGGGGGGGTGTCCCACCTTCCTTGCCCTTTATGCCATGTTTAGCTTGCCTTGTTTGGCAGATAGCTTGAAATTTGGGGCAGATGAGAAAAGCCTTTTAAATTCAAAGCCTTCCATCCTGGGCTGGATTTAAAATCCCTCCCTCATCCTGTGCCTTTTTTTTTTTTTCCCCCCCCACCCACCCGCAGACGTTTATGTAGACGTGAAACCTTTTTCTGGTTACGAAGCCACCACTTGCAACTGCAAGCAACCTGACGACAGCCGGAAAAGCGGATGCCTGGATGACTGTTTGAACAGGTAGGCGGTGGACTCGAACCCAGCACTTGTGTTTTTTATGGGTTAAATCGGGTGGGGAACGATCCCTCCCCTCTTTACGACTTGTGGACTTCAACTCCCAGATTTCCTGAGCCAGCTGTGTCTGAATCTCTCTCCCCCCCCCCTCTATCTCTTTCTCTCTCTATCTCTTTATCTATCTATCTCTTTCTCTCTCTCTTTTTCTCTCTCTATCTCTTTCTATCTTTCTCTCTCTCTCTCTCTCCTTTCCTCTCTATATATATCTCTTTCTCTATTTTTTTTTCTCTCTCTCTATCTCTTTCTCTATTTCTTTCTATATATATCTCTTTCTCTTTCTATCTCTCTCTCTCTCTTTCTCTCTCTCTCTCCCTCTCTATCTATCTATCTCTTTCTGTCTCTCTCCCTCTCTCTCCCTCTCTCTCCCTCTCTCTCTCTCTCTCTGCCCTCAGGATGATCTTTGCCGAGTGCTCGCCCAACACGTGTCCCTGCGGGGAGCAGTGCTGCAACCAGCGCATCCAGAGGCACGAGTGGGTCCAGTGTCTGGAACGCTTCCGGGCGGAGGAGAAAGGCTGGGGCATCCGCACCAAGGAGTCCCTCAAGGCTGGCCAGTTCATCATTGAGTACTTGGGGGAGGTCGTCAGCGAGCAGGAATTCAGGTAAAAGCCTGCGGAGGGCCCGGAGGGGGACTTGGGATCCTCCCTGCTGCGTGGGAGAGGAAGGTGGGGAGAAAGGCCTAGATCAGCCCCACCAGAGCAGAATAACAGTGTTGTGTTGGCTTTTCAGGAACCGGATGATCGAGCAGTACCACAACCACAGCGATCACTACTGCCTCAACCTGGACAGCGGCATGGTGATTGACAGCTATCGGATGGGCAACGAGGCCCGCTTCATCAACCACAGCTGCAACCCCAACTGCGAGATGCAGAAATGGTAAGTGCGCCCCGGCACTTGTCGGGAAGCCTCTCCTGTCTTGGCGTGCTCCAGAAAGCAAACCGGAGCTCAAAGCACCGGCAGTCCTCGGCCTACGATGTTTCGTTTAGTGACTGTCCGAAGCTACGGCAGCACTAGGAAAAAGGGGCTTAGGACCTTTGATTCACGCACACGAAACCCCATCCCCACGGTCCCCAGATCAACATTCAAACCCTTGGCAACTGACTCACATTTATGACGGTCGCAAGGTCCCAGCAGGGTCCTCCTGACAAGCAAAGCCAACGAGGGAAGCTGGATTCATTTAACAACCCGTGTTCTTGCAATGCAGCGCTGCGGCGATTCATTTAATAACTGCCTCGCTTAGTAGCAGAAATCTGGGGCTCCATTTTTGGTCATAAGTCAAGGACTATCTGTACAAACCGGCGGAGAAATGCATTACAACCCAGCTGTTAGCTTGTTGTTGTTTTTTTAATAAACAATTTTTATTAGTTTTCCATTTTACACCAACAAGGCTTAAGAACCAACGTGGAGGTAATCAGTTAAAAAACAATAACATTATAAATATACAACTCACACAATTTTGCTTAAAATCTCCCTCTCTATCTGTTTAGGATATTATAATCAAATTAATACATTTCTAAAACAAATTTATTCGTTAATACACCTCTACATATAAATTCCATTAATCAATAAAAGTTTTCAACAACTCATGATCTATCCCATAAGATCCTGTTTTACGCTTTATCAATTTTTCAAATGTTTAGACTTATTTATTTACTATTCAGGTGCCCCTAGTTTCTCTTAAATAAGAGAATAAGAGAAACTAGGGTGGTGGTGGTGGTTTTTTAACGGCGTTTCCGGTTTCCCTTCCTTTCCCTCCAGGTCGGTCAACGGCGTTTACCGGATCGGCCTCTACGCTCTGAAGGACATGCCGGCCGGCACCGAGCTGACTTACGACTACAATTTCCACTCCTTCAACAGGGAAAAGCAGGTGAAGGGCGCACGGGGCTGGGGGGGGGTCTCTGCTCTGGATCATCTTCTGCCAGCTGGGTGACTTTGGACCAGCCCTTCCCTCTCAGCCCAGCCCGCCTCGCAGGATTGTCGTCGTGTGCGTGTGGGGGGATATAGAAAGTGGAAGGAGAATTACATCTCTTTGCTGCCTTGAGTTACTTACAAATAAAATACAGTAGTCCTCGGCTTAACGGCCGTGATGGAGCCCAGGATTTCTCCTCCTAAGCGAGACGGTCGTTCAATGAGTTTTACACCCTTTTTTTAACCACCTTTCCTGCCCCCCCCCCGTTGTTAAGTTAGTCACACGGACGTTAAGTGAATCTGGCTTCCTTCGTTGGCTTGTCAGAAGGCCGTAAAAGGGGATCACGTCTCACACACACACACACACACATACACAGACACACACACAGGACGCTGCGGCCGTCATAAACCTGAATCGGTTGCCCAAGTGTTTAAATTTTGACCCCGTGACCACAGGGTTGCCATGATGGCCTTCAGCGCAAGCAATGATGGTAAAGTTCCTTTTTTGTGGCGCCGTCATCACTAAACGAAGTGCTGTAAGTCGAGGACTGCCTGGAAAGGCGGGATAAACACGAAACAAAGAAGGGGTGTGGCTGGGTCTGTCAGATAACTTGGAGCTGCCCAGCTTCCACTCTTCGGCAAGGGCTCCCCCCCATTGAAACACGCACCCCGTTTTCCTCCATGCACACACACACACACACACACACACACCCCGTTGAAACAGGCGCCCCCTTTTCCTCCTCTTAGCAACTCTGCAAGTGCGGCTTCGAAAAATGCCGAGGGATCATCGGCGGCAAGAGCCAGCGAATGAACGGCCTGCTCAACAAAGGCAACCAGATGGTCCCAGCGCAGAGGCGGCCCAGCCGGTCCAAAGAGAAGAGGAAGTCGAAGCACAAGTTGAAAAAGAGGGTGAGCCCCTGCCCCACGTCCACCCTGACCATTTAGCGTCGGTCAGAGGGACGTCAGGTTCCAATGAGAGAGAGAGAGAGAGATACAGATGATAGATAGAGATGATAGAGATAGAGATAGATAGATGAGATAGAGATAGATGATAGATAGATATAGAGATGATAGAGATATAGATAGATGATATAGATAGATAGATAGATAGATAGATAGATAGATATAGATGAGAGAGATATAGATGAGATATAGATATAGATAGATAGACAGACAGATAGATATAGAGATATAGAGATGATAGAGATATAGATAGATGAGATAGATGATATAGATAGATAGATGAGAGAGATAGAGATAGATAGATAGATGATACAGAGATAGAGATAGACAGACATAGATAGATGGATCGATATAGATATAGATATAGATAAACATTTTAGAGGAAGATCCTCATTGGAGAGCTTAGCCAATTAGCTTCCCAAGGTCCTCGTTTAACGACCAGCTGCTTAGCGATCAAAATTACGATGGATTCCCCTTCCCCCCCCCCCCCGAAAAGTTACGACTTTCAATCACGAGGGAGCCCAACTTTTCTGCTGCTTAGTGTGACTTCAGTTAAGTGAACTTGGCCCTTGTTAAATTAGCCACGTGGTCGTTCAGCGAATCTGGATTATTCCTCCTCCCCAATTGATTTTGCACGTCAGAAGATCGCAAAAGGGAAAATCATTTCCTGCCTGTGATAAAGCAGAGTTTGGAACCTGGGTGGCCCCCTCCCCCCCAATTTAGCTCTCTCTCTCTCTCTGAAGACTTCCCTCCCTCCCTCCCTGCCAGAAACATCACTCTTGTTTTCCAGAAGGGCCACATTCCGGAAGACCCCGGGGAGAACTCCGCCCCCCCAACTCGGTTGACCCCCCACCTGCAGATGAAGCCCATGTCCAACAGGGAAAGGTGAGGAGAAGGGAAGGGCTGCTGGCGCCCAGCCTGGGTGTTTTCCAGGGGGGTCTTGGGATGGGTGAGGTGTGGGTCACGTCAGACGAGGGTCTTGGGATGGGTCAAGCACCGACATCCGCTCAGTTTCACTGAAGTTGTTACCTAGCTTGGTAACGAAACGTCCAGAAACCGACCCACAAGCTCGGAGAACAAAGCACACACACCCCCCCTCATTTTTCTCCCCGTCCAATCACCCCTAAGCCCTTGAAAGCAGCCACCTCTTCACCACCACCATCTGGAGCAGTGGCTGAGGTTTTCCCCACTCTCCCTCCTCCCCACTGTCTGACCCTCCCCCCTCTTCTAGGAATTTTGTGCTGAAACACCACGTTTTCCTGGTACGCAACTGGGACAAGATCCGTCAGAAGCAGGAAGAAGTCAAGCACGTCAGCGACAACCTCCACTCGCCCTCCTTGTACACCCGCTGGAATGGGATGTGTCGGGACGATGGCAACATCAAGTCGGGTAAGGGTCCGGCCTTTTGAGCCCTGTTCTCCGAGCACCTCGGGGGGCTTTTCGTAATGAAACCACAACCTTCTTCCCATCCGGGCCTGTTTGTTAAATTCAGCTCTTTGTACTAACAAGAGTTGAGAGGAACCTTGGAGGTCATCTAGTCCAACCCCCTGCTCAGGCAGGAGATCCTACTCCATTTCAGACAAATGGTTGTCCAGTCTCTTCTTAAAAACCTCCAGAGAGAGAGGGAGGGAGGGAAGGAAGGAAGGAAGGAAGGAAAGAAAGAAAGAAAAAAAGAACAGCAGAATAACAAGCGTTGGAAGGGACCTTGGAGGTTTTCTAGTCCAACCCCTTGCTCAGGCAGGAAACCCTATCCCATTTCAGACAAATGGGTGTCCAATCTCTTCTTAAACATGTTCAGTGTTGGAGCCCCCACAACCTCTGGTGGCAAGCCGTTCCACTGGTTAATTGTTCTCACTGTCAGGAAATTCCTCCTTAGTTCTAGCTTGCTTCTCCCCTTGATTAGTTTCCATCCATCTTTTCCTAACTTCAAACCACCCTTAATCAAACATCCGTCAGTTGAGGACAACCTGTGCAATAAAACATTCTGTTTAACATCACAGTGACGTCTTAAGGCAGGGGTCTTCCAACCTGGCCCTTTTCTGACTTGTGGACTTCAGCTCCCAGAATTCGTCAGCCAGGCACGAGGAATTCTGGGAGTTGAAGTCCACAAGTCATCAAAGGGCCAGGTTGGAAGACCCCTGTCTTAAGTGATCGACTTCATATCCTGAAGGGATGCAGGCAGTTGCTTCTTTAATCGCGTATACGGTTAAAACAAACAACGGTTTAGTGCCTTGTCAAACCCCGTCATCCCAAACCCTGCGACGCTGTCAGAAGCCCGGTGAGGCTCCCTCCATCACCCCCCTCCCCTTCTTTTCCAGATGTCTTCATGACCCAGTTCTCCGCCCTGCAGACCGCCCGTTCGGTCAGGACGCGGCGGTTGGCAGCTGCCGAAGAAAACCTTGAAGTAGCCCGAGCGGCCCGTCTTGCGCAGATCTTCAAGGAGATTTGCGACGGCATCATGGCCTACAAAGGTGACGGCAGCAGGAGGACGCAAAGTCAAACCCAAGCTTTGGGTAGAGTCTTCTTGAACCCAGGACAAGGGTTCCAGGAGGCTTAATGCAGGAAAGGACAGGTTAACTTGCGGGGCTTCAGAGTGGCGAACTTGGTACTTTTCTGGGGTGCTGGGTGCTCTCTGAGCTGGGTGGTTTCCTTGCAGACGTTTCATGGCCCAACTAGGGAACGTCATCAGTGCTAGAAGGGAAAGGGGGTTTGCAGAGAGGAGGAGGAGGAGAAGGATTGTAGAGTCCACGGTGGTCTCTGAGCTTGGCTGTTTTCTTGGAGACTTTTCATGACCCAACTAGGGAACATCATCAGTGCTGGAAGGGAGTGAGTGGAGGAGAATGAGAATAAGAATGGGGAGGGAGGGAGGGAGGAGGAGGAAGAGGAGGAGGAGGACCATGGGGTCTTCGTTGTTCTCTGAGCCTGATGGTTTCCCAGCAGACCTTTCATTACTCCAAGCCAAGTAGCACCATCATTACTAGCTCTTCTGTACTTTCCTTCTGGAGCCGATAAATCCAGATTACCAATTTATGGGGTGGGATTCCCTCCTTCCATCTGCGGCTGATGGTTTTGCGGGAATTACACACAGTTTTCTCCACCCTGATCTCGAGTTTTGCCCTTCCTTATAAATACCATCATTGGGAGCGTCTGGGGCTGGATGACCCCCACCCCCCTCACCCTGGCCCTTCAAGTCCTCCACCCCTCTACTCACTGCCCTGGAATCCCTCCACCCGGTTGTCCTCGTCCTTCTCCTTGTCTTCCACCTCTTGCTGTGTTGTAGGCTTCTTAAGAGCGCTGCTCTTTGCCGAAGGCTTCCTCCACTGAAGGTGCTTAAGCAGTTGTTCCTCCATCCCGCCCCAACATGGTTCGGACTACAGTCCCCATCCCCAGCTGTTATTCCTCTCTTCCCCCCCCCCCACGGTCCCCATCCCCTCCCTAAACAGGATCTCCAAACCCATCTGACCATATCTCAGGAGGCTTTGGAGGTCTCCATCGTCCTCACGGCGGTCTCTCCTTCTCTGCAGATTCCTCCAGGCAAGTCCTGGCCACCCCTTTGCTGCTGCTTCCTCCGAAAAAAAAGTAAGTCCGCTTCCCAAAGGGGGGAGTGGGTGGACCCTCCCCCTAATTGGAGTGTCCAAACTGGCGCCCTTTGGGTGTTTCCAACCTCTCCCCCCCCCCCCCGGTCCAGGAATGCCGATTACTATGAGAAGATCTCAGATCCCCTGGATCTCACCACCATTGAGAAGCAGATCCTGACGGGATACTACAAAACAGTGGAGGCTTTTGACGGGGATATGTTGAAGGTCTTCCGGAACGCCGAGGTGAGTCGGCCGAGGGTTTGGTTGTCTGGAACCAAGGAAGAATTCCCCCCCCCAAAAAAAATCCCCTCCCTCCTCAAAGATTCCTGGCTCTTGGTTTATTTTGCTTCAGGGCTGGGAATAATGTGGCACCGTTAAGTCTAGCACTGTCTTCTCAACCTCAGCAGCTTTCAGATAGGTGGACATCAACTCCCAGAATTCCCCAGCCAGTCTAGGAGTTGAAGTCCCTCCCCCCCCATCTTGAAGCAGGCTGGCTGGAGAATTCTGTGAGCTGAAATCCAGTCAAGCCAGCTAGGGAATTGTGGGCGTTGAAGCCCACTTATCTTAAAGCTTGCTGGCTGGGGAATTCTGGGAGTTGAAGTTCGCCCGTCTTAAAGCCTGCTGGCTGGGGAATTCTGGGAGTTGAAATCCAGTAAAGCATACTGGCTGGGGAATTCTGGGAATTGAAGTCCACCCATCTTAAAGCCTGCTGGCTGGGGGATTCTGGGAGTTGAAGCCCCTCCCCCTTCACCTGCCTGAAATACTACTCTAGCTTGACAAGGCTCATAAAAATAAATTAAATAATAATAATAAATAACCCTAGAACGTCACAGCCCTTAAATCCAAGAATCTAGACGTTCCCACCATAGGTCTTTTTCTCTCTCTTTTTTTTTTTTTGGCAGAAATACTACGGCCGCAAGTCTCCCATCGGGCGGGACGTCTGCCGGCTGCGGAAAGCCTACTACAACGCTCGCCATGAAGCCGCCGCTCAGATCGACGAGATCGTGGGCGAGACGGCCAGCGAGGCGGACAGCAGCGAGACCTCCCTGTGCGAGAAGGAGAACGGGCACGAGAAGGACGAAGACGTGATCCGTTGCATCTGCGGCTTGTACAAAGACGAAGGGCTCATGATCCAGTGTGACAAGTGCATGGTGAGGGGCCTCGGAGGACCCCTGCCCTGGCCAGACCCTCGGGAGAGGGTCAGCTTTCCCACTACAGCTCTCCAAAATTGGAGAAAATCCCTCTGGATTTGACCTCAAACTGGGTTTCCCAACCTTGACGGCTTTAAGACGCCCAGACTTCAACTTCCCCAAATCTTGACGAATTCTGGGAGTTGAAATCCAGGTTGGGAAACCCTGATCTAAAAGCAACAGGATCCCCTCTTTGGGAATACTTCAGTTAGTAAGAAGCTGGATTCTTTACTGTTTGGTAAGGGTTTTATTTTATTTTTATTTATTTTTTTGCAAAATGCAATAAGCGAAGTTGTTTTTTTTCGTTGCTCTGGCTTAGATCAATACTGCTCACTTTGGATGAAATTAGCCAGGCATATTCCAAGCTTCTGAGTGGGGAGGTTCTACTGGGTTTTTTTTTTTTCTTACTTTCTATAATTTTTTTTCCCTCGTCTACCAAGCCAAGATTTGTTTCCCAGTGTTTCCTGAGGCCTCCCTTTCTCTCGCAGGTGTGGCAGCACTGTGACTGTATGGGCGTGAACTCAGATGTCGAGCACTATCTGTGTGAACAATGCGAGCTTCGCACAGTGGATCGGGTAAGTGTCTGGAAGGAGGGAGGGAGAGAGACACACAGACAGAGAGAAAGAGAGAGACTGTCCACATCTCAACGTTTTTCCCACAATAACAACACTGTGAGGTGGGCTGGGCTGAGAGGGACTGGCCTAGAGTCACCCAGCCGGATTTCATGTCCAAGGCGGGACTAGAATTCACCGTCTCCTGGCGATTGGCCCAAAGTCACCCAGCCGGCTTTCATGACTAAGGAGGGACTAGAACTCACCGTCTCCTGGTGATTGGCCCAAAGTCACCCAGCCGGCTTTCATTTCTAAGGCAGGACTAGAATTTACCGTCTCCTGGCGATTGGCCCAAAGTCACCCAGCCAGCTTTCATGTCAAGGCAAGACTAGAACTCCCAATTTCTAGCCTATTGCGTCGACCATTCGACCAAAGTGGCTCTTTTCCTGTTGGCAAAACTTTAAGCCAGTTTCTAGGGGTTAGGGAAATTGAGTTTGCTTTCTCTTTTTTCTTTTTCACGGCCCTTTTCTCGCCTTTTTTGTCTCCTCTCCCCTTAGGAGGTACCAATGATTCCCCGGCCTCATTACACCCAGCCTGGCTGCGTTTACTTCATCTGCCTGTTGCGGGACGATCTCCTGCTACGTCAAGGTGGGTGTCTCTTCCCCGGGGGAGTGAGGGGCAGCCAGCAGGGCTGTGGGGATGGATAGCTCTTGCCTTCTCTTCAGGACCTTCAGATTCTCTCTCTCTCGGCCACTGATGCTTTTTCCTCACCGGGGTATCAAGGCCTTTCTCTCCTTCCTGCCCGCAGGAGACTGCGTGTACCTGATGCGAGACAGCCGAAGGACCCCCGACGGCCACCCGGTCCGGCAGTCGTACCGCCTGCTGTCCCACATCAACCGCGAGAGGCTGGATATCTTCCGGATTGAAAAGCTGTGGAAAAACGAGAAGTGAGTTTCTCCACTTTCCTACCACAAAAAGAAAGGGGAAAGTTAGCTGTTTTGCCTCTCAGCCATATTGGAGGTGGCTGCGGGGGGACGCCATAAATTTGTAGCCCACCTGGAAGATTTCTCCCTTCTTTCAGCCAGCAGATCACAAGTTTTGAAGTTATACAAACTTCTCCTAATAGGTAAATAAACCATTCATCCCTTAGAACAGGGTTGGACACTTTTAAATGGGGTGGACTTCAAGTCCCAGAATTCCTCAGCCAGCATGGCATTCTGGGACTTGAAGCGCATGCCACTTAAACTATGATTTCCGGGAGTTGAAGTCCACCCCTCTTAAAGCACACTGGCTGGGGAATTCTGGGAGTTGAAGTCCACCCTTCTAAAAGCAGGCTGGCTGGGAAATTCTGGGAGTGGAAGCCCACCCCTCTTAAAGCAGGCTGGCTGGGGAATTCTGGGAGTGGAAGCCCACCCCTCTTAAAGCATGCTGGCTGGAGGATTATGGGAGTGGAAGCCCATCCCTCTTAAAGCATGTTGGCTGGGGAATTCTGGGAGTTGAAGTCCACCCATCTTAAAGTGCTAAAACTTTAAGCTGTCTTAGAGCAACAATCAGCAACGAGCTCTTGAGTTCAAATTCCCCCCCCCCCAAAAAAAACCCCTCCTTGTTGAACACAGCAGCTTTAGGGTGAACTCTCTCCGCTTCTCGCCTTCCTGCAGGGGGGAACGGTTTGCCTTCGGCCACCACTACTTCCGCCCGCACGAAACCCACCACTCGCCCTCCCGCAAGTTCTACCATAATGAGCTCTTCCGGGTGCCGCTGTATGAGATCATCCCTCTGGAGGCGGTGGTGGGGACCTGCTGCGTGCTGGATCTCTACACTTACTGCAAAGGCAAGTCGGCAGATCACCTGAAGCAGCTTTCTCCCACCTGCCCCACCCCCACCCCCCCGAGGTTGGACTAGAAGACCTCCAAGGTCCCTTCCAACTTTCTTTGTCTTCTGTCTGCCAAAAATAGAAAATAACCGTGAGAACTTCTTTCCTCTCTCCCTCCGCCCCCCCCCCTTGCAGGAAGACCCAAAGGGGCGAAGGAGCCGGACGTGTACATCTGTGATTACCGCCTGGACAAGTCGGCGCACCTCTTCTACAAGATCCACCGCAACCGCTATCCGGTCTGCACCAAATCCTACGCCTTCGACCACTTCCCCAAACGGCTGACGCCGAAGAGGGACTTCTCGGTAAGCGCTACCTCCCCTCCTGTGAGTGCGCCCTCGGCGGAGAAGCCACCGGACCCCGGGGCGGCCCCTTCCTTAAAACACTCTCCTTTCACGGCGGTTCCTCAACCGGGTGGACTTCAGCTCCCAGCATCCCGTAACCAACGGGCCGGTGGAGAGAAACAACGCTCTGTCCATTTCTTTTCGGTCTCATCGGGGACTTTCCTCCCCAGCTTTGGAGGACCTCTCGTTGGTCGTTGTGCTCCTTTGGTCTGCCACCAGAGCTTTTGCCGGGCCCTGCCTCAGTTTCCCCAGCCTCTCCCTGACGGGGAATGACCTCCCTTTGAACGGTGGGCCTCAGGGGACCCTGAAGATTGACTCTGATTGGGTTTTTTCCCCTCTCCCATTTCAGCCTCATTACGTACCAGACAACTACAAGAGGAATGGAGGCAGGTGAGTCCCTGGTTGGTCGTGTGAAGACGGCAGCCCTTCGAGGTAGTCCTGCCTTCTCCATGTTTAGACTCTGATCTCGCTTCTCCAGCCCCCGCGGCTGTCCTTCCCGTCCCCTAAGATTATTCTCCCATCCCATAATACCTTTCCCCACAGAGGGCTGCCTCTCTTCGTCCCGCCTCGCCTTCCCGCCCAGCTTCTTTCCACAAAGATTCTCTTTTACGTCCCTCTTCCTCCCTTTTACGTCCTGCTCAGGTCATCTTGGAAGTCTGACCGCTCCAAGCCCCAGAGTAAAGAGCTGCCTCAGGAGGAGGAGCCACTCCCCCTTCCGGAAGAGGGCGTCGCCCACCCCGAGCCCCCTCCGGGCGAGCCGCCCGCCCAGCCGGAGGAGCCCGAGAAAGAGGCCCCTCCCCAGGAGAGCCTCGAGCCGGAGAAGAAGGCCGAGGAGGCCGGACCCGAGCCCAGGGAGCCCTGCAGCCCGGAGGAACGCCGGCACCTGCAGCGGGAGCGGCTGAACCACATCCTGCTCGCCCTCTTAGAGAAAATCCCAGGAAAAAACGGTGAGTCTCCTCCCCCCCCCCCGAGCCTTTTTCAGAATAAGGGTGGCCGCCCCCTTGACCTCCCTCCCTCTATATATTCCTTCCTTCTTTCCTTCTGTTTCCATTTGTTTATCCTTCCTTCCTTCCCTTCTCTTCCCTTCCCTTTCCTTCCCCTCCCTCCCTTCCTTCCTTCCTCTCGTTTCCATCTGTTTATCTATCTTCTTCCTTCCTTCCCTTCTCTTCCCCTTTCTTCCCCTCCCTCGCTCCCTCCCTTCTATTTCCATCTGTTTATCTATCCTTCCTTCCCTTCTCCTTCCTTCCTTCCCCTCCCTCCCTCCTTCCCTTCCATTTACATCTGTTTATCTATTCTTCCTTCCCCTCCCTCCCTCCCGTTTCCATCTGTCATCTATCCTTCCTTCCGTTCTCCTTCCTTCCTTCCCCTCCCTCCCTCCCTCTCTTCCGTTTCCATCTGTTTATCCCTTCCTTCCGTCCCTTCCCTCCCTCCCTCCCTTCCTTGGGGTCCTCATTTTGAAGTCCCTTCCGGGCTTTGCGATGCCCCCGAAAGCCGTCTGCATGGCGGAAGAGTACCTGCTCCGAAAACGGGTATCAGGAAATCCCAGCTGGGCCCTCCAGCCCCCTCTTCCACCCCAAGGCGGCCCTTCATGCATTTCCACCCCCAACCGGCCCCTCCCTCCAAGATGGCCGTGCTGCTGTCCATCCCACCGGCCGCAAAAGTTTCCTAAAGCTTTCTCTCTCTCTCTCTCTCTCTCTCTCTCTCTCCTTCCCCCGTTGCAGCCATCGACGTCACCTACCTGCTGGAGGAAGGCTCAGGCCGGAAGCTGCGGCGTCGCACCCTGCTTCTCCCGGAGAGCGGCTGCAGGAAGTGAGCCTGCATCTCCTCCCCTCCCCGCCCTCCCCTGCAGCAGGGTGCAGTTTGCAATTCCCCCTCCAGTCCTGGGTCAGGACCGGGAGCGCAAGACTGACAGCCGGGCCGGGCTTTGGACCTCTGCCGTCCCGCGTCTCTCGGCCCGCCCGGAGGCAGGAGGAGGCGTCTCGGTCCGGCCGAGCGGAAGGAAACTGACGGAACGGTTCTGTAGCACTTAGACCCTGCACTTGGGCAGGCAAGCCCCCTCCCTCTCTCCCCTGTACCCACCCACCCACCGTCCCCCAGGAGCGCTCAGCACCCAGCACCAGGGGAGGGGAGCCAGCCATAGCCTCCTCCTTCCTCTTAAGGTACTAAGGAAGAACCCTCTCTCCCATCCCCGGAGGACGCGCGCCGATTCATTTCATTTAATTTATTCTTTTTCATCCCCTGCCCCATCCCGCTCTTGACAAGGAAAACGAGAAAAGGGAAGGGGGCGGTGGAGGACAGCTGCAGACCCCACCCAGTTTGGCACTGCCCTGTTTCTCTCCCCCCTTCCAGCCCCCCTGCCCCGGGCATCTCCCTTGCTCCAAATCTGGGGCTTAAGGGCCCGACATGTGGCACTACACGGAGGTCTAGCACCCCTAAAGCATTTGCAAAAAAAAGGGGGGGGTCTCTTGAAGGCACCGGAATGAGATTTGGGGGGGGGGATTTTATTGTCGGACATTTTGCACACAAAGAGGCGTCCCGTTCTTACGGCTGCCCCCAGAGAAACCATGGATGGATTTTCGGAAGCACTTGGGTCCCATGTCGTCCATCTCCAGAGAGGACGGGACAAGGGGGACGCTGCGCTTAATTTTTAATTTTTTTTTTTCTTTTTCCTCTCCCCGTCTCTCCTGCAGAGGGTTCCCCCCCCCCCCAAAGCAGGTTCCAGGTCCTCTTCTTTTTTGGGGGGGGGAGAATTATTATTTCTACTTTTTTTTTTTTTTGCCTTCTCCCTCCTGCCCCCTTTTTGTACCAAGCTGTCGTTCTTGTGCGTCTTGGTGTATATCGTGGCGAAAAAATAAATAATTTTTTTTTCCCTTTGAGGGAAGGGAAAAGGAGGGAGGGCGGGAAAAACGAGGCAAAAATTCCCACGCCCACCAGGGAAAAAAAGAAAATAGCCTTTCACTACACGAATCGTGGAACAGTATTTCCAAGCGAGCATCTGCCGCCCATGACACTACTTGCGTTTTTTTTTCCTTTTTAATTTTTCTTTCTTTTTTTTTCTTCTTTTTTTTTTTGTCAATTTCAAAAGACAAACTGTACAGCTTACCAAATGGCTGCCTCTTAAAGAGGCAGTGTATTTTGGACAGGGGCAGGAAGGTGGAAAAAAAAACATCACCGTGGAAGACAACGACTGGGCCCAAAAAAAAAAGGATTATTTTTTTCTCTCTCTCTTCTCCCCCCCCTCCCCCGGTTTTGCTGCAGAGATCAGCCTGGACTTTTCACGCTGGGGGGGGGGGAGAGAAAAATAAAAATAAATAAAAGACTTTTCTTCAAACTTCTTCCTGAGCAGCGAAAAAAGTCGGACTTTTGACACTGACTCTTTCACGTAGCTTCGCGCTCTCGTTTGTTCGGCGTTCACATTGCATATTCTGGTCCTGTTTTCGGTGTCCTTATAAACAAAAAAAAAAATCCTGTTTTTAAATGTGCCAAGTTGTATATATCTTAAACCTTTTTTTTTTCCCTTCTCTCTCGTGTGATTGTAAAGCAATATGGTAACTCTCTCTCTTTCTTCCTCCCTCTCTTTCTCTCTCTCTCTCTCTCTCTCCATGTTTTCTTCTGGAAGGACCATGGTCCAACCACTGTACATTTTCTCGTTTGACTATATAATTCTTGTTTTGATCTTAGTTTTGAAACGACAACGGAGGAAAAAACAAACAAACAAACCAAACGAAAACCCACGGCGCCATTCCATTTATTAAACCTGAGGATTTCAACGGTTTAAAAAAGGGGGGGTTTGGTGGGGGGAAAGAGAGAGGGGTTCCCCCCCCCCCGGGATCAGGAGGGATTAAACAGGAGGAAAAATAACGACAGCCCTTTGAGGAAAAAGAAAAAAGAAAATATTTTATTAAAAAAAAAAAGCAAAAAAAGGCAAAAGAGGAGAACTGTTCAGAATATTTTCTTACTGTAGAGAAGCGATTGTATAGCAGAACTCCAGAGTATGTAATACTCAACGTTGTGTCGTGCGGGCGGGCGGGACAAACCACAAAAATCGCATGTTTTAAAAAAATTAAGGGGAAAAAAAATAATTTGTTTTGGAGTTGTGCCGACGAGTTCGAAAATGGGAGCTGACGGGGGGGGATTTGTCTCGAAATGGTGTCAAACACTAAAGAAAAAAGAGGTTTAAAAAAGTCCTTTTTTAAAAGAGAAAATAATAATAATGTTTGATGTTGCCGATGATGGAGAGAAGAGAATAATAATAATGTTGATTTTAAAAAAAATAATAAAAAAATAAAGAGTGCTCAGACGTGATATGCGAGATACTTAAAAACTTTGCCATTTTTTTGTGAAAAAAAAAGAAATCTTTCTTTTGTTGAAAGAGTAAGTAAAATAAATAGATAAATAAAAAAAGGCGATGATTTTTAGACAATCAAATTCTAGAGAAGTGCGAAGAATTTGTGTTGGCTTTTCCCCCCTCTTTTTTTCTCCCCCCCATCCTTTCCCCCTTTCTTTATTTTTAATCAAAAAAACGATTTTTTTTTGCTTTGTTTTTCTTCAAACCGGTTGTAGAGAATTGCTGACTTTTTACGACGAAAAAAATAAAATAAAACAGTGGGGTGGGAAGAGGGGAAGGAAGGTTATTTTGTATGAATATTAAAAGGAGACAGACCGTGGTTTCACACCCTGATTGCTGATAGAAGCCCAGGTTAAAATTAAAAAAAAATGAAAGAAAAAAAGAAAAAAGCACTACATTTGTGGCAAAGTGGAGAATAACAAAACTCTTTTTAGTCTGCATGGGACAGGCCGTGTGGTTGCTGAGAAGAATTGCTGCTAATATATTTCCTTTTTACAAAAGCATATCTAAATAGACCATTGTTTTGATGTTAATCTTTGTAAATTATGTATTACCAATTTTAACATTGGATGTAATTGCATAAAAAAAAAAGCCTGCATCTCAGATATTGAGAGATTCTAGTATTAAATGGAAAAAAAAAAAAACATGTTTCCTATTTACGGTTTCAAGGTGTTTTCATTTTGTATTTGTTTTTCAGCGTTCGCTAATTCTCCGTTTCCTCCCAGTTTTAGCTGCCATTTGACCTCCCTTTGGGGAGGCTTCGTTAAAACCGAACGAGCTAAATTACAGGTAGTCCTCGACTTGACGACCGCAGTTGAGCGTTGCTAAGTGAGTTTTGCCCCGTTTTACGACTTCGCTTGCCACCGTTGTCACAGTCAATCCCTGCAGTTGTGAAGTTAGCCACACGCTCATTAAACAAGTCGGGCTGCCCCCCGTTGACTTTGCTGGTCGGAAGGTCGAGAAAGGACATCGCGTGACTCCGGGATGCTGCGACCGTCGTAAATATGAGTCAGTTGCCAAGCGTCTGAATTTTGATGATGGATGGATGGATGGATGGATGGATGGATAGATATAGAGATGGATAGGTTGGTAGGTATAGGTAGGTAGGTAGATAGATAATAGGTAGATATAGATACAGATGGTTAGGTAAGAGATTGATGTAGACATAGAGATGGATAGGTAGACAAAGAGATGGCTAGATGATAGAGGTAGGTAAGTAGGTAGATAATAGATGATTGATAAATATAGATGATGGATAGATAGATAATAGGTAACCTTTATTGTCATTTTTTTACTGTGGGCACAATGGCACACATTAAAAATGAAATTTAGTTGCTTGCTCTCCAAGTGTACATACACATATACATAGCACACAGAGCTGTTAATCCATGGAAAACTGTTCCTTTTACTGGGTGAATTTAAGCCAAAGTTTCTCCGTCGTGCTGCTCGCATCCTTTGCATTTTGGCAAGGAGGCCGATTGTAAATCCATGGCCGTAGCCTCTGTCCTCTCTTCGCACTTACATGCAGGGAGTCCTCGGTCTACGTCCACAATCGGGACCAGGATTTCCACGCTAAGCGAGGAGTAACTCAGCCCTGCCCAATTTTTTAAAAAAACTCCACCCCTTAGAGGCTAAATTTCTAGCTTAAAAGGAGCCGTTCTTACAACTCATTATGACATCTTAACGGCCCCAACTTTGCATTAGGACAAGCCGATTGCAACTCCTTGCAAAAGCATTGCCATCAGCGGTGTCGTTCCTATTTTTTCCACTTTTGAAAAATTTTCCAAGAAATACATGTACGGTTCATTTAGACCCCGTATAACCCCACCCCTAAGTGTAAAAATTAGGGCAGAAAAATTCAACCTGGCGTGCGAATCCTATCCGGGAGACGAAAATAAGCGTGTTAATTCAACGTTCCTTCCACAAAATTGGGGAAATGCATAACAATAAACTCCTTTTCTTGATGCTGCGTTTCACAGAAGGTGGTAGAAAGGAGGATAACAGGGAGGATAAAGAATGCAAATGTTCCTATTTTAACGTGTGTTTTTTAAAACCTCAAGAGATAGAAAGCTAGCATTGCAGGAAGAGACGTATTCCGTCCTGACGTGCTAGCTTTCAGAGAGTTTTATCAAGCCTCTCGCAGTTCAGCCTTCAAAGATGAAGCTGTAATTTATTTTATTTCATCCTAAAACTTAAAAGCTCCTGATTGAGCTGTGGATCTGGGGTTGAACTGGACCGCTGGGGAATTCTGGGAGATGGAGTCTACACATCTTACAGTTGCTAAGGTGGAAAGACTGAACTAAACTACAGGTAGTCGACCTTAAGTCCACACTGGGTCATAAGTTGGGGACAGTTGTAAAGTATGCTACCTGGGGGATTCTAGGAGTTGAAGTCCACCCCTCTTAAAGCAGGCTGGCTGGGGGAATCTGGGAGTTGAAGTCTCCCATCTTCCAAGTAATCAAAATTGAGAGGCAAAGCTTTTAAAAAGGTGTTATTTTCACCCCTTACCATCAGAGGGAGCCAAAGATACATCTCGTGAGGTCATACAATCCGAATTCAGATTCATTTCTCAAACATTGCAAAGAGAGGAAAAAGCAAATTAAAAGCAAAATTCTCCAGCAGGCCACAGCTGATTCCTAGCAACAGAGGGCAACAGAGGGCAGTATGCAACATCCTAGCTTGTTCCTCCCCGTCCATCTTTCTTTAGGCAGGCCTTCGGACCAGAAGCAATCCAGATAACACAACTGCTGGTTAAATTGGCTCACCAATATTGTCTGAACGATATTTTTATTTCCCTCTCCAATGTACAGGTCATCTTCTAGAAAGCAGAAAGAGGGCTGATTCCGGATGGGACGAACGGACAAGATCGTTTGGGAAGAGCGTGCAGTGGCCAAAAAATAATAATAATAATAATTTAAAAAATTAGGCTCCTTAGATACTTCTCTTCCAGTTAACCCTAGCAATACCGACAGCCCTCCGCTTCCTCGTTGACTTTGCTTGGCAGACGGTCACAAAGGGGGATCACGTGACATCCCCCCCCGGAGACGCTGCGACCGTCATAAATACGAATCGCTTGCCAAGCAGTCTGAATTTTGATTCACATGACTCGGGGGGAATGCTACAGTGGTTGTACCGTACATGTGAAAAACGGTCATAAGCCACTTTTGCGGTGTCGTTGTAACTTCAAACAGTCGCTCAATTAACGGTTGCAAGTCTGTATTCTTTTCTGTTTCGTCATTTAAAAAAAAAAAAAAAAATCAATAGCCTGGATGAGAAGTATCCATTGGAAGCCAAAATTCTGATCAATAAATTTGAAAGGACATTCCCTCCGGCTTTAGAAGCAGAAGGGGTCAAACTGAGCCTACCGAAAAAGATTAAACTATATATATATATGTATATTATATCTATATATCTATATGTATATATCAATTTCTCTATATGTACACAGGTATATGCAATATACACATTGCAGGAAACGCTCTTCTGGGGCTGTGCAGCAGACGAGGGGGCGATAAATAAAATAGATAAAAATCAGAAATTCCAGGCGGGGAAAAAGTGGAAACTGGTCCAGCTCCCCCCCCCCCAAATACTCCAGGTCCTGGGGTAGCCCATCATCCCTGGCCAGCTTCTGACGGGGAGGATGGGCCAGTTCCAGGTCACCAGGTTTGAAAAAGCAGAGCGAAGAATTTCAAAAGAGTGTAAATCTTCCATGTCAGTCATTGCAAATAACCTTTGGTGATGCTTTGGCTGTACCGGGAAGCTTAGCTGCTTTGTAATTTGTTGTTGTTGTTTTAAACAGTTTGGAGGGTCGGCTGGATTCTCCTTCCTTTGGATCACCTTCTTCCTGGCCTGGACCTCCCCCGTCAGATGATCAGGGAAGTGTAGCCCACGTGGACGAGGCCTTGCCGGCCTCCGGAGAGGCACTTCAGCCAGTTTTCATCCACCGTCTCCATCACTTGCAGGATCTCCCCTTTGCAAAAGGCCAGGTGTCCAGCAGCCTCACCTGCGTGGTCACAGAGGGCCCGCACAGCTCTGGAGGGAGGGAGATCAAGGAAGCCAACATAAGTTGGTTTGTTTCCTGATACCCCTACTTTCCTTGTTTTTAAAAGCTAACTCAAGGTGGTGAACCTACTTAATGTTCCTTCCTTCCTCCTGTTTGCCCCACAATAACAACCCTGTCAGGTGAGTTGGATTGGGCCCAGGGAAGGAAGGACTGACCCAAAGTCACTCAGCAGCTCTGGTGACTAAAGTGGAACTAGAACTCGCCGTCTCCTGGGGATTGGCCCCAAAGTCACCTAGCCGGCTTTCGTGCCTAAGGCAGGACTAGAACTCACACTTTCCGGGTGATTGGGCCATGGTCACTCCGCCGGCTTTCATTCTTTAAAGCAGGACTAGAACTCCCACTCTCCTGGTGATTGGCCCAAACTCACCCAGACGGCTTTCATGCCTAAGGCAGGACTAGAACTCACCCTCTCTTGGTGATTGGCCCAAACTCACCCAGATGACTTGCATGCCTAAGGCAGGACTAGAACTCACCGTCTCCAGGTAATTGACCCCAAGTCGCCCAGCTTTCATTCTTAAGGCAGAACTGGAACTCACTCTCTCCTGGTGATGAGGCCAAAATCACCCATCTGGCGTTCACACTTAAGGCAGAACTAGAACTCAGGACTTCTACCCTGGTGCGTTAACCACCAGACCAAATGAGCTCTAGCTGCAGGCCAGACTTTGGGGTTGGAAGAACACCAACGGACCTGGCAGGATGCGCCCATCAGCCGGAGGTTTGTCCAAGGCAACCTCTGAATCCCGGCTGAATCTCAAGACGTAACGGTGTCCTTTGAAAAGGCTGGCATGCCAGCTAGTTCAGGCTTCGGAGTTTTTGTTTCCCACAGATGCTTCCCAACAAAGCGCCAACTTACGTGTAGGTCTGTACTGGGTCTGGGGGATTCTGTGCCCCCTCTGCCTTTTGCCAGGTCTTCTGGGTCGGCCCCCCCTTCTTCGCGAAGGCCAGCGTGTTAATGGCAGAACACAGCCATCTCGAAGGGCGCCTGCTAGACAAGGAGACACGGACGGGAAGGGCAAAGGGGTCGTTATTGCTCATCCTTTCCAAAATTGCCCCACGGATCTAGATGTCCCATAGGGATTGAAGTCTCCTTAAGGGTGGGAAAAAATAACCCAGTAACTCCTATGTACTCATTTTCATTTTTAAATTTAAATTTTCACAACCAAAGGATCTTAAATTTCAGAATTTTCCCAGCGGGAGAGCCAAAGCTTCTAGGCCTTAGCAAGGCCACATCCAGACAGGCGGCCCAAACCCTCCTCATGTCGATTTTTCAAAGCTAAACTCCCTTTTGCCACCCCACGCCTAACACATTTAAGGGGGGGTCGTTCCTCAGAGCTTATCGGGGGGGGGGGCAAATGTAGGGCCACCCCCGACACCTACCTGGACCGAAGTAGATTCGGATCCGTCTCGTTCACAGCCCCGGGAGAATTCGCTCCAAACAGCCAGTCCAGCCGTCTTTCGTTCCCGTTTCCAGCCTCCGGTTTCTCCTCGGTTCCTTCCAGATAGACTTCTCCTGCCTCAGGGGGATCCATTCCCGGCTGGGAGGGGCTCCTTGCCGCCGGGGCGTCTTCCTTGCAGACGGACGACCGTTTTTCTACCTGGGAGTCGTTTTTGCCAAGTTTGGGGCATTCTTCGGCACTGGCACCGCTCTCTCCGGCTGCCGTCCGGCTCTCCTTAATGGCCACCCACAGCTTGGTCCACCTGCTCGGCGGCTGGGCTGGGCTCTCCTCCTGCCCGGGCTGGGCCCAGGCCGGGCTCCCGTTGCCACGGAGGGTGCTTGCCAGCCGCTCCTTCCAGCCCAGAAGTCTCTGGGGCAGGAGCCATTCCTGAAAGGGGCTGGAGGGAGCCAAGAAAGCATCTTCCAAAGTGGCAAAAGGAATCGGGGGCTCGGATAAATCCAGCGGGGTCAAACCGGGGCTCTCCCACCGACCGGCTCCGGGTTCGGGAGACGGGGTGCTTGGCTGGGGCATCGGCCGGACGCTGATGGGCAGGTGGCGATGCTCAAAGAGCAGGTCCAGTTGGAAGGTGAGGACCGAAAGTGGTTGCAGCAGGAGAAGGAGCTCTTCGGCCCAACGGGGGCAGATCCTCTGGCTTAGAAGCAGGAAGGCAGTGGGCAAATACAGGGAGGAGACCAGCTCTGTTTGGGGGGGGGGGTAGAAATGGCAAAAAAAAAATCGGTCAGAAACTTGAGTGGAAAAGGGAGCATCTTAAACGGGATAATGAGAGGGTTCGGGACAGGGAGAACGAAAAGCAGAGAAAAGAGCAATGAATAGCAGAATATCAGAGTTGGAAGGGACCTTGGAGGTCTTCTAGTCGAGCCCGCTGCTCAAGCAGGAGACCCTATTCCACATGGCTATCCAGTCTCTTCTAGGAGGGAGGGAGGAAGGAAGGAAGGAAAGAAAGAGAAAGAAGAAAGAAAAGAGAAGAAAGAAAGAAGAAAGAAAAGAAAAGAAAGAAAGAAACGAAAAAAAAGAAGAAAAAGAAAGAGAGAAAGAAAGAAAGAAAGGGAGGGAGGGAGGAAGGTTGAAGGAAAGAAAGAAGAAGGAAGAGAGAAAGAAAGAAAAAGAAAGAAAGAAAGAATAGCAGAATAACAGAGTTGGAAGGGACCTCGGAGGTCATCTAGTCCAGCCCCCTGTTCAAGCAGGAGACCCTATCCCATTCCAGACAAATGGTGGTCCAGTCTCTTAAAAACCTGCTCTAAAACCAGAGTTTGCGACTTAGCTAGACTTAGAAGATTGTGAACGGAGAATTCAGTTAAGCATCCCCTTTCTGGAAAAAGATGCACACACACACATACACACACACACACAGAGACAGACAGACAATCTGACCTACCTGAGTTTCTTTGCAGCTGTGTGAACCATTCCTCCACTTGCTTCAAGCTAAGGAAGAGACGGAAGAGGGAAGCATTTAACAACAACTAACACCAGAATTCCCACGACTAAACCAGGCCGCTGTTAAGCGACTCACATCCGACTTTACAATTTTGTTAAGCGAACGAACCACTGAAACACTTAAGCGAAACCAGCTTCTCCCCTCGACTTGGCTTGTCGGAATCCAGCCGGGAAGATCGCTAAAGGGGATCACGTGATCCCGGGACGCTGCAACCCGTCATGAATATAAACCAATTGCCAAGCACCCCTATTTGGATCACGTGACCCTGGGGATGCTGCAACGGTCGTAAGTGTGAACAAGTCCCAAGTCACTGTTTTGAGTGCCGTTGTAACTTGGGACGGTCACTAAACAAGCTGTTGAAGCACCTGTCTCTCTTTTAATTTCCTATTTTGGCCCTATTTTTGTACTCGTTTGTTCTTTTGTTTTCCTCATCCTCTTTTCCAACCCCTCACCCCCTTTTTTTTCCTTTTAATGGCGCGAGAGGGACGGGCCACTTTCATCTCAAATCAGCAGCCAGCAGCGGCTTCGAAAATGGAAGCGGTCCATCCCTACCAACTTTGCAATCCCTCCTCTCTGCTCCCTTCTCCCGTCTCGCACCCTCACTCACTTCAGAAGACCCAGGATAAAAGCGTGGAAACATTGGTGGTGACTCCGAAGCGGGGCCAGCCGTGACACACGCCAGTACAACGCGGTGAAGGTTCTGGTGTGGGCACCTGGGGAGAAAAACCAGATTCAGACGCCTTTGCAATGCCGTCCGTTCGCTTCGCGGAAGTCTCAGCCGGAAAGGTATCCTTGGGTGTGAACGAGGGTCTTGTGTCAACCACAACAATTGTGTGGGGGGGTTTTCCACAACCCCACGGGAAAATTCTCCCGCCCCCCCCCCCCGAGTCTAATTTTTAAGAGAAGGAACACCGGAATTAAAACTACACATACCACCTTTCTTAAGATCTCCTGGTCTTAAGTTTAGCCGAATTGCCCAAGTTAGATTGAGGGTATGAGGAAAAGTTATATTATGTCGCTGTATTATTTTACCTGCTCGGATCGATCATCTGCATTACCAAATGTATTCCTTTGATGTAGAATTCCTCCCCAACTCCCTCCCTCCCTCTCTCCCTCTCTCTTCCCCCTCCTTCTCCCTCTCCCTCCCTCGCTCTCTTACCCTCCCATTTTGCCTTACCAAATGTATTCTTTTGATGTAGAATTCCCCAACTCTCTATTTATCTCTCCCTCCCTCTCCCTCCCTCTCTCCCCTTCTCTCTTCCCCTCTCTCCCTCTCTCCCTCCCTCTGTCTTCCCCTCCCTCTCTCCCTCCCTCTGTCTCCTTCCCTCCCTCTCTCCTTCCCTTTCTCTCTCCCTCTTTCTCCCTCCCTCTCTCTCTCCTTCCCCCCTTCTCTCCTTCCCTTTCTCTCTCCTTCCCTTTCTCTCTCCCTCCCTCTTTCCCTCTCCCTCCCTCTCTCTCTCACACACACATACACACACAGGGACCACAATCCACACAACATAGCCCCTTCTGCTTCTCTTAACCTCCCATTCCCAAACTACGCCACCTACCCGGCCTGGCCGAAGCTTCGACGACACTCCATGGAGAGCTGGGCCGGTATCCTGTGATGACATCCTTCTGAAATGGCTTCAGGCCGTCGCCCACCAGGGCGTGCAAGGCGGGGCAGAGCGTGTGGAGGATCAAATGCCCCACTTCGGGGGTGAGCTGGCTGTCACCCAGCTGGGCCTGTGGCAGGAGGGAAAGGACGGTGCCAGCGACTGGCAGCTGGGGAAGAGCCAATAGCTCCCCCTTCCTCTGCTAATTGCTAATTAACATATCCTAATTAACACGCACATCCTGCCCGCCCACCTTTTTAATCCCAGGAGCCAAATAAAAGCCCACATGGTAACCTTGGCTTCCAGCCGAAACTGCGAAAGGCTGTTGTGTGATACACACAATTCAGGCGTTTCCAAAAAAGATGTTTTGTGTCCCACTTAGATGTCGCCCCCTATTCCGTTGTGCATACAAGCAGTCCTCCCTTTACAGCCATTCGTTTAGTGACCATTTAATAGTTACGGCACTGAACTGACCTTTTGAACGAGGTTCCGGGCGGTGCTGAAGTGAGCCACGATTTTGTCCACGGAAGCACTGACGGCCACCAGCAGTGCTAGGAAGAAACAGATGGTTGAGGAAGATGTCGGGGGGGGGGAGACCCAGTTCTGGGGGAGTCATGAACCCCGACTTATGGATGCATTCTGAAAGTTGACCCATCTGAGGTCCTTTGGTTCAGAAATTCTTGCCCAAAGATGCACCCTTTGGTCCATTTAAAAATTACATGAACAAGACTTTTAATTATATGTAGAATTTTTTCTTTCTCTTTCTTTTTTCCTCTATATATCCCTCTATCCATCCTTCTCTCCCTCTATCTCTGTCTGTCTGTTCATTAATCTTCCTTCCATTGTCTGTCTATCTATCTATCTATCTATCTATCTATCTATCTATCTATCTATCTATCTTACATCTCCATACCTTCCTTCCTTCCTTTCTTCCTTCCTTGTCTGTCTTTCTGTCTCTCTCTCTGTCTCTCTCTCTCTATCTATCTATCTATATCTCCATCATACCCCCTTCCTTCCTTCCTTCCTTCCTTCCTTCCTTCCTTCCTTCCTTCCTTCCTTCCTTCCTTCCTTCCTTCTTTGTCTGTCTACCTACCTACCTACCTACCTACAATCTTACCTTTTTTCTGTTGTCGAAGCTGTGTAGAGACTGCGTCTCCTGTCCTCGCTGGGCATCTTTGGAGTGAGACTCCAGCAAAGGACTGAGAATGTCGAACTGGGGGAAAAAAAAGACAAAAGAAAAAAAAAGTGGAGAACATAAGAATTAACCTGCCTTAATATACTGATGTGCTCCTCTGTGGGCACGATTTACGAATTATTTAATCATTTAACCTTCTTTCCCCCCTCCCCCACTCCTCCTTTCTTCATCCCAGGAGGAGCTTCATCTCCTTCTCTTCCTGGTGTCTGTTTAAAACTTTGCCAGATCCGTAGAAAAAGACAGTGTCAGGGTTAGATCTGAGGCAGGTCTTCTTATCTGGGTTAATTCCAGGCGACTAGCCAAGTCCAAAGAACATCCCTTTGCATTGCAAGGTCAAGCTGATGTTTGAAAGCAGAGTTTTCCCAGCTTTGGCAACTTGAAGACTGTGTGGACTTCAACTCCCAGAATGCGCCAGCCAGCAGGGGAATCTTGGGAACTGACGTCCATGCGTCTTCAGCTTGCCAAGATTGGGAAAACTCCGATTTAAATAGTCCACTTCAGGAAGAGATTTCCAAGGCTTGTTGAGAGTTCAACTTGGTGGGTTTTCCCCGATGTCAGTTTATTAAATCAGAGAAGGCTAATTTTAACTTCCAAGTTTTCTCACCGAGACCACTCCCCCCTTTTGGCTTTTTTAAGAGTCCTTCCCTCCCCACTCTCAAAAAGATAGGACCCCCTTTGGAAAGGGGCGATCGTAAAGAGTCATGGAGGAAGGAGGGAGAGGCTTACGTTGGCGAGGGGCTCCCGACTCCTCGGCTCTCATAGTGTCCTGAGAGACTCTCCCCCAGGGACCCTTTCCACCCTGCTTTCCAAGGGGGTCCCGGGCTCCAAGTGACAGCTCGGACACCTGGTGGGTGGGGAAAGCTAAGATGGGGAAGGATTTGCTTGAGGGGAAGAAAGGAGAGAACAGCACGGCCAGATCAGGACTGTTGAGGAAGGGGAGCAGGCTCCGAGCTGGGGGGGAGTACGCCCCGATGGGCGAGAGACGGATGGGGAGATCCGGAGACACCGCCTCGAAAATAGGTCCCTGCGCGGTCGCCAAGAGGCAAACGTCTTCGCAGGACAAGGTCTTCAGCCTTGGACAAAAGGCCCCTGCCGAAGGGTCAGAGGGCAACTCGGCCACTTGCTCCAAACGGTGAGGGTGGGGAAGTGGAGAAGCGGGTCCAGCAGCCTTCCCCCTTGCCGGGGGCAAAGGGACGAGGAGACCCCGAGGCCGAGAGGGGACCTGGTGAGCTGCAGGCAGTGGGAACAAAGGACGAGAAACGGTGAAGAAGCCGGATCAGAGTTGTGAAAGAGCACAGCCGGGGTTAGGCGAGACCCAGATGGATGAAGGATTTTGGGGTGGGGGTGGAGTGGGGTGGAAAGAGGTATTGGGGAGCCGGTGGAGAACATGTGGATGACGGAGAAAGAAAGAAGTGGGGGTGGGAAAGCAGCAGCAAGAAAGGGGTACGAAAGCCGGGGTACAGATGGCAGAGACAGGAGGGAAGGAAGAGAGGATATGAAAAGAAACAAAACAAAACAAATGTTAATTCTGGACAGCACAATAAAACAGACATATCATGGGGGGGAGGCACAGCCCACCCACCCACCCACTCACCCACAAAGCCAATACCTCCACCCCCCCAATTTGGAAGCCTGAAATTTGGACTACAATCGCCTTCATTCCCGGCTGGGTGACAGCTTCCTTATTAATCTCTGCAGCCAAAGCCTACAAGGCAGAAATTGAGGAGGGAGGGTGTCCATGCATGATATAGAGGTCAAAAAGCCCCCTCTGATGCAAAACGGGGGGGGGGCTGGACTCTGTTTGACCACTTGCTCACTGGGGGTTACAGGGAAGACGAGAGCAAAGCCACAATTAACCCCGATTGTCAGGTTCAGCTGCTCTCCTCCTGCTGTCAAAGGAAGCAAAATTCAGATTACCTTTTTTTTTTTTTGGAGGTTGGGGAACTTTCTCTGTTTTCTGAAACAGATAAAGGCAGCTAATTCGGATTCCTGAATTTGGAGTTCTGTGGTCCTTTCGGCCAAGACCCCCTCCCCGTGGCTCCTTCAATAAAGGCAGGAAGTCAGCCTGCAAACAATCCAGCTTGTTTGCAAGAAAAGGTAAATAAGGAAGTGCAGCAGGAGAAAAGCGAAAGCGATTCCTGGAGAAGCAATAAAATTTAACTTACTCCCAGGGAGGGTGGGAGGAGCATTCAGGAAGCCCCCCCCAAAAAAAATCAAAACAAAAAACCAAGGGAAACAAAAGCCCAGCCAAAAATTCCCAGCAAAATTTCCTGTTTATTTATTTTTTCTTATTCTTTACAATTAATGTCTTACCCTTATAGCTGGTCGCACAATTAACCAGTTGTTGAGACTGGATTTAGCATTTTTAGCCTTCCAAGTGGTATGTGATTATTTCCTTTTTGTTGATTGCCTTATTATTGATGGCAACTAACCAAAGGGAGAACCAGCCTAGAACTAAGGAGAAATTTCCTGACTGTTAGAACAATTAACCAGTGGAACTACCTGCCTCCAGAAGCGGTGAATGCTCCAACACTGGAAGTTTTTAAGAAGGGACTGGACAGCCTGTGATTCTGTTATTCTGTTTTCCTTCCTTCCTTCCTTCCTTCCTTCCTTCCTTCCTTCCTTCCTTCCTTCCTTCCTTCCTTCCTTCCTTCCTTCCTTCCTTCCTTCCTTCCTTCCTTCTTCCTCATCACTGGAGGCTTTTAAGAGACTGGATAGCCATTTGTCTGAAATGGTGTAGGGTTTCCTGCCTGAGCAGGGGGTTGGACTACATGACCTCCAAAGCCCCTTCCAACTTTATTATTATCATTGTTGTTGTTGTTGTTATCCTACACAAAATAAGGTGAGATAAGATAGGAGAAGAGCCTAGGGACTAGAAGCTTTATTTGCCCATCGCCAGGTTGGGGCATATATGTTAAATTGCTCTCTACAGATGTGGGAAAGCAAAATTTTGCTTCTCTTCCTATAAGTCTCTTTGGAGACCATGGGATGGGCGTTCAAACCTCCTTCTATCAACTCATAACCCTGCGAGGTAGGCTCAGCTTCCAATCTCAGTCAGATTTTGCATTCAGGGTCTTTTAATATTTCGACACCCCCCCAAAAAAAGATCCAGTCTTTTTTAGCTCAAACCCCCCCCCCCCCAAATACAATCACAAGAGAAAGGAAAGGATCTTATACAAGGGACATTGGCAGGGAATGAAATGGAGAAAGAAATGAAGGGAAAGTGTGTGTGTTGTGTTTGTTTTTTAAACACCCCCCCTCCCAAGAATTTCCTCATTTCCATTTGGCTCAGCGCTGTGGATGATGGGATTAAATCCAGAGTTAGCGTCAACCTTCTGCTCCGGACTGACGGAATCCACGACGGGATTATATAAATCGGTCGGAAAAAAGAACCCGACTTTAAATTTCGTTTTGAATCAGCAGAACGGAAAGGAAATCCAATCTAACCCCGCTGTTTTTTTTTAAAAAAGAGTTCCTAATTAAGCTCCTGATTATTCCTGAATTCCAGATAAAAACCCCTTTTTTCCCCCGCTGGCAAAAAAAAAAATAAAAATTCAGCCCACATTTAAAAGCAGCCTTGCAAAATTTAACCCCTCCCAGTTTTCCAAAATTCACCTATCGGATTGACGGAGCAGGGAAAAAGCTTTTTTTTTTCCAGATTTTTGTGTTTGTTTTTTTTCCCACACCACCTTAAACCAGAAGAGAGGCAGTCCTCGACTTACGATGACAGATAGGACCGGAACTTCCATCGCTAAGCGACGCGGCCGTTAAGGGAGTCGTCGCGCAACCGTGTCCCGATTTTTATAACCTGTTTTCCCATGCCCCCTTTCTCCGGTCTCCCTTCCCTGCTCTGCCCCTTCCCGATTCGTCATTAAGTGAATCCGGACTTCCCCATCGGACTTTGCTTTGCTGGAAGGTCGCAAATGAGGATTAGGTGACCTCGGGATGTGACTACCATCGTAAACACATCCCGCCTGGATTTGGATCACTTGACCGCAGGGAAGCTACGAGGGTCAAAAATATGAAGTGGTCCTCTGTCCTTTCCTTCAGCACTGTCATGCCTTCAACATCAAAACGGTCACTAAATGAACCGTCGTAAGTCAAGGACGACCTGTACCTCAGCTTTAGCACTCAGGCAAGCTTCCAACTCCCTCCCACCCTCAGGTGGATGAAGGTGAGGAAATAAATAGGAGTTTTTCTGCCCTCGATTGCCTGTACAAACAGTCTTCAACTTACAACAATTCATTTAGTGACCGGCATTGAGAAAAGCGACTTAGGACCTTTTTTTTCACTCTTACGACCGCTGCAGTGTCCCCGTGGTCAACGGGATCAAAATTCAGATGCTTGGCAACTGACCCGTGTTTACGACGGTCACAATAGACCCCCCCCCAGGGCTCATGGGATCCCCCTTTTGCGACCTTCTGACCATCAACACGACCATGTTGCTCATTGAACAAGCTGGCACGGTTCACTTAACAACGAGGAAGGTCGTAAAAGGGGGCAACACTCACTTAACGGCTGTCTCGGAAAATTCGGGCTCCATTGCGGTCGTAAGCCGAGGACGACCCGCATACAGCAGCCTCTCCTGCTCTCGGAATCCTGGCTCGCATTCCCGTTTCTCGCTCGCGGGAATCCTGTCCGTCAATCAGTACAAGCGGCAGCGCCTTACCCGTAGGGACCCGCGTGTCACCCGTCTCGGCCTTCCTGCAGGCGTCAGGACCCCATCTCGCCTGGGCTTCCGTCTCCAAGGGTCTCCCGAGAGGGTTCGGCTTGACCGCTGCGTCTTCTCCCTCCTCACAGCCTCTTTCCACAATCGGCTGAAGAGCCAGCCGAGACCTCTTCATCCGGGCTGGGATTTCCTTGGCGCCCCACAAATGTCCATGGGCTGCGGCCTCTGAGTCGTTCCACTCTTGCCCGGAGTGACCGTCGGGAACCCCTTGAGCGGGACTCTCCCGCTGGGGGCCTGGGTTGCCCACCTTGGTGGCCAGTTGGCTGTTCTGCTTCCGATAGCGGAGGTCCTTGAACGTGATGACCCCGCGTTGGAGGCTAGGAGGTGAAGGCTCCCCGGAGGAAGTGGGGGGCTTGGCGGTTTCCTGCCTGGTTGCCCAGGAGAGTTGATGAGACGGGGGCATCTCCGTCTCCGGGGAGAAGACAATCAGCCAATCGCTTTGGTCCTTCTTGGTCTGGAGAAGTGGAGGCGCCACGGTTGCCTTCTTCCTCTTCTGAGCCAACTCGTGAAAGGAGGTGATGGTCTTCTTAGGCGTTTCTCCTTGGGGTTCACTGGGGTGGTGCAACGAGGACTCAACTGGTGCAGGACGGACCAGCTCAGGAGATGGCTTTCCCCCTTCACTTCTTTTCAAGCCCTGAAGAGCCCTCTTGGTCCGAGGAGGAATCGGAGGAGGCACGCCTCCAAAACGAGAGCCCACTGGTCCGGTGGCCCGGTTCGAGTTGATGTCCACTTGCCCCAAGGAGATGGGGTTGGGCTTGACCTCACGGGCTGGGAGAGCATTGCAGTTGGAATCCACCTCCGGGCCACGCGGGGGGACCACCGGCACCGCGGGAGGTGCCCTGCAAGGGCGGACAGGGGGTGGAACGAGAGGAGGAACTTTGGTGGACCCAACATGGGATGACCTAACTAGGCTTTCCGGACAAGGAGGAGAGTGGTCAGATGGAGAATCTGGGGAGCTGCTGCTGTACAGACTATCTGGGCTGTCCCAGATATGGGCCTCGGGATGCTCACCCAGGGGGGCATTAAGGTTTGGACCTCTCTCTTGGGGGTGGACCAGAACATTCTGCGTGTCCTCCAAGGGGACGATATTGGGTTGGCTTTCTGGACTTCGGGCCTGTTCAGCAGGGAACGGCTTGCAATACACCGAGACGGGAGACTCGTCCAGGCTGAGGTCTGAGCAGCTGCTGATGGACGAAGAAGTGGGATCTGAAGGAGATGCTTCCTCCTCATCCTCCTCTTCTCCTTCCTCAACCTCTTCTTCTTCTTCTTCATGGTTCACAGTTGGGCAGTTGGTCAAGGAAGATGGCGTCCGGAGGCCCCGCTTGACCTCAGACGAGACTGGGTGAGCCTCACAACACCGGCAAGTCAAGGAGGGGTTGTTGGAGTTGGCGTCCACCAGGTTTGGCACCAGGTGACCGCCATGTTCCTCGCATTCGTGGCAGACCGCATGTTCCCTGGAGGGCGCCAAGGTGTTGGCATCTTCCTGAAGTTCCGGCCGCTTGGAGAGCTGCAGCCCCAAGGAGACGTGCTGCAAGTGAACGTGGTTTAAGTTGCAAACCAGGCTTTGTTTGGGAGACTGCATGGCTCCGGAGCGCGCGGAGAGAAAGGAATGAGAAGCCGGGACCCCGTCCGTCACTTCCGCAGGGCTGTCTCTGAAAAGGAAGTTCAGATGCCAGGCGATCAAGGAGAAAAGAGAACGGTAGGAAAAGCAGGTGGGGAGAATGGAGGAGGAGAAAAGATAGCATCGTATGTTCAAGTTTTCTATTCCTTCTTTCCTTGCTTCCTTTCTCCCATCATTTATTTATCTGTTCCTTTCTTCCATCTCCATCTGTTTATTGCTTCCTTCCTTCCTCCCTCCCTCCCTCCCTCCCTCCCTCCCTTCCTTCCTTCCTTACTCACTTCCTTCCTTACTTCTTATATCTTCACCCATTTATTTGTTCCTTCTTTCCTTTTCCATCTCCATCTGTTTATTTTCTATCTATTCCTTCCTTTCTTTTTTCCTCCATTTATCTATTCCTTTTCTTCATCTCCTCCTCTCCTCTCTCCTTCCTTCCATCTCCTCCTATCCTCCTCCCTCCCTCCCTCCCTCCCTCCCTCCCTCCCTCCCTCCCTTCCTTCCTTTCTTCCCATGAGCTCATTACACTTGTAGAGCCCCACCCCCAACCCCCCAAAATCCATTTGCATCTTAAATATTGGCAGATACAATCTCTGTGTTGGACATAGCTAGTGCGTTAAGCTGTTCCTCTTCTATTATTCATCAGCCGGATAATATATACATAATATATAGTGTTGTTCTTGTCATGAAAAGGAATGTGTTGTAGAAAGAATATCTATTGTGTTGGTTTGGGGTTTGATTATACATACATTCATACATACATATATATATATATATATACATACATACATACATACATACATACATACATATATATATATATATTTGTTTTCTGAGGTTTTCGTGGGTATTTGTATATAGGTCTTTGGTTGTTCGGGTTTTCTCCCGCGTAAAATTGGAAGTGTCTTGGCAACGTTTCGACGAAGTCCCATTCGTCATCTTCAGGCTGGTGTTTTTAGCTTCTTGCTTTGAGCAGGAAGAAACAGCTAAGACCACACATTGCTGCTCAAAGCAAGAAGCTAAAAACACCAGCCTGAAGATGACGAATGGGACTTCGTCGAAACGTTGCCAAGACACTTCCAATTTTACGCGGGAGAAAACCCGAACAACCAAAGACCTATATATATATATTATATATATATATATATATATATATATATATATATATATATATCTATATATTATGTATATTTATATATATATATATATATATATATATATATATATATATATATATAATGTATACTATAATATATAGTAGAACGATAATGTCTGCAGAAGGTATGTACAATAAAGTCTTTTTTTTAAAAAAAAAAAAAAGGAGTCCTTTTCAAGACCCTGGAGTGTGTATCCCCCTTCCCCAGGTAGACTGCTCTTGGCTGGGCAGGCTCTGCTTCTCGAAGGTCTCCCCAAGGCTAATGATAAATGGGATTTACAGTCGTGCTAAGACAGCTTATTTTGTCTGTTTCAGCAGCACAGATGGGAGACAGGCTGTTGTTTGCCGTGTCTTGTTCAACCTTCACAAATTCAAGAAGAGAAATTGGGGTTCTCATGACAACAGCAGACCCCTCCCTCTTCAGCCCCTCCAGTGCCCCCCCTCCTGTTTACAGAAATCAGCCTGTCTGTCTGTCTGTCTATCTATCTATCTATCTATCTATCTATCTATCTATCTATCTATCTATCTATCTATCTACCTAATCTAATCTCTTCACTGGAGAAGAGCCTAATGCTGGGAAAGATTGAGGACAATAGAAGAAGGGGACGACAGAGAATGAGATGGCTGGATGGAGTCACTGAAGCAGTAGGTGTGAATTTAAATGGACTCCAGAAGATGGTAGAGGACAGGAAGACCTGGAGGAATGTTGTCTATGGGGTCGCAATGGGTCGGACACGACTTCGCAATTAACAACAACAACAATCTAATCTCTATCTATCTATCTATCTATCTATCTATCTATCTATCTATCTATCTATCTATCTATCTATCTAATCTCTATCTATCTATCTAATCTATATCTGTCTATCTATCTATCTATCTATCTATCTATCTAATCTAATCTCTATCTATCTAATCTATATCTATCTATCTATCTAATCTATATCTGTCTATCTATCTATCTATCTATCTATCTATCTATCTATCTATCTATCTATCTATCTATCTACCTAACTATCTAACTATCATCTACCTATCTAACTATCTATCTCAAAACCAAAAATCAAGATGGGGAAAACATTATCTGCAATTATCCCCAAAGCACTTTGCACACTAAAAAAGATAATAATTTTGAGATCCATTCTCTCTCCGGTCCATTATTTGCCCAAATCTGATTGGAGCTGCTTTGCAAATCTGCTTCCTTTGCAAACAGAGCAAAAAGCTGGTGTTATTTTCCTTCTGTTTAGATGTTTCTGCCATGTAGGTATTCCACAGAGCTGAATTCTGGGGTTTTTTTATATTATTATTATTATTTGGTGGTTTGGTCTTGCTAAAAGCTGCCTAACAAAATCACCTTAATTGGCTAGAAAAACAGTCTTTTCAGATCTTTTCAAGGGCCTTCTAAAAAAAAAAAAAAAAAAAAGACATATAAAATCCAGAAGTTGAACAACTGTACTAGCAATGGCTGGAAATTGTGGTTGGCAGAGCAGAGAAGGAGCTCAAATAACATTTCAACCCTAAACAGACCATTATACCAAAACTAAGTCAGAATCACTAAGACGGTTGTTTGAATCCAAAATATGGGCTCAAGAGTAAATCCTGCTTCAGCTAGTGATGCTAACACAGCCATAGACAACCTCTCCCCACCTTTTAATTTTAATTCCATCCCCTAGAAAGGCCCTCTGCACGAGCCCAGGAGACCCTCACCCTTTGGATTTAATGCTATGGGCATCCATCAGGCACTAAAAATCTTTTAACGGGCAGTTCTTCTCCAAATCTCAGTTTTACTATCTGGGGTTCAGCTCTGCTTTTAGCCTGGTGGGTGGGTGAGTGGTTGGGATGACTATATCAGGGAAGGAAAAATAGCAGAGGCCTGAGACCACTAGGCTGCACAGCTCAAAAGCCAGGAAGGACACCCCACACACACAAACACAAACCCAGAAAAGGAAACAACAGCCAGAAAAGGGTCGGCTCAAACAATTCTAACCAGGTTTCTGTTTTTCTTTTGGGGGGGGGTGTTGAACCCAAGCCAGCTTTTCTGCAGGCAGCCACTGCAGAGAGATGACACAGCAGGCAGCCTTCCAACTGGTAAAGGAGAGGAGTGCCCCCCCCAAATCAAACCAGGAGCAGAGATGGCAGAGAAGGTCTGGGACCCCCTGTAGCTATTTCCCAATTTCGGGGTTACCCTTTGGAAAAGACGGGGAGGGGGGCCAAGAGGAGGGAGACAGGGGAAAGGCCTTTGGGGTGTGTCCAGGGTTCGAATGGCGACGAGCTTCGCCTCCTCAACCCCCCCCCTTTCCTCCTCCCTCCCTCCCTCCCCGTCGCAAACAAACAGACTTGGATGGAGAAGCGGGAGAGGAGAGAAGCAATGCAGAGGTGCCCGCATCTGGAGCAGGGATGTGCCTTAAAAAAAATAAAATAAGGAAGCAGGTGGGGCACACCTGAAGGATGCTCAGAGGGGGTTCAGCCGCATCAAGGAAGCCGGGAAGACAAGCCAGGATCTGCCCTGGTTTATCTCCTGGAAACTGTCATCCATCCATCCCCAGCATTTCCAAACACAAAGCTGCCCTATTTTGGGGGGGGGGAGGGCAAGTGGGTGGGAGTTCCTGCTGCTGCTGCTGCTGGATGTCAGCCTCAAGGACACTCACCTGCCTCGGGCGCTGTCTGTCCGTCTGCCTGTCTGCCCTTCCCCGGTCTCTGCTGCAGGGTCTGGTCCTGCCCAGCCCTGCCCAGCCGTGCCCACCCTCCCCAGGCTCATCTCAGCCCAGCCAAGCAGGAGGAGGAGCTAAACCCAGCTCACATTGCCATTTCTCCCCCCCACACCCACACACATCTTTAACTCTTGCCATGCTAGACTAAATTGGCATCTCCACGTTTGCAGAGATGCAAAGGGATCCCCGGAGGTCATCCATCTGAACCTCCCGTCGGGATGAGCTATGAGCAGTTCAGAATCTTTTTCTGGGGGGGGGTTAATTTGGAGATACAGAGATAGAGATAGATAGATAGATAGATAGATAGATAGATAGATAGATAAGAGAAATAGAGAGCGGTGAAAGACAGAGAGACAGAAAGAGAAAATGAGAGAGACAGAGAGAGGGAAGGAAACAAAGAAAGAGATGAGAAAGAGACGAAGAGTGAGAAAGACAAAGAAAATGAGAACAGAGAGAGATGGACAGAGGGATGGAGAGAGGAAAGGAGAGAAAGAGATGAAGAGAGAGAGATTGAGAGAAGAAAGGAGAAAGAGACAAGAAAGATGAAGAGAAAATGAGACACAGAGAGATGGGGAGAGGGACAAGAAAGAGACAGAGAGAAAAAATGAGAGAAAGAGAGAGATGGAGAGAGAGAGAGAGAGAGAGAGAGACTAGTTCTGGCCCAAACAAAGCCAAAACTAGCGGGCTTGAGGTCCCATTTGGGATGATGAAGTTGAGATTCTGCCCCAGGGCAGAAAGTTTATGGTGAGCCATCTTGATTGAACAAACTGAGTTTAAAACAAGCCACGGTTTGGCTTGGATTCAAGCCTGCAGCTTGGCGCTTCCCCCCCCCCCATCCAGAGTTTCTGCTAAATCCATTGGAGGCTGACCTGCCTTTATTTTAAATTTGTTTTTAACGCCTCGCGCAAACGCACACACACACATGCCCCGTGCAATTGATCCACGCTGCTGTCCCCCTAGGAGTAATAATTGCAGGTGTCTCGCAAAGACCCACACATCTTTTAGAAATAAAATATATCCCACAGTCGAAGGAAAAACACGCAATCGCCGCTTGATTGCCCTTTGCAACACACAAAAATCCGATTTGAAATAATTTATTGGTACAAAGTCTTCCAAGCAGCCCTTCAAAGATCTCACAGCATCATCTTAATAATGGATGGTGAGTCTCATCCGGCATCGAAAACTGGCACCATTAATATCCCAGCAGCATCTCGTCCTAAAAATCCCTGGAGTACAATTCCAATCACCCCCAACTGCGACTTTAGTGGCAAGGATCCACAGCCCCATTTGAGGTTAGGGAAGGATGAAAAAAAAATGGGGGGAAAAAGCAGCCTGCATCCCTTAGAAATACGGCTGGATTTTCCTCCGCTGAAGCAAAATGAAATCTACCAAGTCTTCCTAAGTAACACACCTATCGAAAAATAAAATAAAATCCCATTGAGAGGGTAACCGAAGGAAAATATTCCTTTTTTCCCCCTCCCCTGTTCCTGCTGCCGTTCCTGAATTAGCTCACAACCGGTCTAAGAAATGTTGTTTTTTTATCGCTAGTCCCAGCTTTTACAAAAAAAATAAATTCAGATTTCTTTGGAAAAATTATTTCTGTCTCTTGTAGATTTTGTTGGCCAAATCAAGGAAGATCTGGCCGGGCAAATGGATGGCGTGCTGGGCAATTAAAGCCATGATGTGTTGGTAGCTGTTTTCTTCGTAGTTTTTATAAACGGCTTTTAGATCCTGTTCCTCATAAAGAGCCTTCACACGATTAATTTTCTCCGCTTCCTTTTGGCCGTAATTCTCCTACGGAATTCAAAAAGTTTTGGACAGGTTAAGAGTTCATCTAATAATAAAAATAATAACAACCACAACAAAATTGGAAGGGACCGTGGAGGTCTTCTAGTCCAACCCCCTGCTCAGGCAGGAAACCCTATCCCATTCCAGACGGTCATAAAACGGGGCAAAACTCACTGAACAAGATTCTCGCTTAGCCACGGAAACTGTGGGCTGAATTGCGACCGTAAGTCAAGGACTATCTTGAGACATGCGAATTTCCAGAGGATAGGGGGTATGTATGACCATTTGGGGTCAACTTCAGTGGCAGTTGGAAAACTCAGTTTGTTCTTTAACTAGCCAAGTTACCTCCAAAATCTTTCTCTGCTCCGGAGATGCCAGTTTGAGGCTCTGAACCACCAACCAGCTGCATTTATTATCCTGAATATCTGTTCCTATCTTGCCGGTCACTTTGGGGTCCCCAAAATTGTCGAGGAAATCATCCTGCATGGAGAAATATATATATATATATATTAATCTCTGGAGTTTCTCAAGCACCAGCGTAGCTGTCATCCCGCAGAGGACTTAAAAGATTTCACGTGCCAAAAGTTTTTGCAGACCTGTGTCGTTCCCTTTTGCATGGATATCAGACTCTGTATCTTAATGATAGGTTTTGTGTGGCCAGGTTTTGTGTGGCTGCTGACAATCAGCCCAAACCAGTTGCAAAATGTCCTGTTTTTCTTGCTTTATCCCCAGTTTGGCCAAAATTGCTGCAATCCCAGGAATCCAGGCAGAGACTGGTCAGTTAAAACTGAATTTTGCAAACATTTCTCTCTACCAAAGGCAGATCAACTCTCCTTTGCTACGCGGGTAGGAATTTAAGCTAGTAGATGCAGTTCTAGTTTTTCCAATAGAGGGCCTTCTAAGAACACTGGATTGATTTAGAAGCCCAGCATGTTTCTAGTCCTGATGGAGGCTCCTTTTGCAGGGGGTGGGGAACATGGAACGAAGGGAACTCACCAGCTTCACTTCTCCGAATCTGGATGTCCCATGTTCAAATCCCAAGCAATCTTAATTTTTTTAAAAAAAAATTATTATCAAATGTATTTGTCGTGCGTTTCTTGACAGAAAAGTGGCAAAAATGGTACCTGGATTTGAAAAAATTCCCCCATCTGGACAAGGATGGCCTTGGCATGAGCGTGCTCTTCCTCACTGTCGATGCCAGCCTAAGCGAGGAAGAGGAGGAGAAAGAAAAGTTTAAAGACAGACTACATGGATAAACTTTACAACAGGCAATGAATAAGACACAACTCTTAATTTATTTGCCTGTTCCTCACCCTGAGCTGGGATTGCAGCTGTATTCATTTATCTTTTTTTAAAACCATTGGAAAATGTAACGCAGCTGAACGTTTTTCTGCCTGCTAATAAAAAAAAGCCTTAAACTCACCATATACATCGCAGCCGCCACCGGTAAATAAAAGGAATAATATGCCGTTTTGTGCTTCACAATTGCTTTGTACCTGCCGAGGGAAGCAGAAAGCTTCAGCGTTTTGGAAGGAAGGAAGGAAGGAAGGAAGGAAGGAAGGAAGGAAGGAAGGAAGGAAGGATAACAGAGTTGAAAAGGACCTTGGAGATCATCTAGTCCAACCCTCTGCTCAGCTAGGAAACCCTATCCTATCTCGGACAAGTGGCTGTCCGGTCTCTTCTTAAAAAAACTTCCAGTGATGGAGCACCCACAACTTCTGGTGGCAAGCTGTTCCACTGGTTAATCGTCCTCACTGCCAGGAAACTTCTCCTTAATTCCAGGTTGCTTCTCTCCTCGATTAGTTTTAAGAAGTTTTAAGAAGACTCCTTGAAACTTTCAAGTTTTAAGTGAGCACCTCCAAGGTTTGCGGTGCCCCCAAATTGATGCAAAGAGTGAAGGGTTTTAGGGGTGTGTGTGTGTGTGTGTGTGTGTGTGTGTCCCACTGCCCCAATTCCAGCCAGCCAGCCAGGCCTTCTCCTCTTGAATACAGCTGGATTTTTTTTCAGGTAGTCCTCGACTTAACAACAACTGACCCCCCAAATTTATGTTGCTAAGTGGACTTTTGTAAGTCGAGGACTTACTGCCAAGCCTTCTCACCTTTCTTCCGTGAAGGAATCCAGATTGATCTGAAACAGGTCCAAGGTCTGGCCCAGCTCGGTCTGGTAGGTCGACTGGGAAAGAACAGGACAGAGAAAAGAAGAAGGAAAAAAAGATTAAACGAAAAAAAAAATGATTAAAAAAGGAGGGAAAAGACCAGCAACGACCTCTTCCCATCGCTTTTTTGGGCTTCCTTTGTTTATTCCATTTACACCCCAACTTTCCCCATCAAGGGCTCAACCTACTCACCGCTCCCCTCCCTCCTGTTTTGCTTCACAACCACCTTGTGACTTTACGTGAAGCGTTTGCAACGGGGAGGATGGTTTGATTCCCGGTGGGATCTTAAAATCAAAAGGGGATGAAAACCCAGCCCAAAGAAAATAGCCAAATTTAATGGGGAGGAGGGAGGGTCCTCCACGAGGGACAGGTGTAGCTTGGGGTGCTGCTACTCACCTGGAGGAAAAGCTCCATTAGATTCAGATAGTAGGGCTGCTCACGACAGTGTCGCCTCAACAGCTGGTAAACGCTGGATTCCACAAGGAAGGCATCGTTGATGGCGTCCAGGCCGATCCCTTCCTGCCGGAGACGACGCAAAAAAGCAAGAAGGGAATCACCGGGGAAATCAAGTCACCCAGTTTTGACTTCCTTGCAAATAAAAAAAAACAGCATCTAAATCAGTGGTTCTCAACCTTTTTAATGCCGCGACCCCCAACCGGTCGAAAGTCGAGGACTACTCAACCGGTCGTAAGTCGAGGACTATTCAACCGGTGCAGCACCGTTTGCAGACTGGGACTTTTGGCGGGCTCAGCAGGGCAGAGACAGCCTGGACAATTCCTATTGGCTTTTGAAAGCCAATAGAATTAGACTCTATTCAAGAGAGTCTATTCTATTGGCTTTCCAAAGCCAATAGAATAAAAGGGAGCAGCACAGCTAAGGAAAAGGGGGAAAAAAATGGCGGACTGTGTTGTTTGGCGACCCCCATGAAATGGTCGTTCAACCCCAAATGGGGTCCCGACCCACAGGTTGAGAACCACTGCTTTAAAGGATCAATTAAAAAAAAAAAATCAGAATTGTCCCTAGGTGAAACAGCAGCCGGAAAAAGGGGGAGAAAAAAAAACCCAGAATTTCCTCATCTTTGTGGCAGGGATGTTTGCATTTGGTCAAATTACCTGTCTGTACCAGCAAGGCCGGCCGCGGCGGGTCAAAGAAGAGTCCATAATATCATCCGTAATTAAAAAAAATGCCTGGAGCTGCAATTAAAACAAAAAAAACAAAACAAAAAAATCAGATGTTGCCGTTTTCCCACTCTGTCCAAGAAAAAAAGAAATTCTTTCGGCTTTGCCAATCAGGACCTAAATTTGGGAAATCGAGACGTTGAGGACTAGTAAGCCGAGAAGGCTGAGGCCCACAGGGAAAAGCAATTCCCCTCCCCCAAAACTCAGCCTTTCGTCAAAATCCACCCCATGGTTGCAGATGAAGGAATTTACCAGTTCAACACACCAGCCCACAACGAGGGCAATGCGGAAAGTCTTCGGGTCCGGCTGGTCTGGTTTGGCTAGTTCCCGAAGAGCAGCCACCACGGTTAGCCCGCGGTTGTATTTCCCACCAACGGCATTATATTCGATCACCTATGGAAAAACAAAAGATGATAAGAAGAAGAAGGAAGGAAGGAAGGAAGGAAGGAAGGAAGGAAGGAAGGAAGGAAGGAAGGAAGGAAGGAAGGAAGGAAGGGAAAAGAAGAAGGAGGAGGAGGAGGAGGAGGAGAAGAAGGGAGGAAGGAGGAGGAGGAGGAGGAGGAAGAGAAAGGAGGAGGAGGAGAAGAAGAAAGGAAGGAAGGAGAAGAAGGAAGAAGAGGGAGGAAGGAGGAGAAGAAGAAGAAGAAGAGGCGGAGAAGGGAAGGAAGGAAGGAGAAGAAGGAAAGAGAAGGAGAGGGAGTGGGAGGAGGAGGAGAAGAAGAAGAAGTTGGAAGGGATCTCAGAGGTCATCTAGTCCAACCCCCTGCTCAGGCAGGAAACTCTACACCTTTCCAGACAAACGGCTGTCCAGCCTCTTCTTAAAAGCTAGGGAGGGAATTGCAACAACTGTGACTAAGAAGAGATCCCGCTCCTGCTGAATCCCACCATTTTTTGGGATCTCCTCTTAGTCTCCAGCTCGCGCCCCTGTGCATTACAGGTGGTCCTGCAGATCCCAACCGAGCCCTAAATTTTCGTCGCTGGGCGAGAAATTTGCCAAGTCAGCATTGCCCCATTTCCTTGTCGCGTTTGCTACCTGAATCGCTGCCGCTGTTAAACGAGGAACAACGGTCGTTTTAAGTGAACCCCACTTCCCCCTTGACTTTGTCAGGAGGTCGCAAAAGGGGATCACGTCACACACACACACACACACACACACACACACACTCACACCGGGACAATGCAATTGTCATAAATGTGAGTCCGTTATCACGCATCAATGTTCATGGGGATGCTGCAACGCTCGTCGCTGTGAGCAACGGTTCCTTTTGCAGCATCGTTAAACGAACTCCTGGTTTTTAGCCCATCTTGATTTTTTCTTGTTTTGTCATTTCTTGCAAAACAGGAAAGAAGATTCGGGCCTCACCCTTTTCAGCCTGGTGACGGCATCGGCCACTTCAGGGACGTGAAGTTCGTTTTCCAACAGGTCTCGGACGATCTGGGGGAAGAAATGGACAAATTCTTCCTTGTCCGTAGCTGCCGGTTGTGGTTTGCCACCTTCGCTCATGTTTTTCCGAGAAAAGAGACCTGCAGGAGGAAAAGGGTGGGGTTAAAAACTATTGGCAGGCGCCTTATCGGCCTGGGGCAGCTCCGTGGATTTAAATCCGGTTTTTCCTGAGTAGATAAATCTTACCCATCTGTTTATATAAGAAAGGAAACTGTGGTCCTGTCTGAGCTGGGCGGTTTCCTTGCAGACGTTTCATGACCCAGCTAGATAACGTCATCAGTGCTAGAAGGGAAGGGAGTTGGAGGAGGAGGAGGAGGAGGAGGAAGACTATTGTGGGGTCCTTGGTGCTCTCTAAGCTTGGTGCTTTTCTTGCAGACGTTTCATGACCCAGCTAGGTAACATCATCAGCGCTGGAAGGGTAAAGTCTTTTATTTTTTATTACATTTTAAGCCCTCTAGAGTCAGCCCAAACAGCGAGATGGGTGATATATACATTTAATCAGTTAAAAAAAAAAAAAAAAGCTCTGAGCTAACGATCATCCCCATTTCCAGTTTTTTTTAAAAAAAATAAATTACAGTAAAGAGATAGAGAATTCGAAACAGAAAAAAAAAAACCAAGCTTCTTCAACTTTTTTTTTTTTTTTTTTAAGCATTTCTGCTTGCTATTCTTTCAGTTTTGGCCCTCTTTCCATCTTGCTAAACTGTCAAAAATGGGCAAAAAAGGGTTATTTTGCAGGAAGGGGGCACCACCCGAATTTGCAATTTTAGCATTCCCTGGTCATCTGTTCAGGCTGGTACAGTGGATCTGGCACAAATCAGGGGTTCAGCTAGATGACCTTTGAGGTCTCTCTTAAATTGTACAATGAATTCCCAGTGCTTTTATTCCCTTGCTCCCGTGAATGATGGGAACCTATCAAATGGCCTTAAATCCTTATTAAAGATTTTTATTTTTAAAATCTACACCTTAATTTATCGATTGGAATGACGGGAACCTATCAAATGGCCTTAAATCCTTATTAAAGGATTTACACCTTAATTTATCGATCGGTGTTCAGTCCTGATGAATTTAACGAACAGTCCTGGGGGGGGAGAATATATCATAAATCTGGCGGTTTTCTTGTCTTCCTATAGCAAATGAAAGAAATCAGGATAGGCAGCTCACCTTGTTTTGCGGGGGGAAAAATGGGTGAACCAAAAGCCTTGCTGAAAGGCGGAAAAACAATCCTGCCAGGTAGGAAAGGATGAGGATGACTTTCGTGGTTGATTGTAGCTTCCCAAGGCGTCCTCCAAAAGCCTAGTGCAGAAATTAAAAGGCAGCGTTTGCGATTCGCTGCCAAGGTTGCAAATATCATGTGGACTAGCCACTTAGCCCGAATTTGTTTTGGCAAGGTTATTCTGAAAACGGCCGCTTTGGCCAGAAAAGGGAACAGAGATTCTAACAAACAGCCACAGTCAAATCAAAAATGCGAAATAATACAGACAATTTTTAAATGCAACCCTTACCTTTTACTAAGCTTCTAAGCTTATCTCGCCACTAAAGACAGATTGTAGCCCCGTTGCCCGGTATGGTTTTAATTCCTATTGCGGCGAAATGCGCTCTGGGTTTTGTAGTCCTCGCGGGCTCAGTGCTCCGCAGAAAGAACGCAGGCGAGGACTACGGCGCCCAGAAAGCCTTGCGGGAGAAAAAAAAGAAGAAGAAGCGGGCGGGGTAAGTATATAGACCATAGCAGCGTCATCCTCCTGATTGGCCTTCTCCATCGGATGAAGATGGGCCATGGAGATGGGAGCCAATCGGAGACGGGGAGAGGAGGAACTTGAAGCTCAAGGAAACTGTGGATTGGCTTAAAGGGGCAAAAGGGAGGAGTTGGAAGATGAGGCGGCTTCCTCGTTCTATTTCTGAATAGATTAACCTTATAGGGTGGGGAAAGAATTAGAAAGGGTGCGATTTATTTTCTTTCTTTTTTCATTTTCTTTTTCTCCCTTTCTCTTTATTTTCTCTTTCTTTCTCTTTTTCTTTCTTTTTCTTCTTTCTCTTTTCTATTTGTCTTTTTCTTTCTCTTTTTTTTCTTTTTCTTTTTCTTTCTTTCCCTTTCCTTTTCCTTCCTTCCTTCTTCCCAATTTCTCCTCCCCCCCCACTTTCTCTCTCTTTTTCTGTCTCGCTCTTTTTCTCATTCTCCTTCTGTCTCTTTCTCTCCTTTTCTGTTTTTGTCTTTCATTTTTTTCTGTTTCTGTCGCTTGTCCTGTTGTTCTCTTTTTCTCTCTCCTGTTCTTTTTCTGTCTCTTTTTCTTTTATTCTCTCTCTCTCTCTCTCTCTCACACACACACACACACACACACACACACTTCCCCTAACAGTGTGCCAGGCCTTTCCTGCCTAAAATACTCTCTCTCTCTCTCTCTCTCTCTCTCTCTCACACACACACACACACACACACACACTTCCCCTAAAAGTGTGCCAGGCCTTTCCTGCCTTGAAAACTCTCTCTCTCTCTCTCTCTCTCACACACACACACACACACACACACACACACACACTTCCCCTAAAAGTGTGCCAGGCCTTTTCTGCCTTGAAAATACTCTCTCTCTCTCTCTCTCTCTCTCTCACACACACACACACACACACACTTCCCCTAAAAGTGTGCCAGGCCTTTCCTGCCTTGAAAACCTCTCTCTCTCTCTCCCCCCCCCCCTCTCTCTCTCTTTCAAGGCAGAAAGGCCTGGCACACTTTCAGGGGAAGTTGCCTACAGTTAATACCGCCAAAAATATTCAGGGAAACTGGTTTGGAAAAGAGAATTAGCCTCAACTGCTCCTGTTTCTTAATTGCAAGCTCTGAACAGGAGACACAGGCTGCTGCTGTTGCTGCTGGGTGTGGTTGTGGGTTTTTTGTGCAGGGGTGGAAATCTCGCTGGGAAAGGGGCTGGCCCAGAATTCGTAGACCAGCAGTCTTTTCCGCCTTGCTTATTACACTTCCCCAGCAGTCCGGAGAAAGCAAGAAAAAAAGGGGGGAAATAAACAGCCCTACAGGCCTGTATGACCTCTGTCTTCTTTTATTTTCTCCGCAGGGGCCTGGGACCAGGCTGTCCCTCCCAGAGGCAGGGGGAAGGGGAGGGCTGGGAGCAAAGGTTGAAGGCTCCAGTTGCAAAAACAGGGTGGAGATGGGTGCCCTGATATTCAAAGCTGCTGTAATTATTTTGACCTTTCTGACAAGCTTTCAGTTGGGCGAGCTTTGCCCCAAGGAGACCATGGGGAAGGCTTCAGGTTGCCGTCCAGTGCTTTTCTGCTTGCTCTCTCTCTCTCTCTCAAATTGCAGAGGGAGAGGAAAACCGGCTCAGATCTCCCTGGATCGCATCCAGAGAGGTTTGCAAAACTGGGCCCAGAGATTGCAAGGGAAATCGGCTGGAGCCGAAACGTACGAGGAGGACTCAGTCCCAAGTCACATTTTTCAGTGCTGCTGTTGCAAAACTTCGAACCGTCCCTAAATGAATGGTTAACACCCAGAGAAGTAGGGAGTAGTATAAAATAAAAATAAACAAACCAAGGACAGGAAGTTATCTGTGACATTGCTGGGTTTGATACTCTGTACCAAAATGAGGCTTTTGAAATTCACCCAGATTTGTTTCAGAGTTCTTGCTGTGTTCTTTATTTTCCCTTTTCCCTCCCTTGCTTTCCTTTCTTCCATCCCTCTCTCTTTCCTTTCCTTTCTCCTCTCTCTTCCTTTCCTTTCCTTTCCTCTCCTCTCTCTTCCTTTCCTTTCCTTTCCTTTCCTCTCTCTTCTTTTCTTTTCTTTTCCTTTCCTTTCCTTTCCTTTCCTCTCCTCTCTCTTCCTTTCCTTTCCTTTCCTTTCCTCTCTCTTCCTTTCCTTTCTTTTCCTTTCCTTTCCTTTCCTTTCCTCTCCTCTCTCTTCCTTTCCTTTCCTCTCCTCTCTCTTCCTTTCCTTTCCTTCTCTATTTCCTTTCCTTCTCTATTTCCTTTCCTTTCCCTCTCCTTTCTTTTCATCCCTTTCCCTCTCTTTTTCTTTCATCCCTTTCCTTTCCCTTTCCTTCCTTCCTCTATCTTTTCCTTTCCCCCTCCCTTCCGTCTCCTCTCTTCCCTCTCTCTCCCTTTCCTTCCCTCTCCCCTTCCTTCCTTCCTTTCTTCCCTTCGCTCCCTGTGGCATTTATTTCCTTCCCTTTGTACTCTGTTCTCTTTGCTTCTCCAGATTTTTATTCGCTCCTTCTCCCCCTGTGGAAACCAAAGAAACGCATAAGGAATGTTGCCTGTTCCCAGGCACTCTCTGTCTCTCCTCCCCCTCTCTCTGGGTTGGCCTACCTCGGAGGGCTCCGATGAAGATAAAAGGGGGAATCCCCCAGCAGGGCTTGCTGCCTGCAGCTTCGGGACAAAAGGGAGAAATCCTTCCGTTCTGCCAGAGGTATACAACAATTAGGATAAAAGTAGGATTGGAGGACAGAATAACAAAGGCACTTTGCGGGAGACGAGCTTGGAAGCTCCACAGCTTCCCTGATGGCGGATGCTGTGGACTTGGGACTTCGATAGTAACTGTTTAACTAGGAAAGTCAGCATTAACTCCCAGGTGTAAACTGGCAAGAAGCTTTAGAAGGAGGAGAAAGATGGACGGTGAGTCCCCAGCTGGGCCCGGGAAAAGGGGCCGGTGGGTTTCTCAATTGCTCTCAAGGCCGGAATGCAAAGCTGGACCTCGAACACAGAGGAGGAGATTCTGCCATAATTATACGTGGCTCAGTAAGTGAGCCCGGCTTCATCCTTTCCCGCTCTCACCAGCAGGTGCCGGGATCCAGCTCCACAACATGGCTGCCTTGGCCCAGGAGCTGGGCACGGCGTTCTTCCAACAGCAGCAGCTCCCCGCCTCCATGGCCGACACATTTTTGGAGCACCTGTGCCTGCTGGATATTGACTCCGAGCCCATCATCGCCCGGAGCACCAGCATCGTTTGCACCATTGGTGAGGGGTCGCCGGGAGGCGAAATGCATTGTGGGAAAGGGATGGGGAAGGAGAGGGACCGGCACACACACCTCCCTCGGTGGCCCCTGGGCAATTTTGCAAGGAGGATGCTTTGGGCAAAACCGAAAGGGACGTAGAATTGCAGGGTGGTGGTGGCAGGGATTGCCCTGGCAGATTGCAGGGGACCCTGACAATTTTGAGGGTCTGTCTTGCCCTCAGGAGGCCCCCAGAAAGCAGTTTCCCCCCCCTCTCTCTCTTTCCATTGTAGGCCAGCATCGCAGTCGGTGGAGATGTTGCGTGAAATGATCAAAGCCGGCATGAATATCGCAAGGCTGAATTTCTCGCACGGATCGCACGAGGTACCGAGAAGGGAGAAATTAGAGGGGAAGGAGAGAGGAAGGAAAGAGCAAATTAGAGGGAGGAAAAGGAAGGAAGGAAGGAAGGAAGGAAGGAAGGAAGGACAAAGGATCAGGGAAGGAGGGAGGGATTAAAATGGAAGGAGAGAGGAAGGAGGGGAGGAAGTGGAAGGAAAGGAGAAAGGAAGGAAGGAAGGAATTAGAGGGGAAAGAAGGAAGGAAAGAAGAAGGAAGGCGAGAAGAAGGAAGGAAGGGAAGAAGGAATGAACAGGGAGGGAGGGATTAGAATGGAAGGAATAGTGGAAGGAAAGGAGAAAGGAAGGAAGGAAAAAGGAAGGAACAGGGAGGGAGGGATTAGAATGGAAGGAGAGAGGAAGGAGGGGAGGAAGAAAGTGGAAGGAAAGGAGAAAGGAAGGAAGGAACAAATTACGGGGGAAAGAAGGAAGGAAGGAGAGAAGAAGGAAAGGAAGGAAGGAAGGAAGGAAGGAAGGAAGGAAGGAAGGAGGAGGCGGCAAAGGGGTGCAGACCTTGAATTCAATTTCATTTCCTTTCAGTATCACGCAAAGTCCATTGCAAATATCCGGGAAGCAACCCAAAGCTTCGCCACAAATCCTCTTTTCTTCCGGCCCGTGGCCATCGCTTTGGACACCAAAGGCCCTGAAATCCGGACAGGGTTGATTAAAGGGGTAAGACGGAGGGATACATTTAAAACTTCTCCCCCCCCCCCGCCATCCCAACTGGGGTTGTTAAGCAACCCCAATTGTTAGGAGAGTAACACTTCCTTGCATTCTGCTCGCAATCTTTTTTTCCAGGGCGAGAACAAAGAAGTAGAACTGGTCAAAGGATCCCAATTGATCGTGACCACCGATCCGGCCTACCGGGACCAATGTGATCCGCAGACAATTTGGGTGGATTACGCCAACTTGCCGAAAGTCGTTAAGGTTGGCGGACGGATCTTTATTGATGACGGGCAGATCTCCTTACTGGTCAAGGAACTCCGTAAGTGTTCTCCCATTGGGCGGGTGGATCCCTTTGCCTCCTTAGACCAATCTTGGCAACTTTAAGAGGGGTGGACTTCAACTCCCAGAATTCCCCAGCCAGCATGCTTTGAGATGGATGGACTTCAACTCCCAGAATTCCTCAGCCAGCATGCTTTAAGAGGAGTGGACTTCAACTCCCAGAATTCCCCAGCCAGGCTCCTTTAAAGTGGATGGACTTCAACTCCCAGAACCCCCTAGCTAGCATGCTGATTTAAAAAAATAAAAGTTATTTTAAAGAGTATGTTTTTAAAGCGGGCATCGCCCTTCCAGATCCCATTGAAATCTTCATTCCTTATTTTGCATCCCCGCCCTCCTCACCCTCCCTCGTTTGTTCGCTAACCACTAGGTCCCGACAGTTGTGCGGTCGAAGTGGAAAACGGCGGGATGCTCTGTAGCCGGAAGGGAGTCAACTTGCCGGGGGCCAAGGTGGACTTGCCAGCCTTGTCCCAGCGGGATAAACAGGACCTGGAGTTCGGAGTGGAGCAGGGGGTTGACATGATCTTCGCCTCCTTCATCCGCAAGGCTGGTGACGTGATGGGCATCCGAGAGGCCCTGGGCGAACACGGCCGCCACATCAAAATCATCAGCAAGATCGAAAACCACGAGGGGGTCAAGAGGTAGCCTCCCCATGCTTCTTTTTCTAGACTTACAGGCAGTCCGCGACTCGCAACGCTTCATTTAGTGACCCCGATTGCTGGGGGCAACAGGCTGACTCTGTAATCCGCTTAGAGAGGGCTGTAAAGCACCGTGAAGCGGTGTATAAGTCTAAGTGTTCTTGCTATAATGGGAGATTTCCCAAAATGCCTTGTAAAAAGGATAGGGAAGCCCTGTTTTATGAGCAGAGGTCCATTATGTTTTTCTTGATGTATATATGTATGTGTTTATGTATGTATGTATGTTAGTTGCTTTAAACGAATATCCATGTGGATCACAAATGGGGACCCATGTTATACAAGAGAGATCTAATGGTTTGAACAGTGAGTTGTATCAGCTAGGCATATGTCAGGCATACGTCACTGTTTTCCGGTGTAGTTGTAACCTTGCTTGCTAAACGAATAATCGAAAAATTGAGGAGCACCTGTAGGCTGAGCTTGGCCTGTAATCTTTGATCTTGTCTTGAGGTTTGATGAGATCCTGGAAGCCAGCGATGGCATCATGGTGGCTCGTGGGGATCTGGGGATTGAAATCCCCTGCGAGAAGGTGTTCCTGGCTCAAAAGATGATGATTGGCCGGTGCAACCGTGCGGGCAAACCGGTGATCTGCGCCACGCAGGTGAGCTGTACGAAATGCCACAGCTGGCGGGTTAGGCTCCTTCAACCAACAGGTGGCGCTGTTTCCTAGGAAGGACCGAAAAGCAGGACCTCTCTGGGCAAGTGGAAATAATTGAAGATGGATAGAGATGGTGAAAGGTTGAGATGCGTGGACTTCAACTCCCAGAATCCCCCAGCCAGCTTGAATTCAGTTGGATGGACTTCAACTCCCAGAATCCCCCACCAGCTTGAATTAAGTTGGATGGACTTCAACTCCCAGAATCCCCCAGCCAGCGTGAATTAAGTTGGATGGACTTCAACTCCCAGAATCCCCCAGCCAGCTTGAATTAAGTTGGCTGGACTCCCAACTCCCAGAATCCTCCAGCCAGCTTGAATTAAGATGGCTGGACTCCCAACTCCTTGAATTCCATAGCCAGCATGCTTTAAGAAGGGTGGATTTCAACTCCCAGAATCCCCCAGCCAGCACACTCCTCCTCACCCTGGCCTCACAGTCTCGGCACTTGGGGAGCTAAGATGCCCCTTTCTTTCGACAGATGCTGGAGAGCATGATCAAAAAGCCTCGTCCCACCAGGGCGGAGAGCAGCGACGTGGCCAACGCCGTCCTGGATGGGGCCGACTGCATTATGCTGTCCGGGGAGACAGCCAAGGGGGCCTATGTGGTGGAGGCTGTGCGGATGCAGCATGCGGTAAGGCGGCCCTTCCCTTTGGGAAGCGGAAGCTCACTAGCCAGAGGTTGACCTGGGCAAGGCAGAAGAGGAAGAATGGAGGAGGAGGGAAGAGGGAAACGAGCCAGGAGCCTAGCAAACCAGGAACCTGAGAAGCAAAATGTTGATATATGAAAGGGTCCTGGCAGAAGAGGAAGAATGGAGGAGGAGGGAAGAGGAAAACACACGTTTTTCTACGTTTTCTTCCCCCCTCTCCTTAACGCACAGATCGCCCGAGAGGCCGAAGCCGCCATGTATCACCAGCAGCTCTTCCAGGAGTTGCGGCGCCTGACGCCCTTAAGCCAAGATCCGACCGAGGTGACCGCCATCGGTGCTGTGGAGGCCTCCTTCAAATGTTGCGCGGCGGCCATCCTTGTCCTGACCGCCACCGGCAGGTGAGAAGAGGGGTGGGGGAATTCAAGAGACAGGAGGAGATAGGGCTCTCCTTACTTGTTGGCGGTAAGGAGCAAAGCCCCGGATTCGAATTTCCCACACAAATTTGGTGGGGGTCATTCTGTTTCCGCTTTCACTCTGGATCTTCCCTCCCCCCCCAAATCCAGGTCTGCGAAGATCCTCTCCCGCTACCGGCCTCGGGCTCTCATTATCGCCGTGACCCGGGACGCACAGGTGGCCCGCCAAGCTCACCTCAGCCGCGGTGTTTTCCCGGTCGTGTGTCACGGCACTAAGCAGGGCACCTGGGCGGAAGATGTCGATCGCCGGGTGCAGTTTGGGATGGAGATGGGTGAGTTTCTGGAATTTGAGTTTCTGAGGAAATCCTTAGGCCGTTTGTTAATTCTAGGGCTGGCCGATATCTCACCGGTAGAGAAGACCCCACCGGTTGAATGAACATATTTTGCCAGCAGATATTCTATGGATTTCTCTCTCTCTCTCTCTCTCTCTCTCTCTCTCTCTCTCTCTCTCTCTCTCTCTCTCTCTCTCTCTCTCCCCCCACCCTCCCTCCCTTTATTCTATCCATCTATCTCCTGTGTGTCTATGTCTGTCTCTCATCTCTTTTCCTGCCTCCCTTATATATCTATTCCTTCCTTTCTTCCTTCCATCTATATCTTCTTTCTTTCTTTCTCTTCCTCTCTTTCTCTCTTCTTTCTTTCCTTCCTTCCTCCCTCCTTCCCTGCTTTTCTTACCTATCTACCTACCTCATCTATCATGTCTGTCCATCCGTTCAAATATCTATCTATCTATCTATCTATCTATCTATCTATCTATCTATCTATCTATCTATCTTCCTCCCACCCTCCCTCCTTCCCTGCTTTCCTTACCTATCTACCTACCTCGTGTATCGTCTGTCTGTCTGTCTATCTATCTGTCTATCTATCTATATCTATCTATCTATCTATCTATCTATCTATCTATCTATCTATCTATCTATCTATCTCTTTCCCTCCTTCCCTTCCTCCCTTTCTTCTCTGAGTCACCCTTTCTCTGTCCCCCCTTCCAGGCCGCGTGCGAGGCTTCTTACGCTCGGAAGACGTGGTGATCGTTGTTACCGGATGGCGGCCTGGGGCTGGTTTCACCAACATCATGAGAGTTCAGCAGGTGCCGTGAGCACCGCGCGTCATCCCATCTGAAACCTGTGCCGCCTTTTCTCCCCCGTTGCTGAAGGCCGTGCTCCCTGTGCTTTGCAGCGTGTCGGTTGAGATTTGAAAGGCTTCAACCTTTTGCTTAAAGATGTACGTGAAAAGCTCTCTTGTTGCTTGATTGGTCTCCCAGGAGGGCTATTTGCATCGGTGGGCTGGGGGCAGAGCGGATTGCGCTGGTGGGTGCGAGGTTTTTAAAATCTGTTTAGAATTATGGCTAATAATTAGGCATCAGGTCTTGGATGCCTGCACACCAGGGCTAAGAATCATTCCTTTCCTCTCATTTTCCTTCCTTCCTTCTTTTTCTTCTCCTTTTCTTTTCTCCCCCTTTCCTTCTTTCCTTTCTCTTCTCATTTTCCTTCCTTCCTCTCCAGTTCTCCCTCCTTCCTTCCCTCCCTCCCCTTTTCCCCCTCAAATTCTCCTTCCTTCCTTTCTCCCACCTTCCTTCCCTCCCTTCTGTTTTTCCTTCCTTCCTTCTTTCCTTCCTTCCTTTTTCCCTCCAATTCTCCTTCCTTCCTCCCTCCCTCCTTCCCTCCCTCCTGCTTTTCCTTCCTCCCTCCCTCCTTCCTTCCCTCCCTCCTGCTTTTCCTTCCTTCCTTCCTTCCTCCCTTCTTTTTCCCCCTCCAATTCTCCTTCCTTCCTCCCTCTCCCTCCCTCCCCCCTTCCTTCCTTCCTTCCTTCCTTCCTTCCTTCCTTCCTTCCTTCCTTCCTTCCTTTCTTCCTCCCTCCCTCTCCCCCTCCCTCCCTCCCTCTACACCTCCAGGTGTATCTATTTCAGAATATATCCTTGTACTTTTGCACATTTCTTGACTGCAAAAACACAGTAGACCTCACCCTGCTTCTAGTCCTCTCCTCCAGGCTCTTCATAAGAAACACGCGGAAGCTGGGCCTTCGAGTCTCTCTTTATTATTGAAAACTCTTGAGGTACAATGACCGAACTAAACAGAACGTAATTTTTCTTTCTTAAAAAAAAAAAAAAAAAAAAAAACAACCCCAGAAACCCCAAACAAGCTTCAAAATGTTCTCGCGATATGAAACCTACAAGCTCCGTACACCGAGCGACGCGGAGTGCAAAGGTGGCGAACCTGTCGTGGTCTTTGGTGCCTAGAATAACCGCACACGCATCCAGAGGCAGGCACGCAAAACTCACGCCACGGAGACGGGCACGCAAAGGCACACACACACACACACGCATGCGCACACGCGTACACCCAAGCTCAGAAGTGGCCGACCCACAAGGGGGGCCCCCCAACGCATTCACGCTTGGCGCTCCCTCGTGATTCGTTGGATAAAGAGGCTTATTTGATCCCATGGACTCCCTTAGCCAGCACCCATGTAGAAGAAACCCCACGGAGGCGAAACTCTGCGGGGAGAATCTTTGGGTCATCTCCAGGCCAACCAGAAAGGAGCCTGTTTTTTTTCAATCTCCTGTTTGTATGGATGGACGTTATCCTAGCCTAGGTGCCAACCATCCCCAGACAGCCCCGAATACGGGCACCACCACAACCTATCGCACCCCAGGCCAACCGAGATGAAAGGGAGCACCTCTTTCTCCACCCCCCGATGGTGTATCTATGGGGAACAGCAGCTACAAATGGCTCTACCCGATCGAGTGTAAACAAGGACTTCTGGAATGTTTTTCAGTCTACGCGATTGAATTCTCCTTCCAGAGGAGACTAAAGGCGAAGAGTAAAGGGGGTCAGGAAGGCGATTCGGGACGCTCTTGCCGGCTGCACGCAGCACAAAGGGGTCTGCTAGGTGGGTCCAAGCTGGCAGAGACCCACCTCGCAGGGACAGGATCCCTGAACAGCAAGACAAGCACCGTGACTTGCCCCAGACACTCAGGAGGGACCCCGTGGTTCTCCAGACGGTTTTCTTCCCAGCGGTGGAATGGAATGGGACAACTCGCCATTGCCGTCTTCCACCACCGACTCAGCACGGCCAACAGCTCTCTGCAGAACAATTCAATGCAGGATAGAATTGCAGCTCATCCCGCCCTTGAGGACTTCAAACTCAAGAAGGCTCAACCCTTAAGCCAGACAAAGCCCGCTGCAATTCCGTTGTCCCTCTGTGGAGTTACCCTATGTTGAATTAACAGAACCAGTTCTTAGACGCCTCCAGGGATGGAGCACCCACAAGCAGTTCCACTGATTAGTTAGTTAATTAGTTACGGAATAGAGCTGGGAGGGACCTTAGGGGTCTTCTAGTCCAGCCCCCTGCTCAAGCAGGAGATCCTATACCATCTGAGACAAGGGGCTGTCCAGCCTCTTCTTAAAAACCTCCAGTGATGGAACACCTACAACTGGCCAGCTGTTCCACTGGTAAATTGTCCTCACTGTTAGGAAGTTTCTCCTTAATTCTAGCTTGCTTTTCTCCTTAATCAGTTTCCGTCCATTATCCTGCAGCGAGTTGTTCCAAGGCAACTGAGTTGACCGCATGGCGAGTTTACCCCGGCGAGTTGTCCTAGACCCAAGAGAAGACGCCCAAGACCCATTCCCTTCCGTTTCTCCGGCTGGAGACGACGGACCAACGCCGCTGCGCACCCCCTGTCCCTTCCCCCCCCCTTGAAAATGCCCTCCCGACAGCACCAGGTACTAAAAAGAGAAAAAAGCATTTTACAGCGCGAGGGGGAATAAGATTGGCAGTTGGAGCTTGCTACGTGGTAGAAGGATCAGAGAGAAATCGAAAAAAAGTTCCAGGCAGTTAGTCTACCCTAATTCGGTAACTTGGCTGGATTGGAAAGCAACATTGGTCACATCAAAGTTTGGCGGCTTGGGCAAAGAGCCCACACGGAATGCACATCACAAACTACGGTTCCTAGGATGGCTGGATCACAGAAGCCTGTTTTCCCGGAAGAGAAGAGAGATCAGGTGATTTGTTTTGAAGGACTCGGTGACCCTGATAGAGTTTTAGGCACAAGGACGGAGAATTAGACTCTCTGCTACTAGATTATAAGTCTTTGTGGAAAGGTCCCTCGGGATATAAATGGACAGGGATAAAAGCAGAGCCACTCATGGGGCTATCTTGAACTTCTTCCGTGGCTCACGGCTTTGACCAGCTGGCAGCAAAGACCCCCACCCATTAGCTGGCAGACCACCGGCTCAAAGACACTTCAAAAGACAAGGAAACTTTTCTTGAACTGGGACGAGCCTTCCTCGTCTGTCCGAACAATTATCCGAGATAAAAAATTTGCGGGAGATCACTGTCTTCCATTGCAGGATTAAATTAAGAATACATGCTGTATTCTCTGGATGATTAATGCTTCTTGAGAATTGCACTATGCCCGTAAACCTGACTCTGACGAGAAATGGATCCTGCTCCATTCCTGGTGTTTTTACAAACGAGTTCACAGAGGTAAGTACGTTAAGAAGTGTTTCAACGGCCGTGCACAGCGCTGGAATCACTGCCGAAACATCGTTTGAAAGTGGGGACCGTTGAGTTCTTGGCTAGAACCCACGGACCTTCCTCGTTCTGGCAAATTGCACATATTCCTTGACTTAACGTCCACAAGTGAGCCCCAAAACCTCTGTCGCTAAGCGAGACAATTGGTTAACGTGAGTTTTGCCCCATCTTACGACTTTTCTGACCGCATTTGTGAAGTGAACCCCTGCAAGTTGCTTCCCATATTGACTCACTCATATTAGTCACGGGATCCACCCCGGGACGCTGCGTCCGTCATAAATAGGAGTCAGTTGCCAAGCGGCTGGATTTTGATCAGGCGACCACGGGATTGCTGCAACAGTTATAAGTGTGAAAAACTGCGCTAAGTGGCTTTTTTTTAGTGATGTCGTAACTTCGAACAGTCACAGTGGAGAACTACCTGTACATACAGGCTTGTGTCCTCACAATTGTTCTAACACAAGATCTTGGGGCTATTCTCTCTTTTTTGAGAGAGAGTTTCACGATAACTTCCTACCCTTAGTTCCACCACTGGCCTTGAGTGGGTAGACCAAGAATGCAAGTTAATGATGGCTAGTATTCTCGCGTTTTCATTTTCTCTTGTTTTTTTTTTTGTTTTTGTTTTTAAAAAAGACAAGCCTTTGGAGGGTGGAAACCTCGAAGGGCGAGTCAAGAGCACAATGTTTTCCGAAATATTAGCAGGGAAATTGGCAGTAAAGGTGTGACCAGAGCCGGGGATTATGGGAAATCGAAACCTGCTCAGTATTAGGGGACTTTGAGTCTGTCTCAGTGCAAAAATTGAGCTTAGGGCCACAGGCACCATTATAATGCCCCTCACGACAACAAAAAGATGCATTGTGGTGTCACGATGCAAGCTCCAGCCTCTTCTTGCATGGTAAGTTTACAGGCAGTCCTCGACTTAACGACCGCCACAGACCCCCAAATTTCCGACAGTTGTGAAGTGAGTTCTGCCCCATTTTACAATCTTTCTTGCCACTGTCATAAAGTGAAATGAGGAACACGGTCGTTAAGTGGACCTGGCTTCCCCTTTGACTTTGCTGGTCAAAAGGTCGTAAAAAGGGGATTGCGTGACCTTGGGATGCTGCAAACCATCGTAAATACGAACCCGTTGCCCAGCATCTGAATTTCAATCACGTGACCCTGGGGATGCTGCCGCGGTCGTAAGTGTGAAAAATAGTCATTTTTAGTGCTGTTGTAACTTTGAACGGTCACTAAACAAATTGTTGTAAGTCGGGGACTATCTGTATTGGGGAAATTCAATGGGTTTTTCTTCCTCTGTCCACTATGGAGGGAGGACACGAGTGGTTTGGGGATAGGGCAAACAAAGTCCATAATCCCCTCCCTCTGGCTCGGAACCGGGATTTCTACAGTTAAACCCACACTTGCACAAAACATCTTGAGGTGGATATTGCACAAATTTGGGGCAAGAAGAGTGGAGAGAAAGAGGTCACTATGTCAATTATCTGGCTGTTAAAAAAGATTCCTAAAGGCAGGGGTCAGGAAAAAAACACTCCATTTTGGCATGTTCGCTAAAGTAACTGGGGGGCCCATTTTGGTGCGGTTGAAAAATGGACACACCGAACATCGTCAGGCTCAGGATTCTGGCTTCTTCCGCTGGAGTGGACTCACAACATGGTTGTGAAGGAGTTTGCTGTTGTGGTTAACTTGACCCGAGGGAATTTGCTACCCGAAGAAACCAAATTGTAGATCATATCTTGGGTATCCGATGGTTTCTGTTCCTCTTCGTAGGATCTCCGTGTAGAAACACTTCCTAGTCCCTCTCCAACGGGTTTATGCCAGGCCTGGACATCGGCCCTCAGGATACCGCGGCGTGTCTCTTTCCTTGCCCCCCCCCCAGCTAAGCCCCCAAGGCCTGCCCACAAAGGGACTAGTAGCCCTGTGTTTACCCTGGTTTCACATATGAGATGGCAGCTTCGGTTTCCCCGTGTTGACATCAGGACTGAATGCTACAGAACCCTTACGGGAAGGTGTGGCGCTGTGCCGCGCAGCGGAGGCAGGCGACTGAGGGGTGGTGGCCCCACTCACTGACCGGCTGGACCCTGAAGGGGCCTGCTGAGAGGAACCGGACAGCCCAGTGGCCCCCGTGCTTGTTTTCCCTAACAGACCGGGAACCGACGGAGAGGAACGGTACGTGACGTTCCTGGCTGACTTCCGCGCCTGCTGGGATGACCCCATGTCCGAGGGTTGGGTGAGCCGGTTTGGCAAGGAAGGCTGAGAAGCCGAAAGCGGCCGGATGTCCTGCGTCAGACGTCCCACCGAAAGACCCTGGGAACTCCGATGTTTCACCATCTGCTGAGGCTGCAAGAACAGGGAAATATGGGATCCGGTGGCCCGAGAGAGACTAGAGTGCAGAGTTCGTCCTGGCGGGATGGATGTGCTGTGTGCTGCCTGCTGCAAGAGAGATGTGGAGACTGACGTACCCCGCGTTTCGGACAGCTGAGGCTGGCTCATTCCAGGGATGGGGTCCCCCTTTTGAACAGGCCGCGGCAGGACTTGACCTTTGCCCAGTGTACTTTCCAAGGGGGACATGCACTGAACCACAGGAGAACACGGCGAGCCGGCTGCAGGTGTCTGCAGGTGGGACTGCGGCCCCGAGGCAGGCGAGCTGACGGAGGACGGCCGGGAGCCCCCTAGGCTGGGTTGAGAGCGACGGTGGTGCAGGAGAGCAGCCGAGTCGGGGGAGAGAGGGCTGGAGATGGACGAAGGGGGAAGGAAGATGTGCGTCGCCAGACTTTGCTGATGTGTCAATGCGATGGCCACGCTGGTGGTGGCAGCCGCAGTCTGCAGTGGGGCGTGGACCAGTGGCTCCCAGATAACCGGCTTGCCACTCAGCTCCCGGCCGGCAGTCATGGGCTGGAGGTCCTGGATGTTGTGTGCCATGTCTTGGTCGTGCTTGACGATCTGCTGGATCATCTCGTTGTTGACCGTGCTGGAACTATGCTCCGCTCTCTTCCGCAAGAGGATGGAGTTTTTCTTCCCTGTGGGTGGAAGTAAAACAAGATCAGAGGCCACACTGAAGCGCGGACGAAACTCGGAGAACTGCTTGAGATGGAGATGAACCACATTGGCATGGCGAGGAGGAGGAGGAGGAGATGGAGAAGGAGAAGGAGAACAAGGAGGAGACAAAGAAGAAGGAGATGGAATAGTGAACAAGGTAAAGAAGAAGATGAAGATGGAGAAGGAGAAGGAGGAGAAGAAGGAGGAGGAGATGGAGAAGATAGAGTGAGAAGAAGAAGAAGAAGAAGAAGAAGAAGAAGAAGAAGAAGAAGAAGAAGAAGAAGAAGAAGAAGAAGAAGAAGAAGAAGGGAAGAAGAAGAAGAAGAAGAAGAAGAAGAAGAAGAAGAAGAAGAAGAAGAAGAAGAAGAAGAAGAAGGGATAGTGGAGAAGAAGGAGAAAAAGGAGATGAGGATGGAGAAGGAGGTGGAGGAGGAGGAGGAGGAGCAGAGGAAGGAGATGAGGATGGAGAAAGGAGGAGAAGGACAAGAGGGAGAAAGAGCTGGAGGAGAAGGAGAAGGAGAAGATAGAGAAGGAGACGAGGATGGAGAAAGAGGAGGAGAAGAAGGAAATTTCTGAGATATATCAACAGGAGAAATCAGTTCAGAGCAGGGTTGAACAGCTAATGTCTGCTCAGCATCTATCAGAAGACCCCCCCCCCAAAGGCTCTCCTGCAGTGGTTTTCCTTTGTTAGGACTTCACTGGTTTTGTGAGGAGTCTCATGGGCCTAGCAAGATGACCTATGAGCCCTGTAGTCCTCCATCCCTCCATCCCCTCACCTATCCGGTCCAGCCTATCCATGGCAACGGTCTCAAAGGCTCGACGCATCATCGGGTATTCCTCCAGGACTTCGTTGAAGTTGTCCACGGAAAGGGAGTAGAGGCGGCAGTAGGTGTTGGCCCGGACACTGGCCGTGCGCCGGCCCCGGGTCAGAAGGCAGATCTCTGCAGGGGCAAAGGAGAAGAAGAAGACAGGGTTTCCGGCCTAAGCAGGGGGTTGGACTAGAAGACCTCCAAGGTCCCTTCCAATTGTTATTTCCTTCCTTCCTTCCTTCCTTCCTTCCTTCCTTCCTTCCTTCCTTCCTTCCCTCCCTCCCTCCCTCTCTCCCTCCCAGTCGGCTTTCATGCCTAAGGCGGGACTAGAACTTACTGTCTCCTCGTGATTGGCTCAAAGTCATCCAGCCAGCTTAAGGCAGGACTATAACTCCCAGTCTCCTAGTGATTGACCCAAAGTCAGCTAGCTAGCTTTCGTGCCTAAGGCGGGACTAGAAGTGCCAGTCTCCTGGTGATTGGCCCCAAAGTCACCCAGCCGACTTTCACACTAAGGCGGAACTAGAACTCACCGTCTCCTGGTGACAGGCCCAAAGTTACCCTGTTGGTTTTCTCTCTCTCTCTCTCTCTCTCTCTCTCTCTCTCTCTCTCTCTCACACACACACAGAGAGAGAGAGAGAGAGAGAGAGAGAGAGAGAGAGAGAGAGAGAGAGAGACTTACAAACACCTTTGCAGAGACTTACAAACACCTTTGCAAGGACCGAACCTCTTTACAGGCCCCTCTCGGAGAAGCCATTCAAAATATCCACACACATCCCCCCCCCCCAAGAAAAAACCTACCCCCAAAATACGATCCGTCTGAAAGCTTCATTTCCTTAGAGCCCCGGGTGAGAATGCTGACCACCCCGTGTTGTATGAAATACATCTTTTTCCCCACGGTTCCCTCTCGGATGATAAAATCTCCTGGCTGGAAAACCTCAAAGCGCAGCTTGGTCAGCATCGCCGTGACAAAGTTGGGGTCAGCGTTGGCAAAGAGGGGCATGTTGTCCACCAGATTCCGGCAGTTAAAATTGATGATCTCCTGAACCAGGGAAGGGATTCCGAAGGAGAAGAAAATCAGGAACGGACAGAGGAGAAGAAAAGGCTTCCCGACAGGAGCGAATTGGGCGTTATAAAAAACATCCACTAAGATACGGATAATTCCTCGACTTCACAACGTTTAGTGACCGTTCAAAGTGGCAACGGCGGTGAAAAAAATGGACAGGACCTTTTTTTCACACTTAACATCTTTTATGCATGCATGCATGTATTGCAGTATTAATAATGTATTAATTTATGAACTGGATTAAAAACAAAGTTCGAAGAAGTCTATGACAATTGAGAACAGAATAGAATAGAAATAATAGAATAGGAATAGAGTAGAATAGAAATATAGAATAGAATAGAATAGAATAGAATAGAATAGAATAATAATAGGAATAGAATAGAAAAGAAATAATAGAATAGAATAGAATAGGAATAGAGTAGAATAGAAATATAGAATAGAACAGAATAGAATAGAATAGAATAGAATAGAATAGAATAGAATAATAATAGGAATAGAATAGAATAGGAATAGAATAGAAATATAGAATAGAAATAGAATAGAATAGAATAGAATTTAGGATAGAATATAGAATAGAAAATAGAATAGAATAGAATAGAATAATAATAGGAATAGAATAGAATAGGAATAGAATAGAAATATAGAATAGAAATAGAATAGAATAGAATAGAATTTAGGATAGAATATAGAATATAGAATAGAATAGAATAGAATAGAACAGAATAGAATAGAATAGAATAGAATAGAATAGAATAATAATAGGAATAGAATAGAATAGGAATAGAATAGAAATATAGAATAGAAATAGAATAGAATAGAATAGAATTTAGGATAGAATATAGAATAGAAAATAGAATAGAATAGAATAGAATAGAATAGAATAGAATAGAATAACAGTTGGAAGGGACCTTGGAGGTCTTCTAGTCCAACCCCCTGCTCAGGAAGGAAACCCTATAGCCATTTCTGACATTTAAAACCATTTAAAAACAGAACTTGCTGCAAAACTGGCCAGCATGTAATAAGCGCAATTGCCTTTCCTTCGTGGCTTGTACCTCTTTAAGGGGTTCGCTCAATTCTTCCAGAATATTATCTTCGTCAAACATTTTCCCCTGGTATCGGTGTTCGTAATACTCGTGGATCCGCTGACGCGTGTCTCCTGGTAACTTATGGAAGGACATGTACTGCTCCACTTGCTTATACTAGAAAATGGAGGAACAGAAACATCTTCAATTCAGCCGGGAGAAATATCTCCCCAAATTAGGTCCATCTCTATACTTATCCACTGTACTTATCTATCCTGCCTCTCTCTCTTCCTCTAAATGAGACTTTGGGGGGAGGGGTTTCTGTTAATCAGCCCCCAATGAGACAATTTGAGGATGGGAATCTCCCCTTCCTCCCTTCCCTATGAAATTTGGAGTAGGATAAGTGCCTGCTTAAGTTTCTAGTCCTCTTTCTTCCAGGGAGCTAGATTTAGAATTAGAATAACAGACAGGACATTGCAGGTAATCTAGTCCAGCCCCCTGCCCCAAGCAAGAGACCCTATACCATTTCTGATGGATGGCAATCCATCAATCAAGCTAAAAAAAATCTCACATTTTTTAACATTCTTGTCTACTTTTGTTTTGTCTCTGTTCATTTTTTTTCTTTTTTCTTTTGGATTTTAATCTTCGGAATTCAATAAAAAATGGAGACAAACGTTTTGGAAGTTTCTTCTCTCCGTCTCGCCGGAGAGAAGCTAGCACTGGCAAGCCCCAGAATTTGGCAACAACACAGTGGAAGTCTGCTCACCTTCTCCTGGTATTGGCGCCGAGAGGAGTCCAGCGACTGGATGAGGGCAGTGGCGTGGCCGATGAACATGGCGTAGCAGGTGGCACCCACAATCATGCTCAGCATGGTCAGCCAGACATCGGTCATGCCCTCGGGGGCCTGCTGACCATAGCCAATGCACAACATGTGGCTCATAGCTTTGAACAAAGCGTGCGAATATTGCTTTCCCCAGGAGTCATTCTGAAGGAGAGGAGGAAAAAAGAGTGGAACTCACCAATGTGTTTTTTGAAGATCCGCAATCTTTCCCTGCAGAGCCTCTCTGGTGTCCTTCAAACTTGGCAACTTTAAGAGGTCTGGACCTCAACTCCCAGAATTCCCCAGCCAGGATTCTTTAAGAGGGGTGGACTTCAACTCCCAGAATTCCTCAGCCCCAAATTCCTAGAATCCCCCCAACGCCCTGCTGGAGGGGAATTCTAGTTGGAATTTTCAGATCTCTTAAATTATGTTGACTAGGGAATTCTGAGAGTCGAAGTCCAAGTTTGAAAAACACGGCCTTAGGATCAATAGAAACTCTTGAACCCACATCCCTTGAGTAGAACTTGCCAACCCTTTGAGGAAGACCAAGTCAGATGAATTAATGGAAGTCTATTATTATAAGATATGATAACAGAAATTTGTCTCCCTCCCTCTCCCTCCTTTCCTCCCACCCTCTCTCCCTCCCTCCCTTTCTCTCTCTCCCTCTCTCCCCTTCTTCTCTCCCTTTCTCCCTCCCTCCCTATTTCCCTCCCTCTCTCTCCCTCCCTTCCTCTCTGTCCCTCCCTCTCTTCCTCCCTGTCTCATTCCCTCTCCTTCCTTTCACTCTCCTTCCCTCCCTTTCTCTCCCTCATTCCCTCTCTCCTTCTTCCTTCTCACTTTCTCCCTCCCTCCCCATCTCCCTCCCCCTCTCTCTGCCTCCCTCCCTCTCTCTCCGTCCCTCTCTTCCTCCCTGTCTTCCTCCTTCTCTTCCTCCCTCTTTCCCTCCTTCATTCCCTCTGTTCCTCTCCCTTCTCTGTCTCTATACCACAGAGAACCAAGGTAAGAAAATCTTGAGTTTCTTCCTCACCCGGCCCTGTCTTTCTCGGTGAAGTTGATTTTCCCTAAGACCTGCCACCTAGTCTCAAGGTTATTTCTCTTCTGCTTTGCAGAATTATGGGACTCTCTCCTGCTCAGCCCGGAACCATTTTGTCCGACAGACGTAGGAAGAGAAAAAAAAACAACAACAACTCACCACCATGTGGTTGATGGAAACCCAACAGTCTTCAGGGAAGTCCTGCAGCATGGGAACCAAGAATTGTAAGCAGCCGTCCCAGTGGCACAGGAGGAGCATCATCCCGATGAGATTGAAGATCCGGACCACGGCACTGGCCAGGTCGTAGGTCATGTGGAAAATCTGGGAACGCAAGGGGGACACGGTCAACTGATCAACCCCGTGTTCTTCCCGTACGTGGATTACAGGTCATCTTCGGATAATGACAATGGAGATTCTACGTCCTCCAAGTCATCCCAAAGATGCTTTTTCAGGAGGCAACTGGACTTTCTTGTTTTTCTTTGAAGATGTTTTATCCTTGGGGTGGACAAGCTTCTGCCTTGGGTTTAAAGCGTCTTTAAAGTGTGCACGTTGGCTGAAGATCCCCCTGAGTACATATGGGACATTGCCACTTGGAAAAGCACCTTTGGGAAAGTTGACCTTTGAACGGATCAAACCACATATAAATCCGCGGGAAGAACAACATATAAGGAACGGTTGCTGGGATTGGGGATGCCTAGTCTAATGAAGAGAAGGACGACGGGGGACATGATAGCAATCTTCCAATATCTCAGGGGGCTGCCTCAAAGAAGAGGCAGTCAAGCTATTCTCCAAAGCACCCAAATGCAGAACTAGAAGCAATGGATGGAAATGAATCAAGGAGAGAAGCAACCTAGAACTAAGGAGAAACTTCCTGACAGTTAGAACAATTAACCAGTGGAACAACCTGCCTCCAGGAGCTGTGAATGCTCCAACACTGGAAGTTTTTAAGAAGAGACTGGACAGCCATTTGTCCGAAATGGTAAAGGTTTTCTGCCTGAGCAGGGGGTTGGACTAGAAGACCTCCAAGGTCCCTTCCAACTTTATTGTTGTTGTTGTTATTATTATTATTATTATTATTCATGAAAATCACATTTATGACCACAGGATAAAAACAGAGATACCTTTCCCTGCCTTTCTTAATGGGTGATTTACCTCTTCCCACTGGTGGATGTAACGGATGAGACGAGAGAGCCGTAGAAGACGTAGCAAGCTAAGAATTTTAGTGAAACGGACGATGCGGAGGGCCCGGGCGGTCTTATACACTTCCGAATCCACTTGCGTCTCCAGGTCTACGATGAGGAAGATGTAATCGACGGGGATGGAGGAAATGAAATCCACCAGGAACCAGCTCCTGAGATACTTCATCTTAATGGTGTGGGGGTCCAGAATGATCTCGGTGTTGTCTTCCACCACGATCCCCGTCCGGAAATTCAGCACCAAGTCGGCCAGGAAAAAGGTATCCGAGAGGACATTGAAGACGATCCAGGGAGGCGTGTTCTCGTCCTTGAAAAAAGTGATCCCCACGGGCAGGATGATCAAGTTGCCGACCATCAACAGCAACATGATCAAGTCCCAGTAAAACCTGGAAGGCAAAAAAACAAACAAACCGGGGCGGGATCAGTCAGCCTCACCTGAACGAGGATAGTTCAAACTGAGTTTGTTATCAGCCATGATTTAGAGTCTGACTCTGGTCTAGGAGCTGAGCCTGTGTGTGAGATCAACCTCGGGCATCAGCACAGGAAGTCCTCAGGTTATGACCATAATAGAGCCATAAGCCCCCAACGGTCATAAAACAGGTCCTCCGCGTGACCGACCGGATTTTACTAATTTTCTTTTGGCGCGGGTCATTAAGCAAATGCGGTGGTTGTTAAATGAACACAGTGGCTGGTTTTTTTTTCTGCCCCTCTTTACTCTTTGACCAGAAATGAAGGGAAAACCCATCTGACCAATATCACCAAAAAGAGAAATTAAACCGGGATCGTCTCTTTTTTAAAACTCAAAACACCTCGACGCCAAAATGAAAAGGCCTCTGCTGATTTGTTCTCGCAGGCACCGATCAAGAACTCAAAAGCTTACTTCGGCCCGGCCTCGGCTGAGTGTTGATTATCCAATAAAGATCATGATGTAATCCATGGGTTTAATCATAACATTATTCCACGTCGAATCCTAAAGACCGAAAAACTCTATCCGATTCCCGCAAAGAAATCTGTCCTTGATCGACGTACAAGCCGAGAAACATATGGAGAGATTTGAGCAAAGGAATCTGGGAGCCCAGCCAAACAGCTCGGCTTCTTATTGGGATAGTGAACTCTTTGCCTATCCGAGCTACGTTTTCTGCCGCTGATGAAGCTTTCCCATCCATTTTCCCTTGCTTGGCAAAAGCTGGCCCAATCTTATGAGCTCTCTCATTTTGAACACACATCCACACACCCTGATTTATCATGCCTTGGTAAGACCACACTTGGAAGGCTGCATCCAGTTTTGCTTGCCACAAAGATGTTGAGATACTTCCCTCTCTTCTTTCTTACACAAATTCCTGTCCTTTCTTTTCCTTCCTTCCTTCCTTCCTTCCTTCCTTCCTTCCTTCCTTCCTTCCTTCTGTTTTCTTTTTTATAGAAATTTCTTTCTTTCTTTCTTCTGCTGCGATAGGACAATACATACATTAACAGCAATTTTCAGGTGTATTTACAGACCTCACTAGGGTTTCCAGCACAGGGGAAAAAAAAATTCTATAACTTCCAGAATGGCAGCTGAGCTATGCATGCTTCCAGCCCATAATAGTCTATTTGGACCAATGATGGTTCTCTGGGGAAAAGCTTGAGCTGTGTTACCTTCCATCTTTCTATTTTTTAAATGCCAAGCAAGACAGTCTACAATGTGGGTCAGCTTTAATCTCAGTGGTTTGAAAACAAACTAGAATTTCTTCTCCGCCATCGTTACATTAATCCCAAATCAAAGAAGCTCCAGAAATATTTCATATCATGTGTGAACTTGATCACTATGAGTCGGTCCCTCGCAAGATATTATCGTGAATTATTTGCGGAAGGTGCAGCTCTCTTTACATCTTAGTGGTTGCAATTAATAATTATTCAGAGAGTAAACTGAGGCCTTTTAGTGCAATGAACAATGATGGTGTGTGTTTCCCCCACAGAGTTTGAAGTTAGAATGAAAGACTCATTGTCATCTTCATAGTAGCCTTGCTACTAAAGATAGGCCTTTAGCTGACAATCAGGGTGTGTGTGTGTCTATGTGTGTATTTTCAAACAGACCCCCCTCCAATGATTTCAGAAGTGCCTTGCTAAGCAGCTACTGTATTTTATTTTTTAAAAAATAAATAAATGAGGAAACAAGGACTTTGGCTGTCTTTGAAAGGGAGGATCAACACGGAGTAAACAAAACGAACCAAAAACAAGAGCATCGTGTTTGCTTAAACCAGTGTTTCTCAACCTTGACAATTTTAAGGCATGTGGACTTCAACTCCCAGAATTCCACAGCCAGCAATGCTGGCTGTGGAATTCTGGGAGTTGAAGTCCACATGCCTTAAAATTGTCAAGGTTGAGAAACACTGGCTTAAACACAGATGGTCCTTGACTTACAATCATTCGTTTAGTGACCATTTGAAGTTGAAACAGCACTGGAGGAAAAAAGCGACGGACAACCACTCCTCTCTCTTACGACCGTTACAACGCCCCAAGTCATGTGATCACAATTTGGATGCCTGGCAACTGGCATGTATTCACAGCATCCCTGGGTCAGTTGACTTCCAAGCAATGGGAGAATCTGGATTTGTTTAACAACCTTGTGATTCATTTAATGACAGTTATTCGCTTAACCACCGTGGCAGAAAAGGTTGTAGGTCAAGCGCAGCTCACTTGACAACCTGCCTTGGTTTAGCAACAGAAATTCTGATCTACAATTGTGGTCGTAAGTTGAGAACTGCCTGTACAGGATCCTGTCCCCTAGAAGGACAGGAAGAAGCAAAGTAACCCCTCCCCAACACTGGTGATGAGGATGCATCCATATCAGACCTGCTCAACTGGACCTCGGTCCCTAAGACAAGGATAGGCAACCTTGGCCCCTTCATGACTCATGGACTTCAACTCCCAGAATTCCTGAGCCAGCATAGAGGAAACTTTGGCCTCTTCATGACTTCTGGACTTCAATTCCCAGAATTCCTGAACCAGCATGTGGGAAACTGTGGCCCCTTCATGACTTGTGGACTTCAATTCCCAGAATTCCTGACAGGTAAACCACTCCCACCAGACCCTCACCGGAGTGTCCACACCCAGAGGAAGGGAGGAAGGAGAGAGAGGGCTGGATCACTTCCCCCAGAAAATAATTTCCCACAAGCCATTCCCAGTCCAGCAGTTCCTCTGCCTTGTCCGAAGCGTGACCCATGGGAATTGTATATGGAGATCCAGGTCCTAAAGATGCTTTTTCAGGAGGCAACTGGACGTTCTTTTTCTTTCCAGACATTTCACTTCTCCTCCCAGAAGCTTCTTCCGCTCTGACTGGATGGTGGGGAAGGGAAGGATTTATACTCCTTGCAGAGAGAGCTGGTCATTTGCCTCCTTTTAGAGAGTCGTTGAGGCCACTTGGAGGTTTACCTGCGTCCTCAGGGTCACCTGAGTGATGCAGATGGGTATGGAACACAGTCCTTTCAGCAGTTCCAAGAAGGCTCCACACCCATTTCCACCACTCAGGCGACCCTGAAGACACAGACAAACTTCCAAGTGGCCTCAACAACTCTCTAAAAGAATGCAAATGACCAGCAGTCTGCAAGAAGCATAAATCCTTCTCATCCAGGAAGCTTCTTCAGCCCTGACTGGAGGGGTGGGGAGTGGAAGGATTTATACTCCTTGTAGACCGCTGGTCATTTGCCTCCTTTTAGGGAGCCATTGAGGCCACTTGGAGGACACAGACAAACCCCCAAGTGGCCTCAACGACCCTCTACAAGGAGGCAGACGCCCAGCAAGGCATATAAACCGTTCCTTTCCCCACCTTCCAGTCAGGGCCGAAGAAGCTCCTTGGAGGAGAAGCAAAACGTCTTCCGAACCAAGAAAGCCCGGCGGCCTCTCCGGAAAGAAAAAAAGCACCTGCGGGAGATGGGAATTGTAGTCCCTCCAGCAAGGAGACCGCGGGAAGACGCACACAGAGAGGAAAAGAACTTTCAGCACCACGGACAGCGCCGCCTCCGCCGTTCTTCCGTCCGGCTGAACAAGCCGAGGCCCGGCGGGTCTCCCCCGGGGAGTGCCCCATGGGCCGAGGAGTCCTCACCTGAAGTCGCTGTAGGGGTGGATGATCCAGAAGCCGGCCGACTTGACCCGCTGCTGCTCGATCTCCACCGCCTTGTGGCTGCCGAACATGCGGAGGGAGAACTTGTTGATGGCCGGCTGGAGCAGGGCGCCCAGCTGGCGCTGCACGAAGGTGCCGCCGGGGTCTTCCAGCCCCGAGGCTGCCGCGGCGGCGGCGGAGGCCAGGTCGGCGGCCACGATCTGCTCGGCCACGCGGGCCGGCCCCATCTCGCCCTTGGCGGCCGCCGTGGAGCCTTTGCGCGTGGGAGGCTGCGAGGAGCCCTCGCTGGACAGGGCGGACGAGCGGGGCCGGCCGGCGGGGTCTCCATCCAGCAAGGCTCCAGGCGCCTTCAGCCCAGGGGTCTCTGGGCCCGGGCAAGGCCGTCGGTCCGGAGCCTCGCCGGAGGAGGAAGCGGCGGCGGCGGTGGCATCCATGGCGCTCAAGCGGGCCCTTCAAACGCCCTTGCCCGGCCGCGGCCCCCCCGGCGCATCCCTCCCGCCGCCCCGCGTGGAGGCCCGGCGCCAGGAAGGGAAGGGCAGGGCGGCGGGGCGGGGCGGGCGCGGCTGAAGGGCCAGGCGCGGCGGGCACGGGCTCATGCCCCACCCGGTCGCCCCCTCCCCAGGCCTGTCTCAGCCCCTCCGGCCGGCGGGGTCCATCCAGGGCGGTGGCATCCACGCCCCAGACCAGCCGAGCCGCTGTCTTGCACCCAGGCACAGGCGCCAGGGGCAGGCGGGCGCCGCCTAGTGGGTCAGCCGCCGCCCAGCGCCCCCCACCCACTCCCCCGCAGCCTGGGGACCCCAGTGGGGAGGTAGAAGCGGGACGGAGCCTGGAGGGGAGGCGAAGCGATGACGGAGGAGATCTGCTATCATGTCACACACCCCCCCCAGTCCCCCTTTTCATTCAACTAGACCAGGGCTCTTCCAACTTGGCTCTTGTATGACTTGTGGACTTCAGGTCCCAGAATTCCTCAGCCAGTGTGCCTGGTTGAAGAATTCTGGGAGTTGAAGTCCACAAGCCATCAAAGGGCCAAGTTGGAAGACCCCTGAACTAGACCTATCCAATTCCACCAACCGTTCTTCGTAGGTTTTAGCCTCCAGCCCCCCCAATCATCTTTGTTGCTCTTCTCTGCACTCTTTCCAGAGTCTCAACATCTTTTTTACATCGTGGTGACCAAAACTGGACGCCGTATTCCAAGTGTGTCCTTAACGGCTCTTTATAAAGTGGTACTAACACTTCATGTGATCTTGATTCTATCTCTCTGTTAATGCAGCCTAGGGTCAGCCTAAGTACCTGGCAATTCTGGAAAACATGTCAAAGGAAAGAAACACTTCCAACCTTAAAGTCAGCTTGGAAGAACCAAAGGAAATTAATTTGAAGTTATCTTCTAGCTTAAGAACCCAATCATTTTGCAAATAGAGATTTATAGAATAACCTATTCTATGAATGAAGCCGGCTGAACGATGATAATTGAATAGGTTGAGTGAAGAAGTGCTAGGTTTTGGAAAGGAGCAGTAAATACTTCCTAAGAATAGAATAAGAATAGAATAGAATAGAATAAAACAGAATAGAATAGAAAATAGAATAGAATAGAATAGAATAGAATAGAATAGAATAGAATAGAATAGAATAGAAGCTGGAAGGAAGGAGGGGTTATTAAATTTTCTGTAATCGTGTCTAATTTCTGCCATCCATGATGGCAGCCACCGCTATGCATTCCTTCTGTGTTAGTTACACTGTTGAACATGCTGTTATGGACACACAAGTAATAATAAAAAAATAACGGTAGCCACAAATAGTTATAATTTACAAAGATATCCTGAATATTTGTGGCTGTTGCTGTAAACAGTTCTGTTCCACTGTTACAATTTTTATTGTGGCTGTTGTTCCAGTTACTATTTTTGCCTAAACTAAATATGTTACTTATTTTACAGATAACCACCTCTTTCTCTCTTTCTTTTTTTTTCTCAGCCAAAAGTGTGGCGAGCTTAAAAATAAACATTTCATAAGCATCACGGGATATCTCTTTGGCGTCGTTTTTCTGGATCCCTTTCCGAATTGTTGTCTCTGTGGCTGGATTATTTAAATCCTGGCTGTGTCTGGGCCTCAGTCAACACCTTGCCTAATCCTTATTTAAAGCCTTAAAATCCTCTTAAGGAACAAACATCAAATGAACGGCAGCAGAAATGGCAGAAAAACAAAACTCAGAAGCTCATTTAGGAAATGAAAAGGAGTCTCTGCAGCTTAGCCTTCTGATATGCTCTGCTCACGTCCATTTTGGACACCATTTTGTGAGGTTGCCCGTGGCAGGCGTAGAACATTCCAGGTGTCCCGCTATTTTTGTGATCCTTTGTGACACACACCACCTGCTCATATGTACACTGATGGCCTAATTGACTGATCTTTTATAATGATCACAGACCAATAATCTTATTCTTACAAGTAACAATTGTCTCTTTTTATTCAATTAAATAAAACAGATCTATTTAATTGATCAGACTTGCATAAGTTAATAAGTAAATAGTGACTTTTCTTTTATGGAAATAAGGATTAGTCCCGCAGGCGTTAACTGCACTACCTCCCACGCGTGGGAAAGTTACGGTTCTAATAGGTTTTCCCACGAGGCACGCAGTGCCTGGGAAGGGGCGTGGCTGGAGGGGCGTGGCGGCGAACTTTCCCCGCCCCTCCGTTCAATCGCTAGTAGCCAGAAAGCCGAGGCGGAGGTCACGTGCTCCAGCTGGTTCCTGTTCTATGCCGCGCACGCGCATTTGCTTTTCTTGATAGAGAAAGTAAAATAATCCAAGTGGTGTTTAGCTTTTCGTCACCGTTGCGGATTCTTTCGGAGAATTTATATTTTAGCTTTCCTGGGCAAGACCCCTGAAGCATGTGGGCAACGTGTAGGGAGCCCAAGCCAAGTTTCGAACGAAGTATTTAATTAAGTTTTAGCATTTAAGCAATCCACCAGTCCCTTCCCATTTCAACCTAAGCCACAAATATTCTTTTACCTGTCCCTTTACCCCCCCCCTCAAAAAAGAGAGAGAGAAAAATGACCTTTATATTAGAAATGCCAAGCTAATTAAACTTAGGCATGTCCAGCAGGACAGAGGCCGCCGCTTCTAATAAGGGCTGGGGATGATGGGCATTGTAATCCCGTTTGGGAAAAAAGGACAGCGAGCCCAACAGCGTCTGTGTGTTTGTCTATGTATATCTATCTATCTATCTATCTATCTATCTATCTATCTATCTATCGTTCTTCATATACACATACACACAAATATACATGTATATATACACACACACAAACAAATATTCATATATATACATACACATATATATATACACATATATACATATGTACATATGCCCATTCTGCTTGCGCAGGGGGCTGGACGTTGTTGTTGTTGTGAAGTCGTGTCCGACCTATCGCGACCCCACGGACAACGTTCCTCCACGGGCTGGACTAGAAGACCTCTAAGGTCCCTTCCAGCTCTATTCTGTTCACAGTTACTATTCACACGCACACACACACACACACACACGTTGAGAAAAATAGTCGAACACCGGGATAAATATAAATATATACATATATTAAACCCGAATTAGAGGCATTCTAGTAAGACCAAAATAAACCCCTTTGGGGAGGCGTAGAGGGAGGTTTCTTGCGAAGCGCACCCGGAAGCTGTCGATGCGGCTTATTTATTTATTTTTTCCCATCGCGCGGACCGTTCTGTACTTTTTGACTTATCTCTGACCCAGGGGACGTTCCGGCGCTTTTGTGGCGCGCCTCCGTCGCCCGTGCGTAGCGGCGCATGCGCGGTGGGCCTCTCCCGTCCCCTCAGCCCAGCTCCTCAGCGCGAGCCCGGGCGGCGGCGGCGACGCTGAGGCGAAGCGCCGGCGAGGACGACGAAGGGGCGGGAAAGGGACGAGCCGCCGCCAAGACGGACTTCTTGTGGGACAAGCGTACCGGGCTGACGGCCAAGAAGGTGAGCGAGGCGGCGGGGCCGGGCAGGGGAGGCCTCGGGGCGGGGTGAGGGGGCGGCGGCGGCTCTCCGGGACCCCAACCAGGCCGGGGAGAGGCCGGCGGAGCAGCCCAGGCGGCCTCCATCCCGGCCCAGCGCCCAGAAGGCCGAATAGGAGCCCTACCGGGCGATTGGTGCACAACGCCCCTGCCAGGTAGGCCGGCCCTCGCCCAGGTTGAGCCGCCAAGGGTTACGATTGAGGGGAGGGGAGAGATGCAAATTGTATCAATACATAACTAAAAATGGATCAATTGAAGGTTCTTTGGCTTTGTTTGGGGGGGGAGGGGCAGGGAAAGGAGGCCACCAGGAAATCCCATCTGAGCAGAGCAGGGGATTTGGAGGGGACCCTGTTAGATTGGGGGACCCGTCGCTCTCTTTGGCAGCCCCCCCCTCGGGTATCAAATTACAGGCAGTCCTCGACTTACAACCGTCCGCTTAGTGACCGTTTGGAAGTTGCGACGGCACACAAAAGAAGGGACTTTTTCACACTTAACGACCGTGGTTGTGGGATCAAAATTCGGATGCTCGACGACCGGTTCATACTTAACGACGGTCGGCGTATCCCAGGGTCACGTGATCCCCCTTTTCAACCTTCAGACCAGCAAAGTCCACGGGGGAAGCCGGATTCACTTAACAACCGGATTGCTCGCTTAACAACGGCAGGGATTCACTTAACAGCTGCAGCAAGGGGCGAGACTCACTGGAGAATGGCCTCGCTTAGCAACGGAAATGTTGGGCTCAATTGCGGTCGTAGGTTGAGGACTGGCTGTAATTAGCTTCCTCAGATATCGGTTTATAGTGTTATTCCTCTCTGCAGCGCTTCAGGGTGATCTTAATAGATTTTATTTTATTTATCTGATTTTATGATGGTTTTACCTTAATATTTGATCATATGTTTGTTTATTTAATTTATTTGCCGCTCATCATAGCAAACAATATACTCTCTGTGTGTGTTGTTTATGTATGTTTGTGCAGGTGCTTTATTTCAACATTTTTTATTAAGCTGGTTTATAGATAGATAACCTTTATTGTCATTTTTTTTTTACTGTGGGCGCATTGGCACCCATTAAAAATGAAATTTGCTCTCAAAGTGTACACATACATAACACAGGTTTAAACATGCTATATACGATGTATGTATAAATAACATGTTATGGTCTTTTTTTGCCGCTTCCTAGCACTTTAAGGCTCAACCTCTCCCATTTAATAATAATAAAGCTGGAAGGGACCTTGGAGGACATCTAGTCCAACCCCCTGCTCAGGCAGGAAACCCTGTACCATTTCGGACAAATGGCTGTCCAGTCTCTTCTTAAAAACTTCCAGTGTTGGACCATTCACTGCTTCTGGAGGCAGGTGGTTCCACTGGTTAATTGTCCTCACTGTCAGAAAGTTTTTCCTTAGTTCTAGGTTGCTTCTCTCCTTGATGAGCTTCCATCCGTTGCTTCTTGTTCGGCCTTCAGGACTATTTGATTCTCTCGTTCTTTTCCTTCCTTCCCACACAGATGCCTCGTTCTCGGAGGTTTCTGTCTTCGGAACGCAGCAGCCGGGGCAGTTACCGTGAGTGTTACAGAAACCGCAAACACAAGCGGCGGCGGAGTCGTTCCCGGTCGAGCAGCAGTGAGCGGTGGCATCACCGGGACGACAGCTATCATGTCCGATCGGGGAGGTGAGCCAGTCCCACAAAACAGGCCCTGCAAGCAGAAGGTGCAATTCAAGGATCACCTTCCTGAATTCCGCTCTCCCCCCCCCCAGTTACGACGATCACTCATCTGACCGACGTGCCTACGACCGGCGATACCTGGAGGATTACCGACGAGACGGCTACAGCGACCGGGGCGGGGATGCCTACTACGAGCCCGAATACCAGCCTTCGGATGAGTACCAGCGTTCCCGGGATGGCAGTTACCGGAACTGCAAGAGTAACCGGCGGAAACGGCGACGGAGACGGCACGGAAGCCGCTCCTTCAGCCGTTCCTCCTCGGTGAGTCATCTCTGCTTCTTCTGATCTTTTGATCCCCGGATCTCTTTGGCCTTTCCAGATCTCTGGAATCGGCTAGGAATGGCATTCTGGATTCGTGGGAATCGGCATCCCGGAATGGGGTCCGAGTCTGTCCTAAAGGGCATCCGTGTGGATTTTGAGTGGCTTGGAAATTGAAAATTTTTTCTGTGACTGGCAGTAGTGGAGGCTTGGGAAAAGGGGGGGGGGCGAAATGTGATTTTAAAGAATTTCCTTCTCTAAAGTTCCCGTTGCACAATGCTAGGCTTTTAAAGGCTTTTATCACCCAGAATATTATTTCTAATATTTATTTTGAAGAACTTCAAAATAAAACATTTCTAATCAGACTCTTTTCAGTGGGAGCCCCCGCCCCTTTGGAATGATCAAGCTGCCTCCTTACCAAAGCTGATTTTGTCCAGCTCTATTCACATTTTTGAAAAGCATTGAGGAAAAAAAAACACCCTGGTGCTTTTCCCCTGAAATTTTGGGCCAGGTTATTAAACTTATTTATTTATGATTACATTTATATGCTGCCCATCTCACTGTCTCGGGTGATTTAAAAGCTGTGGTATGTTTTGTTATTATTTTGCTGTTGGTTTGGTGACCTGGGTATAAATCGGGCAGGTAGATAATTTCTGAGCAGACTACAACATTGGATGATGGTTGATCATATCTATTCATTCCATAAAATTCTCTGCCTTCAAAAACAGCTGAAAGTTTCAAAAAAAAAAATCTTGTTAGGCACAGCAAGCAGAGTTCTCTGTAGAGGGCAAAGATGCTTTGAAATCTTTTGAAATCTTCAATTTTTATTTTTGTTTTTCCAGTATGTTTGGGTGTGCTAGACGAATGTTGATCTTCTGCCTATACACGTAGTCCTCAACTTACAACCAAAATGCAGTTGTTAAACGAGGCATCGTGTCCCCGCAGCCAATTTTAGCGCCTTTTTTTCGCTGCAGTTGTTAAGGGAATCTGACTTTGCTGATCAGAAGCCAGCTGGAAACGTTGTAAATCAGAGTAATGTGACTGCAGGCTGCCAAGCACCCAAATTGTGATTGTGGCATTAGTGTGATCGTTGTAATATCAAGCATCGGTCCTAGATCACCGTCCTAACTTTAAAATGACCTTAAACAAAGGGTTCTAAGTCGAGAACTACCTGTATATTAGTTGGCACTTAGAATTTTTATTCAGTGTGCACCCCTATCAGCCCAGCTATAAGACTTGTTTTAATTTTTATTTATTAAATTTATATCCTGCCCCTCTTGCAAATAAAACAACTCTGGTTTTCCTTCCGCAACAATCCTGTGAGGTAGGCTATTAGATGATGTGCTTCTTTAGACCATATTGGTTTAGTTTGGGCTTAAGAGTCTGAATCAAACCGGATCACTTGCTTCAAGCGAGGGTCCAGATAACGGATTCTCTACACAGCATAAATCAAATTCGAAACCATCTTGATCAGTTGGGAGCATGGCAGTTCAGCCCAGAAGGGGGTTTGAAAAAGGGTCAGATGCAAAATTTAAATTCAGACCTCCCAAGGCCCAGATGCAGGTTGGGTTAATAATCCGAGGGAGAAAGATTTTGACAAGGGACCCCACCCCAAACCGAACTCAAGAAACCACTGTGAGGCTGTCTGAATTGAAATCCTAAAAAGCCGTACTCTGTGTGAGCCAGGCCCACATTTGAAGGAGAATTGGGACAGAAGGACCAGCAGGAAGAGAAAAGTAAAAAGGAGGGGTCCTTTGTGGGGACTAGAAACCTCGAACAGAGGGCTTATTTTGCCTGGAGAAAGAATAACCCAGAGGGAACACGCTGGTGTCGTCCTTTTTCATTCTCACCCCAGGGAAAGTCAGCACAGCCCCTCTGTACATCCCTGCCTTTACAAGAGGTCAGAATTGATGACCTCTATGGCCTTTAGCAGGCAAGCCGAGGTCACGCTTGCGTTTTAACTGGGGGGAACGTCAAACTCTGACAGGACCCCCTCTCTTCCCCTCTCCCAATTCCACCCATGTGGGCTGTTTATTGGTGGTGATGGTAGGTAGGCCTTTCTTTTCCTTTGTCGTCCTTCCCAGGCTCCCCCCCCGTCTCCTAAAACGCCACCCTCCCTCCTCCTCCTCCTCCTTTCCCAGGAATGACTCGGGCTTTCTGACATTGGGGAGGGGGGAGATAACCCCCAATCCAAGCCAGGACATTTCATCGCCAGCTTGGCCCGTCCCGTCCTAGAAGCAACCAGGGTGGGATTATTAACCTCGGAACAGCTCAGGCCAGATTTTGACGCTGGTTGGTGTGAACGATTTGCTGAGTCTCTTAAATTGGGTGGGTGGGAAAAGGGGCTTTTGTTTCCTGTCTGGCCTTTTCTTGAATTGTGGAACTCCTCGGCGGTGGGCGGGGAGGGGGCACCCCGTTTGCAGAAGACGACCTCCCTAACTTGGATTCACGGTTCCTAGGTGTTTTTTTTTTTTTTACACAGCTGGTCCTCGACTTAACAACAGTTGATTTAGCGGCCGTTCAAAGTCACCATGGCAGCGAAAAGAGGGACTTGCGACCCTTTGTCACACTTAACAACCTTTGCAGCGTCCCGTGATCAAAATTTGGCAACTGACTCGTGTTTGTGACGGTCGCAAGGTCCCCTGGGGTCACGTGATCCGCTTTTGTGACCTTCCGACACTCGGTGGGGAAACCAAATTCACTTAACAAGTGTGTGACGGACTTAATCATTGTGGTGATTTGGAACCGTGGCGAGCAAGGTCGTAAAACGGGACAAAGCCTACTTAGCAACGTAACCGCTGGGCTGCCTGCTTGCCAGTCGAGGACCCCCTGTAAAAGACCAGCCTGAGCGGGCGGGCGCGTGTCTTGCTGAGCGTTTCTCTGCCCCCTTGCCATCTTCCCTTGTTGTTCACGTGTGTTGTATATTGTTTATACATATATACGCCTCTGTGCCGTTTTGAACTTGGCCTGGAATCCGACCCGCCGCCACCTCCTCCATCCCTGCCACGGGCCCACCGTGTCGCTTGGCCGGCTGGCTGGCTTCCCCCCTTCGCCGCCCTTCGGGTGAACACTTGAATTGAATGAATGAAAACCCTAAACCCTCTCCGCCCCGTCGCTGCGTTTTGGGGGGCCCCCACGGCAGCAGAGTCGTCCCAGCAGCAGGAGGAGAGCCAAGAACGTGGAGGACGACGTGGAAGGGCACCTGATCTATCGGAGCGGCGACTGCCTGCAAGAGAGATGTACTGCGAAATCGTAACATTAACTCTAGTCTCTAGTTAAGCTCCCCGTCGCAGCGACGACAGAATTGTGCTTAGCTTCCCTTCCCTTTCCTCGTCCGTTCCTGTTTTTTTTTTCTTTCTAAAGACCAAAACACAGCCTCTTTTTTTTCCCCTTCTTTTTTCCCTTCCCTTTTTGCCTGCCTCCTTCCCTCTTTCCCTCCCTTCTTCCCATTTTATATATTTTTTGTATTGATATCCATAGCGTTTAGGGGAGGAGGGCGGTCCTTTGAACCGGCCAAGATAGCCATTTTTTTTTTTTTGGTAGTGATATTTTGTTGTTCGGCCCCCACAAGTCTCACCTCCTCTTCTCCCCTTCCCTTCCCTGCCCTCCCCTTCTCTTGTCTCCTTTCCTCTAAAGATGAGATCGTCACCACCCTTGGGGAAGGCACCTTTGGGCGCGTGGTGCAGTGCATCGATCACCGCAGGTGAGTGAAGACGGGCTGCTTGAAAATTGAAAGTGGCTTCTCTCCAGCTAGGGTGGACATCCAGCTGGCTGCAGATTTTCCTCCCAGACTGGATGACCACCAGAAGCCCACGCCTAGGAAGAATTTCTACAAGAGATGGAGAGAGAGAAGGGGGGGGGAGGAGATAGAGGTAGAGATAGATAAATATTGGATGGATGGATAGATGAGAGATATAGATAAGATAGACAACAGACACAGATAGAAATAGATGATACAGAAGAAATAGATAATAGAGATAAGATAGAAAACAGATTGGAAATGGATAAGATAGATAGATATCAGTAAGAACGAGGTAGGTAGGTAGAGATAGAAAATATTGATAAAGACCAATAAAGATCAATAAAAGTAGGTAAGTAGATAGATAGATAGACAGACAGACAGATGAGATAGATAAATGAGATAGATAGAGATGAGATTGAGATAGATGAGATATAAAATAGATTAGCTAGATATAGAGATAGATAGATAGACAGGCAGAGACAGACAGACAGACGAGAGTGAGATAGATGAGATAGAGATGTGATTGAGATAGATAGATGAGATATAGAGATAGATAGATAGATAAATAGATAGATAGATAGATAGATAGATAGATAGATAGATAGATAGACAGACACAGATAGATAGAAAGGAAAGATAGAAAAGAACTAGTGTTTTTCCACCTGAGCAACTTTTAAGATGTAGGGACTTTAACCCCCAGAATTCCCCAGCCTGCCAGGGCTCTACAACAAGCCAACTATGGCTGAGCATAAGCTACCCAAGCTGGTGTGTCTTGGCCTTTATCAGACTATAGCAGAACAGAGAAATGCATTTCCAGGCAAGGCTTGGTCAGTCCTCCCGTCCTGGTTGCTTGCCCCGGACCTCAAACCTTGACTCCACTTTCTTCTCCACGATCTCTCTCTCTCCCCCCCCCCCCAGGGGCAACACCCGGGTGGCTCTCAAAATCATCAAGAACGTGGAGAAATACAAAGAAGCCGCTCGCTTGGAGATCAACGTGCTGGAGAAAATTAACGAGAAAGATCCCGACAACAAAAAGTAAGCGGGGTGGGCGAAAAAGAGGTCCTGTGTTGGTGTTGTTATGTTCATACGTAAGCCCGAGGGATGCCTGGCCTTTGGGCGCCTTTTCTTAGGGACCAGCTACTTAAAAAAAAAAAAAAAAAGCCAAATTCTCCTCTTTTCCCAAACCCCTCTCCCTCCTTGCTTTGGTTTCCCCTTCCAGCCTCTGCGTCCGGATGTACGACTGGTTTGACTACCATGGCCACATGTGCATCTCCTTTGAGCTGCTGGGCCTCAGCACGTTCGATTTCTTGAAGGATAACAACTACCTGTCCTACCCCCTCCACCAGATCCGGCATATGGCCTACCAAGTGTGCCAGGCGGTCAGATGTGAGTGCCCAGGAAGGGGGGGGGACATTGGGTGGGAAGTGGGGAGGGAGGGGGGGATGTGTGGAGCAAAGGGCTGAGAGAAAAAGGGGGGTCATTCTGATTCGTTTGACTTTGAGGATTTACAACACCTGAGTTGTCAGTGGCTCCGAGTCCCAATGGTGGAGGCTCTCCCCACCTTGAGGACTAGCAGTTCAGTTTGATACTTTCTGAGGGTAGAAAGATGCACGAAAACTTGAGGGCCTCCCTCCCCTATCTCTGCCTGTCTGTCTGTCTGTCTTTATCACCTCTCTACTTACCTACTATCTCTATCTTTTCCTTTCTTCCTCACTCCCTTCCCTATTTGTCTATTTATCATTTGTCCTTCCATCCTGTCTGTCTGTCTGTCTATCTATCTATTTACTTGTCCACCTATCTCTTTATCCTTTCCTTTCTTCCTCACTCCTTTGTCTATTTATCATTTGTCCTTCTGTCCATCATCTGTCTATCTATCTATCTGTCTATCTATCTATCTATCTATCTATCTATCTATCTATCTATCTATCTATCTATCTATCTCTTCATCCCTTTCTTCTCTCTTCCATCCTCCCCTCCTTTCTCCATCTCTTTCCTTCCTCCTCCTCCTCCTCCTCCTCTTCCTGTTTTCCTTCCTCCTTCCTTCCTTTGCATCATTCCTCTCCATTTCTGTCCATTCTTCCTCTCCGCTTCCTACCTTCCTTCCCTCTCTTTTATACTGTCTCTTCCCTGCAGTTCTGCACGAGAACAAGCTCACCCATACAGACCTCAAGCCGGAGAATATCCTCTTTGTCAACTCGGACTACGAGATGACCTACAACCTGGAGAAGGTGAGCCTGGGTCCCCCGGGGAACGTCACCTTCTCCGCTGTGGCCTCCCTCCCTCCCTCCTTCCCTCCCCTTCATGCTACTTTGGGTTGGGCCTCTAACACCCCCCCCCCCCGAAGCTGGGAGAAGATTGTCCATGCTGCTAACTCTCAACTTCCCTCCCCCCTGTCTCCTTCCTCCTCTGCCCTCCCCTTCCAGAAACGAGACGAGCGCAGCATCAAGAACACGGCCATTCGGCTGGTGGATTTTGGCAGTGCCACTTTTGATCACGAGCACCACAGCACCATCGTCTCCACGCGGCATTACCGGGCTCCCGAGGTCATTTTAGGTCAGTGCTGTGCCTTGTTGCCCCTCCCGGCTCCGGGTCGGACTGCGAATACCCACAAGGGCAGACTCTGAAACTCCTTTTTTTTTTTTTTGCTCCGACAGAACTCGGCTGGACCCAGCCCTGCGACGTTTGGAGTATTGGCTGCATTATCTTCGAGTATTACATGGGCTTCACTTTGTTCCAGGTGAGTCTGGCAGGTGGGAAGCCATCAAAGTCATTGGAGGCAGGAGGGAGGGGTGAGCCCCTAACGCTCAGGCAGCGGCAGGTCTTTTTTTTTTTTTTAACCAGCTCAAACTTTTTTTTTCCCCTCGCAGACCCACGACAATCGCGAGCATCTGGCGATGATGGAGCGGATCCTCGGCCCCATCCCGTCACGGATGATCCGAAAAACGAGGTAGAGCTTGATTAAAAAATAAGGAGCCACAAGCACACTGGCCCTTTGTACCCCTGATGGTTCCTTGAAATGTTTCCCCCCCCCTTCCCCACCCCGGATAGGAAGCAGAAATATTTCTACCACGGACATTTGGACTGGGATGAAAACACTTCTGCCGGGCGCTACGTGCGGGAGAATTGCAAGCCGCTACGGGTAAGCCGGGGCCTGTCCACCACGTGTCCCACCATCCCAACCAAGTTTGATTTCTTCAGGAAACCGTCAGAGTACATAATATAACGTGATAAGTACACACGTCCAAATTTTGATCACGTGGCCACGGGGACGTTGCAGCAGTCGTAAAGTCTGAAAAAACGGCCCAAAGTCACTTTTTCAGCGCCGTTGTAACTTTGAATGGTCTCTAAACAAACGAGGACTAGCTGTAACGTGCCCTCATCTGTGCCTCCTCCTCCTCTTCCTTCTCCTCCTCCAGCTATAAAAACACAGAAGCAGAAGGGACCTTAAGAGGTCCTCTAGCCCAACCTCCTTCCAGGAATGCACTCTCTGATAAACCCCCCCAGCGTTTCCCCTCTAGTCTAAGTCTAGTCTAAGTCTAGGCCAGGCCAGGCCAGGCCACCCCCCGCTTCACCCCTCCATTCCTCCTAGCTGGTCCTCTCCACTTGTCTTTCCAGAGATACTTGACGTCCGAAGCCGAGGAACATCACCAGCTCTTTGACCTTCTGGAGGGCATGCTAGAATACGAGCCGGCCAAACGGCTGACCCTATCCGAAGCCCTCAAGCATCCCTTCTTCGGTGCCCTCCAACTGCAGCCCACCCCCAAAGTTTGGGATTCGAACCGGGACATCAGCCGGTGACCCGTCGGGGCTCTGGGCTTCATTTCCTAACCCCCCCTCCCCGACTTTATTTGGCCCCTGTGGTGGCTGGCACGTCTTCTCCGTTTTTGGTGCTTCTCGACCATCTGAAGGATACAGAAGAAAAAACAAAAAAAACCCTTGAGTTCTCCTCTTCCAGGTTCCCTTCCTTTTTGTTATCCTATAAAGCTTGTGGATATGTGAAATAGTCTGTAAAATATCTCTATTATACATACATATATATGTGTGTGTGTATATATATAAATTATATATATATATATATATATATAAAACACATGGCGTATCTTGCGACATTTCCCTCCCCCTGTAAATAATGCCATCCCCCCCCCCCCCGTCCTCTCGGCCCTGCGTGGATTTTGCGGTTCTTGGTCTTATTATTTTTTGGGAGAACAAACCGCCTCCTGTTTCAAATGATGGAATTTTATAAGAATTTTGTATAGTCTCGGTGGGGAAAAAAAAGAAATAAAAGACCACGTCAACAAACGCTTGAGTTTGCGCCGTGCGTGTTAATGCTTGCCTGGTTCTTCCCTCTCCTTTCTTCCCTCCTTGCAAATCACAATAATGTCAAATCCAGTCCATACGTCTGACTGTGGCCGTGTGATGAACCACAATCATAATCTGGAGCGCCACTTGAACAGTGTGGGCATTGACAAAAACCCCATCGGTCAATTGCAATAGGCAGCTTCTCCGGGAGCAGCTTAAATCCTCTAATGAGACCTTTAACACCATCAAACAACATCTGCCTATCCCAGGTCCTTGGAAATGGACAAAAATGCCAGATCCAGTCTAAACATCTGGCTGAGTGTGCAACCAACTATTATTATTATTATTATGGATCATTGTACAGTCAGCCAGATGTTCAGGCTGGATTTGGCATTTTGCCTACCAATCGAGTCCTTACCCAGGACCTGGGATAGGCAGATGTGGATGTTTGATGGTATTACAGATATCGTTGCAGGATGGAAGCGGTTCCTGTTGTTGTTGTTGTTGTTGTTGTTGTATTATTTCCAGCAACACTGATAAAATTCTAGTTGTCCAGTTGGGTTCTTCTCTGTCCCAATGTGCTTCTGTTTGGGATAGGAAAACGTATCCGTTTGCTTTCTCTCTCTCTCTCTCTCTCTTTCTTTCTTTCTTTTCTGTTCTTTTTAACACACAATATTTTTGACCGGGACAAATGCAGTATTAGATCTGGAAAAATTATTGCCCACCCCATTTATTCAACAGCTTCCTCTCCCCACCTCCTCCCCCCCCCCGCTTCAATGCTTGATGTAAGAAGCTTAACACCCAAGTCCTGCCAGCCCTTCAGCTTGTTCTGTAAACCTTTTATCCCTCTCGGTGGGATTGTGTGTCACTGTGCTGCAAATTGTGTGTCATTGTGCCATCCTTAAGGGTGCCTCTAGGCAGCAAACAGCCCAGGACATGGACTGTTCCAGTTTTGCTTGACAATAGCTGAAAACAACAGATCTGTGACCTGCACCCATAAGCAGTTTTCGTACAGACAGCGCCGGTCCTTTGACAAATCTTATTTGAGTTGAGCAATCTTTTTCAGTTCGGCTCACGGCTGCTGGTGCTGTTCTTGTTGTCGTTATTTTAATCAATCGTTTCTAGTGCTAGAACTGGGGTGGCGCAGTGGTTAGAACGCAGTAGTGCTGCAGGCTAACTCGCTGCTTGCTCCAGGAGGTCGATCCTGACTGGTTCAAGGTTGACTCTGCTTTCTGTCCTTCCCAGGTCGTAAAATGAGGACCCAGGTTGTTGGGGGCAAGATGCTGACTCTGTTAACCTCTTAGAGAGGGCTGTAAAGCACTGTGAAGCGGTATACAAGTCTAAGAGCTATTGCTATTATATGTTGAGGAATTGTGGGTTCTTCTCTGTCTCTCTATCTCTAATTATCTATCTATCTATCTATCTATCTATCTATCTATCTATCTATCTATCTATCTATCTATCATATATATGTACCTACCTGTCTGTATATCTATCATCTATCTGTCATCTCTCTCTCTATCTCTATCTCTATCTACCTACCTATCTTTTCAGTCATGTCCGATCTTCAGACACTGCCTGGAAAAACCCCTGCAGTTTTCTTGGCAAGGTTTTTCAAAAGAGGTTTGTTATTGCCTCCTCTTTAGGGCTGAAAAAAAGTGGCTGGTTCAAAGGTCACTGGAGGCAAGACTAGAACTCACAGTCTCCCGGTTCTTAGCCTCGTGCCTTGACCCAAACTGTCCCTCTTCTACCTGTAATAAATTCATTTGTCCTTAAGGTGCCACAAGGTATTACAGACTAGCACCCAACCCTAAAAAAAGCTAGTCTGGATCTGCTTTTAGCCGTGGCTCTCTTGGGCCCGAATCCATTAAGGATTAGTAACTTGCTGTTTATCTGAGAAAGACTGAATACCTGAAGCTGTTTGTCCTCCAGAGAAGGGCACGTACTTAGTGATCTTCCCGACAGCTCTGCTCACCGTACCATCTGTCCACTGAGTCTTACCAGCTGTCACACAGATGGATCAAGGAAAGCCTGTTTTCCCCCTGGTTCCTGATCTCCACTTAAAGAACTTGAGCAGACAAGACTTTAATCATCCTCTGGGCACCTTCAGAGAGCGAAGACCTGTCAACCCCAAGAAGAGAGAAGCTGAACTGTTGGGAGATTTTTCCATGTGAGTCTGTCGTTTTTATGGAAAATGAGAATATCAGCTGGGAATGTAGACTTTGCTTGGTTCTGATGAAGGGAGAAAGTTTTGGAGGCGTCTTTATGAAGCTGCTTTGTGTTGTTTTTCCAGTTCTGGTGCCAAACGGCCTCTTCTCCACTCGGCTCCTGTCCTTAACCATGAGATCGGGGTTTGGGGACGCAGTCAGACAGCTGTTGTGCGGCTTGGCAACAGATTCCACCAAGGAGAAAGACATGGGTGTCCAGAGAAGCCACAGCTGGGAGCCAGTCAAGATGAAGGCTCCGCCAAGGCAGAAGTAAGCATTCTTCTCCTTTGGTATAAACATGAGGCAGCCAAATAAACTGTGTTGGAAATTGCTGGATGGATGGATGGATGGGGAGGGAGATAATGGATAAACATAGGCAGGAAAGGATGGATGGATGGATAGAGAAAGAGACAGACAGACAGAGAGACAGACAGAGACAGATAGATAACGGATAAACAGGGAGGGAGGGAAGGGAAAGATGGATAGATAAATAGAGGGACATAGGGAGGGAGGAAAGGAAAGGAATTGAAGGGAAGAGAGACAAACAGTGAGGAAAGGAAGGAAAGGATAGATAGATAATTAGATATAGGTAATAGATAAACCGATAGGGAGGGAGGGAGGAAAGGAAGGAAAGGAAAGGAATTGTAGGGAAGAGACAGATGGAAATAGAGAGAGAAGAAGGGAAGGAAGGAAGGAAGGAATAGACTGATAGGTATCCCTTCATCCTCTCTCCTTGCCTTTTTGCTCTCTTGGTCAACTTCGTGGCATTCATACCAGAGCACTGTACTTGATCTAGTCAGTTTCACAGCGCCAACTTTCCAGAGTTGAGTTTCTTTGCTGATTAAAGAATAAACAGCTGGGAATCAAATCTGCGGGCATCTTCTTATATGCTGTGGGGTAAGAAATCTCCAATTCTGTCGAGGAAACATAAAAAGCCGGGAGGATTTTTTTTCAGGAGAAATAGGGCCTGGCTATGTGTTCGAGAGGGGTGTGAGCGATCGATGTCACACACACTTTTGTGGTTTCCTGTCGCCTCTCCCTGAAACCTCCTCCTCCTCCTCCTCCTTTTCCAGGGCTGACCGGGACGCAGCCTTCGCCCGACAGAAAGCTCAGCGCGCTTCTCTAAGGAGTCATTTGCGGGAGAAATACCATCTCCCAAAGGTGAGAATTTTTTTGCTTTCTGAAAGGGCCTGCTTCTCTGCTCCAAATTCGAGGAAGTCCTCAAATTACGGCCAAATGAATAAATACAGATAAATCCTCAGCTTACCACTATTCGTTTAGTGACCGAAGTTAACAATGCCACCGGAAAAAGTGACCGTTTTTCACACTTTAGGACCCATGGTCACGTGATCAAAATTCAGACACTTGTCCACTGACTCGTATTTATGACGGTTGCAGTGTCCGGGGTCACGTGATCCCCTTTTTACGACCTTCTGATTAATGGGGAGGCCAAATTGGCTTAGCTGCCGTGGGACTCACTTATCAACTGGAGTGATTCTCCCTCAACAACTGTGACAAGAAAGGTCCTAAAACGAGGCTAAGCTCACTTAAGTGTCTCGCTTAAGGAGGGAAATTTTGGGGCTCAAGTTGTCTCAGGTTGAAGCTGGAGGCTAAGCCCCATCTGATTATATTTTATTTTTTTTAATCTATATTTCTGTTTATTTATGTATTTACTTAAGTATTTACTTATTTATTAAATACTTATTTTATTATAAATTATAAAGTCCAAAGCCTTTCTAAGCAGAAGGACGCTGACATCCCCTCAACTCCACTGAAGAGGTTACCTAGCCTGGTAACGAAACCAGCCCACAGAGCTTGGAGAATGAACCTTCTCCCTAATAATAATAATGATGATGATGATGTTGGAAGGGGCCTTGGAGGTCATCTAGTCCAACTCCCTGCTCAAGCAGGAAACCCTATACCATTTCAGACAAATGGCTGTCCAGTCTCTTCTTAAAAACTTCCAGTGTTGGAGCATTCACCGCTTCTGGTGGCAGGTTGTTCCGCCGGTTAATTGTTCTAACTGTCAGGAAATTTCTCCTTAGTTCCAGGTTGCTTCTCTCCTTGATTAGTTTCCATCTGTTGCTTCTTGTCCTGCCTTCTGTTGTTTTGGAGAAGAGCTTGACTGCCTCATCTTTGGGGCAGCCCCTGAGATACTAGAAGGCTGCTATCATGTCCCCCCTCGTCCTTCTCTTCATACCCATAGACATACCCAATTCCACCAACCGTTCCTTATATGTTTTAGCCTCCAGTCCCCTAATCATCTTTGTTGCTCTTCTCTGCACTCTTTTTCACAGTCTCAACATCTTTTTTACATCGTGGTGACCAAAACTGGATGCCGTATTCCAAGTGTGGCCTTACCAAGGCCTTGTAAAGTGGTATTAACACTTCATGTGATCTTGATTCTATCCCTCTGTTAATACAGCCTAGCACTGTGTTGGCTTTTTTGGCAACTGCAGCACATGGCTGGCTCATATTTAGGTGATTGTCCACTAGGACTCCAAGATCCCTCTCCCAGTTGCTCCTATTGAGCAATAAAAAAATTACATTTTTTAAAATAATATTTTACTATTTTCCCAATTTTACATTTGAATATTTAAAAAGCAACGTGGTGACTGGGTTAATCAATAGTTCAACAACAAAATCTTAGTGCAAATCTTTGGTCACAACATCAAATATTTCTTCTCTTTTTCCCTTAACCTTTACTGTCTCGCATTCAGGTCAGTACATTTCTAATTATATCAACCCAATAAGAACATCATTATTACATTTCTCAATAAAATTTTAGCTTATACATATCTTAATTACATTCAGTCTTCATAAACAATCCATTTCCTGTTGGTGATTTTTACGCAGTTTTTAATTCCTTATCCATTACATTTTGATGCCGCCCATCTCCCCTACAACGCGATGCTGGGCGGCTGACGCCCGCCAGATGTTGTGAGGCGCAACACAACATATTTCGGATTTTTTCTCACTTCTGATTTTTCCCTTTCTCCCCGTGCCTTCTTTCAGAACCCGACCGATGAGAAGCAGTTGGGAGCCACGGGGGGGAAGTCTCAGCTCCCCCGAGATCTTCTGAGCATCATACAACCCAACGGGGCCTGGCCAGTCCCTTCCACCTTCCCCAACTTCGGAGGGATAGATTTGAAGTCCCTGCAAACCACCCTCCAGAGCCCAGGGCTGTCTTTCCCATGCCCGGGGCAGTGTCGGATCATGTGAACGCTGCCTTTTCCAAGGACGCAGGAAAGAAAAATCGGTGGGTAGCAGGACCGCCGGATTTGCGCAAGGCTGCTTCGGCACACGCCGTCTCATACAACCTGGGAAATGTGTCCTCTTAGCTTTGGAGAATGACTGCTGAGAAGACCATAATAGGGCAGCCTCGTCAAGAGGTGGCCTTATAACCATTGTACGGGTCATCCTCGACTTAACGACCGCAACGGGACCCCGAATTTCTGTGGCTAAGTGAGACACTTGAATTTTGCCCCATTCTGCGGCCTTCCTTGCCATACGTAAGGGAATCCTTGCAGTTAGTGACACCGTCGTTCAGTGAAACCGGTGTCAGAAGGTCGCAAAAGGGGATGGCGTGACCCCTGGGACGCTGCGACTGTCACAAGTACGAATCGGTTGCCAAGCATCTGGATTCTGATCAGGTGATCCTGGGGAAGCTAGAGAGGTGGTGCCTGTGAAAAACGGCAAGGAAGGTCGTAGAATGGGGCAAAACTCACTTAAGTGTCTCACTTCGCCACAGAAATTTGGAGCCCTGTTGCGGTTGTTAAGTCGAGGACTTACCTGCACAATGCTTCTAGGGCCATCACTTTTTTTTTCCGGTGCCCTTGTAACATGGAATGGTTGCTAAGGAAACTGTCGCAAGCTGAGGACCACCTGTACATCACTACCTCTGCCCTTCACCGCCCACATCCCACGTCTCTTCGTGGATTGGAAATTAAATTGATGTAATTTATTCTTTAGATTAAAACCTTGCCTTTCCTTGAGCTGATGAAGGTGGTGTGTTGTGTTTTCTTTGTCTGGTTTTCTTTCCGAAACGCCACAACTTTGTGTGTGAACCGGGGTGAAGAGAGGTCCGTGATTGGTCAGGAAGCTTCTGTGGCTGAACAGGACTCAAACTGAGTCTCTCCCTCTCTCTCTCTCCCTCCCTCTCTCTCTTCTGTCTCTTTTTCTTTCTTTCTCCCTTTCTCCCTCTCTCTTTGTCTCTCCCTCCCTCCCTCTCTTCTGTCTCTTTCTCTCCCTGTCCCTTTCTCCCTGTCTCTCTTTTTCTTTCTCCCTCCCTCTCTCTTTCTCTCTCTCCCTCTCTCTTCTGTCTTTCTGTCTCTCTTTCTCTCCCTCTCCCTTTCTCCCTGTCTCTTTCTCTTTTTCTTTCTCTCCCCCTCTCTTTGTCTTTCCCTCTCTTCTGCCTCTCTCTTTTTCTTTCTTTCTCCCTCCGTCCCTCTCTTGTCTCTCTCTCTCTCCCTCTCCCTTTCTCCGTATCTGTCTCTTTCTGTGTTTCTCTTTCTCCCTTTCTTTCTCTTTGCCTCTCTCTCCCTCTCTTCTGTCTCTGTCTCTCTCGAGCATCAGTACTTGAGCGTATATTCAAGATGGAGAGTGATTAATATTTATATACGTTACTTATATCTAAGGCTGTAGATCTGTACATGTGTTGTATATAGTACGTTACTTTAAAGGCACTATCGTATGTTTAAAACGACAAATCTCCGCTTCTGCCCTGGCGCGGACTACGTTTCCCATGGCTCCTCGCGCGCGGCACGCCCCCCCTCCCAACGTCACGCTGCCGGCCCCCCGCCCGTCACGCGCATGGGAATTCCCCACCCAGCTTGTGTGTGTGTGATGCGCAGGGCGCCGGCCAGCCAATCAGCGCCCAGCGTCTCTGCGGGCAGCGGAAGAAGCGGCCGTCGGAGGAGCCGTCGCGGCGGGAGGGGAGGGAGCGAGGGAGAACAGCAGGCATGAGCCAGAACGGCGGGGGGAACCCCTTCGAGGGAGACACGGGGAATCCCTTCCAGGTGCGTAGCGTGGGAAAAAAGGGGGTTTGGGGGTGGGGGGGTTCCCCCCGGCCCGGGATAAACACGGGGTCCTTGCCTCCCTGGCTCATCCCAGCCTGCTCCCAGGCTCTTTGCCCGCATCTTGACCCTGGGTTGCGTTCCCACGTTATTGGGGGTGCGTGTTTGTGAGACACCCACCCCCATCCCATCCTGGCTTTCTGCCTTTTGCATCCTCCCAGCTCAAGGTAACAGGCAGGGAATGGGGGGGGGGGGTTCCTGCCTCGCCTTTTCTTCCGGACCCTCCCTTCTTTAGTGCCCTCTGCTCACAACAAGCCTGCGAGGTAAGATGGTTGCCTGAATAAAGAGGGGAAGGGCTGCCCCCCCCACACACACACACCAGGAATTTCTTTGGGTGAGAATGGACTACCATGGGATGCCAGGCCAAGCCTTTGGACGCCACTGCCTTGGCTTGGTTAAAAGTGAAACTAAATGCTGTACTCTGCCTTGGAAACATGGGAAGCTGAAGATTCTAGTCCTCAGGCGATGGGAGGTAGCATGAAAACAGGACTGACTTTTTAGGGTTTTTTGGCCCCATCGAATGTGACCTGGGGGATGTTAGAGAGCCCAAAAGAATGAAAAAAAACCCTTCCTTCCTTCCTTCCTTCCTTCCTTCCTTCGGGGGCTGGACTAGAAGACCTCCAAGGTCTCTTCCAACTCATTTATTCTATTATCCGTCCGTCCTTCCTCTCTTTCTCTTTTCCCTCCCTCTCACCTTCCTTCCTTACTTCTTTCATTGCCTTCTTCCTTGCCCCCTCCCTCCCTTTCTTCCTTGCATTGGCTTTTCCTTCCACTATTCTTTGCTTTAATGATAGTTTGGAAAGTAAGCCATGATGGAACCCAGCCCAAACAAACCACCTTTAAGACAATGAATCTCTGTCTCTGTTTCTGCCTTGCTCGTTTCAGCTCAAATCTGTGCGGGAGTAACAAGCACGGCAATCAGATGTTTTATATCAGTTCCTCTTCATTAGGGAAAGAAAAAAAAAGGTGAATTAGCAAAATTTTGCCTGTTGCCGAGGAGATAAAAGGGCTTTTGTGTTTATCACACAATCACTCCTTTAACTGCACTGGCCCAAATTCTGTTTGGCCAAAGCCTTTTGGGACTTCGGTCCCGCTCTGGATGACACAAATGTAGTTTTAAAACTGCGTTGTGCCTTTGAAAAAAGAGACTCTTCAAATAATGCTTTTTTACATCTGTCCCTTTTTTATTTGGGCCTCCTTTTAAATACTCTGGTTTCTGAAAATAATCACAGAAGATGCTCACTACTTTTGTTTTGCAAGCCAGCAGAGATTTGGGGTGGTTAAGAGAGTGTTGAAATAAAATTTCCCCGACTTATTTCACAATAAATAGACAATGAATAATGTGGCTGACCTTGTTTGCTAGTTAAGTCTATTTAGTGGGTTTTTTCTTTTCTTTTGCATGGCGTGCAATTAGTGAAAAGTGAAAGAAAGAAAGAAAGAGGAAGAGGAAGGAAAGAGAAAGAGGAAGGAAAGAGAAAGAAAGAGGAAGATAGGATAGGGAAGGAAGGAAGGATAGGAAAGGAAGGAAGGAGGGAGGGATAGGGAAGGAAGGAGGGAGGGATAGGAAAGGAAGGAAGGGAGAGAATTGGATAGAAAGGAAGGAAAATGAGATTCTCATTTCATTGTGGCTATTTCTGCCTTTTTCCATCTTTGCATTATAATGCAAGGGAAATAAGGGATTAAAATTGTGATCAATAAATAAAATAATAGCTTGGCAGCAATTCCCACCTAGAAAACTGATAATCTATGAATGAAAGCTGGTGCTTTTGGATCAAATCTGAAAAGAGGCGATCAGGTTCCTCCTAATTTGGCAGAGAGAAATATATATATATATTACAGGGGAGAAGGTTGAAAATAAGGATTTAGCAACTTTGGTTCGACTTTTCCTTCAAAATGCCCGGAGAAGAGAAACTTGCTTTGCCTTTTAGGAAGGGATGGGGCAAAGAAAAGTAAATTTTCCTTTTTTAAAAAACAAACAAACAAACACCTCTCTCTTTATTTTCCCTCTCCTAAGGATCCGGGTATAATTCAGCACCGGCCGAATACGGATTATGCTACTCTGGATGTATATAATCCTTTTGACAACACCGGGGTGAGTTGCTTGCTCGATCCTTTGGAGAATTGCTGAGTTTGCATTTAATGTGCATTCAGGGTTTGCATTCAATGGGGATATTCTTGAAAGGGCTCTCCCTCTGAGCTTTCAGAATCTCCCTTCATGAGGTCTAGAAATATGAGCTGGCTTTTCTTCTAGGAGAAGCTATGATCCCCTACCACTAAAGAGGCTTTCGGTCTTCTCTTTGCGCAAGGATTTGTCAGCCAGCCCGTCAGAGCTAAGAGCCAGCTTCAACGCCCTGATTGAAATTTTAGTTCTGCTCAGAATCCAACAGGGGGCCCTAATCTGTGCTCTTGGCCTCAGTGTTCCCCCCCCCTGTAAAATGGGCATAATATTGACTCTCCCGCCTGTTAATGGCTGTAGGGAAAGATTACTCAGCGATGGGAACTACAACACTTCTTATTTCATCCTTTTTAAGAGGAAGCGGTTGAAATTCTGGAATTCCACCTGATTTAAAGATAATCCTCTACTTAACGAGCAGAATTTTAAGCAAGGGGGTTGTTAAATGAGTCGCATTCTGCAGAATTCTGAGATTTCTCTCTCTCTCTCTTTTTTCCCCCCTCTTGGGGCAGAATCCCCCGCCATACCAACCCCCGGTCTCGGCTCCCACAATCCCCTCTGTACCCACAGTTCCTGTCTCGGAGGCACCCAAGAAAAACAACAATGCGGAGCCCAGAAATTACGGCTCGTACGGGACCCAGGTAACGAGAGAGAGAGAGTGTTAACCCATTCGGGATAAGTTTAAAAAATTGAAGAAGGACTAAAAAAAATCAAAATGTAAAAATTTGGCGGTAAAAGTCCCACCTTAGCCACGAAAGCCAGCTGGGAGACTTTGGGCCAATCACCAGGAGACGGTGAGTTCTAGTCCCACCTTAGGCACAAAAGCGGGCTGAGTGACTTTGGGCCAGTCCATGCTTCACAGGAAAATAGGAGAAGGGAAGAGTCTAAGTTAACGTGCACTCCCTCGACCTATTTATGAAAAAAGAACAAACCTGGGATAATTAAAAAAAAAAATAAAGATTTTCCCATTCCAAGGCTTTGCAGTTAGTCTGATGTGGCCAAGCTATCTTGAAGTGCATTGGGTCGCTATACCATGCCTGGCCAGCAGGTGGCACTGCAGCTCCGCCCTGTCAATCCCCTTCCATCTTTCCAATTAGGAATCTACCGCTGCAGCAAAAGCCGAACTGTTAAAACGCCAAGAAGAGCTGAATCGGAAAGCTGAGGAATTGGACCGAAGGGAGAGAGAGCTGCAGAACGCCGCCCTGAGCAGCGGGGCAGGTACAGCGTCCTATTCCCGCTTCCCGGAAATTTCCGCGCCCCCCCCCAAAAAAATGCGGAAACCAAACCGTCTCTTTCCTCTTTACAGCCAGGCCAAATAATTGGCCTCCACTGCCTTCCATCTGCCCGGTGAAACCCTGTTTTTATCAGGATATTTCGGTCGAGATTCCCATGGAGTTTCAGAAAACGGTCACCATCATGTACTACCTCTGGATGGGTGAGCCATCTTTTCCAGCCTTTTTTTACAAAAATCTTTTTCGATTTAAATATATTTTATTAATTTTTTTTTAACATAATCGCCTTAATATTTGGTAAACAGCGTGTTTTCTAGATGGCCTCCAAGGTCCCTTCCAACATTATTATTATTATCGATCATCGCACAGTCAGCCAGATGTTCAGACTGGATTTGGCATTTTGTCTACCTATCGAGTCCTTACCCAGGACCTGGGATAGGCAGATGTGGATGTTTGATGGTATTACAGATATTGTCGCAGGATGGAAGCAGTTCCTAATAAGGCCGCCTTTTGCAATTGACTAATAGCGAATTTGTCATTATTATTATTATTATTATTATTATGGATCATCGCACAGTCAGCCAGATGTTCAGACTGGATTTGACATTTTGTCTACCCATTACTATTATTATTATTATTATTATTATTATTTATATTTACAAACAATCAAGAACAATTGATTTCTACAATTCTGTAATCCCACCTAGTAGCTTTCCTTGATTTTTCGCTTCTTCCCATAATATTCTCTTTTATCCACCTTAAATTAGTACGTTTCTTAGCGTTTTGATAGATAGCAATTTGAATATAAACATTTTTCTAGTATTTCTACAAGTAACAGCCACGTCAATATGAAGCTTCTTTTCCAATCGATTGTCTTAATCACCTTGTCGTAGATCCTGTTTCCAAAGTTCTTCTTTAAATTTGTTTTCCCCACAATGTTCAAAAACATTCTTACCTGTTAATTGCACTTAATTACACTTTTTTTTTTAAAAAAAATCTTATTTATACATGGGGAATCCTTGACTTACGATGGTGACTTGTTCAATTTGAACTGCATTTTTCCTGCAATATAGACTTAAGACCCAGCTAGTTTTTCTTTATGGGCTGGGCTAGCCCCCACCTGCATTTTTCCTGCAATATAGACTTAAGACCCGGCTGGTTTTTCTTTATGGGCTAGGCTAGCCCCCACTTGCTCATAGTTGCTGACCTGTGTTCTCTTTCGTACTACTTTTTTTAATATATATATCTATATATGTCTAATTTTTGACAGTCAGCACTGTGGCTCTTTTCATCAACTTCCTTGCCTCCCTGACCTGGTTCTGCGTGGACTCCTCTGGTGGCTCCGGATTTGGCCTCTCCATCCTCTGGACCTTGATTTTCACGCCCTGCTCCTTCGTCTGCTGGTACCGACCCATGTATAAAGCTTTCCGGGACGGGCACTAAAGTGGGCGCATGGACATCGTCGCTCTGTTGCTTGGTGGCCCTGGGGCAGGAATCCGCCCTGGTTTAGATCAGGCTTTCAGAGGAAGGAGGAGAATGTGGAGGTAGCAACGTTTGGCAAACTAGAACTCACTGGGTGACTGTGAGTTCTAGTCCCGCCTTAGGCATGAAAGCCAGCTGGGTGACTTTGGGCCAATCACCAGGAGATGGTGAGCTCTAGTTCCGCCTTAGGCATGGAACTTGGTTGGCTGACTTTGGACCAGTCACCAGGAGGCTGTGAATTCTAGTTCTACCTTAGACCTGAAAGCTGGCTGGGTGGACTTCGGGTTGATCTCCAGGAGACTGGGAATTCTAGTCCTGCCTTCGGCGTGAAAGCCAGCTGGGTGACTTTGAGCCAGTCCCTCCCTCTCAGCCCAACCCGCTCCACAGGGTGGTTGTGATAGGAGGCAAAACAGGAGGAGGAAGTTGTGTTATTGTTTATGTTCAGCATCTTGAATTATTTGCAGATATAATAAGGGAGGGATACAAATAAAACCATAGAAACGAATAGAGCAGCATCTTGCTTGCAAGCCACATTTGTTTTCCTCCATCTCTCTCTCTCTCTTTCTCCCTCCCTCCTTCGATGGCAGGAGTGACAGCTCTTTCAACTTTTTCGTCTTCTTCTTCATCTTCTTTGCCCAAGACGTCTTCTACGTCCTTCAGGCCATTGGGATACCCGGTTGGGGCTTCAGGTAAGGGGCAGATCCTAAGTGGAACCCGGTCAGGTTGGGTTGGCGCCTAGATCGGAGGTGCGTCTTTGCTTCTCCGGTCCTGCATTTTGGGAGAAGATCAAACATGGCTCGGCCCTCCTTTTTCTCCTCCTGATCTGTTGGAACTTGAAGTTTTATTTTCTCTCCATCTCTCTCTCTCTTGTCTCGCAGCGGCTGGATCGTCAGCTTCACCGCCCTGGGAAAGAACCCTGGGGTGGGCATTTTCATGATCCTAGTAGCTGTGTTATTCACCGTAATTGCTGGGCTGGGCATCATCATGCTGAAACGGGTGAGTAGAGCAGAGCAGAAAACAAAGGTAGTCCTTGGCTTACGACCACAACGGAGCTCCAAGTTTTCGATCACATGGATGCTGCGACGGCCATAAGTGTGAAAAACAGCCATAAACCACCCGTTTTTGGGGCCTTGGTAAGTTTGGTCCCTAAACGAAATGTAAACCGAGGACTGCCTGAATTTGGATCGGTTCCTCCGGAGGATCTCTGCTTTTCCAAAACAAACGGAGATACATCCCGGACGAGCCCCCAAATTCTCTCCCCTTCCTACCCAGGAAATCCGGCTTGCCCACCCCCAGCCGACCTTTCCTCTCTTCTCCCGCAGATCCACTCTCTCTACCGCCGCACGGGCGCCAGCTTCCAAAAAGCCCAGGCCGAATTTGCCGCCGGCGTTTTGTCCAACCCGACAGTCCGCACGGCAGCGGCCAACGCTGCCGCGGGGGCCGCTTCCAGCTCCTTCCAGGCCCCTTAAAGGAGCTGCGAGCTGCAGTTTTATCAACAGTCCGCCGACTTCACCGGGACTCCTTCGCCCCCCCTTGAGTGCACGGCGCTGCCCTCCCAGCCTTGAATTCCCCTTTTGTGTCGATTTCGGAAGCTTCTGCTCTGCAATCTGGGTAGAGAAACCCGTGACGGATCCACCCCGCTCCAGCTGCGCTGATTTTTGACGATTACCGATCCCCGAAAACGGCTTGAATCTTCTCTCCTCCCGCCCGAAATTTACAAAGGGATCCAGCCCCTATTTATCTCTGCCTGTGACTTCTCCGATTGACCCAGAGCTGGAAGGAGCAGGGGGGTCTTTCCTGCCTGTTTGTGCCCCTTCCCAAAATAATTGGCTTTTCTCTTCCTCCTTTTGATCCTGCACTCCTTGCCTGTCGGAACAGATCCGACATTAATTTAAGTTTCCTTTCAGCCCCGCTGCGTCCCGTTTTCTGCAAATTTGCTACTTTCCGCCTATTAAGTCGTCGTTTCTCAACCTGAGCAATTTTAAAGAAGTCTGGACTTCAACTCCCAGAATTCTCCCCCCCCCCGGGCTGGCTGGGGAATTCTGGGAGTCGAACTCCACGCCTTTTTAAAATGCCCACCGCTGAAGTTAACTCTGTAGTATTCTGCTCGATGTAAGTTGAAAGAAAAAGGGATTTTCAAGTTTCTGTTACACTACTCTAAGCCTGTGTTTTTCAAACGTGGCAACTTTTAAGACGTGTGGACTTCAACTCCCAGAATCCCCCCTGGTTGGGGAATTCTGGGAGTTGAATTCCACACGTCTTAAAGTTGCTTAAGGCCTTAAGATTATTTTTTTTTCCTCTTTTATTTTGATCGCTTCTGCCAGTGCTGGCCGCTGGGAGTAAGTTCCTTTTTTTAAAAAAAAATATCGTTTTATTAGCAACGAGAATTATTTTATTTGGCTCAAAAGCCACCACTGGCCTACATAGTTGTTTCTCGGCCCTTCTGGTGCCTTCTCTTTTATTGCTACTGGGGGGGGGGGCAAATCTCCCTCTCCTTCTTTATTATTTTTTTTCCAAAGCTCCCAGATGGAGTAAAAGGACTGTTTTTGCGGATAAATTTTCTCCCGTCACCCCGAAGTTTGAGAATTGGGACATCGAAAGCGAGTTAAGGACTTACTCTCTGTTTGGTCCCCTTTCTCTTTTTGGAGGGGGAGGAGGGAGGACGGGTTGAGGCACCCCCACCCCACCCCAGTTTAATTTTGCAACGTTTGCAAAATTTGTGTTTTTGACGTGTTTGCAATTTGGGGCGATTCTCCTAAATTCTGGTTCCCCGCCGTTGTCTCTCTTGCTGTGTCTGTGAATGACTCTACATTTCTACATTCTTCTCATCTGACTTGCTTGGCCCCCAAACCTCGTTTCCCCCCCTTGAAATTTCAGACCCTCCAGAAGTTTTTCCCGTGTTTTCCTCCCCCTCCCTTGATGTCGGTCTCCTTCCCAGGATTTGTCAGCCGCCCCCCCCCCTCTGTTCTCTGTACATCTACAAGTGTGCAAACACACTATTCCTTTACCTGCTCCCCCTCTCCAGTTATTATTATTGGTTTTGCTGTGCCAAACGCAAGACGGATTATGGAAGTTTATTTAAGGAATAAAAACTACATTTTATCTCTGTGGTTCTCCCGCTGGATGTGATTTTCCTGGGGAAAGAGGGCTTCTCGCGCAGTTGGGAAGCTTGGCGGACTCTTCCCCAAATTTTGAGGGGCTCTTTGTGAGAGGGAGCTGCTTGGAGGGCCTGTGGGTGGGAGGGCTAGCCTGAAATTTGATTTAAGGAGACCTTGAAATCTCAACATATTTTTTCTCCCGTGCAGGGAGTCCTTAACTTATGACCACATTTGAGCCTGGAGCTCAATTATGGCTGTAAATCGAATATTTGGGTCATGAAACATCTGCAGACAAACAGCTAACTTCAGAGAGCACCAAGAATTCCACAAAATAAGATTATCCCCCCCAAAGTTTGAACAGCTGATACTTGACATAATAATAATAATAATAATCAGAATAGAACTGGAAGGTATCTTGGAGGTCTTCTAGTCCAGCCCCCCTGCTCAAACAGGAGGAATAGAATAGAATAGAATAGAATAGAATAGAACAGAATAGAATAGAATAGAGCTGGAAGGGACCTTGGAGGTCTTCTAGTCCAGCCCCTTGCTCGTGCAGGATCATTTCAGACAAGTGACCATCCAGTCTCTTCTTAAAAACCTCTAGTGATGAAGCACCCACAACTTCTGGTGGCCAGTTGTTCCACTGGTTAATTGTTCTCACTGTCAGGACATTTCTCCTTAATTCCAGGTTGCTTCTCTCCTTGATCAGTTTTCATCTATTGTTTTTTTTGTCTTGCCTTCCGGTGCTTTGGAAAATAAATTGGCCCCCTCCTCCTTGTGGCAGCCTCTCAAATACTTCAGCCATAAACTAACAAAGCAAGCTGGATTGATGCAAGGCACACCCCTCTCCTGAGTAATCTAGGTTAAACCTACTTAACCATGTCGTGTGAATTCATCGCCTAACTTTCCACTAAGGTAATTAAAAATACTGTGCTTTCTGAGGCTCGCAGGAAGCCAATCTAGAAGCCAGAGGGCGCCGATATTTAGATTCAGGTTTGCAAGAGAGACATTAAATCAGAAAAACGTCAACAACAACAAAATTAGGATCATTTATTACAAACTTACATTGCTTTTCTTGCAACGTTCCGTCGTGTGAATAATTTCTGATTATGATTTGTGCGATGGTATCAGTGGTTCCAAATAATCAGGAAACCAAAGGGAAGCAAGGTAAAACACATTTTTCTTAATTCTGGATTTAAGTGAGCAAAAGTTAGTTTAGATTTTTAAAAAAAGTAGTTTGGAATGGGGGAAATGCGGATGTAAGGGTGGCATCTCCAGTGAGGCTTATTTGATCATTGTGTTAAAAATATTTTTTCCTTGCCTTGTAAAAGAGACGCATAATGCAGCTAAGGTGTATTTCTCCTGATTTCAGCAGATAGATAGATAGATAGATAGATAGATAGATAGATAGATAGATAGATAGATAGATATAGATTTAGATAGATAGATAGAGATAGATTAGATTAGATAGATAGATGATAGATAGATAGATAGAAAGATAGACAGACAGACAGATAGATAGATAGATAGATAGATAGAGATCCATTCAAACAGACAGATGATAGATTGGTAGACAAAGATGGATGATAGATGGATGCATGAATGGAGACCCATTCAGAAAGATAAATGATAGATGATTGATAGACAAACAAAAGATAATAGATGATGGATGGATATATAGATAGATAAATAAATAGATAGTTAAAGATAGATGATAGAGATGAGATGATAGATAGATAGATAGAACAATCACTGTGTTGATTGTTCTCAAGTTAGGCTGATGGAATAAAATATGATTGCAATTAGGTAGAGAAAATATTGCTAATAGGAGGGGGGGGAAAACCCATTCACCAGACAAAGAACGAGCCATTTTTCCTGACGATAGGAACAAATGAAGCTTTGTCGCAAACCAGAAGCCACCACTTTGCAAAACGACATTTTGGAGAAATGAAGTGAAACCTTGCTTTAAGGAGCTCGACATGAACAGAAGGTGGCTTTTTTGCTGGGGGTCTGTTTGAAATTCCCATCCGCTGGATTCAGCCGCAGAGCCGAAAAGATGAAAAAAAAATTGGCAACGGATCCCATTCCATTAGCTAAGAGACCTCATGGGAAACATTTTCCCAATTGGCTTCTATCCTGAGGATCAAAGCATCCACTCAAAATATTTTGTTTCCATGCTTCCCGGAAGGATGCTGTTAATTGGACCCCTCTGTGTGTGTGTGCGTGTGTGTGTGTATGTTTGTTATAAAAGCTTTTTTTTAAAAAAGTAATTGTTGCAAAATTCGAAGAATTTGAACAATAAACAAGGGGACGAGATGGCAAAGCAGATCTGAATTTTTTTTTTTCCCCCAGCAGTTTTCAGATGCTGAATGGGTTCCGGAGGCCCGAATCAGTCAGAGAAGCGTTTATTTATTTATTATAAAAAAAATCATTGTTGCAAGATTTGGGAAAAATGGAACAAGAAAGAGGCCAGACGGCAAAGCAGATTTAGAAAAAAAAAGGAAAAAGGAGGCCAAAAGCCACCCACCTACCTACCAACCAACCTACTTTTGGGAGTTAAAAAAAAAATGAATTGGCTATCTCTTCCCCCCAGTTCTTCTGGTCTGTTTTGTGAAACAGGCTGGAATGAGGGGGGGGGGGAATCAGTTGCAGGATCTGGGCTGGAGAACTACAGTTCCCAAGATGCAGCAGATTTTTTTTTTTAATATATTATTTTTCCCTTTCCCCTCCCTGCAGCATCAGGACCGGCCAAAGCATCTTTGGTTGGAGAAGGATGCAGGCACTTAAGCGAAGGGAGGCGGAGCTTCAAAGCATCTCTAGCTTGAAGCGGTCCTGCAGCTGAGCAGAGAGATTCCGCCCCTTCTGGGTAAGGCTGCAGCCGATTTTGATTCCTTTTTGGGGCCCTGGGAGGAAAACGGGGGAGGGCAGGGGGGGTGGAAATTATTTTTTCCAGTGGGAGAGCCAGGATTAGGGCTGTTGGGGGGGGAGAGCTCGGGCCATTTGGGGGGGGAAAAGGCATCCAGGCTAAGGTTTTGCAGCAAGGGAGAGAAATTCAGGGATGGGCTGGCAGAATCTTAAGTTTTTAGGAAGAAGCTGTGACCCCCCCCCAAAAAAAAAAAACCAGGGAGAGAGAAATTGGGCCTTTCTTCCTGGTGCATTGGGATTCTGGATCTCTGGGTCTCCCAACAAGGATTGGGGTTTGGGGTGCCCAAATTCCAGCGCTCTTTCCCCCCCCCCCATGGAAAAGCCCTCTTTGCAAGCATCCTTCCCCCCAGTTTTCCACTGGGAGAAGACTTCCCAGGCTTGCTTGTGGGACCGTGAAGAGCAGCACAAAATCTGCACCACAAACTTTCTCTGGGTGACGGCACAAAAAAAACGAGGATTTACAAGCTGGGTCACGGCCCTGAGCATCTCCTGCCACGTCTGTCTCCCGTCCCTATTCCCTTCCCTACTCCAAATTTCCTTCCCCCCCCCCATCACTCTGGCTGGATGACTGACTGCAGATGTTTGCCAGCTGTGGGGAGCTTCTGGGGAGAATGGCGAGGAAGAGGAAGCAGAAGAAGGAGTGAAGAGAGGTGGAGATGAAAGAGGAAGAGAAGGAGTGATAGAGAAGGAAGGAAGGAAACTGAGGAGGAAGGAAAGAGGGAAGGAAAGAGGAAGGGAAAAAAGGGAAGAAACAAGAAAGATAGAGATAAAGAGATGGAAGGAAAGAGGAAGAAGGGAGGGAGGGAGGAAGGAGAGAGGAGGAAGCAAGGAGAGAAGGAAGGAAGGAAAGACATGAAAGAAAGGAGAGGAAGGAAAGAAACAAGAAAGATAGAAATAAAGAGGTGGAAGGAAAGGGGACAAAATGAGTGATAAGGAAAGAGAGTGAGGAGGAGGGAAGGAGAGAAGGGACGAAGGAAAGAAATGGAAAGAGAGAAACAAGAGAGATAAAGAGATGGAAGGAAAGAAGAAGGAAGGAGTGATAGAGAGGGAAAGAGGGAAGGAAGGAAGGAGAAGAAAGATGGAGATGGAAGAGGAAGGAAGGAAAGTAGAAGAAGTAAAGAAAGAAATGGAGATGGAAGAAAAGAGGAGAAGGAGTGATGGAGAAGGAAGAAAGGAGGTAGAGAAAGCTTGGTGTAGGGAAAGATGCTTCCAAACAGTTAAGTTTGCCTCCATTTCGGACGGCTTTGGTGCCATCCAAAATTGGCTGGCACAATCCAGCCCTGGGTACCTTGCTGGTTTTCGGCAAGCGCCCACTTCAGCCCACGCCGGGACTCAGAAACCCCTCCCAAACCCAGAAGGGGGTCCTGTTTCCCAGGAAAGCCAAGCCAAAGTCAGATTTTGGCATCCCTGAACGAAGAAATTGTGCTTCCCCCCCCCCCTCTCCCAGGTCTCTGTTTTGTACTTGGAAAGTTTTTTTTTATTTCCTGTTTTAGGATAATCCCACTTTTGAATCCATCAGATGATCTCCGTGCTTCTCAGCAGCTTTTGAAGGAGGGGAAAACAACAACAACAATGACAACATGTCCTAGATAATCAAAATTGCTGGAATTGAATTGCTTTTTTTTTTCTGGCCTTCTCTCCTGGAATTATTGGCCCGGCGCTCTGCACGTGCCTCGAAGCGCTCTTTTCGTGATTTTTCCAGACCACTCTACTAGCAAAAGCGGGCCCGAATCATCGCAGCCAAAACATTTTTTGTTTTTAACCCTCTGCAATACGAGGGTCTCATCTGGAGCGGCCCAAAGAATTCAAGGGGGATTCTTTTTTCTTTAGGGAAAAGAAGGAGCCCTCCCCCCAAAAAAGACTTTAATTTCCTTTAATGAGGGGGGGGAGTCAGGATGCTGTCCTTGTCTGTAAAAAAATGCATTTTGTAATGGCTGGAAGCTAATATGCAGGGATTGGAATTGACTGGTCATTGCTGTGGGAAAGAAACGGAAATACTCTCTGTTTGTTTTCCTCCGTGTTCCTAGTCCTCAGGTGTTTTTTTTTTTTTAAAAAAAAATATTGTTTGGGCTGTTTTTTTGGACCACTTTCATGAGTCTACTTTTGAGGGGTCACCATGCCCTCCCGCAGCGACTCCAGCTACTCCTTAACCGGCCGAACCTCTCACAGTTTTACACACTTGCGTGTCCGAAGGGCTTGGCTACAAGCTATCCTCCTGTTGGGCTTCATCCAGATGATCCTGGGGGTCCTCATCGTGACTCTGAGCTTGCTGGTCACCACTTCCATCCCATCTCAGCATCCCATCGGGAATTCCTGTCCCATCTGGGCTGGGTTTCCGGTGAGTCTCTTCTGAAGGGTCGGTGGGCATGGGTTTTTTTGGGTGTGTGAGGGATCGCATGGTCCCTGTGGCTGCAACAAGATATTCTCCCCCCCCCCAGGGGAATCTGAAATATTTCAAAGGATAATTACCCCAGAAAGCTTTCAAAGATAAGCTGAATTTCAAGTGATGCAAGAAGTATGGAAAGGGAGGGAGGAAGGAAGGAAGGAAAAGGGAGAGATGGAGGAAAGAAGGAAGGAAGGAAGGAAGGAAGGGGGAGGGAGGGAGGAAAAGGAAGGAAGGAAGAGGGAGGGAGGGAGGAAAAGGAAGGAAGGAAAAAAGGAAGGAAGGAAGGAAGGAAGGGGGAGGAAAGGTGGGAGGGAGGGAGGGAGGAAGGAAAAGGATGAGTACCCCGGAATGGAATGGAATGGAATGGAATAGAATAGAATAGAATAGAATAGAATAGAATAGAATAGAATAGAATAGAATAGAATATAGACTAGATTAGACTAGACTAGAATATGGACTAGAGTAGACTAGAGTAGACTAGAATAGACTAAACTAGAATAGAATAGAATAGAATAGAATAGAATAGAATAGAATAGAATAGAATTTGTTGTTGTTAATTGCAAAGTTGTGTCCGACCCATCGCGACCCCATGGACCACGTTCCTCCAGGCCTTCCTGTCCTCTACCATCTTCTGGAGTCCGTTTAAGCTCACGCCTGCTGCTAGAGTAGAATAGATAGTGAATATAGAAGAGAAGAGAGAAGAGAAGATCTAGAAACCACAGCCTAGAAAATAGAAAACGTTCGAGAACGCAGAATAGAACTGAAACAGAACGGAATGGAAAACCGAACGGAAATCAACCAGAACAGAAAAGAAATAAAACCAGATGCTGCCCAAAGGTTATCCCTAGCCCAGGTGAGCGGGAGCTACGCATCTTTTTTTATGGGCCAAAGGTTTTTTTCCAGATTTCTTTTATTTTTAAGGCTCAGACTCTGCCCTTATCCTGTTTTGTGTCTCCCTGCCTCCGGAGACTTCCTTTCTGGAAAGATCGAAAACCGAGGCTCTCCTCCGTTTCTGGAACTTGGCTCTCCCTTCCTCCAGCGGAGAGGCTGCCTGGCCGAAGTTCCCAGCCTTTTTGCATTAAGAGCGTTTCAGCCGCTTGTTCTCGAGACGCAATGATAAATAATTCAGGGCCGAGGCCTTCCATTAGACGCGAGAGATGCCCAAACTGGTGCCCAGCCCTTGCCTTCACCCGCCTCTCTGCAGAGACCTTGGCAAAATGCAATGCCATCGGGGGGAGGAGGAACTTAAATCCCCCCCAATTCCTCAACTGGGAAAGACGGTTGGATGGGAGAATAGAATAGAATAGAATAGAATTGAGTTAAAGAATAGAATAGAATAGAATAGAATAGAATAGGAATAGAATAAAATAGAATAGAATAGGAATAGAATATAGAACAGAATATAGAATAGAATAGAATAGAATAGAATAGAATGTAGAATAGAATGTAGAATAAGAATAGGAATTAGAATAGAATAGAATAGACAGAACAGAGAGTAGAATAGAATAGGAATAGGAATAGGATAGAATGTAGAATAGAATAGAATAGAATAGAATAGAATAGAATAGAATAGAATAGAATAGAATAGGAATTAGAATAGAATAGGAATAGGAATAGGAATAGGAGAGAATGTAGAATAGAATAGAATAGAATAGACAGAACAGAGAGTAAAATAGAATAGAATAGGAATAAGATAGAATGTAGAATAGAATAGGAATAGGAATTAGAATAGAATAGAATAGAATAGAATCTGGAAGGGATCTTGGAGGTCTTCTAGTCTAGCCCCCTGCTCCAGCAGGAGAACCTAGTCCTAGGACCCACCTGTGCATGCCAGTTGCCAAGCACCCAAATTTCGATCATGTGATTGTGGGGGTGGTGTGACGCTCGTAAGTGCGAGGACAGGTTGCGGATTGCTGTTTTCAGTGCTGCGGTTGACTCTGAGCGGTTCTGTGCAATAAAAGTCACTTTGGGAGCAATGAGCGTTCCTTTATGTCACCCTTGAAATGGGCCAGTTTCTCATCCCTGCTTTCTCTTGTTTCCAGCTGGCATTCTCTGGTGTGGTTGGCATCGTTTCATGGAGACGCCCTTTCACGCCCGTGGTAAGTGGGAAGCTTTGTTGGCCAGCAGGAAGGCACCAGCAGACTCGCCCATCCCGGCCGTCGGACCCCAGAGCAAGCCGCCCCTTCTCCCTTCCCCTCTGTCTTTCGGACGTAATCTGGAGTTTCCCACAAGGCAATCGTACTCCTCTGCAGCAGCCAGAGTCTCTTGTACAAAAACGAATTAGACAGAGACAGATAGATTAGATCAGTGTTTCTCAATCTTGACAATTTTAAGGCATGTGGACTTCAACTCCCAGAATTCCACAGCCAGCGGCCAGGTTTGAGGATCCCTGCCCTAGAGTCTCTACATTTCTCAACCTTGACAATGCTGGCTGTGGAATTCTGGGAGTTGAAGTCCACATGCCTTAAAATTGTCAAGGTTGAGAAACACTGGATTAGATAGAGAGAGAGAGAGACAGACAGATGATAGATGGATCCTAGAGAGAAAGAGATGATAGATAGACGAGAGAGAGAGAGAGAGAGAGAGAGAGAGAGAGAGAGAGAGAGAGAGAGAGAGAGAGAGAGAGAGAGGTAGACATATACGAGATAGAGATGATAGATGTAGATATAGACAACAGACAGAAATGGATGATAGATAGATAGATAGATAGATAGATAGATAGATAGATAGATAGATAGATAGATAGTCAGATAGATGATGGATGGATAGGTGGATCCTAGAGAGAGACAAATGAGAGATGAAAGAAAGATAATGAGATGTAATCATTTGGTATCATTCAATAATTTGGTATCATTCAATAAAAAATTCTAGAATTTTTTTCCTGATATTTTGGAGCATTTTTGGCACCCTGAATTGCTTGTTCTCCCCTCCCTCCTTCTTTCCAGATCACCTTCTTCACCCTCCTGTCTGTCTTAGGGGTGATGCTCACCCTGGCGGGCTCCATTCTGTCCTGCCAACACGCCCAGCAGGTGAAATCTTTGGAAGTCTGTGAGCGGATAAGGCAGCGAGACGGATCTTCGATCCCAAAGGAGGTGGGATGGCGACGGAGCCTGAAAGGCCAGGTGGGGATGCAACGGGTCAGTTTTGGGGAGGGAGGGAGGAATTTTGGAGGAGCAAGGTTTGGAGCCCCAGGGGGAAGGGAAGAAGAATCTATTCATCCTTTCTCAGCCTGCTGTCTTGGAGGCAGAGCAGGAAAAAGTGTATCCCACTCTGACACCATCCAGAGACCACAAAACATCGTATCCCACTTCTACCATCGGCACAAACAGCTGTATCCCACTGCTGACACCATCCAGAGATCAGGAAAAAGTGTATTCCGCTTCTGACACCATCTGCAAGGCAGGAAAAAGTGTATCCCACTGTTGACACCATCCAGAGAATCTCTGAAAATTCTCGTAATTCCCCAGCCAGCATGCTTTTAGATGCAACGATCTTTTCTTTTCTTTGCAGACTAGTTTTCTGTATAAGAAATGCATCTACGCGCCATCCGAATCCGGGATTCCCGCCTGCGGCAATAAAGCTGATGTGGATTCAAATTGTTCCAGGATCCTTCTCGTCCTCAAAGTGAGTGGCAAGGGAAAGGTTGTCGCTAGCCATCATGGAGGAACAGCTGGTGAAATGGACAGAATTTGCTGAGGCAGACAAACGGAACCTTCTCAAGATTTCACATGATTATTTTTTTTACACTGTTATGGTTTGTTACAAAGTCGGCCAGATGTTTAGGCTGGATTTGGCATTTATTTCCTGCACCCGTTAAGTCCTTCCCAAGTATCTGGGATAGACAGATGTGGTTGTTTAATAACATTAAAAGTATTGGCGCAGGATGTCAGCTGTCCCAAGTCAAGCTGCCCTTTTGCAATTGACGGGTGAAGATTTTTGTCAATGCCGAGAGGGTTCAATTGCTATTATTATGGTTCCTCACGCAGCCAGATGTTGAAACTGGATTTGGGTATTTTGAGTCCTTCCCAAGGACCTGGGATATAGACAGATGTGGTTGTTTGATGGTGTTAAAAGTCTCAGTGCAGGATTTAAGCTGTTCTAAATAAAGCTGCCTTTTGCAATTGACCGATGGGGATTTTGTCAATGTCGAAAGTGTTCCAACGGTGTTCCAGATGTTTTGGACGTATTATTATTCTTTCCTTTGTTTGGAATTTCTCCAGAACTTAGCTAAAATGCATCTCCTTCTGTTTCTCTGTTACTCCTTTCTGACAATTTTCCCTTTACTCACCGTAGGACCTGCTTTTCAGTATCTGTGGCTTAACCATCTTCTCCATCGTTGTGTGTACCCTGTCTGCCATCATGTGTTGCATTCAGATTTTTTCAGTCGACATTCTCCACGTGGTGAGTCACCCAAAAAACGGGGCTGGCTCTGAACTCGCAACCAGAAGCTCTCAAAGAATAGAATTAGAATAGAATAGAGCTAGAAGGGACCTTGGAGGTCTTCTAGTCCAGCCCCCCCTGCTCAAGCAGGAGACCCTATACCATCTCAGACAAGTGGCTGTTCAGCCTCTTCTTACAAAATCTCCAGTGATGGAGCAGCCAAAACATCTGGTGGCAGGCTGTTCCACCGGTGAATCATCCTCCCTGTTAGGAAGTTTTTCCTTAATTGCAGGTTGATTCTCTCCTTGATGAGTTTCCATCATTTGGGTGTTTGGGAAAATAGGTTGACACCCTCTTCTTTGGTCCAGCCTCTCACCTTTCATCTAGTCTAACTCTTGAGCAGGGGGTTGGACTAGATGACCTCCAAGGTCTCTTCCAACTTTATTCTTATTATTCTTATTATAAATATTGGAACATTGCTATCCAGTTCTTCTAGCCAAACTCCAAATTCTGCAACTGTTCTTCATCTGTTTTTGTCTCCTTTGCATTTTTTCCAAAATGCCATTGTCTTTTTTTTAATAACGTGGTGACCAAAAACTGGATTTTTCTTACCCTTTCTCGCCGGGTTTAATTTACTAAGATTATCCAAGAGATATATTTTTTTTTACTTACTTACCGTTTCCTGCCGGCTTGAATTAATTTATTCAATTCTCTTTCCATTTTCAGCTTTCCCCACCTCGGTCAAGCTCCGTCACGCTGGACTGTACGTCTCCTCCGGACACTTTCTTGCAGCACATGTTGGACCTGGATGAGTTTGTCCCGCCAGTTCCGCCCCCTCCTTACTACCCTCCCGAATACACCTGCAGCTCTGAGACAGATGCCCAGAGGTGAGATTGCTAAAAGGTGGATTGCGTGACGTGTAAATAAATTTGGGCTCGACGCAAAGAGATTCCATGCCCTGTGAGAGAATCGGAGGTTTTGCTGGCAACGAGACCTTGATTCGAAGAGAAAGAAAATGCAACCACAATAGAAAGGAAAGAAAAGAAAAAAGGAAGGAAGGAAGGAAGGACAGAAGGAAAGGAAAGGAAAGGAAAGGAAGAAATAAGAAAGAAAGAGAAAGAATGGAAGGAAGGAAAGGGAAATAAAGGAAAGGGAAGGAAGAGAAGGAAGAGAAGGAAAGAAGAAAGAAAGAAAGAAAGAAAGAAAGAAAGAAAGGAAAGGAAGGAAGGAAGGAAAGAAAGAAATAAGAAAGGAAGGAAAGAAAGTAATAGGAAAGAAAGAAAAAGAAAGGAATGGAAGGAAGGAAAGAAATGGAAAGAAAGAAAAGGAAAGGAAGAAAGAAAAAGAAAGAATTTATTTAACCCATTTAACAGATAATATCTTATTTATTTATTGTTGTTTAGCATTACCTACAACGGCTCCATGGATAGTCCGGTACCCCTGTACCCCACTGATTTTCCTCCAAGTTATGAGGCTGTTATGGGGCTCCGTGGGGACAGCCAGGTATGGTTGAAGATGGTCTTGCTGCTGATGAATCCAAGTCGAGGGGCAGTTGAGTTGTTTTTTAATCAACGGAAAGACAGAGCACCCTGGAGCATGTGCAAAGGGCATGTGCATATGTGAAGTGGTATATAATTCTAAGTGCTATTGCCCTTCCTTCCTTCCTTCCTTCCTTCCTTCCTTCCTTCCTTCCTTCCTTCCTTCCCTCCCAGTGGTTAGAATGCAGTATTGCAGGTTAACTCTGCTGACTGCCAGGAGTTCAATCGTGACCATCTCAAGGTTCACTCAGCCTTTGTTCTTCTGGGGTCGGTAAAACGAGGACCCAGATGGTTGGAGGGGTCAACACACTGACTCTGTAAACCACTCAGCAAAGGCTGTAAAGCACTGTGAAGCGGTCTATAAGTCGAAGTGCTATTGCAACAGTAGATTCTGCAACTAGTTGTTAGCTAGGCCCGCTGTGGAACCTCCAAAGACAGTAGCATATATCTTGAAAACTTCACGGTCCTCTGCAAAGCTAAATTAATGGACGTTTTCTGCCTACAGGTAACGCTGTTTGATTCTCAGTTTACAGAAATATCGCACGGGCCGTGTTCCTGCAACCAGGTCCCTTCCGTTGTACTCAGTGGCGAAGGTACATACACACACACAAACACGCAAGTGTTTTGATGCACTGCTGGAAAAGGTCCTTTGGGGGTAGCTGTTCCTCCACAAAGTCCCTTGTAGGACAAAGGAAGTGCAGAAGAGAGACTCAAAATGAGAGGATTGGGGAAAAAAACAGGGGCTTTGGAGAATAGCTTGACTGCCTCTTCTTTGGGGCAGCCCCTGAGATATTGGAATGCTGCTATCCTGTCCCCCCTCGTCCTCTCCGTTAAACTAGACATACCCAATTCCAGCAACCGTTCCTTATATGTTTTAGCCTTCAGTCCCCTGATCCTCTTTGTTGCTCTTCTCTGCACTGTCCATTTTTCCAACAGCGATCTCCGTGGACAGCAACTCGCTCATCATGTCGGAAATTGTAGACATTCCCGGGGACAGCAGCCCGTCCGAGGACTCCTGCTTGCTGGAAGGAAGTGGATCGGCGTGCTCGGTGGATTACGTGCTCTTCCGCTCCATCCAGCGCAGCAGAGCGGATTACTGCCTGAGTGTCGATTGTGGACACTGTGGGCTTCACCCCCAGGGCCCGTTTGAAGACGTCCCCCAGGCGCGCCTGCGCGGAGAGCGTTCCTTCTCCTGCTCCACGCCGGGCACGGTGTACGACGGGCTACTGGAGACCAGCGGTGCCCACACCCACAGCTGCCACCGCCTGGAGGGTCTTGGCCACGGCGTGGGACCGTGTTTTCCCGAAGTGCGCGTGAAGCCCAAGACCGTGGTGTCGGCGCGCAAAGGGCTCAGACGGCTGCGCCGGAGCAGCGAAATATCCTGCCAGTCCCCCTTGATCCGTTGTTCCCTGCTGCGGTCCCACAGCGACCCTGGAATGGGCATGTCCAGGGAGGCTGGTAGGTATGGCTGAATGACAGCAGTGGAAGGGACCTTGGAGGTCTTATAGTCCAACCCCCTGCTCAGGAAGGGAGGGAAGGAGGGAGGGAGGGAGGAAGGAAGTGGCCCCTCTCTCCTTCCCGCCCCAAATCAAACCTTCTACCTTTTTAGAGAGCCACGAACCCCCCCCAGATTTTAACTTTTCTCTCCCGCTTTTTCCTCCCTTCCACCCCCTCCCCACAGAAAGCGACGATCAGGAAGTATTTTGCACCAAAGGGTCTGGAGACGAGGCCTCTCATTCATCGGCGGAAACAGGTGAGGGCTGTACTGCCTAGTGGTGTGAGTTTACCCTCCCCCCCCCCAGAATCATCATTTTGCTGTGTTGTGGTCACACTAATTGTGGTCACACAGCTTAAAACGACGACAACAGACGCTTACTCCAAAGCCACAGGTTTCAAAGAAGAGTCACCCGTATGGTCGCTTAAGTTTTAGAAACACTGCAAGAATGCAAAGGGTGGCAGCTCAGCCTTCCTCAAAGTTCCCACGCTCCGCAGGCAGCACAGCTAGTCCTCTAGTTACCACCGTTCATTTAGCGGCCGTTCAAAGTTACAACGGCGCCACAAAAGGGGACGTAAGACCATTTTTCGCCCTTGACATCCGTCGCAGGGTGATGGGATAAAAATTCAGACCTTTGGCAACGGCTTCATATTTATGATGGGTTGCAGCATCCCGGCGGGTCACGTGATCCCGGGACGAGTCAAGGGGGGAATCCAGATTCACTTAATAACCGGGTGACTCACTTAACAACGGAGGCGAGGAAGGCCATAAAATGGGGCAAAATCCGCCGAGCCAATCTCTCCCGTAGCAACGCAGGCTGAATTGTGATGGTGATTCGCGGGCTTACCTGGTCAGGTAGCCCTTGAGCTACGATCCTCATTGACCGTCGTAAGTCGCTGACTGTTGCAAAGCAATTCACCTGCCGAGACCCAATTTTATGACGTCTTCACGGCAGTCGTTAAGCAGACCCCTTGTTCGCTACGGGCTTTTTTTTCCCTTTCTTTCCTGGAAATTGGAACTTCACCCTGGTTTCTTCCAAAGCGTCATAAATTGTGGTCACTTGGCTGCAGGGGGCTACAAGAGGCCGTAACTTGATTGTAAGCAGCTGTTGGGGGAGGGAGGGAGGGGCTGTTGTACCATTTGTGCACCCGCAACTTAAATTCTCCGCCCCCCCCTTCTCAGGACCGTGTTCGGAGGCTTCTCGCTTGCGCCCCTCCCTCGGCGACCCCCCCTTGCTGGCTCACCTGGCCGGCAAATCCAAGCTGGAGCTGCCGCAGAAGTTGCCCCATCACCAATCAAAGACGATCACGCGCTCTCTGGGGGACCTCAAGGCGTGCCGGGGGTCTCGCAGACTGATGGCCCGGTTCCTGCGCAGATCCAAACGCAACCTGACCTTGCCCGGGGTGGAAATGACTTCCTGTGGGAACAAGCAGGTACCCTGGGGGGGGGAGGAGGGTCTTCCCCACGTCCAGGAGGCTTGTCTTAGTAGGAGGTTTTTAAAGGTTTTTTGGGGGGGGGGGCAGATTGGACCATGGTCTGTCCGAAATGGTAGAGGGTCTACTGCTTGAGCAGGGGGTTGGACTAGATGACCTCCAAGGTCCCTTCCAACTCTTGTTATTCTGTTATTCTGCTATTCTTCCTTCCTTCCTCCCTCCCTTCCTTCTTTCCTTTCCTACCTACCTTTTTTACTTTTCTCTCCCTCCCTCCCCCTCCCTCCCTCCCTTTTTCCTTCTTCCTTCCTTCCTTCCTTCCTTCCCTACCTTTTTTACTTTTCTCTCCCTTCCTTTTTTCCTTCCTTCCTTCCTTCCTTCCTTCCTTCCTTCCTTCCTTCCTTCCTCCCTCCCTCCCTCCCTCCCTCCCTCCCTTTTCACCCTCATGAATGAAAACAGCCATGCAAATGAAGAATTGAGCCTTACCAAGAAAAACACAGCAGCAAATGTAAAGACAATAATTAAAGAAAACACCCACCCCCTGTAGAGATTGCTCTGTTGAGCCTGGAATGCTCCCTGCTTAATTAATTGGGCCAGTAATTAATAATTGGGCCAGTAATTACCGAGGCGGTCGGGGAAAGGAGGACTTTGTGAAACAGGATGACACAGAATTTAAATAGCTGGACTTTTTTTTAACAAGGATTATTTCCCCCAAATATAGCTGTGCCCTTGCATGAGGTGACTCCGATCCAGAATACGCTGCCTGGAATCCTGGTTAATTTCAAATAGTTTATATAGAGTTGTTGAAAGCGTATCCTGGATTGCGGTTACTAAACTTGAATTTTGGACGGTCATTAAATGAACTGTTGTAAGTTATGGACTACCACTACCTTTAATATATATCTATATATATCTATATGTACGTATATGATCTCTCTCTCTCTCTCTCTCTCTCTCTCTCTCTCTCTCTCTCTCTCTATATATATATATATATATATATATATATATATATATATATATATATATATGTTTCCTAAATTTTTGGATTTTGGGATAGCTATTTCGAGCTGATTAGCTCTCATCAGAAAAAATATTTCTTCCTCCCATATTTGAGCCGACAGGGTGCATCAAAAACAAACAAACACTCAAGATATATCTATATATCTATATCCATCTCTCTCTCTCTCACACACACACACACTATATTGATGTATGTATATGATATACGATATATCTATATATCTCTATCTCTAATCTATCTGTCTATGTATCTATCATCTATCTATAATCTACAGTATATAACTATGTATCTATGTATCTATCTCTATGTCTCTATATCTATATATTTATATCTATCAGTATGTATACATAGGTATGTGTGTGTGTCAGGACCGTCAGGATGGATATCAAAGACAACAACAGGAAAATAATTATAATTCAGAGCAATTAACATCGGAAGTAATTATCAGGTTACTGCAGTTGTGACTGTGAGCTGTTTGTTTTGAGTGCCAGTACAGACACTAGACAAACTATGCTTGTTGGGTCATCATTTTGGAGGTATTGCTCTACTTAAACAGAGAAGCAAAATGATTGTAGGCAGGCAATCAAGCCAAGGGAACGGAAGTGATTTACGACTTCCTGCTGGCTTCCCCAATAACTTTTCTTGTGGAAAGCTGCTGGCAGGGAGCCCTGCAAATGTTGATCATGTGACTGCGGCAAAGAGGCCAGCCACGTTTCCATTTTAACAGGTTTATCTTCCTTTGTCAACAAGATATAAAATGTAAAACAAAGAAACAGAAGTTGTGCTTCTTATCCTGAGTTATCTCGCAAGGTTAACCCTGAGGGACCCGTGATCATTTTTCCTCATCCAAATCCTCCCCCTTTCCTCCCTGCTTATGACCTATCTTTCTCAGCAAGCGATTCCTTGGGTTTTTCAGGTGTTAAGGCTGGGGAATCCTGCCGACGGCATCCATCTGCAGAGCTGCGGCGATCTGAACTCGACCTCCCCCTTACGGCGTCTGCTGTCCGGTCGCCGGCTGGACCAGAGACGTCCCTGCAGCCTCAGTGGACTTCTGAGAGAAAGCAATCTCTGAAGACCAGCTCCGTCCTCTGCGGAAGAGGATCTGGAGCGAAAAACCCGCCCCGCGATGGATATCTGGGGAATGTCCTCGCTGTACAATGTCCAGGAACGGCCTCATAGGTCAACTACACCATTGCTTGGAAATTAGTCCGCCTTGCTCAGGATACATTCGAAACCAAAGCAGGGAGTCCCGTATTCCCGTACGGCGATCTCCAAAAATTCTTTGAGGGGAACCCCAAAACTTGAATGGGGGTCAGGAAGGAGGGCTCACCTGCGCCGTCTCATGTGACAATCAGGACTCATTTTTTAAGGGCTCCACCAACTCTCATTCTGGAGTCTCGGTTATGCGCGCGTGGCGGCGGTGGTAATCCGGCGAGCCCATCCTGCTGATCTAAAACGAGATCGATTGAACGAATTCCTTACATCTCAATGGGAAGGACTGCTTGGATGCACCATTGAACTGATAATCCTATCGTTCTGTCCCAGATTCACTATCCCAGAGATGCTGTTCCGTCTTCCCGTTATCCATGATGCGCCCGCAGCGTCGCGCTGTTTGGTTCCTTGTACACCTGTCCCTCGCATTTGTCCCTCTCTTGTGGATACCTCACTTTTGCTGTGCCTTTTTGGGGTGCTTACCTTGGAGAGCCATCGGGGACTGGGAGGGGACCCAGCTGAATTCTGGGGGGGGGGAGAGAGAGAGAGACGAGATGCCACAAAAGCAGGCCCAGATTTTTGCTCTGGCACCATGAAACAGTTCGGATCATAGTTTGAAGGGACACGCTTTCCCACGATAGACTTCCTCTTAGAGGTTCCACAGAGCCAGTAAGAAATCAGGACACTTCCAGGGCCTTGACCAATCCCTCGGACAAGAAAAGGAGTTAGTCATTGACTTACGATCACAAGGGAGCCCAACATTTCTGTTGTTAAGCGAGACAGGTTGTTAAGCGAGCTTTTGTTTCGTTTTACGACCTTTCTCGCCACAGTTGCTAAGGGGAATCACTGCAGCTGTTAAGCTAGTAACAGGGTCGTTAAGTGGATCTGGCTTCCCCGTTGATTTTGGCAGTCAGAAGGTTACCTTCTGCTGTGACCTTCGTACGTACGAGCCCGTTGCCAAGCGGCTGAATTTTAATCATGTGACCACGGGGGACACTACAATGGGCCGTAAGTGTGAAAACCAGTCCTAAGTCCCTCTTTTCCAGTGCCGTTGTAGCTTCGGTCGCTAAGTGAAGTCTTTGTAAGTCGAGGGCTACCTGTAGGAACAAATTACGACGATTCTGGGGCCCAGCGGACGAGAAAGGGGATTAGCGTTACCCCCAATTTCTTTCTGGCTCTTGCAAAATTCACACCTTTTGCTTTCTGTCCGGAGATTCTGCAAAGGAGGCAAGACCTTCAAATGCTTTGATTTCCCCGAGAGAGATTTTTCTCTAACTCCCAGTTTGGGTTCCTAATTTTCGGATAAGATATAAGATCTCGCCGTCACCTTTCCTGATTTCTCCGTCGGGGAGGGGCAGAATTGGGTGTGTGTGTTTTTCTGAGGATGGCCAACTCTGTCCCACCCCACCAGTGCCTCTGCTCGTTAACCAAGCCTGCATGTACAACTCAGGAGATGCACCGCCGAGGAAGTCTCTCCCTGTTTGGAAAGACAGAGGTATCTCCGCCAAGGGGAGGAGTTGGCAACTTTTCTTGACCCGGCCGGTCTTTGAGATGCACAAATACTCACCTGAGAAAAAGAAAATAAAGCCATATCTAAATCAAGGCTGAGAGCTGGTGACTGGGGGTGCTCCTTAATGCTTCTCTTTTTTTGGGGGGGGGAATAGCTTTGTTATGTTGTTAGAAAAAAGAGGCCAAAATGAAATCATTTGAGACAGAAGGGAGAGAAAAGTACAGAATGGAAAAAGAAAGCAAAGAAAGAAAGAGAAAGAAAAAAGAGAAAAAAGAAAGGAAGAAAGAAGGAAAGAAAGAGAAAGAAAGAAAGCCAAAAGGGAAGGAAAGAACGAAAAAGAAAGAAAAAAGAAAGAAAGAGAAACAAAGCCAAAAGGGAAGGAAAGAAAGAAAAAGAAAGAAAGCCAAAAGAAAGGAAAGAAAGAAAAAGAAAAAAAGAATCTTTCCTTCCTTCCTTCCTTCCTTCCTTCCTTCCTTCCTTCCTTCCTTCCTTCCTTCCTTCCTTTTTGGCTTTGCCAAAGAAAGAAAGGAAGAAAAGAAAGGAGAAAGAAAGGAAAGAAGGGAAGAAAAATTAGAAAAGAAAGAAAAAGTAAGGGGAGGAAACAAATGAAGAAGGAAAGACAAGAAAGGAAAGGGAGATGAGGAAGGAAAGAAGGACAAGAGAAAGGCAGAGGGAGGAAGGGAAGGAAGGAAGAACTGGCACTTTGGCCATTAAACAAAGCCGCCGTTAACCGACACTGTGACTGCTTATGAACTGACCTCACTTTTCGTTTGCAGCAAGTCGTCAACGCGAAGACCAGTCGCAAAGTTATTTTTTCATCACCATCATAACTGCGAACGGTCACTAAAAGAGCCGGCTAAATGAGAGCTACCTGAATCAACCACGCGGCGCAAATTAAAACATTGCAGCCCTTCACCAAGCCAGAAACAACCTGATATGAAAATTGAGCGCCAGGGATTGCAATCCACAGAGGATAAACAGTTGCACCAAAGATTTGCAATCTACCAGAGATTAGTAATACTTGACAGCTTGATTACAAATCACACCCTTTTCTAGAGATGGAATAATAGTTGGAGCCTGGCGCATAAATAAATGAGATATTTAACAGATGACAACTGGTTGGTACAACTCTGCCACCTGCCAGTCACCTGATCCTGCTCATACACAACAAGCAGACAAGGCGGGCCAGCCCAAATGCCATTCCCAGCCAATGACCTGATCCAGCCTCAAGTCCTTTTGACCCCCAACCCTTACACCAATTCTTGCACTCTTGTACACTCTCCCATTGCGGGCCCCTCGCTCACCTGCGGGGAGAAGCAGAAAATGATTTTTAAATTTTGCCGCAGGGGGGCTGAAATCTTACGGTCAGTCCCTAACCTAACGACCGTAAGGCAGCCTGCCCGTTGCAGTCGTTAAGTTGCAACGATTGCAAAGCAGGTCACCCACGGGACCGACCTGATTTCACAACCTGTTTTGCGGCTATTCCAGTTGTAAAGCAAACTCCTCGTTGGTTTGTTGCCAAAAACCAGACGCAATTAACAGAATAAGAGAGCTGGAAGGGACCTTGGAGGTCTTCTAGTCCAGCCCCCTGCTCAGGCAGGAAGCCCTATACCATTTCAGACAAAGGGCTACCCAGTCTCTTCTTCAAAACCTCAAGGAAGGAAGGAAGGAAGGAAGGAAGGAAGGAAGGAAGGAAGGAAGGAAGGATAGCAGAGTAACAGACCTGGAAGGGAAGAAGCCCTAAATGTCTAATTTCTTCTTTAAAAGCTCCCGTGATGGAGCAGCCACAACTTCTGGAGGCAAGTTGTTCCACTGATTAATTGTTCTCCCTGTCAGGAAATGTCTCCTGGGTTCTAGAACATGCTCTCCTTGGTGAGTTTCCATCCGTTGCCGGTTTTCGTTCGGCACAAACACACCGTAGAACACGGCCACGTGACCGCGGGGTGCCACAACACGCCAGTTGCTGCGTGCTTGATGTGCAGTCCTGTCACCACCAGGGGGAGCCACTGTTGGAACTTCAGAACCAGGTCTGTTCTTGTAACTTGGAACGGTTGCTAAGCAACCGCTCGTAAGTCGAGGACATTGATAAGGACACACATATGCACACTGCCTTAATCCTGAAATCAGAAGGTCTGGAGATGGGCAGAGTTGGAAGGATTTCGAACTCGGCGTCAGCGCTAGTCACCTGCGGAGTGAAACCTGCTCCTGGCCAGTTAGTTGTCTTGTGACTGGATTTGGAAAGCAGGTTGCACAAACACCTTGTTGTTCAACGAAAGGATTAAAAAAGTTGTGTAACTGCCAGTTTTTTTTTTATGCCTCCTCTCTCCCATCCTTAAGCTCTTTGCTGCAGTCCAGATAGTCCCTGACTTACGACGACGACGGAAAAGTGAACTTTGCCCCATTTTACGACCTCGTTGTTAACTTAGAAACACCATTGTTAAGTGAAGCTGGCTTGTCAGAGGGTCACCAATCACATAATCCCCGGGACACTCCAGCTGTCATAAATATGAGTCGGTTGCCCTGCGTCTGCATTTGGATCACACGACCCCGGAAATCTGGGCCTCAACAGCCGTCGTAAGTCGAGAACTACCTGTCAAATGAAGGAAAGTATGGTTGGTGCAGTAACAAGAAGCACTAATTATCTGTTGATTAGTCACCTGTCGGCTCCAGTTGATGGCTGGGCAGAGAACCACAAAAATGTGATTTCTTCCACAAATAAGCCTGGCTGAGTCTTGCTATAATTACTGGCCGTCTCCAAGCACTTTCTCGAGCGGCAGCTTTAAAGCTACACCTTCCTTTCAACCACAAATCACACAACCACACAACCACACCGATGCAGGCCACGGAGGAACCAGCTTCTCCTGATTAGCCTCCCAGAACGCAGTATATAGATATAGATAGATATATTTTCATTCTAAGTTCTGTGCCTCCTCTCAGCTCCCTCGCCCTGGAACGGAGGGAGGTCCGGGAAGAACAGAAGCGGCACCACAAAGCCCATCTGCCCCAGCAGAAAGGAAACGAGGTGTTTTGAGCAGGGTAAGTTTTCCAGATGCTTCTTTAATATTGCTACGATGAAGACGGGAGTCCTCGGATTTGCAAAATTTGTTTGCTAAGCAAGACCGGTTACTTTTGCCCCGTTTTACAGTACAACCTTTTTTGCTCAGTTGTTCAGTAAATCACTGCCCTGGTTTAGTGGCACGGTTGTTAAGAGAATCCAGCTTCTCCCTTTTGATTTTGCTTCTCAGGAGGACACAAAAGGGGGGTCACGTGACCCCAGGAGACACTGCGACCATCCTAAATGTTAAGTCATTTGGCCCAGCGTCTGAATGTCGACCCCATGGCTCTGGGGGTGCTGGAACGGTCGTACGTGTGAAAAACGGTCCTAAGTCAGTTTTTCCCAGTGCTGTTGTGACTTTGGTCACTAAATGGACTGTTGTAAGAGAGAAGGGGGGAGGGGGAGGAGGAGGAGAATTAGGAGAATTAGAAGAATTAGAAGAAGAATTAGAAGAAGGAGAAGGAGAAGGAGAAGGAGAAGGAGAAGAAGAAGAAGAAGAAAAGGAGGAGGAGGAGGAGAATTAGAAGAATTACAAGAAGAGTTAGAAGAATTAAAATAATTAGAAGAATAATTCGGAGGAGGAGAAGAATTAGAACTAGAAGAAGAAGGAGGAGGAGGAGGAGGAGGAGGAGGAGGAGGAAGAAGAAGAAGAAGAAGAAGAAGAAGAAGAAGGGAAGGGAAGGAAGGAAGGAAGGAAGGAAGGAAGGAAGGAAGGAAGGAAGAAAGAAAGAAAGAAAGATCCCTGGGAAAGAAATGAACTGAAAGTTGGTGCCAGGCGCTTAACACTTGTGTCTTTTCCACGCCCCCTTTCCACTCCCCTCCTCCTCCTCCCCTCCTCCTTTTCCACCAGTCAGCCCACGTGACCGCCGATCAGCTGATCTTCCCTTTTTGAACGGCTTGAGCTGCGACCTCCCTTGCGCTGCGAAGGCGCTAGTCCCTAGGAAATCAGGGCGCGGTACGTGTGGCGGAGGAGGAGAAGGGGGCGATTATGTCTTTAGCGATAAGGGCAGAAATAGCGGCGGGGTGGTGACGGTCATCTTAATTACCATAATGCTCGTGGTTTGTATTGCACTCCTGCGTTACTCAGATGCGGTGGGGGAGGGGGTGGGGATGGAGGCCTTCTCTTGCACTAGCGAGCCCCTCCTCCCTCCCTCCCTCCCTCTCTCTCTCCCCTTCCTTCTTTCCTTCCTTCCTTCCTTCCTTCCTTCCTTCCTTCCTTCCTTCCTTCCTTCCTTCCTTCCTTCCTTCCTTCTCTCTCTCCTTCCTTCTTTCTCTCTCTCCCTTATTCTTCTTCCCTCCCTACCTCTCCTTCCTTCTTTCTCTCTCTCCCTTATTCTTCCTCCCTCTCTCCCTCCCTCTCCTCCTCCTCTCTCTCCTTCCTTCTTTCTCTCCCTTATTCTTCCTCCCTCCCTCCCTCTCTTCACCCACCGATTGGCCCAAAGTCATCCAGATGGCTTTCATGCCTGAGGCAGAACTAGAACTCCCCGGCTCCTGGTGATAGACGCAAAGTCACCCCTACAGCTTTCACCCTTTCCTGATTTCTAGTCTGGTGCCTCCACCATTACTTGCATGTTTATTGGGAAGAAAGCCATACATTGGGAAATATGAAAGTAACACCTAGGCCAGGGTGAAGGCCTAAACTGGGGATTAAGGGACTAGTCCTCTTGAGATCCATTTGCATCACCCACCCACTCACCTCTAACACAGCTCTTGGCAGCTTGCAATCTGATGGATACAAGAACTAAATTTCATTTCTAATGGGTGCCATTGCACACACACACACACACACACACACACACAGAGAGAGAGAGAGAGAGAGAGGGAGCTCTACCTGTTGAACATTTGCCTGTTAGGGACCTGCGTAGCTGCTGGCTGGTTGGTAAGTAATGGGGGAAGCCATAGAGGAGCGTGAAATGTGCTGGAAGTTTGAGTTAGAACCGAATGGATGAAATGTATTGTGGTTGCTGTGTTTGTGTGGTGGGTGGCACAGCCAGCCAGCCAGGTGTTTAGACTGGATTTGGCATCTTGGTCCACCTCTTCAGTCTTTCCCAAGGGCCCTGGGATGGGCAGAGGTTGGTGTTTAATAATATTAAAGGCATAATTGCAGGATTTAAGCTGCTCCGAGTCAAGCTGCCTTTTGCAATTGACCGATGGGGAATTTGTCAATGCCGATGGGGTTCAATTGCTATTGTTGTGGTCTGTCACAGAGTCAGCCGGGTGTTTAGACTGGATTTGGCATTTTTGTCCTTTGGTCAAGTCCTTCCTAAGGAAGTGGGAGAGGCAGATGTTGTTGTTCTTCTTCCTCCCCTCTCCTCCTCCTCCTCCTTCCTCTGCCTTCTCCTCTTTCTCTTCCTCTTCCTCGTCCTCCTCCCTCTTCCTTCCTCCTTCTCTTCCTCCTTCCTCTTCTTCCTTCTCCTTTCTCCTCCTTCTCCTTCCTCCTCCTCCTTTCTCTTCCTCTTCTTCTTCCTCCTCCTCCTCTTCCTTCTTCCTTTTTCTTCCTCCTCCTCCTCTTTCTCCTTCCTCTTCTTCTTCTTCTTCCTCCTCCTCCTCCTCCTTCTCCTCGGAAAGTCTTCCCCATTTCATGCAGGTTACCTAAACTTCCTCTGACCCGCTCACCCAAAAGATTGAAGGCACCAGGCCAAGCCACAAGTGGCTGCCAGAGAACGAGATGCCTCAGCAAATCACTTACTTCCTCTCCTTGCCATGCCGACTGGAAGTAAACGTCGCCTCTTGAGCCAAGCGCAGCTTGCCCTCCCGTACTTTGGGTTCTTCCCTCCCAGCTCGAGAGGAGAAAGCTGAACTTTCTCTGTGGCAACACTTCCTGACCAACTTTTCATCATCCCGTACAGCGTGTGCCAACTCCTGCCCACAAAAGAGGCGTTTTTGCTTGAGGACGCTGGTTGTTCCGGAGGCTACAAGGAACGTGCCCGTTATGGGCACGTGGAGTTGTCGAACCTCCCAGCTTGTACACTGTGAGGCTACCTCCGTCCAGTGACTCAGTGTCGACAGCCCCAAAACACTGTGGGGAGGAGTCTACTCCTGCGAGGAGTCCTCAGCTTACGTCCACAGTGGGGACCGGAATATCTGTCGCTAAACAAGGCGCTTGTTAAGTCAGGTGTGCCAATTTTACGACCTTCCCCCCTCCCCACCGGTGTTAAGCCAATCACCACTCCGCTACCGCTAGGCCTTGAGTTGCCACCACAGTTGGGCCCAATGTTTCGGTCGCTAACCGAGACAGGTGTTCTGTGAGTCGTGCCCCCGTTTGACGACCTTTTCCTGATAAGTGTTCATTTGGTCACCTGGTGATTAAATGGACCTTCCTTCCCCCGTTGACTGGGCTAGCCAGAAGGTCGCCAAAGGGGAACGGGATGCTGCAACCATCGTAAACGTGAGTCAGTTGCCAAGCTAATGATGGGATTGTTCAATGAACCCAGCTGGGTTTCCTGCCTGAGCAGGGGGTTGGACTAGATGACCTCTGAGGTCCCTTCCAACTTTTTTTATATTATTATTATTACTACTACTATTACTATTACTATTATTACTATTATCCCTAAATAGACTGTTGTGAGTTGGCGATGAATCTGTAAATCCTCTTCCAGGTCAGGCAAGTAGCATTTAACTGATGTGGTATAACTAGTTCAAAAGTATTTCCTTTTTTGTTCCTCCCTTCAGTTGAGTGTCGCCTGCTACGCTGAGCTGCAAAAAGCAACAGTTGCATCCTGGCTGCCGAGGTGTAAGTGCGTCTTCAGGAGCTTTTACAAAACCCAGAAATATTTTTAAAACACCCCTGGCACACCACCCAGTCCTTGGAGGATAGGACCGAAATGGCGTTAATTTCAGCGGAGATATATATATATTTAATTTCATCTTGTGCTTGAATTGATGAGAGACTGGTAAGTTGACATTCCTGCTTTTATCGTCTTAATTAAGGTTGGTTTGTTTTTAATGAAGGATGCTGAAGGACATGGTCCCAGCCTGGCTTGATGCCACCACGCTGCTTTTATAGTTTAGGTATGTGGTTACACTGATGCAAAGATGTCCGGGCTATTTTCTGAGTGGAATTTTCAAACAATGTTTTTTGCTTTGATTGTTTTCGTTAAGTGCTGGGTGGGGCGGGGGGAAATGATGGATGATACTCAGCTGGTTTTGAGGCTCAAGGAAGAATTGTCACCCCACTTCCCCCCCCATCCTGTATAGACCAACGCTTTTAATTACTCAATTATTCACCTTATTTATGCCAAATTTTCTTTATGAATGAGATGGCTTCTTCCAAGCCTTTGGCTACTCGCAGTTGCCTCCTTTCTGCATCAACGTCTGGCGGAAGGGCTGCGTTTATGGTGAACTCGGCGGCCAAAGGCTACCTGGCTAACCTAGTTTGTATTTTGCACCCTTCTAGAACCAGCTTGGTGTCCCGATTAAAGGCATCGGATGAAAAACTGGGTGTCCGTGAGTTCTAATGCTCCATTGGGCACAAAGCCAGCTGGGTGGCCTTGGGCCAGCCACTTTCTCTCAGCCCTAGGAAGGAGGCAATGGCAAACTACGTCTGAAAAACCTTGCCGAGGAAGTTAGCCCTCAACTTAACAACTATCTGTTTAGCGGTCGTTGGAAGTTGAAAAAAGTGGCTGATGGCCAGTCCTTCTAATATCATTCATTTCGCAGCTGCAGCGATTCGCTTAAACAGCCATGCCAAAAAGGTTGTGAAATCAGAGGTGACCCATTTAACAAAACCCTTGGCTTACCCAAAAAAATCCTGGGTCCATCTGGGGTCGTAAACCGAGAACTGCCTATAGTCAGACAGGTTTCCCCCCCCCCCTGCCAGGACTGGAGAATGTAGGACTAAACCTACGTTAACATTAACCTACATTGATGGTGTGCAATTGATGGGGATTTGCACAAGAGTTAAGAGGATCATAAACTCGCACGCTGGATTTGTACCACGTAGTTGAGGAAAACCACGCTGGGGTGGTTTGATGCTGGGACGTGGGGCGCTCCTGCTAGGATTGTGCAAATTTGGACATTTGACGTCAAAATATCCTTTTGGGATTGCAAAGGCTTTTCTTTTTTCTTTTTTCCGGCTATTCCAGTTGTGTGCTGAGGGCTGAACAATATGTTTCTTGCTGGAGAATAGACTAGAATAGAATTAGAATTAGAATAATAGAATAGAATAGAATAGAATAGAATAGAATAGAATAGAATAGAATAGAATAGAATAGAATAGAATAGAATAGAATAAGAGAATATAAATAGAATAGAATAGAATAATAGAATAGAATAGAATAGAACAGAATAGAAGAATAGAAGAGAGAAGAGAGAATAGAATATAGAATAGAATATAGAATAGAAAAGAATAGAATATAGAATATAGATTAGAATATAGAATATAGATTATAATAGAATAGAATATAGAATAGAATAGAATAGAAATTCAGACGCTCGGAAACTGACTTGTATTTATGACGGTCGCAGTGCCTTGGAATCACGTCATTCCTTTTGCGACCATCTGACCAGCAATGTCCACAGGAAAGACAGGTTCACTTAACAACTGTATCACTAACTTCACGCAGTGATTCAGTGAACAACGGCGGCAAGCAAAGTCATAAAATGGAGCAAAAATAACCCTTGTCTCACTTAGTGACAGAAATTTTGAGCTGCATTATTGGTCGTGACTAAGGAACAGAAGTCCCGAACTAAGGAACAGAAATATTTTGCATATTTCTAATGCTAGACTAAAAAAACAAAAACAAAAAAACAAAGGTAGTTCTGTTATTCTTATTTTGTATTTTTTATTTTAGTCCTAGCTAAGCGAAGGAAACGATCTTCATTTAACTCCCTGTTATTCCGTGTTCTGTCTTGACTGATTCGAAGATAGTTCTTTAAAAATCATATTTATCGGAGGAGGTCTGATTTGTCCATCTTCTGGTGGGGGTTTATTTTGTTTTCTCAAAAAGCTGGGAATGAAAACGAGCGTTTTCGCATAAGCCATTTTCTTTGTGTGTGTTTTTTTTGTTGTTGTTGTTTTGAAGATTAAGAAAAATTCACTCCCTGCCAGGGGAGACACTGCCAACTTTTCTTTAAAAAAAAATTGAGTTTATCTGTGGGGGAAAAAAATCCCTCTTCTGTTAGTGTGCTTCTAATCCTCTGGGTTGGTTTTTTTTTTTTTTTTCCTTCTTCCCTGTATCATTTCTGGTTAAGAGGATAATTGTGGTGTTGTAACAGGCGAGGCGTGGAAAAAAAAAAAGGCCGGAGGATTTAACGAAGGGTATAAAAGATTTCCTGAGGAAGCGTTACAAGTTTTGCTTTAAAAAAAAAAACAAACTGCTTTGGAAATTGGCCAAGGCAAAAAGGAATTATTATTATTTTTTTACATTTGGGCCGAAAGGAAGGTGACGGAGAACCCAGCGGATAAAATTGTCAAGCGGGAATTCGACAGGTAATGTCCCGAGTTCAAATTTAACCAGGCCCTACAAAATCTTTTCTCCTTCCTCTCCGAGACTAAATTCTCAGAAGGCGATGGGCGCTGAGTTAGAAGGCTGCAGATCTGTATTGAAGAAAGTCAGAAGTCACTCTTTTTAACTGCCCCCCCCTTAGATCCTCTTTTCTTTTTTCTCTTTTCTCTTTTCGTTTCTCTTCTCTTTTTTCTTTCCTTCTTTCCTTTATCTTTCCTTCTGTCACTTTCTATTTTATCTTAAAACAACCCAATGAAGTTGCTTAAAAATAAATAGAAGGAGTTTTGAACAGGCTATCCATGCAGTCTGAAAAAACAAGGAATGGTGATGTTTAAAATTGCTCGATTAGTCTTTTCCTCTCATTTGCAATATTAAACATCACCATTCCTTGTTTTTTTAGACTGCATGGATAGCCTGTCCTTATGAATATTTAAGGCTCTCAGACTAGTAAATCTGATTGTGAATTTTTAGAGTCACTTTGATTTGCTACTTGATTTGAATTGGAATTTCCTGTCCTTGTTTCAGGGGTTTTTGTAGGTACGAAGAACCACCTGGGTGGAACCTCTCATCTCCTAATTTCTTGATTTTGCAACCCAGCGTGAGACATTGGTGGGATTATGGCATCCGTGACAAGCTGGCTTCTCGCTTTGGTCTTCTTACTGGCTGTGGCCAAGACAGCAACGGGTGAGTTTGGGGGGAAATTGATTTTGCCTTCCTGCAAAAATTCTTTTGACCCTGCACGCAGTTTCGTCCAATTTGGCTTTGTGTGAACTGTTTTGGCTAAGTTTAAAAGAGAAAAAAACTCCAAGTTTGCTGTAAATCTCCATGGAAGTGTGGAGCCTCCATGTTGAAAGGCAGTTTACCTTTAAACAAAGTATTTAGCTGCTGTAAGAGGGAGGCATTCCTGCTTGACACCTGTGCTTGTTTGACAGCAAGAACATGAGGAGAAGGCAGATCCTTAATTTAAACTAGGACTTCCCGCTTTTTTTTTTTTTGTAAGTGTGCAAAACAGGCCCAAATCCTCTTTTTTCAGTGCCGTTGTGACTTTGAACGGTTGCTAAAAGGCCCGTCGTAAATCGAGGATTACCCGTATATTCCTAATGTCTATTCTACATCTGTCGATTTTGTCGATTTTCGTAAAAATCGTTCCCTTCCTTCTCCATTCAGGAAGCCGACCTTGTGTCCCGAAATATTTTGGTGACAATGCTGTTGTGTGCATTTGTAACAGCACGTATTGCGACACGCAAGACCCCGTCTCTCTCCCCCCTTTGGGTCAGTTTGTGGTGTACGAAAGCAGCAAGTCCGGAAAACGGCTGGAACGCAGAGAAGGCTATTTTCAGAAGCTGACGGCCAAACCAGGTATTTCTCCCACGGAGGTGTCAGGACTACAAGTCCCATCTCCCCAGGGTCACGTGATCAAAATTCAGATGTTTGGCAACTGATTCATATTTATTATTATTGTTATTATTATTAATAATAATAGCCTATCCCAGGTCCTTGGTAAGGACTTAATAGGGTGGACAAAAATGCCAAATCCAGTCTAAACATCTGGCTGACTATGAATAATAATAATAATAATAATAATAATATAGCCTATCCCAGGTCCTTGGTAAAGACTTAATAAGTGGACAAAAATGCCAAATCCAGCCTAAACATCTGGCTGACTGTGATGATGATGATGATGATGATATAATAATAATAATAATATAATAATAATAATAATAATATGTAATGCCTATATACTCAGACTTTACCTTAGCAGCTATTAGGTTGTTTGTTAGGACTTGAACTATTAAGGTTTTACCAGTCCCAGACCATGAATCAAATTGAAGATTAAATCAATAATAATATGCCTCCAGTTGTAATGGTCTTTATTTTATGTATGTATTTATAAAATGTCTAGGCCACCTCTGTTGCCTCAGTGTAACTCTTCCTTTGCACCCTTCCTTTCCTTAGATGTTCTTCTGATTTTGGAGACGGCCCAGCGGTATCAAAGAATAAAAGGATTTGGGGGGTCCGTCACTGATGCAGCCTCCATCAACATCCTGGCTCTGTCGCCGAACACCCAGAAAAATCTACTCCGTTCCTACTTCTCGGAGGAAGGTGAGCATGAGTGCAAGGGGTTTAGTGGTTGAAGAGGGAGGTAAGAGGGATCTAAAAGGAATTCGGTTTAGAACAGGGGTAGGCAACCTTGGTTCTTTTATGACTCGTGGACTTCAACTCCCAGAATTCCTGAGTCAGCCATGCTGAGAGGAAAGGGAGAGGTTTCCAAGCTGAGCCATGCTGGCTCAGGAATTCTGGGAGTTGAAGTCCATGAGTCAGAGGGGGCCATAGTTCCCCCATGCTGGCTCAGGAATTCTGGGAGTTGAAGTCCATGAGTCATGAGGGGGCCATAGTTTCCCCATGTTGGCTCAGGAATTCTGGGAGTTGAAGTCCACCAGTCGTGAAGGAAGCCATAATTCCCCCATGTTGGCTCAGGAATTCTGGGAGTTGAAGTCCATGAGTCAATGAAGGGAGCCATAATTCCCCCATGTTGGCTCAGGAATTCTGGGAGTCCATGAGTCATAAAAGAGCCAAGGTTGCCTACCCATGGTTTAGAAGGAAGTTAAGGTGGACACACGTTTGTGCATTGGAACTCCACATTTGAGCTGGAGAAATGATCCTAGCTCCGGGAGCCATTTTTAGCTGGAAAAATAGACCTAGCTCCGGGAACAATGTGGGAATGTGACTAAGTGAAACTGTTTTCAGCTTTGATCTTCCCATTGGAGAACATGAACAGAGGAAACAAATGGGGAGGGAGGAGGAAAAAAAAAAACAAGACAGGCTGGCTCCTGAAAATTAAAATTCTCAGCATCATTGATGGGGCTGAAAAACAAGTTGCTTAACGATGGATGTGTAACAAATAGGCTAGATAAATTACTTTATTCTGTTTATTAACAATGGAAGAATCCAGTTTCCTTCCTTACCTGGATTGGATTGGATTGGACATGCAGGAAGGAGAACTCAGATGAGTGGTATGGATGGATGGATGGATGGATGGATAGATAGATAGATAGATAGATAGATAGATAGATAGATAGATAGATAGATACCCATTCAGGCAGACAAATATGATAGACAAAGATAGATGATAGATGGATGCATGAATGGAGACACATTCAGACAGATAAATGATAGATGATTGATTGATAGACAAACAAACAAAAGATAATAGATGATGGATGGATGAATGGATAGATAGATAGATAGATAGATAGATAGATAGATAGATAGACAGACAGATAGACAGACAGATAGCGACCCATTCAGATAGATAGATGATTGATAGACAAAGATGGATGATAGATGATGGATGGATGAATAGAGACACATTCAGACAGATAAATGATAGGTGATTGATAGACAAAAGATAATAGATGATGGATGGATGGATGGATGGATGGATGGAGAGAGAGAGAGAGAGAGAGAGAGAGAGAGAGAGAGACTGGATTGTATTGCAGGAACAAGAATTTAATTTATGACAAGAATTCTACATGCAAGCCATTCAATGTGTCAAAACTGTAGTCCATTTTCTCCCCTTGTGTTTATTTTTAATTTCAAAGGGTAGAGGGCAACCTGTCTCTTTTTCATAATGGGGAGTCTATGTCAGAACGTTACACAGCCATGCAGATGCATAAAGAATAGGTCAAAATAAATGTTCATAATTAACAAACCACAAATTACTTCCCCGGCCTTCTGTTGTTACTGTCTTCAAGACAGAATTACCACGTTGTGTTAATCAAAGAAAGTTACGTTGTTCAGACTTCCTGAGAACTAGGCATCATCTATCATCCATCTTTGTCTATCAATCATCTATCATCTATCTATCTGAATGGGTCTCCATCCATCCATCCATCCATCCATCCATCCATCCATCTATTTATCTATCTATCCCTTCCGTGTTTCTACAGGGGGTCCTCGACATCTCCCCCCCACACACACACACTCTTGATTGTCTGCCTCCTACACCCCACAGGGATTGAATACAATCTTGTGCGCATGCCAATGGCGAGCTGTGATTTCTCTATCCGGCCGTACACGTATGACGATTTTCCGTACGACTACGAGCTAAAGAATTTCAGCCTGGTTGCGGAAGACCTACTAATGAAAGTAAGTTTTATCCAAAAGGGGGGGGGGCTGGCAGAAGAGGGGATGACGTATTTCATGGGAAAACCACCTTTTTTGTTTGTTTGTTTTCCTGAAAAAGGAACTGGTTTTTTGGGGGGGGGTTCTCTGTCTGTTTTTGCTTGGAGAATTGGAACAAAGCCATCCCATTCCTCCCCAGCCACCCCCAGGCCCAAATCACACTTTGTCATTTTTCCGAAGAGCATCTGGATCTTCCTCCAGACCCCGGGCGGCCATCGCTGGTCCTTGTTGACCCCCCCCTCCCCACTCTTTCTCCCCACAGATCCCCATTGTGCATCGGGCCAAGGCTATGTCGAAGAGACCCATCTCCCTTATGGCCAGCCCATGGACTGCTCCAATTTGGATGAAAAGCAACGAGGACTGGAAAGGGAAAGGCTGGCTGAAAGGGCAAGCGGGCGATTCCTTCCACAAAACTTGGGCTTCTTATTTTGTCAGGTGAAACGGGCAGAAAAATGCCTTCATTTTGGGGGGAACAGCACCCTCTGCTGTCAGCAGAGGGTATATTTCAGCCTGCAAAGTCTGCATGGTTTTTAAAATTAAAAAAACAAACAAAAACCAGATTTTGGATGGTTAACACCTGAGAGCTGATATCCGATCGTTCTTGCCAGTTTAAATGTGAACCATGGTGTCTTGTTGCCCTTGGCCCAGGTTTCTCGATGCGTACGCTGAGCAGAATTTAACCTTCTGGGCCATCACCGCTCAAAACGAGCCTTCCTCTGGATTTGTGAAAAATTACCCTTTCCAGACTTTGGGGTTCAGCGCAGAATCGCAGCGTGACTTCATTGCTCTGGATCTCGGCCCTGCCCTGGCCCAAAGTTTGCACAAGAAAGTTCGTCTAATTACTCTCGATGACAACCGAATGCATCTCCCTAATTGGGCAAAAGTGGTGAGTGGGGGGGGGCTTAAAATTTCAACACTGGATCTAAAAAGAGGGGCATGGTCCCCCACCTTTCTGGGTTCCCATCCCTCCTTCCTTTTCGTTTAACTTTTTTAAAAATTATTTTTTTAACCAATCAAGCCACTAATCCTTAAGGCTCGGAATGTAAGTTGGAAAGATGGTGCCAGAATTCTATAGCAAGGAAAAAAAAAAAAAAACCAAGATCTTCTGGGTTTTCTTGAAAGCTGAGAATGCAGAATTACTGGAAGTTATAAAAATTCTGATTCCCCCCCCCGGATATCCTGAGTCTCCCCATAGAATGAATATCTGATAAAAAAAAACAGACCAGCAGAGATTTCAAGGTGAATGAAGGAGGGCAGTCTTTGCTTACAACTTGCCCTGCATTGTAGACTCGCAGAGAGGTAAACCACAGCAAAAAATAGGAAGAGCTTTGCTTTCCGGTCTGAAATCAAAATGAAATACGGAGGGGGATGTGTGAAAAACACAATTAAAATTAATTGTTCTAGAACATAAGAATTTTGGAACAGGAAGAGGGCGGATAAATCCATTAGGAAAGGTACCCTTATGTTCTAGCTTAATTTTATTGACACATTTCCTTGACGCCTTCATTTTGAAAGATTATCCAGCACGGCTTCTTTCGGTTAAGGTTCTAGGTCACAATAGGGAAGGTGATGTTTTGAGGTTCTCTTGGTGGTCTCCTGTCCAACAGCCAACGGGCCTTACGTTTTCAAGCTTCATAAGAGTAAGAATGTGAGGTTTTCAAACAGATACCCCTTTGACAAGTGGAAGATGGAGGGACTTCAAGTCCCAGAATTCCCCAGCTAGTATGCTGGTTGGGGAATTCTGGGTGTTTAAGTCCATTTGTCTTAAAGCACGCTGACTGGAGAATTCTGGGAGCTGAAGTCCATCCGTCTTAAAGCACGCTGGCTGGGGGATTCTGGGAGTTGAAGTCCACCCCTCTTAAAGTTTGCTGACTGGAGAATTCTGGGAGTTGAAGTCCACCCGTCTTAAAGCACGCTGGCTGGGGGATTCTGGGAGTTGAAGTCCACCAACTTGCCAAAGTTGAAAAACACTGAAGCTGGATAGTTTTCTAACTGGGTTGATTGTAGGGATTCCTGCAGTTCTCCAGGGCTTAGCCTGACTCTGATGCTGTAAAGTCAGCCCGCATGAGTTTGGGCTTTCCAGCTGTGTGTGATGACACACCCTGTCCTTTTTCCTGTCAAGGTGTTGGGCGGTGACAGTCAAGCCTACCGCTACATTCACGGCATCGGCCTCCACTGGTACATGGATTTCATCAGCCCCGTGAAGGACACGGTGGAAGCCACCCACCGTATCTTCCCCGACTACTTTCTGATTGCCACCGAAGCCTGTGCCGGGTCTTTCTTTTGGGAACGGGATGTTATCCTCGGGTCCTGGGACCGAGGGGAGGACTACAGCCACAGCATCTTGGAGGTACGATGCTGGGTGCATGGAAGAGAGCGGGGGTTGAGCTGATGAAGAAGGGCAGGGAGGAAAGAGAAAGGACGGGGAGGGGAGGAAGGAAGGAAGGAAGGAAGGAAGAGAAGGCAAGGAGAGGGAGAGAAGGATGGAAGGAAGGGAGGGAGGAAGGAAGGAAAGGCAAGGAGAGAGAGGGAGGGAAGGAAGGAAAGAGAAAAAGAAAAAAGGAAAGAAGGAAGGAAAGACAAGGAGAGGGAGGGAAGGCAAGGAGAGAGGAAGGACAGAAGGGAGGAAGGAGAGGAGAGGGAGGGAAGAAAAGAAAGAGAAAAAGAAAGAAAGAGAAAGAAAGAAAGAAAGGAAGGAAGGAAAGGCAAGGAGAGAGAGGGAAGGAAGGAGAAAAGAAAGAGGCAGTGGGAGGAAGAGAAGGGATGGAAGGGACAATGGAAAGAAGGAAGAGCAGAAAGAAAAGAGGGAGGGGGAGAGAAAAAAGGAGACAGAGGCGATGGGTGGAAAAGAAGGGAAGGATCAGAGAACAATGGAAGAAAGAAAGGGAAAGGGTAGCAAAGAGAAGATGAGGGGAAGGAGGGAGGGAGGAAGAGAGGGAGGAATGAGAATTGGAAGGGAAGGGGAAAAAAAGGAAGGAGGGAGAGGGAGGGAGGGAGGAAGGAAGGAAGGGAAAGAGGGAGGAAGGAAGGAGTGTAGGGGAAAAGGAGAGAAAGAAAGGGAGGGAAAGGAATGGAGGGAGAGAGACCCTGATTCCTTCCCTCTCTTCTCTCTAGAACCTGAATCACCACGTCGTCGGTTGGATCGACTGGAACCTGGCCCTGGATTTACAAGGGGGACCCAACTGGGTGAAGAACTTCGTGGATAGTCCAATCATTGTCGACCCCATTGGCGACATCTTCTACAAGCAGCCCATGTTCTACCACTTGGGCCACTTCAGGTGGAACCGCCGGGCAGGGGTGGGGACCCGTGGCCCTTGAGCCCCCAAGGAGTGACCCCCGGGGTTTAGGCGTAGCGATGAAGCTTCAGATAAGAAGCTAGTCCTCTTGGTTCTGTAGAAGATCACCAAGGGAGAAAGGCAACAACGGGAGAGCCGATCTCCGCCTCGTGACAACTCGGTCTAAATTGGGTGAAATCCAATTGGGATGAAAGGATGGATGGGGCAGAAAGGACCCTTTTTAAGGATTCTGGGGGAGGGTTACTTTAGGGGTCTATTAGGTTTAAGTCCACCCTCAATCATAGGTGCTCAATGGAAGTTTAAGGTCAATCGGCTAACCTTAAGCTCAGCCAGCCGATCTTAAGATCAACCGGCTGACCTTAAGCTCAACTGGCAATCTAAGCTCAGCCATCTAACCATAAACTCAACTGACTAATCTTAGGCCCAACTAGCCAACCTTAAGCTCAACCAGCCCACCTTAAGCCTGATCCAGTTGACCTTGTTCAACATTAACCTTAACTGGCCAACCTTAAGCTCAACCGATTGACCTTAAGCTCAACCGATTGACCTTAAGCTCAACCGATTGACCTTAAGCTCAACCGATTGACCTTAAGCTCAATCTATTAACCTTAAGCTCAACCGATTGACCTTAAGCTCAACTGATTAACCTTAAGCTCAACCGATTGACCTTAAGCTCAACTGATTAACCTTAAGCTCAACCGATTGACCTTAAGCTCAACCTATTGACCTTAAGCACAATCAACTAAGCTCTATTAGCCAATCTTCAGTTCAACTAGCCAAGCTTAAGTTCAGCCAACTAACCTTAAACTCAACCAACCAACCTTAAACTCAATGGGTCAACCTTCAATTCAGCCGGCCGACTTTAAGCTCAGCCAATTAATCTTAAGCTCAGCCAGCCCACCTTAAGCTCAGGATTTCCAAACCAGGGTAGATCCTTGCAGTGGGATCTTTCCATCATGGCCTCCTTTTTTCCCCCTCTTAGCAAGTTCATCCTTGAAGGATCACAGCGCGTTGGGCTGACAGTGGTTCAACCTTACTTTAGTTGCAACTTGGAACATGTTGCGGTGCTTCGCCCCGATGGATCGGCAGTGGTGGTGGTCCTAAACCGGTGAGTGTCGGTGTTCTGAAGGGCAATGCTTTCAAACAGCCAGGTTTCTAGTTCTCAAGAAGGCTTTTTTTTCCCCCTCATCAGACATTTTCCCCTCCAACGCAGGCTATCCAAGGCTCACGCCACAAAGTTAACATGTCTCGATTTGAGTGTGATAACTTCTTCCCATTACTTTGTTGACTGCTGGGGATGGCATATATATTTAATAAATACTCAAATAAAACGGAGCACGGCAGTAAAATAAACAAGGTGCCCATTTCAGAGGTCTGAATCTGGCTGTAGCTTTTCACACCAAACTAGGTATCAAAGCGTCTTGCCACCCAGAAACCTGGGCGAGAAAGTTCTCTTTAGAAACCTCGCAGGAATTCGGAGCAGAGAAACATCATGATGAGTATGTTGGACGTAAAAGAAGAAGAAGAAAGTGACCGTTGTGGCTGTGTTTCTCCACCGCTTTGTGACTGCGTTTCTGCTTCTGTTTCTCCTCTCTTTCCCCTTCTCCTTTTCTTGTTCTTTCCCTCTTTTTTTGCTCCTCTCTTCTTTCCCATCTTTTCCTCCTTCCTTTCTTTTTCCACCTATTTTTTTCCGCAGGTCTTTGTTCAGCCTCACCTTCGGACTGACTGACTCGGTTGGTCTTATTTTAACTCAAATCCCTGCCAACTCCATCCAGACGTATCTCTGGCGGCGCCAGTAAAAAAAGGAGTTAGCACGCTGGGTGCCAGTTGGGAGAAAAAGTCGCGGATCCAACAAGATTGTTTACTAACCTTCTTGGGAGCTGAGATGGTGGTTCAGCCCAACGGATGACCTTCTTCTAGGAGATGAACCTTGACCAGGGCTGAGGAAGCAGAGATTTGATGTTTTGGGGGATCAGCAAGACCATGATTCCCAGAGTGTCTGCCAGTACATCAGTCATGGCTAAAATTAACTGAAACCAAGGAGTTCCATTTTCTGGCTGGGAATCTCTTGACGAGACTGTTGGCCATAATGCGATGTGGCCCAACCCTTTGGAAATGCACTTGGTTAAGCCTCAAATGCTGGCTTGCAAGCCACAAGGATCGTTTCTCACGCCTCCAAGCCACATTATGACTTTCATCTGATGGAATTGAACCTGGATGAGCTGGGCTGAGTCCACCTGGTTCTGGATTCCTAGGTACTTCATGGTCAGCATTTCCAATTAAGCGACTGGGAACATATTGTACCCAAGTTTGTTTTTTTTCATTCTACGTCTTCCTTTTTCCCCCCTGTGTAACTCACAACGTGACACCGAAACTTAGCTGATTATATGTACTAGGATCTACCCTTCTCCAGTTTCGGATTACGTGTCCTGCACATGGGAGAATTAAGATGCCTTGTGGATTATTATTACTATTATTAGTGGTTTGTCACACACTCGGCCAGATGTTCAGACTGGATTTGGCATTTTAATACAGCCTCCAAGCACCTAGGATAGACAGGTGTGGTTGTTTGATGGTGTTAAAGCTCTCCTTACAGGATGTCAGCTGTTCCGAGTCCAACTGCCTTTTGTCCGATGGAGACTGTGTCAATGCTGACGGTGTTCAATTATTGTTATGGTTTGTCGCACAGTCATCCAGATATTTTTTTTAAAAATTATAAATTTTATTGAATTAAAAAAAAGGATTAAAAACATTGAACATGGTAAATCAACATTTGACAGACATCTCAGTCCATATTTACATTAATTACAAATAAATCTCTTTACAGTAACATCATTCTAATCTCAATCTTGGCTTTTCTCATGACAATGACCTTCATTTTTTTCCCCACCATCTATAAAATTTATTCCATATTTGATAAAAATCTGATTCATCCTGATTTTTTAATCTTTTAGTTATCCTGTCTAATTCTGCGCAATACATGATTTTTTGAATTAATGTTTCCTCACTCGGTAGATCCATAGCTTTCCATTTTTGCGCAAATAATATCCTTGCCTCTGTAAACACGTGAATGAATAAATATGTGTCATCTTTACTTACATTTTTTTCAAGTATTCCTAACAGTAAAGTCTCAGATTTGTACTGAATGTTTTGCATAGTCATTTCTATTGCCCATTCCCAGACCATATGCCAATACGCCTGTGCTTTTCTACATGTCCACCAAACATTAAAAAAAGTGCCCCTTTTTTTTTTACATTTCCAACACATAGATGAATATCCTTTATACATTTTGGCTAATCTGGCTGTCATCCAGATGTTTTGACTGGATTTGAACTTTCTTTGTTCACCCGCTGAGCCTTTCCCAAGGACCTGGGATAGGCAGATGTTTAATAATATTAAAGGTAACCTTGCAAGATTTAAGCTGTGCTAAGTCCAGCTGCCTTTTGCAATTGACGGATGGGGATTTTGTCAACGCCAAAGGTGTTCAAAGGATGCTCCAGAAGTTTTGGGATTGCACCCCAGCTGCCTGTCACTATGGAAACTACCTTTGTTCTCTTCTATTGCTGTTACAATATTTTGCACACGGACTCTTTTCAGTCCATCTTCTCAAGACTGCCTATGCTCAGCTGCCTCGATCAAACCAACATTGTTTCCTCTCTGGAACCCTCATTGAAAAATTGGCTTCCTTGCATGCAGCTTTCAAACCCGTTTGAAGACGGACAACTTGCAGTCGGAGTTTAGTGAACCTCGGATTGGATCTGTGATTTCTTACAGATTTAGGAATAATACTCTTTTGGTGCGAGTAAAAAAAAATACAAAACACATTTAACAACCCTCTTTGTGTTCTGCCTTATTTTGTATCGTAACACAAGCAGCCCAGCTGTGAATTTCACTGGTTTTTCCCCCCAAGCTTTTGCTTTTGTTCAAAAGCATTCTAATCTTTTTTTGTTGTTGTTGTTTTGGTTGCTATAATTGCACTTTTCTTGGTGGGGTTAGGGTTAGTGTTAGGATGGGAGGGGTGTGTGCCTCTGTGTTTCGGTTGTTGTCTTCCCCTAGATGGGAGCATGAAGTGAGATGCTTTGTTTGCTGCGACTAAAAAGAAGACTTGTTTATGCCCCATCTGGAATACATGAAATTTCTGCTGGTGGGATTTTGGGGTGTGACTTTCTTCGGCTTTTTTTTTTTTATCCCCCACTGCTAATCAAAGGCACACACCTTGTGTTGGTTTTCTGCTAAAAACTGACTTGACCTCTCTAGGGAGACTGGTGAAAAGCAACTTTCAACGCTGGTTAGGTGGGTGCAAAACGAACCCCCGTCTCGCTCGATGTTTTTTGTCAAAGCTTGACATGTTTAAAAGAGTTTTGGATGCCCTGGGCTACATCCAAGCAAAGTGTGCCAAAGATTTGAACAGAATCAGAGTCGGAAGGGACTTTGGAGGTCTTCTAGTCCAGTGTTTCTCAACCTTGACAATTTTAAGGGATGTGGACTACAACTCCCAGAATTCCACAGCCAGCAACTAGTCCAACCCCCTATCACTCTATTCAGGTAATCAACCTGGAACTAAGGACCAAATTTCCTGACAATTCGAACAATTAACCGGTGGAGCAACTTGCCTCCAGAAGTTGTGGGTGCTCCAACAATGGAGATTTTTAAGAAGAGACTGGACAGCCTTTTGTTTGGGATGGGATAGGGACTCCTGCCTGAGTAGGGGGTTGGACTAGAGGACCACCAAGGTCCCTTGCAGTTGGTCGCCACAATAAAAAAAAAGATGTTGAGACTCTGGAAAGAGTGCAGAGAAGAGCAACAAAGATGATCAGAGGACTGGAGGCTAAAATATAAAAAGAACAGTTGCCGGAATTGGGGATGTCTAGTTTAATGAAGAGAAAGACGAGGGGGGGGGCATGATAGCTCTATTTCAGTATTTGAGGGGCTGCCCCAAAGAAGAGGGGGGGGGTGTCAACCTGTTCTCCAAAGCCTCTGAAGGCAGGAGAAGAAGCAACGGATGGAAACTAGTCAAGGAGAGAAGCAAATTCCTGCTGTATTTGCAGAAGCGAACTCAACTTTGGATCCTGCACCTCTCAAGACTGAAAGAAAGGCTTCATTGTCCAGTTTGCAAAAGGCAGTTTTTAAAAAACCTGGGGATAAATGTTTTACAAAATCACCGGAAGCTGATGATGCTTGAGGAACGGATGGGTGTTTTTGCATTTAGCATCAGTCACAAATTGCTATACATTTAACAAAAGTCAAAGGCATGCATTTCTGCCTGTTCCACCCTCTAGCCATTACTTCAGAGAGGGCAAAGGACCATATTGCTCTTAGCACATTAATCATTCCAACGAAAATGCTTGCAATGTACACCCCAATTAATTTTGAAGGAACATTCTGTGCTTCCTCAAGAAACTTTAATTTCATTTGCGGCTGTTCCTGTGTTCCTTTGTCAATGCTTTTTTTTTTTTTTTACACCGACTCACATTAGAAGTGACTCAAAGTTCTTAGGGTCCCCCCCCCCCAAACACGCACACCCATTGAACCCAGACTCAATTCTGGTGTATGGGATGGAATGGAGTAGAAAGTAGAATGGAATATAGAACAGAACAGAACAGAATACAATAGAAAATGGAGAATAAAGAATACATAATATAGAATAGAATAGAATAATTGAATAGAAAACACAGAATATAGAATAGAACATAGAATAGAATATAGAATAGAATAGAACAATAACTTTATTCTCACTTTAAATGTACACTAAGCACCATTAAAATGAGATTTTGCTGCATACAGCTCTCAAAGTGTAACCACTTTCAATATACACTGCATAAACCTAACAAGAAACATGAAATAAATTATGTATATACCCACATACAAACACATATGTGGCCGAGAAAGATGACATGTTGTAAGCAGAGGGTTAGCTGTGTTTGAAAAGCCATTAATAAGCACTTTGCAAAAGTTATTAGAAAAATCTAAGCCCAGTGCCATCTTGAAGATGTTAATCCTATTTTAACAAAGACAGATGTTCTTTTTCAGTTTTCTGAAGAATTAAACCTGCTTGAAATGTGGTGTTTGATGACGAACAACTGCCCAGAGCACTTTTGGGCAATCTCATATCCTTCTCTGCTTCTTCATTCCACTGGAATTGCTGGCACTGCTTACGTTTGCCAATTTCATCCAGGTAAAAATTGACAGTTGAAGGAAATTCCTTAATTGCTTTTTTGTGGTCAAGCCAGTCAGGTCTTCCAGCTCTCGTATCAGACGAGCGTCATAAAGTTCTGCTGCCAGAGTTGGTGACATCTGTTCCAGCATTCAGGAGTTGAGCCAACAGCTGAGAGCTGATTCCTATTCTGTTCTCCCTGGGAACCAACATCAGCTTTCCAAGCTCTGGAATAAAGTGTTTGACAGGTAGGAATAACATACAATTCTGTGTTTGTTACTGTGCCAAGTAAGGGCAGGGCGGTGATATCGGATCCTAGAATGGGTGGAAAAAGTGATTCCAAGATCGCAGAACGGGAAACAGTGATTCCAGGATCACAGAATGGGGAAAAAAGTGATTCCAGGATCGCAGAATGGGGAAAAAAGTGATTCCAGGATCGCAGAATGGGGAAAAAAGTGATTCCAGGATCGCAGAATGGGGAAAAAAGTGATTTCAAGATTGCAGAATGGGGAAAAAAGTGATTCCAGGATCGCAGAATGGGGGAAAAAGTGATTTCAAGATTGCAGAATGGGAAAAAAATCATCTCAGGATGGGAAAAATGTGGTTTCAGATTGCAAAATAGGGAAAAAGTGTTTCAGGATTGTGGAATGTGGGATAAAGTGGTTTTAAAATTGCAGAATAAGGGGGGGGTGATGTTTCGTACGGTGCTTTTGACTTTTTCGGCTTGAGGGCTAAGCCGCCTTATAAACGCATTAATGAAACTACCCAGCAACTCGATCCTGGTATAAAAAAAACTCCGGCAAGACATTTTCCACAGACTGGCTTGTTTTTTTTTCTGCCCCTGCAGGCAAATTTCTCTAACACTGGGAGGCTGGTGTTTGAGGGGTGCTATGCGGACACGTGATGCTTTGGGGGTGCTGTTCCTCATCCTCCAAGGGATGGTCGAGGCCAGAGGTCAGCCTTTGAGAAGCCTCCTGTGGGTGGAGCCCAAAGGAAAAATGGGAGGGGCTCTGGTTGTGCCGGTGGGAGGGGCCTAAATTCACCCGCCCCCTTTTTTCTTTCTCTTTCCATTTTTGGTTGATTTTAGCAAGCAGACCCTGTAGTCCTAAATTCCTCAGCTCACATGCAATAGTGTGTGTTTGCAACGCAACGTATTGCGACACGGTGGAGCCGGTCTCCCTCCCTGACGTCGGCAACTTTGTCAAGTACACAACCAGCAGGGACGGCCAACGCTTGGAGCGAAGCCAAGGGCAAATCAATGCCAGGCCAGGAGCTTCAGGTAAACCTGGACGAGGGGTTCGACTAGATGACCTACCAGGTCCCTCCCAACTCTGTTAATTCTGTTTATTCTTTCAGTTGGGATCCTCTACGCCTACAATCCCTCCGTTCAGTACCAATACATCAAAGGTTTTGGAGGAGCGCTCACCGACTCTGCGGCCATTAACATCCTGAATTTGTCTTATGCAGCCCAAAACCAGCTGCTCCGATCTTACTTCTCCGAAGAAGGTGAGGAAATTGGGAATGACCCGCTGGATGAAAACTAGCAGCTCAGGGAAAGCTAGCATCCTGAGGCTCTGTCTTTCTTAAGGCAAGGTTTAAAAACTGGAAAGGTTAGGCTGCGTTTAAAAGCAGAACAGCATGAACAATCCAGGAAGTATTTTGTTTTTAAACCTTGTTTTGTTGACTTTACGCACCACTAACAACAACAAGGGAGGTTCTGCCTCTTAATGTTTAATTTGCTCGACTGATGATGAACAAGAATGAAAACTAAGCTGAGGAAGAGAGCAATTCAGCGAAAGCACAGTCAAATGGGAGTGGATCCACCGAAAGGCATAGCATGAAAGCAAAAAGCAAGGAGAGGGGAAAGGAATAAGATGACCTTTATGAGATGGTACTGGTGGCATTACCAATTTTTATTTTTTTGTGGATGTAAGTTTTGTATTCCTTTTTTTCCTTTTTTGGACTGTGAAAATTAGAATCAGGGAAGACCAGAATCTCTTGACCTTCTCTCCCCCCTTCTGCAGGACTTGAGTACAATTTGATACGTTTTCCCATCGGGTGCTCCGACTTTTCCACGCGGCCGTACAGTTACGCTGACCGCTGCGTGGATGACTTTGAACTCAAGTGTTTTGAGCTGGCCCCCGAAGACACCAAAATTAGGGTGAGCTTGACTGGACTTAACACCCACCCACTGGGGACGGTGTGTGTGTGTGTGTGTGTGTGTGTGTGTGTTCCAGGCTGTGTTTTGGCAAAACCGCACCCGTCACAAACAATGACATCACCCTTGCGACTGAAAGTCAATAAACCCACAAGGAGGTCGTGTGAACGCTCTTCTTGAGCGTTGATCAGGCCATCCCTGGAGACAGTTGTGGTCTCTCTCAACAGATCCCCTTGCTCCATCGTATCATGGCCCACGCCGAGAGACCCCTCTCCCTGGTCAGCAGCCCTTGGACCAGTCCTGGTTGGCTAAGGGTCAACAACAAGGTTCAAGGCATATCCAGGATAAAGGGAAAACCCGGTGACCGCTACCATAAGACCTTGGCCAACTACTTTATCAGGTAATAACACTTTTTCCATCTCATCTTGCCTCTGAATTTAGCAGGCTACTCCCCTAGCCAAGCCCCATCTACCTCTTGGCTCCACCCCTTCTCAAACTCCATCCCAAATCACGATCTGGCTCCTCCCATAGGCAGATCTCCTTGAAAATCCTTGTAGATAAAGATAAAAAAATCAGTGGGACAATATGCCTGGAGAAGCATAGTTCTATCTCTGCCTCCCACCCTGTTCCTGAGTAGTAGTAGGATATTTCTAAGCTGATCCTATTGCATTTTCATCAACTTCTTTACTACAGTCCTCCAGAGCAGAGTGTCTCAATCTTGGCAACTTTAAGATGGGGGGACTTCAACTCCCAGCATCCCCTAGTCAGCATCTGGCTGGCAGATTCTGGGAGATGTAGTCCACCCTTTTCTCCCATCCTTGTCCATCAGTTGCTTTAAGCCAAATTGGAAGCTAAATCTGAGATATTTAACTCAAACCTGTGGATTTATTTCTATCGCTTTGCCGATTCTGATGGAATATACCCCTTTTTGTCAGCCAGAGAGCTGGGAAATAGGGTTTTTTTAAAAAAAAATAAACACAAGGGGCTTAAAATATTATTTTGTTTTCCAGGCAAGGAAACAGCATGCTAAACTAAGATTGTTGCAATGTTCTGTATTTGAATCTAGGTTCCTGGATGAGTATGCAAAAAATAATATTACTTTCTGGGCGTTAAGCTCTCAGAATGAACCAATCAATTTCATTTTCATACCTCTGGAAGACTTTCCAGCCAATATTTTCTTACCCCAACATCAACGCGACTTTATCATTGAGGACTTGGGCCCCGCCCTCACCGCCAGCCGCCATGCTGATGTTCACCTCATCATCCTTGATGACCAGAGGATTAACTTGCCATACTGGGCCAAGCAGGTAGGTTTTCAACTGTAGGGCATACCTACCCTACGACGGATGGTCCTCGACTTACGACGATTGATCAGGACCAGAATTTCCATTGCTAAGCAAAGCCACGAGTGAGCGAGCTGCATCCCATCCCAATCTTTTTTTGTCCTGGTGTTTAATATTTCCATTGCTAAACGAGACAACGGTTAAGTTAGTTTGCCCCTTTTAACGACCTTTCCTGTCACAGTTGTTAAGTGAATCGGTCGTTAAATGAGTCACATGACTGTTAAGTGAATCTGGCTTCCCCATTGACTGTGCTGGTGAGAAGGTCGCAAAAGGCGATCACGTGACCCCAGGACACTGCAACCGTCCTAACTATGAGTCGGTGGCCAAGCATCTGAATTTTTGATCCATGGGCAGGCTGCAATGGTCGTATGTGTGAAAAACGGTCATATAAGTCAATTTTTTTTAGTACTGTTGTAATTTGAATGGTCACTAAATGAAATGTTGTACGTTGAGGCTCTCCTTTCCTCCATCTGCTGCCTGACAGGTGTTAGGCAATAGTACCGCCGCTGCCTTCGTGTCCGGAATTGGCATCCATTGGTACGTAGACGTCATCACCCCACCTGGACCCACTTTAGACGTTACACATCGTCTCTACCCCGATTTCTTTCTGCTCTACACGGAAGCTTGCAATGGTTTTCTGCCTTCGAATGTAAAGGTTGTCCTGGGAAACTGGGAGAGAGGCACCTATTACAGCAGAAATATCCTGACGGTAAGGTAGCCCTGTTTATCGACCCGTCTTTTCAGTTCCTCATCCTTCAAGGGGTGTCATAGCATCTTTGGGAAGCTGAGCCAGTTAAACAAAATTGTCCTAGACCGGGACAGAATAAGAACAGAACAACAGAATAACAGAACTTCAGAATAACAGAACCGAGTTGGAAGGGACTTTGGAGGTCTTCTAGTCCAACCCCCTGCTCAAACAGGAAACCCTATCCCATTTCAAACAAGTGGCTGTTCAATCTCTTGGCGCACCCACAACCTCTGGAGGCAAATTTTGATATTTATAGAGAACCTTCCCCCTCCAGTTTTCCATGACTCCAAAACAAACCTTGGTCTGAAGCTTGCTTCTTTCAGATTTTGCTCAACCCAGAAGTGTCTTTTTTTTTCCCCGGCATGCAAAGGGAAGGGTTGTTGGGCGGTAGTGCAACCGGTAAAGCTGCCGATGCTTTGTGGTCTCTGCAGAATCTCAACCACTTCGTCACTGGGTGGATTGACTGGAACTTGGCTCTGGACATGGAAGGGGGTCCCAACTGGGTGGACAACCTTGTGGACAGTCCCATCATTGTGAACCCCCTTAAGGATGAGTTCTACAAACAGCCCATGTTCTATCACCTGGGACATTTCAGGTAAACTCAGCCGAGATGTTGAGGAAGAGGAGAATGAGCAAAACAGTAATAAAGATGCTCTAAAATGGGCTTACCCAGTGGCAGGGAATTCCGCAGGCTGCCGAGGAAACGATGGAGGGAAGGAGACAGTTTTATGTTTAATAGTTGGCGGAATTGGATTAAGGTGCAATACTGACCTTTGTCCAGTGGTATCGGCTAACGTCTTCTCTCTTCTGGCCAGCAAATTCATCCCTGAAGGCTCCGTGCGAGTTGGATTCACCTCCAGGTGCTTGTTTGACAGCTGTCATTTGAAGACCTCGGCTTTCCTGCGGCCCGATGGCATTGGGGTGGTGGTGGTGCTGAACGAGTAAGTGGAGAGGGTCTGGAGGAAAAACAGACCCCAAATTGGGAATATTGTGGCCTAGATAAGGTCCCTCGTGTGACGTTTAGGGAGATGGGAAAAGAGAGAACAATTAGAGAAGAGACGGAGTAGCCCACCACTGCATAACGGACGGAGAAAGAAACTCAGAATAAATCTTCCCTCGTTTCTCAGTCTGTAAAAGAGACACTGGGAGATTTGTACTTCCAGACTTGCCAAATTGACGTCAGCCATCCCAGGCAAAGCAGACAGGGAACCCACCCAGATACGTTAGTTCTACTTTGTTGTAAGGCTACATTAACAGAATCTTGCCGGTCTGAAAGTAGAAAACTCTCACGTCCCCCTTGACTAGAATTTCTCCTGTCTTTACAGCTGGTTTTTCGATATTCCTTTTACCATCTGGGACGATCAGGTGGGTTACCTTAAGGACAAGGCGGGAGCATACTCCATCCAAACCTACCTGTGGAGGAGGCACCCTTGAGGTCCTGAGACGGAGAAGGAAATCCACTTCTCGCTCAGGAATGGCAACTTTCCGAGAAGAGTCCACAGCAGCTAAACCAGTGGAACCTCAGGAGACATCAGACTTGGCTGATACAACACAGACACAATCACAACAGCTGGAGCAGCCTAATGATGATGCTCAGCCTCCAAACACTTGGATGGTAGAGTGGAGAGCAGAGCGACAATGCTCAGTGGGGCTCCTTGCCAAGCAAGGGAATAGCTTTCTTAGTTAAAGATAGCTGGTTAAATATGATTTAACCCTATTCCACTTCTGGTCTCCTGTTCTAGCATGTCATTCGTGTGTTTCCGCTTGTGAAATTCTGACCTTTGGACTGTCTGACGAATCTGACTTGGCTCTCTGAACTTTGGACTGGATTTTGACTACTCTTCTGCGCACTCCTGTTGAAAGCGAATTTCCTTTGGCAAGCTTTAACGTGTTGGCTGCTATTTCTTCCCTAGTCTGCTGCTATCTGCTCAACCTTAAGTAAATGCCTTCCCTGACCTAGCAGTTATGTGTTTGTGTAATTTTAAGGCCTGAAACAGGACCCCTTGGGCTAATAATACGTCTTAAGTCCGCATTCACACATGCACTCTCCTTCCTGGAACAAAGTGTAGGGTCCCCAAAGATCCTTGATCTGGAACCAGTCAGAGTGGGATTGGACATTTGTACATTGGCCACCCTTAGCTTATGAGGCAATACAATTAGTCCGCAACTTACGACGATTCATTTAGCGACCAATAGAAATGATGATGGCCAGTCCTCACATTTACAACCATCACAGTATCCGCGTGATTATGACCTGGGCAGTTATTAACCAGCATGCCTCTTATGCCGGTTACAGCATCCCCAGGGTCATGTGATCACCATTTGCAATCTCCCCAGCCGGCTTCTGATGAGCAAAGTCAGTGGGGGAAGCTAGATTCATTTAATGACTGCAAGATCCACTTAGCAGCGGCAGGGATTGGCTTAAGAATCCTGGCAAAAAGGTCATTAAAAATAATTCATTTGACAACTCCAAACAGAGTCAGCACCGGTTTGAAAGGATGAAACGAAAAGCAAACTGTTCCATCCTTTGGCCTGCAGGGGGTGCTGCAGTCTCAAGAATCAACAGAATTTCAAAAAGCTGCTAGTCCACATGTACCAAATGTCCTTGAACCTTGTCAGTCCTTAACAGCTTCATCCTCTAGCAGGGGTCTTCAAACTTGGCCCTTTGATGACTTGTGGACTTCAGCTCCCCAAATTCCTCAGCCAGGCACACCCAACTCTTCTAATCTTTGGACTTCTTTTGTCTCACTTTAATCTTGATCAAATCAAAATGTTTAACTTTGATTAAATAAACCCACAGAATAGAATAGAATAGAATAGAGCTGGAAGGGACCTTGGAGGTCTTCTAGTCCAGCCCCCCGCTCAAGCAGGAGAACCTACACCATCTCAGACAAGTGACTGTCCAGTCTCTTCTTAAAAACCTCCAGCGATGGAGCGCCCACTATTTCTGATGGCAAGCTGTTCCACTGGTTAATTGTCCTCCCTGTCAGGAAGTTTCTCCTTAATTCCAGGTTGCTTCTCTCTTTGGTCAGTTTCCAACCATTGTTTCTTGTCCTGCCTTCAGGGGCTTTGGAGAATAGTTTGACCCCCCCCTCCTCTTCTTTGGGGCAGCCCCTCAGATACTGGAAAACTGCTATCATGTCTCTCCTATTTCTCCTTTTCTTTAGACTCAGCAATCCCAAATCCTGCAGCCGTTCTTTGTACCTTTTAATCTCCAGGCCTTGGATCATCTTAGTTGCTCTAATTCCTGCCTTTTCAGATAAACTCCCTTAATTCCAAACAATGTCCTAGAACTTCTGTTCTTCTTCTTCATTCTCACAAAATTACCTTCAAAGCTTTAGTAAGCCTCTTTTGCAAATCCAATATAGGAAAAATAGTCAGGCCGTTCTTCTGGTTTGTTATTTGCCTTACCCCTTGGATTATTAAAATATCAGCCAGTTTCATTTGTGTATGCAACGTAGCCTCTTTTCTCCATATCATTTATTAAATCCGCTTTCAGATCAGTCTTCGTTTGGCCTGGTAAAACCTGTTCTTCTTCCATAACGTCTTTCAAACTCAGCTTATCTATAGTGCCAAGACATTCTTAAAATTAATCCTGCATCTGATGTTCGCAAATATCCTTCATTAGGTCTGAAATTAAAGTGTTTGCTGCGTTCTGCATTAGTAAGTCAAAAGTAAGGTTCTCTAGCACACAGAAACAATCATAAATACGAATAAGTTGCCAAGCACCTGGATTTTGATCATGGGGATGTTACAACGGTCGTAACGCTGAAAAACGGTCATAAATCACATTTCCATCAACAACAATTCCTTCCTGGAAGGTTTCTTACAATTAATTTCCAAATCTTCTTTCAAACCCATCTTTACACTTTTCCAAAATACATGTCCTGAGCAGCTTTTTTCTGTTTGTTCTAAAAAAAAAAAGTACCTTTAAAAAAACAACAACTCTTTAAACTTGTATTTAAAACTTCCTTTGATAAGAATGGAAGAAAACTCACAGGGTACTATAAAACGAGTCACTTTAAAGGTTCCTAATATTTGAAAAGCCACTAACAAGCAATTCGCAAAAGTTATTAGAAAAAGAAGCCAGTGTCATCTTGAAAGCGTTAACCATATTTTAAGGAAGAGACAGATGCTCTTTTTCAGCCCTCTGAAGCGTTAAACCTGCTGGAGACTATTGAAATGTGCTGTCTTCATGAGGAACAACTGCCCGGAGCACTTTTGGGCAATCTCATATCCATCTCTGCTTCTTCATTCTGCTGGAATTGCTGGCACTACTTCCGTTTGCCAATTTCATCCAGGTAAAAATTCTTAACTGCTTTTTTCTGATCAAGCCAGTCAGGTCTTCCAGCTCTCGTATCAGACGAGTGTCATAAAATTCTGCTGCCAGAGCTGTCGACATCCATCCCAGCATTCAGGAGTTGAGCCAAGAGCTGAGATCTCCTGATTCTTATTCTGTTCTCCCTGGGAACCAGCAGCAGCTTTCCAAGCTCTGGAATAAAGTGTTTGACAAGGTAGGAATAAGATACAATCCTGTGTTTGTTACGGTGCTGGGTAAGAGCAGGGTGGTGATTCCAGGATCGCAGACTGGGTGGAAAAAGTGATTCCAGGATCGCAGAATGGGAAACACTGATTCCAGGATCGCAGAATGGGGGAAAAATGATTTCAGGATTATAGAATCAGGAAAAAGTGATTTCAAGATCGCAGAATGTGGGAAAAAGCTGAGCATGTGGGAAATAAAATCAGTCATATTTGCTCTCAGTCGGATTCCAGCCTTATAGCAGAGCCATTGAGGTAGCTACGCCTTGCATAGATTTGGGGGCCAGACTTAGGATTTGGGCTGCAAGAGTCCTGCAAGAATCAATGAACAGCTTTGCAAATGATGCCCAGAAAAAAAATGCATCCTTTTTTTCCTCTCCCCCTGCAGGCAAATTTCTCTAACACTGGGAGGCTGGTGTTTGAGGGGTGCTATGCGGACACGTGATGCTTTGGGGGTGCTGTTCCTCATCCTCCAAGGGATGGTCGAGGCCAGAGGTCAGCCTTTGAGAAGCCTCCTGTGGGTGGAGCCCAAAGGAAAAATGGGAGGGGCTCTGGTTGTGCCGGTAGGAGGGGCCTAAATTCACCCGCCCCCTTTTCTCTCTCTCTCTTTCCATTTTTGGTTGATTTTTAGCAAGCCAACCCTGTAGTCCTAAATTCCTCAGCTCACATGCAATGGTGTGTGTTTGCAACGCAACGTATTGCGACACGGTGGAGCCGGTCTCCCTCCCTGACGTCGGCAACTTTGTCAAGTACACAACCAGCAGGGGCGGCCAACGCTTGGAGCGAAGCCAAGGGCAAATCGATGCCAGGCCAGGAGCTTCAGGTAAACCTGGACGAGGGGTTCGACTAGATGACCTACCAGGTCCCTCCCAACTCTGTTAATTCTGTTTATTCTTTCAGTTGGGATCCTCTACGCCTACAATCCCTCCGTTCAGTACCAATACATCAAAGGTTTTGGAGGAGCACTCACCGACTCTGCGGCCATTAACATCCTGAATTTGTCTTATGCAGCCCAAAACCAGCTGCTCCGGTCTTACTTCTCCGAAGAAGGTGAGGAAATTGGGAATGACCCCCTGGATGAAAACTAGCAGCTCAGGGAAAGCTAGCATCCTGAGGCTCTGTCTTTCTTAAGGCAAGGATTAAAAATTAACAGGGTTAGGCTACGTTTAAAAGCAGAATGACATGAACAATCCAGAAAATATTTTGTTTTTAAACCTTGCTTTCCTGACTTTACGCACCAACTTTCGTTGAGAAAAAAACAATAACAAGGTAGGCTGTGTTTTTCTAATTTCTTCGATTTCTACGCGGAATACTCAAGAATGAAAACCTAGCTGAGGAAGAGAGCAATTCAGGGGAAATTTAACTTAGTGACAACTGAAGGCATAGCATGAAAGGAAAAGGCAAGGGGAGAGAAAAGGAATAAGATGGCGTCTGACAAAGGGCCATCTTTACGAGATGGTCCTGGTGGCCTTGTCAGTTTTTTTGTCTGTCTGGAAGTACGTTTTGTATCCTTTTTTTTTTCTTTTTTTGGTCTGTGAAAATTAGACTCCTGGAAGACCAGAATCTCTTGACCTTCTCTCCCCCCTTCTGCAGGACTTGAGTACAATTTGATACGTTTTCCCATCGGGTGCTCCGACTTTTCCACGCGGCCGTACAGTTACGCTGACCGCTGCGTGGATGACTTTGAACTCAAGTGTTTTGAGCTGGCCCCCGAAGACACCAAAATTAGGGTGAGTTCGGCTAAATACCCACCCAATGGGGATGGGTGTGTGTGTCTGTTCCAGGCTGTTTTTTTGCCAAAACTGCACCCATCGCAAACAATCACATCACCCATCAATAAGCTCACAAGGAGGTCGTGTGAACGCTCTTCTTGAGTGTTGATCAGGCCATCCCCAGAGATAGTTGTGGTCTCTCTCAACAGATCCCCTTGCTCCATCGTATCATGGCCCATGCCGAGAGACCCCTCTCCCTGGTCAGCAGCCCTTGGACCAGTCCTGGCTGGCTAAGGGTCAACAACAAGGTTCTAGGCAAATCCAAGATAAAGGGAGAACCAGGTGACCGCTATCACAAGACCTTGGCCAACTACTTTGTCAGGTAATAACACTTTTTCCATCTCATCCTGCCTCTGAATTTAGCAGGCTCCTCCCTTAGCCAAGCCCCACCTACCTCTTGGCTCCACCCCTTCTCAAACTCCACCCCAAATCATGATCTGGCTCCTCCCATAAGCAGATGTTCTTGAAAATCCTTGTAGATGAAGATTAAACAATCAGTGGGACAACATGCCCGGAGAAGCATGGTTCTATCTCTGTCTCCCACCCTGCTCCTGAGTAGTAATAGGATATTTCCTGTAGATAAAGATTAAGAAATCAGTGGGAGGTCGCACGATCCCCTTCTGCGACGTGACAAGCAAAGTCAGTGGGGAAGACAGATTCACTTCACAACTGGGTTATGAGTAACTGAGGTCGTAAAATGGGGCAAAACTCACTGAACAAATGTCTCACTTAACAACAAAAATCTGAGGCTTCTTTGTCTTCGTACTTCTTTTGGTCAGCTAGAGAGCTGGGAGGTAGGGGTTTTCCTAAATTCACGGGGCGTGAGATATTTTGTTTTCCCGACAAATGCCAAAACTAACATTATTGCAACCTTCTATGTCTTAAATGTAGGTTCCTAGATGTGTATGCCGAAAACAATATCACTTTCTGGGCACTCAGCTCTCAGAATGAACCCATCACTTCCCTTTTCGTAAGTAGGGAAGACTTCCCGAGCAATTATTTTTCACCGCAACAACAACGGGACTTTATTATTGAGGACTTGGGCCCTGCCCTCGCCGCCAGCCACCACGCTGACATTCACCTCATCATCCTTGATGACGGGAGGTGTCACTTGCCAAATTGGGCCAAACAGGTAGGTTTCAGCTGGTCTTCAAACTGTAGGACGGATCTACACTATGGTGTATTGAGGCTCTCCTTCTCTCCGTCTGTTATCTGACAGGTGTTAGGCAATAGTACCGCCGCTGCCTTCGTGTCCGGAATTGGCATCCATTGGTACATGGACTACTTCACCCCACCTGGACCCACTTTAGACATTACACATCGCCTCTACCCTGATTTCTTTCTGCTCTACACAGAAGCTTGCAATGGTTTCCTAGACTGGGATGAGAAGGTCATCCTGGGAAACTGGGAAAGAGGCACCTATTACAGCAAAAATATCCTGATGGTAAGGTAGCCCCTTTTACAACCAAAAGTTTGCCTCTTTGATGAGAGGCAGGGACGGACGAGTTATCGACCCGTCTTAGAGTTTCTTGCCCTTCAAAGGATGTCGTAATGCCTTTGGGAAGCTGAGTCAGTTAACCAAAACTCTGCCCTAGATCGGGGTGGGCTTTTTTTTCCCCGGCATGCAAAGGGAAAGGTTGTTGGGCGGTAGTGCAACCGGTAAAGCTGCCGATGCTTTGGTCTCTGCAGAATCTCAACCACTTCGTCACTGGGTGGATTGACTGGAACTTGGCTCTGGACATGGAAGGGGGTCCCAACTGGGTGGACAACCTTGTGGACAGTCCCATCATTGTGAACCCCCTTAAGGATGAGTTCTACAAACAGCCCATGTTCTATCACCTGGGACATTTCAGGTAAACTCAGCCGAGATGATTTTGCAAGGTGTTGAGGAAGAGCAGAATGAGCAAAACAGTAACAAAGATGCTCTAAAATGGGCTTATCCTGTGGCAGGGAATTCCGCAGGCTGCCAAGGAAATGGTGGAGTTTTATGTTTAATAGTTGGCGGAATTGGATTAAGGTACAGTACTGCTCTCTGTCCAGTGGTATCGGCTAACGTCTTCTCTCTTCTGGCCAGCAAATTCATCCCTGAAGGCTCCGTACGAGTTGCTTTCACCTCCAAATGTTTGTTTATCTTCTGTCCGTTGAAGACTTCAGCTTTCCTGCGACCCGATGGCATTGCGGTGGTCGTGGTGCTGAATGAGTAAGTGGAGGAGGAAACGGACCCCAAACTGGGAATGTTTTGGGCTAGACAAGGTTCCCCACGTGAAGTTTAGGGAGATGGGAAAAGAGAGAAGAATTAGAGAAGAGATGGAGTAGCCCCCACTACATAACGGACGGAGAAAGAAACTCAGAATAAGCCTTCCCTAGTTTCTCAGTCTGTAAAAGAGACACTGGGAGATTTGTACTTCCAGACTTGCCAAATTGACGTCAGCCTTCGCAGGCAAGCCAGACAGGAAAATCACGCAGATAAGCTAACTCTACTTTGTTGTAAGCCTACATTAACAGAATCTTGCAGGTTTCGAAAGTACAAATCTTTCCCATCCCCCTTAACTAGAATTTCTCCTCTTTTTTTCAGCTGGTTTGTCGATATTCCTTTTACTATCTCGGACAATCAGGTGGGTTACCTTAAGGACTGGGCCAGAGCTTCCTCCATCCAAACCTACCTGTGGAGGAGGCACCCTTGAGGTCTTGAGACGGGGAAGGAAATTCTCGCTCAGGAACGGCAGGCCTTGCCGAGAAGAGCCCTTGTGTCACAGCCCACAACTTACACATTGAAGAAGCCGCTCCCGTTACACCAGACTTGGTTGATACAACACAGACACCATCACAACAGCTGGAGCAGTCTAATGATGACGCTCAGCCTCCAATCGCTTGGATGGTAGAGCGGAGAGCAGAGTGACGATGCTCAATGAGGCTCCTTGCCAAGCAAGGCAGTTGCTGTCTGAATTAAAAGATAGATTGATAAATACGATTTAACCATATTCCTCATCTGGTTTCCTGTTCTGTAGCATGTCATTTGTGCGTTTCCATTTGGGATGGGATATTTGTATATCGGCCACCCTTCACTTATGAGGCAATACGATCAGTCCTCAACTTACAATGATTCATTTAGCGGCCAGTAAAAATGATGATGGCACCGTAATGTGATTTATGAGCGACAGTCCTCGCACTTAGAACCATCCCAGTATCTTCACAATTGTAATATGGGCAATTGGCAGCCAGCATGTGTTTATGATGTTTGTGATCACCATCGCCTGGTTCATTTAATGACGGCATGATCCATTTAGCAACAGCATGGATTGACTTAACAATCCTTGCAAAGAGAAAAATAAGTCACGGTCATCAATCACATCATTTAACAACTGCAACACAGTCAGGACGGATTTGAAGGCACAAAAAGATAACCTAATTGCTATATGCTGTGGCCTGCAGGGGGTGCTGCAGACTCAAGAATCAACAGAATTTCAAAAGTCCATAAGCAGTCCTTAACCCCACAGGCAAATTGGCTGGGCTAGGACCTCTGATTCCTGATTCAATTGTCCACTGCAAATATATTTGACTCTTGCGTATCTTAATAATTAACAGCATTATTATTATTAATAACAATGATAATTTAACAGGAGTTTTCTGCCAATCTCTTAGATTAATTTTCAACCACTCAATTATGAGATTAGATTTTTACTTCTTCTTCTTCTTCTTTTGTTTTGGTCTCATCATTTCAGCACTGGCTACCCTAATTAACGAACACATGGATGATTTAATGAATTTATGAATTAATTAATCCCAGAGTTTTCCGGATATTAATTAATCCCAGAGCTTTCCGGATTTCTAGGAAGGTTATTGTACTCTGAATTCTCTTAGAGCAGTGGTTCTCAACCTTTTTAATGCTGTGACCCCCAACTGGTCGTAAGTCGAGGACTACTCAACCGGTCGTAAGTTGAGGACTACTCAGCCGGTACAGCACCATTTGCAGAATGGGACTTTTGGCGGGCTTAGCAGGGCAGAGACAGCCTGGACAATTCCTATTGGCTTTTGAAAGCCAATAGAATTAGACTCTATTCAAGAGAGTCTCTTCTATTGGCTTTCAAAAGCCAATAGAATAAAAGGGAGTAGCACAGCTAAGGAAAGGGGGGGGGGGATGGCGGACTGCATTGTTTGGCGACCCCCGTGAAATGGTTGTTCGACCCCAAATGGGGTCCCGACCCACAGGTTGAGAACCACTGTCTTAGAACAACGTTTTCCAAACTTGAGGATTTTAAAGGTGGGTGGAGGTCAACTCCCAGAATTCTTAGCCATTTGGCAACTTGCCAAGTGTGCTGGCTGGGGGATTCTGGGAGTTGAAGTCCACAAATCCTGAAATAGCCAAATTTGGGGGGGGGGGAAGCACTATCCTACAAAACTTTCCGTTAATGAAACCCATCTCTTAGCCGTGTTTCATCAGGAAAGACTGAAATATTTTTCCGTGTGTATTTACATTCTTCTTTTCCTTGGAAAGCCTCAGAAAGTCTGGGATTCACGCAATTTGCCTTTTTAATAGTGGCAGATTTAAAATTGTGCTGCTCTCCGAATTAAACCAGCTTGATTTTCATGTTTTACGCTGTTTTTTTTTTTAAAGATATTCTACGTAGTAAAGGAAAAATGTCAGAGAAACTTGTGTTCTTAAAAAAAAGGCACATGTTAGAGAAAATTGCACACTGAATGTAGAGAGGAATTTTTTTAAAAAAAATAAATTGGGGTGGAAAGAGCATGTAGGAAAAAGCAAAAATTGAACAGAATCTCCTTTGATTGCTGGTATTAGCAGAGCTGGAAACAGGAGAATTTTAAACTGGATTAAAGTGATGTGAAATCTTTAGGGAGGCTGAAAAAGTTATATTTCAATCCAGTTGGAACAGAATGGAGGAAAATGGTCAATTTTGCCCCAAAAACACATCAGTGAATGGAAACACAGCCGAATGTAACTACCGGTAAATTTAGGGGAAGACAATTAAATTCAGCAGAGGCGATGCAATTAAAGGAATGAAGCAAACGTAGCTGGATTTTTTTTTTGCATCGTTAGGAATAATTGCAAAAGACACACAAGCTCTGCAGAACGATTTCGTAAGGTTTCAAAGTCATGCTTAGCTGTCAAAGTCAAATCACTGGAGAAGAGACTGGACAGTCACTTGTCGGAGATGGGATAGGTTTGCCTGCTTGAGCAGGGGGCTGGACTAGAAGACCTCCAAGGTCCCTTCCAATTCCTATTCTATTCTATTCTATTCTATTCTATTCATTCTCTTATCCATTCTATTCTATTCTTCATTCTCTATTCTGTTCTATTCTATTCTATTCTATTCTATTCTATTCTATTCTATTCTATTCTATTTTTCATTCTCTTAACTATTCTATTCCTATTCTATTCTATTCTATTTTTCATTCTCTTATCTATTCTATTCTATTCTATTCTATTCATTCTCTTATCCATTCTATTCTATTCTTCATTCTCTTATCTATTCTATTCCTATTCTATTCTATTCTTCATTCTCTTATCTATTCTATTCTATTCTATTCCAGACGAAATCTGCAAATTTTAGCTTTTATTTTTAAAATAAAAGGCCTCAGAGAAAATTCCCCATCCCGCCACTCTTCGGCTCCCCTTCTGTCATTCCCCATCAGAGGGACTAGAACCATACTTTTTATTTTAATGGAACGTTGTCCGAAAGCAGCCCAGAACAGTCCCAATTTTTCCACACACACACACTCCTTCCTTCCCACAGATTTTATCTCCTTTGAATTGCAAACCGATGCAATATATGGGAGACCGCTTTGCATAACACCTCAAACTGAGCATCAGCGTCTCTTTCTGGACAGTCTGGATGGATTATCTGGTTCTCCACGTGGGTGGGAGCTCTTGCAAAATGCAGCCTCCGATTCCCAGAGAAATCAAGCATTCATCCCCGAAGGAAAAAAGCAGATTTTCCGGCTGAACCAGCCAGCTTAGACCTTACAGCAGATGTTTCTTGCGGTGTGAAGAGACTTAAGAGATCAGCTTTGGACAGTTTCCTGGCCAGAGTGGACCCTTTTTTCGGAGCTGGGGAGAGAGAGGTGAGTGCCAGAGGAAAAGTGTGTGTATGTGTGTGTGTGCGAGGGAGAGAGAGAGAGAGAGTCTCCCTCTTCCAGAGTGGGAAAAAACCTCCATATTCAGGAGCAGTCTACCTTTGTCTACTACAACAAAGTGGGGTTTGATTCTTTTCCTGCCCTGCATCGGGGCTCTCTGCAGATGTCTGAACGGTTCGGCATCGCAGCCGGTGGTAGATTCGCTTCCTTTAATTTGGGGTCCTTGGGGGTGCTCTCCCCCCAATAAAACCCATTTTATGAAACCGACCTGAATCTGGTTTTAATTTCTCCAATTAAGCAGGCAATGTTCTGCAGGGCAATGGATAGTTTAATTTAACCGGGAGCATCCAGGGCTTCTATTTGATCTGGCCCCTTTTTTCTCCCTCCTTGATCCATCAGGACTAGAATCTTTGAATTGCAAGGGACTGGGTGAACACTTCCTCTTTGCCGGTTTAAGACGTCAGGTTTGATGTTTTAAGGAGGGCTGGGGAAGCTGGCCGTCTTGCTGGGAATCCAGAGATCGAATGGTCCTTCTCTTGCTTGGAATCGTGAGGACTAGTGTCTTATTTCATCTTTAGGGGAAAGCTATTGTCCCAGGAGGGTAGGTAAAAAGAGAGCTGAAAGCCGTTTGGAAAATTCTGGCTGAGTCTGAATAAATAAAACTAGATTTAACTGCTGATTTGGCTGGCTGGGGGCTTTCTTCGGTAACTCAGCATCCCCCCAAAGAGGGCTAGCCTCTTGAAGTTCTCTCCAAAGCGCAGAAGAGAAATTTGCCTGCTGGCTTTCTGATTTTGGGGTGATAAAGTCTCTTATTTTGAATCTGTTCTTTCTGCCGTTGTAAGCAGCAAGATAGGCTGCTTATCCAGCCCGCCTTGAAGGCACCAGACCCCACCCTCTCAAAAATATCCTAAAATGATCTATTAAAACCCTGTCTCTTTGCAAGGACATTTTTTCTCTTAAATTTCTTCTCTTCCTCGTACAAATTCTTATTTTGCCTGCTTTTTTTGCTGGCTGAAGAGCAACAAAGGATCCCAAAACCTGCCTGGTTTTTTTTTGGAGGGGGGGTGTCTGGCTTGGTCCTAAAACAGGCCATTCCTGTGGATCAGACCAGCGTCCCATGCAAAGATGCCATGGGATTTTAATTTTATTTCTTTAATTTTATTTTTACACGGGTGGTGGGGTGGGGGTTGAATTTCGGGGAGTAAAGTCAGTTTAGGGGGTTCTTGATGCAGGGAGGGTGTAAGAGGGCGGCCGTGCAACCCTCCCCCCCAATAAAATGAAATCAATCAGCGTCTTTCTGTTTTCTTTTGATTTTAAGGACCCGGCCTTTAATCAAATCTTGGGAATCGCAGCCATGTCTTGTGTGGCCCTTCAATTTTTCTTCGTGTCTTTGTGCCTTCTGCAGCTGAGTTGTGTCCCAACAGGTAAGTGTGTAAAATCAAGTATCGGCAAGTGCCGGCAAGTCCCACGGTTTGTCTTGCTTTGCACAATTAACTCACTTGCAAAATGTGCCCCAAAGCTTTCCGTTTTGCAAATGACTGAGAAAGTGATGGGGAAGAGAGCCTCCACGTTTAGAGGCACTCTAGCTGTCTTCTGGAGAACATCCGGAGGTGCAGGGAAAGCGTTAACAAATTAGCACTGTCTAGTCTGAGGGGTGAAAGTCTAGGAGGCAGGAGGTGGTGTGTTCAAGTCCTGCCTTAAGCTGGTTGGGTGGTTTTGGGCCAATCCCTGGGACACTTTGAGTTCTAGACCTGCCTTAGGGAGGAAAGCTGGCTGGGCGACTTTGGGCCAATCACCAGGAGACTGGGAATTCTAGTCCCTCTTTAGGCATGAAAGCTGATTGGGTGACTTTGGCCCAATCGCCAGCAGATGGTGAGTTCTAGTTCTGCTGGTCATCTTGAGAAAGAAGCAGAAAAACAGAAGCCTAAAAAAATGTCTAAGAAACTATTAGACTGGTTTCGTCACCTTTATCAAGCCAAATTATTCTTTCTTTCCTTCCTTCCTTCCTTCCTTCCTTCCTTCCTTCCTTCCTTCCTTCCTTCCTTCCTTCCTTCCCTTCTTTCCTTCCTTCCTTCCTCCCTTCTTTCCTTCCTTCCTTTCCTTTCCTTTCTTTTTTCCCAGGGGGATGGCCATGTTCTCCCAGAAATTTTGGGCACGGCTCCTTGGTGTGTGAATGTGGGGCCGATTATTGTGACACGTTCGAGCCCGTCACCCTCCCTGATCCGGGGTCTTTCGTTAAGTATGAAAGCAACAAAGCCGGACACCGCGTGGAACGCAGTGAGGGACTGCTGCTGGATAACCCTCCCGAGAACGGTGAGGCCTAGAAGTCTGTTTTTACCCCAAGAAAACCAGGACAAGGCGAAGTGTAGTAGGCTTTCACTGCCTTTTGTCCTCATAAGAACCCTGCGAGGTAGGCCTGGATGACACAATGCCTAGTTCTGGCCTGAGGGACCATTTGGTCTAGGGGTTAAGGCACCAGGCTTGAAACCAGGAGAAAGTGAAGTCTAGTCCGACCTTAGGCGTGAAAGCCAGCTAGGAGACTGTGAATTCTAGTCCTGCCTTAGCCATCAAAGCCAGCTTGGCCCAATTACTAGGAGACTGGGAGTTCTAGTCCCGCCTTAGCTATGAAAACTGGCTGGGTGACTTTGGGCCCATCACCAGGAGACCGGGAGTTCTAGTTCCGCTTTCAGCTAGCTGGATGACTTTGGAACAGTTTTGGGCAGTTTGGAAAACTTTTCATTCCAAACAAATTTAATACATATTCCCTGTATAGAGAACCCCAGCCATCTGTATATTAATTTATTCATGTATTCAACTCAGATGCCATCCCTCTCGATATCCAAAGCCGCTCTTAGCCACCTCCACAAAAACGCTAGGCCTGTTTCGTTTTAATCTGATTTGAATTTGGGGTGAAGGATCACCCGTTTGGTGCCAACCCAGAAGCTGAATCACTTAGCTAAACATGTTAAACACGTTATGCAAACGTTGTCAAAACAGAAGAATAATTGAACAAACAGGTGGGCGTGCAAGAGGATAGATAAGCATCGTCCTGTATAAAACTGATTTTTTTTTTTAAATCCCTTCCTCTCTTTTCTTCTTTTCACTTAGAAAATCTGGTTCTGAAGCTGAAGACGTCTCAGAAATATCAAAAAATCAAGGGCTTTGGCGGGGCTCTCACTGATTCAGCTGCTATTAACATCCTGAATTTGTCGCCCAAAAGTCAGAGAAACCTGCTCAAATCTTACTTCTCCACCGAAGGTAAAAATTTATTTATTTATATACTTATTTATTTATTGAATTTGCTGGCCGCCCGTCTTCCCGCAGAATAGCCGGGATTTTAATGATTCATTCCCTGCCTTTATTATCCATTCCCGCCTTTGATTCAGCAATTCCTTGCGTTATCCCACTTTAAATAATGTCATTTAAGCATTTGGTGTGGGCGGACGGCAGCCAAAGGCAGTTCCTTGGTGTGGCTGGGAATTCCCAGTTGGTTGTCCCCGTTAATGTGATGGGACAACTGGTCCTTCTGTCAGGGCGGGGCTAAGACAGACACAAAATGTACAGGTGGTCCTTGACTTATCACCACAAGGGTATCCAATGCCAAGCAAGACTGTTAGGTGAGCTTACGACCTTTTACGTCGCGGGTTGTTGAGCCAATCGTTGTTAAGTAAATCACACGGTCATTAAACGAATCCAGCTTCTCCCCCCCCCCATTGACTTGGCTTGTGGGAAGCTAGGAAGGATGCCAATGGAGATTACAGGAGCCCAGGATGTTGCGACCGTCATAAACGCGGGATTGCCAAGTGCCTGAGTATTGATCACACGATCGTCAGGATGCTGGCAAAGGGGTTGTAAGTTGAGGACCAGTCACAATGCACTTTTTTGAGCGGACGCTAAACGAACCGTTGTAAATAGAGGAATACTTTTCAGAGGTTGCTGACCATGGTCCTGAAACCAAGCCACATCCCTGTTGGCTAAATCTAGAGGCATTGTCCAAGGTGCTGAAATGCATCTTTCCTTTGTATTCCCACCTCTGCTGCTTGGACTACAGCTCCCATCATCCCTTCCCCTGGGGTCAAGCTTGACTGGAGAGGTGGGATTTGGCCGTTTGGGGCTAACCCTCATCCCCGAGTCTTTTGTTGTGTTTTTTGAACCCAGGGATCGAGTATACCTTGATCCGGGTGCCCATGGCGAGCTGCGATTTTTCCGTGAGGCTCTACACGTACGCGGACGTGGAGAACGATTTTGACCTGAAGAACTTCAGCCTAACCGACGAAGATATCAAAATGAAGGTGGGTCCTCAACCATCAGCAGAAATACGAGAATATTGGGACAGATCTGTACTCAGAAGGATACTGTTGCAGAAGAAGGCCAGAGAAAGGGGGAAAAGGGGGATTTGAATCAAAATCACAGAGAGTTGCGTCTAAGCCAACGGATCCTACCTTAGGAATTTTTATTAATTTTATCGTTTAGTATTACATTTTATTATTTTTTTTACTTTATTATTTCAAAAGAGTTTTTGCTTTCAACAGCTGCTGCCAGGTGTTCAAAGCAACTCCCCCCTCCTGCCCCTTGAAAAGGCTCCTAAATAATAATAATAATAATAATAATAATAAAGTTGGAAGGGACCTTGGAGGTCCTCTAGTCCAACCCCCCTGCTCAGGCAGGAAACCCTATCCCATTTCAGACACATGGCTGTCCAGTCTCTTCTTAAAAACTTCCAGTGTTGGAGCATTCAGCGCTTCTGGAGGCAGGTTGTTCCACTGGTTAATTGTTCTCACTGTCAGAAAATTTCTCCTTAGTTCTAGGTTTGCTTCTCTCCTTGGTTAGTTTCCATCTGTCACTTCTTGTCCTGCCTTCAGGCGCTTTGGAGAGTAGCTTGACTGCCTCTTCTTTGGGGCAGCCCCTGAGATACTGGAACGCTGCTGTCATGTCCCCCCCTCGTCCTTCTCTTCGTTAAACTAGACATACTCAATTCCAGCAGCCTTTCCTTGTGTGTTTTAGCCTCCAGTCCCCTGACCATCTTTGTTGCTCTTCTCTGCACTCTTTCTAGAGTCTCAACATCTTTTTTTATGGGAGAGAGCTAAATTGAACGTGTAACGGGGGAGCATCTAGGAGGAGAGGGAAGGAAGTGAGGCTCAGTGGCTTTTGAGTTGCAAGGAGATTAAATAAAATTGAGCTTCGCGCACAAGGTGAAAGGATGCTTTGTCTCCACGGACATTAGATCCCAATTCTGCAACAAGCCCAAGCCGTGGCTCCTCGGCCCCTCTCCCTCTACGCCAGTCCCTGGACGTCTCCCGTGTGGATGAAGACCAACGGCGCCATGACCGGCCGTGGGACCCTCAAGGGGCATCCGGGCGACAGATACCACAAGACCTGGGCCAATTATTTTATCAGGTAACCCCCTCTTCCCGTCCAACCCGCTGAAATTCCAGCAAGGCCTCAAATCGCTCCCAAATCTGTGCCGTTTTCCCAGCCTTTGTTCTCTGTGGGACGGGGGTGAGTTTGCTTCATCACTCTGATGAAGATCCTCGCTGACGATTCTCGGCGATGGGCGTGCAGCCGAGGAATCAGCTTTAAGAGAATAGCAGAGTTGGGAGGGACCTTGGGGGTCATCTAGTCCAACTCCCTGCTCAAGCAGGAGAGTCTGTACCACTTCAGACAAATGGCTGTCCAATCTCTTCTTGAAAACCTCCAGTGATGGAGGGAAGGAGGGAAGAAGGAAGGAAAGAAGGAAGGAAGGAAAGAAGGAAGGAAGGAAACAGAACAACAGTTGGAAGGAGGAAGGAAGGAAGAAAGGAAGGGAGGGAGGGAGGGAGAAAACAACAACAGTTGGAAGGAGGAAGGAAGGGAGGGAAGGAAGGAAAGAAGGAAGGAAGGAAGAAAGGAAGGAAGGAAGGAAGGAAGGAAGGAAGTAAAAAAACAGAACAACAGTTGGAAGGAAGGGAGGGAGGGAAGGAAGGAAGGAAGGAAGGAAGGAAGGAAGGAAGGAAGGAAGGAAGGAAGGAAGGAAGGAAGGAAAAAAACAGAACAACAGTTGGAAGGAAGGGAGGGAGGGAAGGAAGGAAGGAAGGAAGGAAGGAAGGAAGGAAGGAAGGAAGGAAGGAAGGAAGGAAGGAAGGAAGGAAAAAAACAGAACAACAGTTGGAAGGGACCTTAGAGTCTCAAGCAGGAGACTATACCATTTCATACCAATGGCTGTCCAATCTCTTCTTCAAAACCTCCAATATTGGAGCGCCCACAACGTCTGGTGGCCAGCCGTTCCACTGGTTAATCGTTCTCACTGTCAGGAAACGCCTCCTTAGTTCCAGGTTGCTTCTCTCCCTGATTCCTCTCCATCCGTGGCTCCTTGTCCTGCCTTCGGGTGGCTTTGGAGATCAGCCTGACCCGCCCCCCTTCTTCTTTGGGGCAGCCCCTCAAGTACTGAGTCCAGCAAGTTAACCCCATTTTCTCTTCCTCACCCAGATTCCTGGACGAATATGCCAAATATAATTTGACTTTCTGGGCTATAACTGCTGGCAACGAACCCACGGCCGGCGACATTATCTTCTACCCGTTCCAGTGCCTTGGATTCTCCCCGGAGCACCAGCGGGATTTCATCGCTAAGGATTTGGGCCCGGCTTTGGCCAACAGCAGCTACAAGGGCATCGAGCTGATCATTTTGGACGATCAGAGAGTGATGCTCCCTTACTGGGCCGAAGTGGTAAGTTGGCAACCCCCAGCATCTGAATCCAGCTGGCCATTTTTTAATGTTTAAAATGCTTGTAAGTTTTTGGCGCTCCAGACTTTTCATAGACAAGCGGTCCTCAACTTAGGGAGTGTTAATTCTGCCCAGAATTTCGATTCTAAGTCGGGGTGGCCACTGAGTGGGGTGATCATTGACCGCGCCTGGTTTGATGACCCTTTATTTGTAGCTGTCATTAAGCGAAGGTTGAGGTCGTTAAAGAAATGCAATGGCTGCTTAAGCGTTATAGGCAAGGGGTGTTTTGGCCAGAAGCTGGAATTAAATGCAAAAAAAAAAAAAAAAAATGGGGAAATTATGGTCGTATGACGGCAGGATGCTGCAAACAGCCATAAATGCAGAAAAATGATGGAAGGGGGTTGAACGCGGTTGTTATTTTGGTCTTGTTCTTGAATCACAATGTTGCAGAAAATGCACTGATGGTGTTAACTAGTTTGGTGGTGAAATGTCTGCAAGGAAACCACCAAGCTTTATAGCACTAAAAAACCCATAATTCTCCTCCTCCTAGCACTGATGATGTTACTTAGTAGGATAATGAAATATCTCAAAAAAAAAAAAAACCAAGTTCAGGAAAGCACCAAGGATTCCACAGTTCTTTTCTTTCCTCCTCCTCCTCTTCCTCCTCCCTCTCCTCCTCCTCCTCCTCTCCACAAATCTCATTCCCTCCTACCCCTGATGCCATTACCTAGTTGGGTCACAAAACGTCTGCAAGAAAACCACCCAGCTCAGACAGTTCCCCCCCTCCAGAAAAAACTTCAGCTGTGCCTTCCTAACTTTCTTTCCTGTTAACATCATCAGAGACCCTGGAATTTCTCGCTAGCCCCCTCCCCTCTCCCTCCAAGGGGTTGCAATCTGCCTATCGTGCGACGCCAGAAAAATAACCCTTTGGTCCCGTCCTGTCTCCAGGTTCTGAAAGACCCCAAGGCTGCCCAGTACATCAACGGGATCGGCATCCATTGGTACCTGGACTTTTTAGCCCCCATCGACCTGACGCTGTCCATCACCCATCACCTCTTCCCCAACTACTACCTGATCTCCACCGAGGCCTCCACGGGCTCGTACTTTTGGGAGCCCCGTGTGGTGCTGGGGGGCTGGGACCGCGGCAGCAAGTACAGCCACAGCATCCTGACGGTATTGGGGGGGGGACTTTCATCACCATCTGGGGGTGGCTGGGATAAGTGGGAGGGTGGCGAGACGATGCCATTTCTCCTTCCTTCCCATTGCAGAATCTCAACAATTACGTCACGGGCTGGACAGACTGGAACCTGGTCTTGGACCTGGAAGGAGGGCCCAACTGGAGTAAGAATTATGTGGACAGTCCGGTGATTGTAGACAAGGAGAAGGACATCTTTTACAAGCAGCCGATGTTCTACCACATGGCCCACTTCAGGTGATTCTGCATGGAAGTGTCCGTTTCTACATTTCTGTTTGCGTATTTCTGTTCTTCTGTACGCTCTTTGTTCCTCTGTTTCTCTATGTCTTCGCTTTTGGGATCCTACTTTAGAGCAGAATAGAGCTGGAAGGGATCTTGGAGGTCAGCTAGTCCAGCCTCCTGCTTTTCTATATTTCTATATTTCTATTTGTATATTTCTATATACTCTATATTTTTTTTATTTCTTTCTCTATTTCTGTACTTCTATTTCTCTGTATTTATATACTATATTTCTATTTGTATTTCTATACTTCTATGTACTCCATATTTTTTATTTCTTTACTTCTCTATTTCTATACTTCTATTTCTGTGTTTATATACTTCTATATATTTCTATTTGTATATTTCTATACTTCTATATACTCCATATTTTTTATTTCTTTACCTTTCTATTTCTGTACGTCTATTTCTCTGTATTTCTATACTATATTTCTATTTGTATTTCTATACTTCTATGTACTCCATATTTTTTATTTCTTTACCTCTATTTCTCTACTTCTATTTCTGTGTTTATATACTTCTATATATTTCTATTTGAATATTTCTATACTTCTATATACTCCATAATTTTTATTTCTTTACTTCTCTATCTCTGTACTTCTATTTCTCTGAATTTATATATTTCTATACTTCTGTATACTCCATATTTTTTATTTCTTTACTTCTCTATTTCTGTACTATTTCTCTATATTTATATATTTCTATTTGTATATTTCTATACTTCTATATACTCCATATTTTTTATTTCTTTACTTCTCTATTTCTGTACTATTTCTCTGTATTTATATATTTCTATTTGTATATTTCTATACTTCTATAGTATAGAAATATAGAAATAAGAAATATAGAAGAATATAAATACAGAGAAATAGTACAGAAATAGAGAAGTAAAGAAATAAAAAATATGGAGTATATAGAATCTATATATTCCATATTTTTTATTTCTTTACTTCTCTATTTCTGTACGTCTATTTCTCTATATTTATATATATTTCTATACTTCTGTATACATATTTTTAACTCTTTACTTCTCTATTTCTGTACATCTATTTGTATTTATATACTTCTATATTTCTATTTGTATATTTCTATACTTCTATATGCTCTATATTTATTTCTTTACTTCTCTATTCCTGTGCGTCCATTTCTCTGTCTTTCAGTACTTCTGTTTCTATTTGTATATTTCTATACTTTTCTTATTGTTTACTGTATATTTCTCTACTCTTATTCCTAATTTGCTATTTCTACACCTTACTCTTCGGCAATGCCCACTTCTGTGCTTTTTCCCTTGTGTAGTAAATTCCTTCCGGAGGGGACTCAGCGGATCGAAATCCAGAAAAGCGGATCGTGTAGTTTGGAATTCTCTGCCTTCCTCCGCCCGGATGGATCGGCAGCCGTGGTGGTGCTGAACAGGTGAGGGGCAGGGCATGGGAGTGCCATCCCTGTGGGGACCCTTGGGGTGCAAACTGTACCCTCAAAATGGAGACGTTTCATGACCCAACTAGATAATGTCATCAATTCTAGTGCGTAACCCTAACCCCGATGATGTCATCTAGTTTGGGTGATATGAAACGTCTTTAAGAAAACCAACAAGCTCAGATTACGCTCTCCAAAGTACTCCTCTTTGTTTCTGAGGTTTCCCCTGGAGTACCCACACTTTTCTCTCCCCCACCCCCAGTTCCTTCTCATGGTGATCCCTCTTCCTTTGCAGATCCCCCAAGGATATTCCTTTTGGGATCTCGGATCCCGGGGTGGGCTACGTGGAGACCATCGCTACGGCCGACTCAATCCAGACGTATCTGTGGCAGCGTCCTATGGAAGAATGAGAAGCCTAGAGCTTTGGGGAGGGGGTGGCAATCAAACCCTCATCCCTTTATTTGCAGGAGGAAGTAGAAAAGAAAAAAAATAAGGGGAGGGGGAACGATGACATCCTGGGGAAGGGTCTGCTGACCGGGTGGAAAACTGCATTAACCAAAAATTGGAAAATTTGGGCCAACACTGCCCTCAAACCTGACAATCTGCTGAATTAACAACTCTCTTTTGTTTTCACGTTCAGAATAAATGTTTTTTTTTTTCTAGCTTGTGTTGTTTTCTTGGCTCCAGGGATGCAAAGAGGTGTGTGTGTGTATATGTTAACTTAGGAAGGAAACTTGAGAGACCTTTGATTTTTGTCCCCCAGTTTTTTTGCACTTGCGTTTGTCCCCTGCTTTTGGGATCAAGAGCAAAATTATCCACATCTCTATATCTTGTTTCTTTGGCTTTTTCTGCAGGAAAATCTGCACAGGTAATCCTCGATTTACAACAGTGCCTGAAAAAAAAAAGTGATTTACGGCCGGCTCCTCGCCTTTACGACCGTTAACAAGCGTGCGATCCACTTAACAACTTGCGTTAACAAAAATTTGGCAAAATGAAATGCAAGTTCCTGAACGATCCTTTGCTTAGCAACGGACGTTCTGGACCTTATCATGGTAATAAATTGAGGGCTACCTGCACCTCTTGTGGTGGAGAGTTCCACAGGGCAAATCGACCCCCTGGTTCTTCTCCGGCCCCCTCCAAGCCCTTCTGAGCATGCAAAATAATAATAAAATAAAGATTGCGGCTTGGCCAAACCACCTCTACGCACTCCCCTCTCTCCATCTTCTGAAGCCTCTCTGTTGGGCCACACTGGCATCTATTTTAACCCGAGTCGGCCTGGGGTGGAAGCTGGATTCGCACCCAAGCCACAGCTGCCCTGTCTTTGGCAGCGTCTTCTGTCCCCTCCTTGCCAAATTCCTGAGCAGCCACGGAGATGTTGCAGTTGACGCGTTATATTTGAGGCCTCCGTTTTCTCTTCTTCCTGCCAGCTTCACTGTCCTTGCCAGTTTCCACACATTATCCACTCATACCTACCTAGGTGTGTCTATATATATGTATATCAATCCCTGTTCTGTTATACTGGCAAACAGGGTGGCCTGTGGTTTGCTACAGGGAGGTGTGTGTGAGAAACAGGGGACGGTTCTCATCTCTTCCCTTGAGGTTCCAACACACACACACACACACACACACGAAGAAGAAGAAGAAGAAAGAAAGAAAGAAAGAAAGAAAGAAAGAAAGAAAGAAAGAAAGAAAGAAAGAAAGAAAGAAGTAGTTATATTAATATAAATTCACGGTCTAAAGAAGGAATAAAGAACAGACCAGCGACTAAACCTGCAGCTCGCTCCAATTTATTGATCCCGGTTGGGCTTTCCTTGGAATGGTGGTTTAAAAAAAGTTTGTCGCGACAGCGAGACCGGATCCAACTGGGCTCTAGAATAAAAAACATAAAAGTCTACTGGAAGCCGGTCCTGCTGCGTCCCTCAATCCTCTTCCTCTTCCTCCTCCACCTCGTCCAGGGTGATGGCGTGGGGACCGGCCTGGTGTGGGCTCTCCTTCTGGATGGACACAATGCCGGTCAGGAAGGCGTAGCCCACCATAGCCACCAGCGCCACCAGGACCGAGAGGAACTGGTTGCGTCGCTTGTGCGTCTCTTCTTCGCCGTCGTTGCCGTCGCCGGAGGCCAATTTGGGGACGATGGGTGGGGGGTCCCCTGCAGAAGGAGTCAGATTCGGTCAAGACACGGCAAAGCTTCCCGCGCTTAGTGGCCGTCCGAAGATACGACGGGTGGTCCCACTTGGGGCGACTTATAGCCTATTCCACGTTCCCGCGGTCGCCCCACCCACACGGTCACAGCGACACGGCTGGGGCTGCAGCGTCCTGTGATCCGCTGAGACCACGTTTTACAGGGAGTTCTTGACTGACAACCATTTTGTTTAGTGACCGTTCAAAGTTACAACAGCGCTGACAAAAGGACTTGGGACCGTTTTTCAGGCTTACGATCCCTGCAGCGTCCCCCAAAGGGTTGGAAATTCAGACCCTTGGCAACTGACTCGTTTAGGATGGTTGCAAGGATGGGTCTTGTGGGATAGGGTTTGCTGCCTGAGCAGGGGGTTGGACTAGATGACCTCCAAGGTGCCTTCCATCTCTGTTATTCTGTTATCCATCCTTCCTCCCTCCCTCCCTCCCTTCCTTCCTTTCTTCCTCACCACTGGAGATTTTCAAGAACAGACTGGACAGCCACCTATCTGAAATGGTATAGTGTTTCCTGCTTGAGCAGGGGGTTGGACTAGATGACCTCCAAGGTCCCTTCCAATTATTATTCTGCTATTTTTCCTCCCTCCCTTCCTTCCTTCCTTCCCTCCCTCCTCCCTCCCTCCCTCTCTTCTTTCCTCCCTCCTCCCCTTCCTTCCTTCCTTCCTTCCTTCCTTCCTTCCTCACCCCTGGAGGTTTCCAAGAAGAAACTGAACAACCCCTTGCCTTTTTCCCGCTTCAGCATCGAGTTGGACTAGATGACCTCCAAGATCCCTCCCAACTCCGCTATTCTCTTAAAGCTGATTCCTCGGCTGCGCACCCGTCACCGAGGACCTTCACCAAAGCCATGACGCAAACTCACCTCCGTCCCATGGAAAATAAAGGCTCAAAATAGAGGTGCAGAAATTGCACAGGTTTGGGAGTGATTTGAGATGTTGCTGGAATTTCCCATTGGGAAGTTTGGCGTGAAGCAGGCCGGCCAAAAGACTAAACACCGAGGCATCCAGGGAGGCAGGTCTGAAAAAAATAAAAAATAAAATCAAGAAGATAAAGTGGAGATGATACAAGAGACAGCATGGCAGCGACCTCTTTCAGCTAATGGCCATTTACGTCACTAAGCGAGACCTCCGTTAAATGAGCTTTGTCCCACTGGACACACCGTTGTTAAGCGAATCCCTGCAGGGGTGTGTGTTAAGTTAGCCGCACAGTCATTAAGAAGAACCCGGCTTGCCCATGGACTTTGCTCGCCCGAAGGTCGCAAAAGGAGACACTGCCGCCGCCGTAAATAGGAGCCGGTCGCCAAGCGTCTGAATTTCAATCGTAAGGGTCCTACGGCACTTCTTTCAGCGACGGTCGCTAAATGAACGGCTGTAAGTCACGGGATCGCCATTAGCAACCTTCCCTCTGTGTGTGTGTTTCCAACAAACAAGGTCCATGGGGGAAGCCAGGCTGTGTGATCCGCTGAAGGACGGTGCCAAAAACTTTGTAAAATCAGGGCGCGATTCGCTTAACAGCCAGTTAAGTCCCGTTTTGGTCACAAAGCCGAGGACTACCTGAAAACAGGGGAGGAAAGTTTCCCGCTCAAACTCCCCAACTCCTTACGAGTCTCCGAAGAAGAATTTTTTCCTGCCGAGGTGTTGAGAGAGCAGCGTCAGGCACTCGCAACCGTCTCGATAAATCTGCGGGGGTCATGGGGAAAAAAAAAAAAAAGCATTGTTGAGTCTCTCTCTTTCTGCCTTTGGACTGCAAGTCCCATCGCCCCCAGCCAGGCCGGCATTCTGGGAGTTGAAGTCCGCGAGTCATAAAAGGGCCAAGTTGGAAGACCCCGGTTTTTAAAAAGTTTTCACTCCAAACAGGCTGCAATGGCCAAACTGAGCCACTAGGTGGCAGCCGTGCAAATACTTGCAGAGAGCTTCCAGGGCTAAGAGGAGTCTATCTGATCCTCGATTTTATCACTCTACGCCACCTTTAAGCCTCCGCTCCGGGACGTTACCTGCCTCGGACGTCCTTCCTCACCTGTTTTTCCAGCTGCTCTTCGTTGTCCTGCCAGCTTTCGCCGCAGACGGTCTGCAAATGCTCCAGTTTCCGTTTCTGCATCCGGTTGGGCAGAAAGAAGTTGAGAGGGAACGGAATCGCTTCCGCGTACCACTTCCGCGTGTGCTCCACGTAATTCTTCGCGTCCACCCAGAAAGTATGGATCTGCCGGGAGGGAGAATCCCAACAATATCCGTGAAAAAGCAGCCGCCTTGGTCGGAAAGCCGAGCAGCGAAGTTTCTAGTCCTCAGGAGGGACAGGCTGCTGTAACTGCAAACGCTTGCTAAGCCAATGTTAAGCCGAGGACTAACAACAGCCCAGATCCAGCCCATCCCTCCGGTTCTCGAACCCAGGCCGTGACCCCACTGTCTCCCCAAATTTCTTCTCTCTCCCCCCCTCCCCAACTCACCAGCATCGGCAGAAGCTTCCGGTGCACCAGAGAGAGGAAGGCTAGAGTATCGGCTGCTTGCAAGGCCGAGAGGTCGTAATCTGCATTAAATTGCTAAAGCAGAAGGAGAGAGAGAGAGAGAGAAAAAGGAAGCGAGTTGGACCGAATGAGTTGGGGGCAAAGAGGTGTGTAAAAAAGATGTAAAAAAGATGTTGAGGGTCTGGAAAGAGTGCAGAGAAGAGCAACCAAGAGGATCAGGGGACTGGAGGCTAAAACATATGAAGAACAGTTGCAAGAATTGGGGATGTCTAGTCTAATGAAGAGAAGGATTAGGGGAGACATGATAGCAGTCTTCCAATATTTGAGGGGCTGCCCCAAAGAAAAAGGGGTGAACTTATTATTCAAAGCCCCTGAAGGCAGGACAAGAAACAACAACGGATGGAAATGAATCAAGGAGAGAAGCAACCTGGAACGAAGGAGAAACTTCCTGACAGTTAAAACAATCAATCAGTGGAACAGCTTGCCACCAGACGTTGTGGGTGCTCCATCCCTGGAGGTATTTAAGAAGAGACTGGACAGCCATTTGTCTGAAATGGGACATAGGGTCTCCTGCTTGAGCAGGGGGCTGGACTAGAAGACCTCCAAGGTCCCTTCCAGCTCTATTCTATTCAAACAGGCCGATCGCTCATACCTGCTTCCTAAAATGGGTGATGATTTCCTGCATATCGGAAAAAACCCCGTTGGACGTCTTGAGGGCCGGGAGTGATCCTGCAAAGCAAAAAAAAGGGGGGGGGACGGGGGGGAAATGAGCATGAAGGAAAAGCCTGGAGAGACAAGGAGCCCCATTTAAGTACCCAGGCTGGCTTCTCTCCCTCTTGAGGACTAGAAACGTACGCTGCTTTCCAAGCAATTAAAACGGTGAGATTTCCTAACGGGAGGGTTTTCCTACCTGCCTTACCTGCCCACCCACCCACCCCAAAAAAACAAACTTACCTGAGGGGCTTCTCCATGGGTTGGTGATTTTGTGAACTTTGAGGGGCGCCCCTGTGAAACGAGCATAAGTCTGCAAGGAAAGGAAATAAAAATAAGAGAAAATTAATTAATGCATTTGGCAAGTCCGGCCATGAATAACATCCTGGATGTGATCGGGCTTCCCCTAAAGACCTGAACATCACCAAATTTAAGAAGAAATTAATAATAATAATAATAATAATAATAATAATAATAATAATAATAAATAGAAGCTGGAAGGGACCTTGGAGGTCTTCTAGACCAACCCCTGAACGGTATAGCCTAGCCTAGCCTAGTCTAGTGTTCTATTCTATATTCTATACTCTATTTATTCTAGTCTATATTTTTGTATACTATATTCTATTGTATACTATATTCTATTCTATATTCTCTATTTTTATTGTATTCTATATTGTATTCTATGTTCTATTGTATACTTTATTCTATTCTATATTCTATATTTTCTATTCTATCTTGTATTCTATATTCTATTGTATACTTTATTCTATTCTATTCTCTATTCTTTGTATACTATATTCTATTCTATTCTATATTCTCTTCTATCTTCTGTATTTTCTCTTCTCTCTTGTATTCTATATTTTATTGTGTACTATATTCTATTCTATATTCTGTACTATGTACTATATTCCATATTCTCTTCTTAATGTCTTCTTAAATCCTGCTTTCAAACAAAGCAGCAAATCGTGTCTCTTTCTTTCCCCAGGAAGCAAGCAGGGGCTCGGCTCCCAGGACCCTCCCCCCAATTTTCGGAGCCCCCCCATCCATGTCCTGTCTATAACCCGGCGCAGTTGCAACGCCCCCGCGGGCGCCCGCTTGAGGAAGAATGCAGCGCCGTGCGCTTTGCAAAACCAAAAAAAAAGCAAAAACAAAACCCAATCCGGATTTTGCAAAAAGCTCTCACTAAAACGGCCAGGCAATCGGGGTCCACGGTGGGCAGCCCCCACCCGCCGGCCCAGCAATACAACTCCATGGGCGCTGCCATCTTTGCACGCCTTTGTTAACCCGGAACAGCATCACAAAGAGAGAGAGAGAGAGAGAGAGAGAGAGAGAGAGCAAAAGAGGAGTGACTCCGATTCCGAGCGCTCCAGACTTTGGGGCTCTTCCGCCCCCGTCTGTCCCGGGGTTGCAAAAAATAAATAAATAGAGCAATCCCGGTGTTTGTTTGTTTTTTCTGCCCCCCCTTCCTCTCCTCGCCTCCCCAGTATTAGTAAAAAAACAAACAAACCTCCAGTTGTTGAAGCACCCACAACATCTGGAGGCAAGTCGTTCCACTGACGAATTGTTTCTCCCGGTCAATAAGATGTTCTTGAGAGTTGGAGCAATGAATTGACAGTTGCAACGATGAAGTGGAAGTTGGAACAATGAATGGATATTTGGAACAACGAATGGGCAGTTGGAACAATGAATGGGTATTTGGAAAAATTAATTGACAGTTGGAATAATTAATCGGTGGAGCAGCTTCTCTCCAGAAGTTGTGGGTGCTCCAACACTGGAGGTTTTTAAGAAGAGATTGGACAACAATTTGTATGGAATGGGATAGTATGGGGGCTGGACTAGAAGACCTCCAAGGTCCCTTCCATCTTTGTTATTCTGTTATTATTCTGCTCGAGCAGGGGGCTGGACTAGAAGACCTCCAAGCTCCCCTCTCTCTCATCCTCTTATTATTCTGCTTGAGCAGGGGGCTGGTCTAGAAGACCTCCAAGGTCCCCCCTCTCTTATCATTATCCTGCTCGAGCAGGGGGCTGGTCTAGAAGACCTCCAAGGTCCCCCCTCTCTTATCCTCTTATTATCCTGCTTGAGCAGGGGGCTGGTCTAGAAGACCTCCAAGGTTCCCTCTCTCTTATCCTCTTATTATCCTGCTCGAGCAGGGGGCTGGTCTAGAAGACCTCCAAGGTCCCTTTTCAACTCTGTCGTTCTTCGGTTACCTTTCCCTTCGACCCCTGTAACTGTATCCTCGCCAGCTCTCTTGAAAACTTTCCGGGATAGGGGAAAAAATGACGAGGTTGGGAGCTCTCCCAGCGGAAGGTGGCTTGGTCTGTGGGAACGGGCTCCCCTGCAAACCAGGACAGATGGCCCGGAGAATTCCATTCTGCGTTACATCATCGTCTATTTCCTTGGCAAGCCATTCTTTCTGAGATGACCTCATTTGGAGCAGACCCCAGAAACCCGGCCCAGGCCGTTTCGGCAGAAGGGCATATAATTTCTAAAAGATTACAGGGGGAATAAAAACCAGGCTGCCTCCGTACATCCGGCCAGCGGATTGGACTCAATCGCTGGCTTCTGATTTTCCCCAAAAGTCCATCAATCAACAAAAAAAATCCAGCTTTCGTGCCCAGGATGTGTGTGTAAACTTCCTTTTAAAAACAGAAAAATGGGTCTGTGAAGGGAAGCTCCAACCGATTGCTTTCCTTCGGGCAAAGTGCAATTTTATTTTATGTTGTGTTATTTTTTTTCTTCATCTCTGCTGTTTTGGATTTTCAAAGGGTGCCGTGGACTTCAGTACCCAGAATCCCCCCCAAATCATGGAGGGATTCTGGGAGTTGTAGTCCAATGCAGCCAGAAGGTCCCAAATGACTGAGATTTTGAAAAACGGATTTTCAAAAGTTGCCGGGAATGCTAACACAACATTTTTTGCCAGGAGTAACAATAACGCAAATGGTCTTTCTTCTTTCTTCTTCTTCTTCTTCTTCTTCTTCTTCTTCTTCTTCTTCTTCTTCTTCTTCTTCTTCTTCTTCTTCTTCTTCTTCTTCTTCTCCTTCTCCTTCTCCTTCTCCTTCTTTTCTTCCTTCTTCCTGTTACTGATATAATCTTCAACTTGATTTACAGTCCCACCGCATATGCAAGCCAATTATTTGTCTTATAATTTTACTTTCACTATATCTTCAAACGATGAAGCTTTTAACTTTGACAAGACTGCTCGATCAACTCTTGAGCTTTTGAAATTCCAGGCATTGCAACGTCTAAGCATCCATGCGAGCGTTTCTCAACCTTAAGCAACTTCTAAGAGGTGTGGACTCTTAGATGCTGGCTGGGGAATTCTGGCTGTTGAAGTCCACATGTCTTACGGTTGCTCAGCCTTGCGGGTGTCTCTCTGCCTTTGAGGATTAGTTGATAAAATATTGAGTAATTTAAGCCACCAGATTTAAACCACATGATCTCTTGGGGTGAAACAGATCCACAAAACGTCACAACCCTAGCTCATTTCAAAGGCCGGTCTTGAATTCGGCAGGAGGTGGACTAGAAGATCTCTAAAGTCCCTTTCAGCCCTATGATTCGATGATAATTTGATGTTTGGTTCGTAATTCCCACCAGCTACGTTCTGAGTAAGCGTATCCCTAGATTACCTTTCCAGATTTCTACATTTTAACTTTCCAAATTTCTCCGCCGATCCATTAAGGGAAAATTGTGAAATTTTCCGTCAAGTCCTTTGGGACCGAAATAACAAAGATTCCTGTGGCTTGACGACTAATTGATGCAGTATCCTTACATAAGCCTGAATAAATCCCCAGTCCTATTCTTTGCAAATTATCCCCCTGGATAATTTCTCCAGCTCCCAGGCACTCCCAGCTAACACAATTTGAGGCGGGATAAATCAAAATATACTTTCTGGGGCGTGTGTGTGTGTGTGTGTTGAGGGGGGGGGGTTTCAATCCCCGAAGGATTATAATAGCAAAGTTTTTACCTAAGACACAAAGGATGCTTGGGCTGAATTGCATGGAGCCGCCCAGCGTTAAGGCTTTGCGATGGGTGGCGGTATGGATTGTAATAATAAAGAAAAGAAATAAATAAGATCCAGGTTTATCCTCCCTTCCCTGGGATTCTGCGATGCATGGAGGAAAGGAGGTGAAGGCTGGCACAAAACACAATTGTGTTCACCATTGGCTGCTCTTTCCTGTCCTGCTTTCCTACCCAGATTTATTTGGGTAAAGAAATCAAAGCTGTTGGAGAAAGGAAAACACACAGACAGAGAGAATAACAGAATAACAGAGTTGGAAGGGACCTTGAAGGTCTTCTAGACCAACCCCCTGCTCAGACAGGTTGGCCCCAACTCTTCTTAAAAGCCTCCAGTGATGGAGCACCCACAACTTCTGGAGGCAGGTTGTTCCACTGATTAATTGTCCTCACGGTTAGGAATTTTCTCTTTCGTTCCAGCTTGTTTAGTTCCCATCCATCCTTTGCTTCTTGTCCTGCCCTTAGGGGCTTTGGAGAATAGGAGGACCCCCTCCTTTTTTGTGGCAGCCCCTCAAATATTGGAACTCTGCTATCCTGTCACCCCAAGTCCTTCTCTTCATTAGACTAGATATATATACCCAGCTCCTGCAATCATTTTGTCCAGAGAAGTAAGCAATGGGTGGGGAACCACACAGAATACCAAACAGCAGAGTTGGAAGGGACCTTGGAGGTCATCTAGTCCAAACCCCTGCTCAGACAGGAGACCTATACCATTATGGACAATACGGGTGTCAAGTCTCGTCTTAAAACCTCACAACTTCTGGAGGCAAGCAGTTCCACTGGTTAATTGTTCTCCCTGTTAGGAAGTTTTCTCCTTAGTTCCAGGTTGCTTTTCTCCTTGATGAGTTTTCATTCCTTTGCTTCTTGTCCTGCCTTCAAGCGCTTTGGAGAATAGCTTGACTCCCTCTTCTTTGGGGCAGCCCCTGAGATACGGGAAGACTGCTGTCATGTCACCCACCCCCTTTTTCACTACGGCTCCCTAAGAGAGCCCCATTTCGGAAGGGGTTAAGTGGGCACCCCCAGGCCCCAGATGTGCGGCTGGCAGGAGCCAGTGTAGTTTGGCACCCGGAGTAGGAACAGCTTCAACGAGGTGCAAAAAAGCGGCCTGGTTGTTATGGTGGCCCTGCAAACAAGACATAAACAGATTCCGGCCAGTTGCAAATCCAGATGAGGGTTTGGTGGCTGGGCGGAGGGGGAGAGGCTACCCAGCCAACTGCATGGAGAAGGGGTGGGGGTGGGGATCACCAGTCCTATCCTCTAGTTGCGAATCGGCAGCTGGCAAAAAGCTGAGTTGTCCGTTTGCGAAAACCGAAGGAAAAACTCCCCAACGCAGATCTGGAGTGGCTTGCAATTCTTTTCTTTTTCTTTTTTTTTTCTTTTCTCTTTCTTTCTTTCTCTTTCTTTCTTTCCCTTCCTTTCTTTTTCTTTCCTCTTTTTCTTTTCTTTCTTTCCTTGTTTTTTCTTTTCCTTCCTTCCTTCCTTATTGCTCTTCCTTCCTTCCTTTTCTCTTTCTTTTTTTCCTTCCTTCCTTCTTGTCCTTTCTTTCCTTCTTTTCTTTTCTTTCTTTCCTTCCTTCCTCTTTCTTTCCCTTCCTTCCTATTTCTTTCTTTCTTTCCCTTTCTATTTCTTTCTTTTTCTTTCCTTCCTTCCTTTCTTTTTCTTTCTTTTTCTTTCCTTCCTCTTTCTTTCTTTCTTTCTTTCTTTCTTTCTTTCTTTCTTTTTCCTTCCTTCCTTCCTTCCTTCCTTTTTCTTTGTAGGATTTGCAGCCAAGGAGGGGGTGAGCAATGGGGGGGGGGGAAACACCACCCTCCAATTCTTGAATTGGACCAAGAAAACAATGAGGTCATATTGGAAAATGAATGAAGGGCCAAGACTGGGAGGAAGGGAGGGAGGGACAGCTCCACTGACCTATTGGAAGAGGGGGGTGGCTGGGGGGGGGAACAGAAGTCTCACCCCCTCTCCAGGTTGTTTTGAGTAAAATGGAGAGTTTGGCCTGCTGATCAGCAGGGTGCATCCCCCTCCCTTAACAGGGGTAGACTACTCCTAAAAGGGGAGGCTCCATTCTCGGGGTGGCTTGGGGGATTGACTCACCCTAACCCGTGGGGTTCAAGCTGCTGGGAGGGGGACCCCGAGGGGTGTAAAGAGGGGGGGAGACCCCATTCTACTCCAGCAGACCCCCCCTCCTCCCTGCCTGGCCAAAGAGATGCTTTTATAAAAAGCCCGCCCCCACCCTCCGCCTTCCCTCCCTGCCCCCCCCCCCCAGGCTGACTGCCCCTGCCTGGGGAGGCTCTACTTCTCCAT